AGAGGTGAACTGTCCCAACTTTTACCATCCTTTTTTTACAAACTGACTGAAACCCTTCTTGAGTACACCGAGTACACCAACACTTAGAGAAAGACGTGTCTTTCTTCTGCTTCCAGCCAATCATCTTCCCTGTGCTGTCAAATTCCTCTACCCTGATCCTCTCCTTAATGCCTTGCTCTGCTGTTTGTCCTTCTCTCTTGCAGATAGGCAACCTCTACTCCTCTGACTCTTTTCCCTTACCACTACCCCTATCCCACGCTACCTCTTCCAACTGTTCCTCCTACCTTTTCCAGAATTCTTACCCAAATTCTGTGAAAGATTAACCCACACCTGCAACCTTTGCTCTCTCACTTCTGATGCCTCAACACCCTGGAGCATCTGTGCTCTCTATTCTAATAAAATACTCCTGGGGGCAGCTCAGATAAGGACGCAGATCCCAAATGTACTGGACTCCTTGTCTCTTCAACATATCAGTTGGGAGGCTGAGCCTGTTGTTTCATTTCCCTAAGCATCCATTTCCTCATCTCTAAAATGGGTTCTTGTAATATTAAATGAGGCAAGGTAATTAAAGCATTGAACAGTGTCTGCACATGCCATGTGCTCCATACATATTAAATATTAATATTATTGCCATGAGTTGCAGTCTTGGCACTTTAAATGATGTTTTCATTATTGTTTGTCAGGTCCTGTGCTAGATCTAGCTCAAAATCCCAAACTAAAAAAAAAATCCCACTTAACTCATGAAGCCATCAAAAATGACTCTGCTTTCTTCTTGTATAACATTTTATTTCTTAACCTAGAATAGCCTTTTCCAACTTTGAACTAGGATCTGATTATATAATTATGTCAGTTAGTGGCAAATCAATAAAACTAGGAAAAATTGTAGAAGAATGAAAAATTAAAAAGAAACAGGACCTACATCTAGGAGCCTTTGCTCCATATCAAGTCATTTTTTTTACCACTTACTTGTATTTACTTTTTCATTGTGATAACACTGGTTTACTTTATTATTGGTACTTTGGAAATACAGGACCTTCCCTCAGGTATTGAAACTAGATCAATTCATACACACACACACACAGACACACACACACACACTGATTATATTAATGTATTTGCATCATATAAAACAATATGACAATATTTCAGTGAGCTGACTGCTGGAACTTTATGCTGTTTATAGCAGCAAAAGCATCTACACCAATGTTCTGCATGCTGTCAGAAGTCAGTGATTACAGAAGAGTAGGCAGTTGCACTAAAGCAGTCTCAGAAGAACAGAAAGAACATTTTTGGCCTCTTGTTTGAATCCTACCTGACAACTTGGAAACTACAATAATTTGAGCCTATGTCAGCAATGAAAGGAATGCTTTATTGTTGGCACACCAAAAATTAGACTTAATGGTCATTTAGACTCTGTAATTAATCACTAAGAGGGTTAGCATGGAGCACTCCATTCTCTTCCTTCACCTCCTTACTATTCTCAGTCTCTTTTTGTCACCAGCCATGTGGAGTAATGTTTATTTTAATTAGGAGGAGGCCATACAAGCAAAAGCAATTTATAATAGGTATGTTCAGTAAGGAAGCAAATTGCACAGCAAGATCTCATCTCGGTGAAAAAAATGGCTTCACTAAGCCATGTAATTTTGCTTGTCTAACATCTTACTTCTTGGAACAAGTTTATAAAAGCCCAGGTCTCATCCTAACACTGGTTAGTCTTGATTTCCGGGGAAGTGTATGAATGGGCTGGATTAGGAGGCCCCTTCTCTTGGACTAGGGGCTCTTTAGCCTCTGGATCTCATGCTGGGATGCTGCACACTGTACAAAGTCCTCCAGGATTCAACCATGACTTGTACTGCCGACAAAGACAATGATTTTTGGATTTGCTAACCTTAGCATTTCCTCTCTCTTTGTCTATTAATGTTTCAAAACGAATTTATATCCCCAAATTTTTTGAAGTTAGTTAACATGGAAAATTCACACACACAAACAGGAGTCACATAAGGATGATGATGAATAACTAGTATTTGCTAAACATTTATTTGCACTGAGTCCTATGCCAAATATACATTATTTGCTGCAGTCCTCACAACTGTGAGAGATTGACATTTATTATCCATTTTACTTATTAGAAAACTGAGGTTTAGAGAAGCTAAATAGCTTGCTTGAGATCATACAAGTAATAAGATTCAGGGTTGGGACTCTAACATAGGTCTGTTAGAAGCCAAAGCACATTACTGCTGAATTATGTGCTTCATACTAACAAAGTCTTTCTTTGTGACCTATTTTTAACCACAGTTTTAAATCTAACCAAAATTAGATTTAAGCTTGATTTCATTATCAGTGGTCTGCCACAGTAAATCTTTATATGTCCATAATAAAGTTTAAGTTCCTCATTTTTAAAAGGACATGAATGGCCAAATGAATTTTTTAAAAAGCAAATATTAAATTTCAGGTACTTAAAACTAAAAGGAAACAATTCAAGAAATAGCAACTAAGTGATGTAAGAGTTCAAAGATTAAGACATCATTGTCCCTGCCACTAGCCTCCCCCAAGAAACTGATAATCTAGTGGGAGGAACATAATGTAGCATTTCAGCTCTTACTTCAAATGTCATCTCTATGAGAGGTCTTCCCTCATCACTTAATATAAACTGTTGTCCCATTCCCTGTCACTTTCTGTCACAGGGATCAGTAAATTTTTTTCTGTAAAGAGTGAAATAGTTGTGTTCCAACAAAACTTTATTTACAACTCAGGCAGCAGACCAGAGGTTCATAAGCTATGTCTTCCTCTAACATATTACTGATTTTTCCTTCATAACCACTAACAAAATTGGAAATCTCTTTGCTTATTGATTTATTATTTCTCTCCACAAAATGGCAGCTTCCTTCCCTTTTTGTTTGTTTGATTTGCTCTCCATAACCTGCAAAGGATTTCTGACACACAGTTCACTCTAAATTTTCTGACACACAGTTCACTCTAAATATTTGTTGATTGACTAAATGAATGAAAATCACTTCACAAAAGGAGAAAAAAGACTGCCCACAAACCTATGAATTACACTTCATCCTATCAATTACAAAAATTAAAAAACTGAAAATGTCCTTTTTCACTTGTCACACTACAACAGAAGAAGAGAGGAAGAGGAAAAGGAGATCAGGGAGAAGAACTAGGGTAGACGAATGCATGGATAAACTGTTCCTTTCATCTGTTCCTTTCACCGCTGCTAGGGGAAGAAAAATAGCACAATATTTCTGGAGAGCATTTTGCAATTGTATACGTAATATATGTCAATTCAAAAATCAGCAAGGGTTTGACAAGAAATTTCTCAGAAGAAGATATACAGACATCCAAAAAGCATAAGAAAAAATACTCAATTAATTATTAGTGAAATGCAAATCAAAATCACAAGGTATAACTTTATACCCATTAAGATGACCAATATGTGAAAAAGTAGAAAATAATCAGCATTGACTGATACAGAGAAATTAAAACCCTTGCGCATTGCTAGTGGGAATGCAAAATGGTACAACTGCACAAGAAAACAATTTGGGGATTCCTCAAAAAGTTGAACATGGAATTACTAAATGACCAACCTAGTCCACTCCTAGGTCTATACTCAAAATAACTGAAAGCAAGGAGTCAGATATGTGGACACCCATCTTTATAGACCCATTACTCACAACTGCCAAAAGGGATAAACAACTGAAGGGGGCCCCCCTGGTGGCGCAAGGGGTTAAGCACCACACTATGAAGCAATTGGCAGCCTCTGTAGCACAAGTTCGATCCTAGGCTGGCCAGGGAGAAACCCACATGGTGCAGCAAACCTCTCCTGTCTTGCCTGCTGCTCCCCTCAGCAGTGTATTTCAGTCAGTCTGCCTGTTCTGTTCCTCACTCTGTCTCTGGTGGATCCTCTCACCCCCCGCATCTCTGGCTTGTACCCCAGTTCTTGTATGCATAAATAAATAAATCTTTAAAAAAAAAACCAACTCAAATGTGCATCACAGAGGATGACAAATGCAATATATCCATACCATGGAATCTTATTTAGCCTTAAAAAGGAATGCAGTGCTAGTAATTACTACAACATGGATGAACTTTGAAAGTATAGTGCTGAAAGAAATATGCATCACAAAGGACTGATATTATAAGATCCATTATATGGAGTACCTACAATATAGCCAAATAGTAAAATAGAACTGGTAAGTAGAACACAGGTTACAAGGAGCTGGGGAAGGAGTTATGCATACAAGTTTGTTGTTTTGGATGGTGAAAAAGTTCTAGAGATGGATGATGGAGGTGACAGTGCAATACTGTGAATATACTGGCTGCTGAAGTGTACACTTAAAAATGATTAAAATAGTAGACATTATATGATATATATTTACCACTTTAAAGTATATATTCTTTTTTATTCTAAAATCTTATTTCTAAAAATAACTCTGAAGAGATAAAGCAGAAGGGTGAAATATGTATGTACTAAAATCTATCAACCTCACGATCCATGAACAAAGATGTAGTTAAATACAGAAAGCAACAAATACATAAAAGAGATAATTTTACAGTCGTTAGATATGATCAAATAGACTCAAATAGACTTTTCACATGAAAATGTCTCCATAGCATTATTGGTAAATGAAAAGAAATGCAGAATCCATGTAAAGTATGACCCCAGTGATCTAATAATTCGGATGTTTATGTATACAAGGAGAAAATTTGAGATATTCTCCAAAATTTTAATAGTGGCTCTTCTCTGAATAGTAGGTTAGAGATGATTTTTAAATCATCTTTTTCATGGTTTTTTGTACTAGCTCATTTTCCTAACAAAGAATATTTTTAACCCAAATAACATGCTGATTTAAACTCATATTTATCACTTTTTCACATTAATTAAGGAAGGTTAGGCCCTTGATACTTTCATAATAGATGTTTTCTGTATTTTCATTTCCATAGCAACAATAATACTGGTGAGTGAATCAGATAGAGTTTTAAAAGACACATACCTCAGTTAGCAGTGTTGTCTCTCCATCACTCTGAAACAGGGCATTTATTTCAGAGCAACATTCAATAATCATGCACTAGAAATAAGAAGCCAATATAGTTAGGTTGAGCTTATTGGTAAGCTATTAAACATTTACTTATATTTACTTCATTTGTTTTTCTGACATCATTGCCAGGCCATAATTCTGGGAATGAAACTTAAAGGGATGCAGAGATTTGAAAGGGTGTAAAATAGTCACAAAAGATATGATTTAATTATGGGTAATATATTATTTTAGTGTTCTTTCCCTCAAATCCATAATTAAAATTCATATGCTACAGAAGCATAACAGGTAAAGTAATTCAAACCAAAGTAAGATTTTGGAAAATCACTTTTCTTTTAAGAAGAGTGTCCTGGAATAAAAAAAAAATTAAGATTCCAGAAAGGGACTTAAGCAGAGAAGGTTTGGGAATTTGGAAAAGAAATGAAAAAGAAGACATGAAGAGGAAGAGAGTTGCTATCATATGTTGTCTATTGCACAGACACAACAATATTTACTTGTGAGCATCAAGAGGGAGCAAGAATCAAGAAGGATTTTCCATACCCAGGATTCCATCAATGAGATTCTCTATCACTGTGATTTTATATAAGAAAGGACAACAGAAGAGAGCTAGCATCAATATAAGCTGAGGGGTCTCGATAAGAAGTTGGAGAAGGAAACCTTTGGGCCAGATGTAAGATGAGGAAGAGGAAGAAAAACAGAGACAAGTGAGAGCTCATGCACCCTGTGGGACTGAGCAACTTTGGCTCAGTTGGCTCCCAAATTTCTAGTTCCATTTTCTGTAAGACCCAATGTATTTTATTTCCATACCTTGGCTATCTATGACCCTACTCCTTACGCTCTGACAATTACTGCCTCCCTAGCAAATCTGTTTTAATTGAACTAGTGTAAGTAGTTATTCTTTACTTAGTATTGAAGCAGGAATGGCTGTAAGGCTGTCAGAGATCAACTGTACCTACTTCACAATGCTGCCAACATCCCGTAACAATTTTCTCTTATTTAGAAATATGAAAATGATAAAAGTACATTGATTTTAAATTACAACTCACCAATTCTCATTAAACCTCAAAATAAAGAAGCAGACAATTGAACTCACAGCCCCAATCCATACTATGTCTAAATTTAAATAAATTCATGAACACAGAGATTGGATTTTAGAATTCCAAAGTTATTGCCAATTCAATTCAATTTAGTATATTCCAAATCTTATATGAGGAGCTGTGGAACACAAAAATGAAGAGACAAACCCTATTCTCATAAAGCTGACAATAACTGAAAAAGAAAGATTTGTACACTCTTACATAAAATACCAAGTAGAACATGGTCAGAACGTGGGAAGTGTTCTAAGTGTTCTAGAAACCTAGAGGTGGTGGAGGGTAATTACAGGTGCAACAAACAAAGAAGACAGATGAAGGTCATCTGAACAGAGACTTGGAAGAGTAGTAGGATTTCAACTGGCAGGAAGTTGGGGGGGAGAACAAGGGAACACCAAGTGGATGGAGCCATCTAAGTAAGGAAACTGGCCATTCAAGGCACATCAGAGACTAATAGGGTCTTTACTGTGTGTTGGGAAGCCAGGGGAGAGTAGAGGGGAATAAGTCTGGAAAGGTAAACTTACAACAGGACATGTCAAAATAAGGAATTTGTATTTTGTTGGGTAGGAAATGGACAGGTCTTGGACTGATCTAATTGTTTTAAAAAGCTAATTCTGGGTGAAGTTTAAGGTGATCTGGAATGGGAAAAGAGAAAACAGTGAGGAGGTTACTCAAATTGTTTGGGCAGGAAGTGACAGCGACCGGAAGATGACCAGCTTCCATGGAGAACAGGCAGGACACCCCTGCCCTTAACCAGGGGATACCAACTTCCTCTGATGAACTTTTCAAGCTCCTGAAGCACTTTGCTAGACAGAGGAGAATGCATCCCCTCTTATTTGTCTATATTTCTGTATTTAAATGAGTTCATGGAACTGGTTGAGGTATATTTTCTTTCTACCTAAAAGGTTTGAGTAATAGCCCTGATGACTTACTGTCATGATTTCATCAAGAGAGACTGTGCAAAGTGCTACTGTATAATTAATCCTTTCAGGTAACAGATGAAGACTGCATGTTACCTGAAAAATGCCTTTGACTGCCTATCTCAACATTTATCAGACAGAAATTTCACCTCCACAACATTCTCTTTCTTTGGCATCATCTGTGATGAAGCACAAACACACACCTGAAACTGGCTGGCTCCATGTTGGCTTGTGAGAGGCTTCACGGGACAGCTACAACAGAAATGAAGACAGGCAAAGTGCTGAGCTCTCCTCAACCCCAACCTGTTAGAGGTCACTGGAGGGGTGTTGCTAGGACCAGGGTGCTGGGTGAGCATGGAATGTCCCTTCCTCAATCTCTAGCATTTTCCCCTTAAATAGGAGTATCCATTGATTCTCTAAGGGATTACCATCTGAGTTATTTCAAGAATAACAAAGTCCACTCTTTGACTTAGTTGAAATCCACATCATCTTTCATCTATAATATGGACTAGGAGTCCAAAATTCTTTTTTATCCTCCAAACTCTTGCCTCCCTGATCCCTCCTTAACATGCCATCAGGGGCCTTGGTAAACTGCAGGGTAGATCAAGAGATGCCCTTCCAGGTGTTGCCTCCACCTTCTCCTATCCCTGCACACTCAACCTTGCTTTTCCATGGCCCTTTCCTGCAGAACAAAGCTCATTCATCATTTATTCATTCAGCCTGTATTGATGCAGCTTAAGTGCCTTGGAGTGGCAACAGGAGATGAACAGGCAGAAAGAGAAGCCTTAAGGAGCTCATGGTCTAGTGGGAGGAATAGGAAACAGACTGTCAAAGAATAATGTGGTAAGATCAGAGAGGAGGAAGCACTCATTTCCACCCATCTCTCCAATCCCATCTCCCACTACATCTAATCCATACACCTACTGAAGCTGATGTGTCATTGTCCCCTGACACAACTTTCAGTTCCATGACTTCACATCTCATCTCTTACTGTGTGCTCAGTCTGAAACAAGTGTTCTCCAGACTGATATTTCTTTGAATATCCCACTTTGCTAAGAGAGCCCCACCAGATGGCCAAGTTCACTCAAATTACACCTGATTATCTATGTCCATACTCATACAAGATTAATGTCCTCTATGATAGAGACCTAGTTGCATTGATTCCTATACATTTCTATTTCCCCAAACTCATAACATTTTGCACATAATAGTTTCTTTAAGAATTAGATAGCTAAAGTCCAATTGCATTTTGCTCTATTTTCATAATGCTTTAATAATTGGGATATGTTGACTTGTGAGAGAATTATTGTGTGACTGTTATCCTAATTTTTATTTCCCTGTATGACCCATATTCTTTTCCATTAAAAAATGTTTATTGAACTAAGCTTAAGTGACTTGGTTAATATATTTTAAGCCTTCCACACCAGTAAACTATCATTCTAAAAGGTGTTTGAAATCAGAAATGTATAAATCTTTCATGTGCTTTAAAGCACCTGATAATGCACCTGTAGATACCCTTAATTCTGTGAATGACAGGTAAAAACAACTCAGTCATTCTGAGCCAGTGTTATTCATTTTAAGGAAAAGGACATGCAAGATTTTCAAGCCAGAAGTGACTGGAATGCCTGTTCTGCAGCTTTCCCAATACAGCGTAAATTAATATCTATATTCTGAAGTTCTTGGCTTATTTCAGACAATAAGATTTGGCAGGGGAGGGGAGGAGAGGGAGAGGCAGAGAGAAAAGGAATGGAATGAGAAAAAGAACATGATCCACTAACCCCTATATCAACCATAGGCATATTTTCTGGAATCCTTATAGTCAGTAAATCACCAAAAATCTATACTGAGATAGAAATAAATATATTAGATTACAAAGGTTATGAAATTCTGTCCAAGTCCAGACCAGAATCGATCTCTTCAAGTGTCCTAGTTAACTTCTAATTAGCTCCAAGTGAAGGTTGTCATGACAACATACTGGCAGATTTAGTCAATGGGATTTATTTGATAAAACCCAGGATCTAGCGGCTTCTTTGTATAAATATTGGTTAGCGTACTGGAAAAAACCAAAATTACATGTGACTCATTTCCAGCTTCCAAAGTTTGTGAACTAATTTGTTGAGTCACCTAAACAGATACTAGCTTTTCTTCAATTTGGTGACTCTGTCATATTTAGAACCAACAGACCTGGAACCTACCTTAAAATGCCCTACTTAGGGATAAGGAAAAACTTTCTCAGTTGGGGAATAAAATGAACTCAAAAATACAACAGAGAACATCAAAACTGAAAGAAGTTTGTTTTACTCAATGACTGATCCATTCACCTATACCATTCTGGTGAGGAGACATGAAAACAAGCCAGAAACCTTGATTGAGATAAGGTAGAACCTCTTAACACCACCTTTTGTTTCAAAGCCCCCCCCCCATTTGTCCCTGATTCCTTTATATTCATAGTCAACTTCTTGGCTCCAACTTAGTTTTTGTTTTTTCTTTTCAAATTTAGACTCTGTGATACATTGGATACTGACATCTGACCACCGGGGAAATTCTGATGATTCTCATAAACCAAGGGGCCCCTGTCTCCATTTCAAAGTGGAATTGGAATGAAAGAACCACTTTTAGAGGAGATTGGTACCAGAAAAAGTTGGTGGGAAGAGCATAAGGGACTATGGTGATGGCACATGAGTGAATGGGTGGTGGGAATTTCATGGGGACTACAACCAAGATGAAAATGCATACATTGTACAAAAATGAAGAATGATGTAAAAGCTATCTAAAATTTTTAAAAAGTTGTGACTCACTCTAGATAGTAGAGCTGAGTGGCAGAGCACCAACTTAAACCCTCAACTCTATTTTATATACCAGATGATGTCACTCATATGTGGAATATAAAGAAAGAAAACCAAGGAACAGACAAAACTAAATCAAAGAAGCCCCTAGAAATCTGCCTGTGGAACTGAGGCTCCCAGAGCACGAACATGGTGGAGTGAAAAGCAAAGAGGGAGGGGACCCAGAGGACCTACGTGAATGATTATGGGTGCTCTGGTGGTGGCTGTGGTGCGGCTACATACACCTGGAGAGGTGAGAGCTTATACCTTTAAATCACATACAGTGTTGTAAGCCAATGTTACCTCAATAAAAAATAATAAAACAAAATAAAACTTTCATGTTTACAAATGCTCACCGTACTGCCTCAGACAATCTAAGCTAAAAGGACAAGTAGATTCAGTAGAAAATAATCATTTCCACATATGAAGTAAAGAGCAGTAGGTTCAGGAAAATTTGGGCAAAGAATATTCTAAATTGTGTCTCAAAGAGCGCAATCTGATAAGTGTGCTCTAGGACTGAAAATTTGTGATTGTAAGTGACCTATAAAAGAAGTACAAAAAATGAAATGAGAGTTGAGTTCTTCTTGGAAACAGAAAGGACAAGGATTCACTTTATGAAAAAAAATACAAATATATAATCTCATGAGATTGAGATATTTGATCTGTTGGGAGATTTATTGCACATACTCAGTACAGCAGTAATATCATTAAATGCCTGGTAATTCATGTTGTAACATCTGAGGACACTGATAAGTATGTGTAGCCAAAATTCTAAGAAAGCAGCTCAATGATAAATGCAAGCACACAGCAGAGATGCAAATGCTGAAAAGTGGCATTTTGCAAAGGCTAACTGTTCTTGCCTGATGAATTCCCTTAGAGCTGGGCTTGTTGCTTTCACAATAAATAAAAATGCACTATCTCAGTCTTCTGGTAAGTTCAGACTGAAAATGCAACAGGTAGGGTCAGAAAATCAGGAGAGTGGGCAACCTTTTAACACTTTCACATCATAAGAGTGCATAGATGAAGCAACTAAGGAAGAAGCCATACCAACACTATTCTTAAGAATTAAAAGTGCTTTGTGATTGGAAACTAGTTCAATATTAACCTAACAGAAAGTGATTTAAGAAAAAAGGCACAATAGACCAAAATAAACATCTTACAGCTTTCAGAGCAACAGAGATGGCCCCAAATGGCTAGGGATTCAGCCTAGAAAGGTCCCAGAATTCAAAATCCTTGTTCCACAGTTCTTGGAGGCAACCAGCTCTTGCCTGGAGCAAGAGAAAAGTGGCTACAGGAATTTAAAAAAAAAAGGAATTGAGACATTATTTGACAAGTGTGAAAACTTGAGTAAAAATCTATGGATGAACACACAAAATATCTGATGTAATGATCCAAAGGAAAAAAAGCTAAGAAAAAATCAAATCTTATACAAGAAGAAAATAAGCATAGTTCAGTATTTGCCTGAATTGTGAACATTACTTCCAGGTCTCTGATAATGTAAACACTGGATATTGATTTAACTAAATAACAATATTTAGAAGAAAGGGCAAGGTATTGAAGAGAAGTCAGCTAAGTCCTTTATCTTTCAGTATTTCCAGCTTTCCTCTTTCCACGCCGGTAGCAGAGAAATGTTGGCACCACTTGAGACTTAATCGATCAATGAAATGTTAGAGGAATGATATGATGGAAAACTTAAGAGCCAGTGTGTGGTTTGCTGTCGTGTCTCTCTCCTGCCTCCTGGCTGTTCCATGGGATGTTCCAGCCTGGACTCTGGGTAAGTAGACATGGAGCAAAGACTCCATTGACACACTCAGATTCAAAAGTGGTTTGTTACCTTGCTTTTATGAACCATACTACATAGTATTTCAACATGTGGAACTGAATAACCAAAGAAATAGCTAAGAGAGTTGAAAATGGTTGCCTCTGCAGAACAGGACTGTGGAATGCAGAGCTAGGCAGAGATTGTCCCTTTTCATTTTAAACCTTTGAAATCAGTTTGTTTGTAACCATGGCCACAATAGCTACAAAATATGCATCTCAAATTGGACTGATGTACACATGGAAATTCAAAGAGCATGTGAGAAGGTGCGAGCACGTATGGCCTACTCCTCTCCTCTACACAGCGGGTAAGGGCTGTCTATTCCACTCTTAAAAAAGGAAGGCATTTCCAGTTTCTTTCAGACACATCCTAAGTTTACTTCTGGGAGAGTGGAGTGACAGATCTCATTGGTGAGACTGGGAAAAGTAACAGAACATGGTAGGCTCAGCCCTTCTGGACAATCTTAGTTTTGGAGGCACCCTATCTATAGGACTATTATTAGTCTCTGCTCCTGTGTGAAGTAGACGTGGAGGACTGAGAGGTGGGGCAGAGGACGTGGGGAGACCATGTGGTTACACAGACAACTGCGTAACTAGGTGGCAAGCCTGGCTAATTCAGAGATGAAATTTTTTTTAAAGATTTATTTATTTATGCATACAAAGCTGGGGTACAGGCTAGAGATGCAGGGGGGTGAGAGGATTCACCAGAGAAGGAGTGGGGAACAGAACAGGCAGCCTGACTGAAATACACTGCTGAGGGGAGCAGTGGGTGGGAGAGACAGGAGAGGTCTGCTGTGCCATGTCTGCTGCTGCTTGCTCCCTGGCCGGCCAGGGGATCGAACTCGTGCTGCAGAGGCTGCGGATTGCTTCATAGTGCAGTGCTTAACCCCTTGCACCACCAGGGAAGCCCCAGAGATGAAATATTAATCAGTTCATTTGGCCAAAATCCAAAGTCATATTCGCTAATCAAGCTTGTCAGTAATGATGCTGACACATTTTGATCTCCATATATCCATCCTATGTCCTTTTTCTCTATGGTTTCAGAACTCAAGAGGGATAGAAGGAAAATGACCATCTCCAAAATACAAACATCAGTCATCAAAAAAATTTCTGCTGTGGTATCAGATTAATAACACACTGTGAGAATAAATTTTTGTAAGGGGAGAAGGACTTGTGCAGTGAAAAGTATAAGACATTGTTTAAAATAAATAGAAGATACTGGGCCTCCCTGTTGGCGCAAGGGGTTAGGCACCGCACTATGAAGCAATCCCCAGCCTCTGCGGCACGAGTTCGATCCCCGGCTGGCCAGGGAGCAACCCACATGGCGCAGCAGACCTCTCCTGTCTCACCCGCTGCTCCCCTCAGCAGTGTATTTCAGTCAGTCTGCCTGTCCTGTTCCCACTCTGTCTCTGGTGATTCCTTTCACTCCCTGCACCTCTGGCCTATACCCCAGTTCTTGTATGCATAAATAAATAAATCTTTTAATAAATAAATAAATAAATAAATAGAAGATACTAAGAAGTAGAAAGCAACCTGATGAAGCAAAAAATCATTTAAATAATTACATCTAACAACCATCACCCTTCAATAGCGATATGATTTTCCATTATTTAATAACTTACTTCCAATTCTTTATCAGTTGATGTTTCTTCTGTTTCTTGTACTTGAGATACAGTTTCATTTGGAGCTACTTCAGGGCTTGTTGGCAATGAAATTTCAGCGATTTGCGTAAGATTAGACAGTTTCTCGTGAATTGAAATAACTCTAAAAATAACAAGTATACGTGCATTTTATTTGAAGAGTTAAGAAAGACAGGCATTTATTCTGATAGCCAGCAATATGTGTAACGTAACCCTTGGTTATTTAACACTGAGTTTTCTGACATCCCCAAATGTCATCTGATCCATCACTCCTTTTTTCAAGAAACATGAGCAAAGCACACAATTCTAAGCCTGTAATGTTTATGATTCAGTTAGACACTCAGATAGTTACATACTTACTAATTGGCAAACACACAATGAAAGAAATGTACACATCCAAAACATTGGCTTAAGGTGAAAATAAATAAATATGTGAGTAAATTAACTGCAGGCAATGCAAAAGATTTACTCTGAGGTACATCTTAATGCCTTTGTCTCACTGGCTTGAAGGCAAAAATTATAAGTTAGCAATGGTTCTAAAAGGCTAATCAATGAACCTGTAACATAAAGAACTGAGGCAATCGGGAGGAGAGCCGGGGATAGCAGAGAATAAGACAGGAGAAGAATCTGGGATGTGTGGTGGAGGACTGTGGTAGGAATACTATGGGGACTGCACCTGAGGGGAGAAATCCTATACTGTGAAAAAATAAACAAGGATGTTTTTAAAATATTAAAAAAAAAGAAAAAGAATTATTTTTTTTTAAAAAGAAAGGAATGTGGTAAAGGGGAACAGAAAAAGAGCAACCAAGCATGAACCAAAGTATGTGCCTTGCTTGATGGAGGAGAAAGAAAATAAACTGGCTGACAGACAGAATTTCGACTCAGGGAACTATATAAGGTAAGAGGAAAGAGGGAGACGAGGAAGATGATGGCGTTTGGGCTTAATTTTTGCAAATCACTGTAGAGTCACATTAAGCTCTTTTTAAACACACCCCGAAATTACAGGCAAAGTAATGGTACAAACGACATCTTTATACTCTAATCTTTATGAAATGTTAGGAACTGTTCCTAGATACTCTTCATTACTACTCCTGCTTTATTAAGAAAGAGACGGAGTGTGAGGCACAGAGGTTAAGAAGCCTGTCCAAGGCCAAAAAATTAACTGACATTTGACCAAAGCAGACTGAATTCAGAATTCAAGCTCTTTTTTAATTTTTTTTTAAAGATTTTTATTTATTTATTTATACAAGCACTGGGTCCAGTCAGAAGCGCCGGAGGGTGAGAGAATTCACCAGAGCCAGAGCAGGGAGCAGAACAGACAGACTGATGAAATACACTGCTGGGGGGAGCAGCGGGTGGCAGGAGAGGTCTGCGTGCCATGTGGGACCCTCCTCTGGTGGCCGGGGAGCAGCCGGGGATCGAACTGGTGCTGCAGAGGCTGCGTGCAGCTTCACAACCCAGCGCTCAACCACTGCACCACAGGGGAGGCCAAGAATTCAAGCTCTTAACCACTTCAAAATCATACGCCTCTAAATAAAAGGACGATTTTCCTTAAAAAATGTCTTTTAAAAGTTTGCTTGTGATTTATCTTGTGTACTACTGAAACAGCTTGTATGGAAATAGCAGCAAAGAGAGCTAGAGTTGTAGATGATCCATTTTTACTTGCCTGTAGAGTGGAACCCAGAAAGAGCCAACAAATAACTGATTGCAAGTGGTATGTTTAATATCTGCAATCTTCAGAGGCTTCATATTATATGCATATAACAATAAGACCTACAAGAAAATTAAAAGGCATATAAAATATGACATCAAAATTATACTTTGCCTCAAAAAAGGCGGTGGCAGCTCTCAAGTGAATGTATTTTAAAAGTTTTTCTCTGAAAGAGCAAAATGAGGGTTTTTCAATTCACTTTAAAGAAAGATAATATGAACAAGCATTGTGTAAGAGTTGTGAGATGAAAAGAAATGTTATTTGATACTAATATTAGATTGTTTTGGGGAGAGTGACATTCCTTACTGCAGTTAAGTTTAAATTTCAGCCTTTGAAGTCCCTCTGTGACAATTCTAAAAATACAGCTTTGTTTGCTGTTCCTTCTCAATATGTACCTTTCCATACATGGTTAAAGCCATGTCTGGGCATCCTCTGCTGTTTCCTTTCTCTTATCTCTGTTCTCCTTGTCTCACACAACTTTCCAAAGCCCATCTCTAAGATGAAACTTCTTCTAAACACTCATGTTCGAGTAATTTCCCAGTTGCTTGAATTCTGGAAATTCTTGTAATTAACCCATGGGTATAGCATCAAGTGATAGTCATAGTTTCATAAAATTCTGGATTCGTAGAACCTTAGAAACAGCCTAGTGTAACCTCCTCATTCTAGATAGAAGAAGGCTGAGACCCCGAACTGTCATCCAAATTGAGTTGATCTCAAGAACACCAGGTTGATTTAGTAATATAAAATCAATCAACATTGGAAAGAAAAATCATAAAGCTAATTGATTAGCTTTTTTGATATAGTAAATGTGTTAATTGATATAGTAAAAGATTCATGATGAAAATATCTTAGCAATACGGAAAAAGAAAGCTAAACATCATACAGAATTGTGACATATTAGTAATTCTCCCTTTCAGATCAGGAAAAAGGAAAATGATCAACTTGAATCAGACTTGCCCAAGATATCATAGTTATTTTCAAATTCATTCTAATAGACAACATAGATTCCATACTGCTGTATCTTTTTTATATATACTTTTCAGATGATAATGGACGTAATAGGGTTCATGTCAAAATGCAAGGCTTAGCTTGGTAATTATGTCTCATACCATCGGTTCTGTTTCCTTTGGAGGTATTTCCAGGGGAGGAATGTACCACTGAAAGCAAAGTTCTTTGTTTACAGCATGTATTGCCATATCTGATGGTGCCACGCTGCCATCAGATGGGCTGGCACTGAGCTTTAATGATAAATTGGAGTGTAGAGAATTGCCATGACCTATCTAGGGAACAAACAAAAACATCAGTATAATTGCTGGTAATGAATTCATTCAATATTTAAAACATTCATTCAATATTCATTCAATATTGGCTAGTTTGGAAAACTCTGGGAATCATCTCAACTTGTTTTGTGGGAATAAATCTTAAAATTGCTCCTGGATTAACACAGAAAATATTTTCTTACAGAAAAATGTGCTACAAAACCCAGTGGACTCAGCAAATGTCTTCCAGTTTGGTGAGCCTCCCAGAGTAAAGATCTAGAAGGGAATATGTCTGAGCTGTCATTTCTGTGTCAAAGTCATCACTGACTCTAAGAACATCTAAATTTTTCTGACTTATTCACTGGTGACTATACTGATGGCGTAGTTATAATTTATTTCTTCAATTGCTTTCTTTGGAGTGCCATATGCAAAATAAGAATTATTTTGCTCTAAAAGATTAAAATTCATTGTTCTGGTCCCTCTTTATTTGAATGTTGCCAATTTGTAAGTTCAGTCTTAGTAAATCTGAGCCCAGCATCTTTTGCTGGAACTTGGTTACTAAATCAAGAGTTTTCACTAAATCAAGAGAGACAAATGGGCAGAAGGCAATTTCTTAAATTATCAGTTTTTAAATTACCAAAGCAAAACACAATTGCTATTTATCAATATTAGTATAGCTAGAGAGGTAATCATGATAATATCTCAACTCTAAAAAGGACCTTCTTTAATGGAGTACAAACTCTTTTGGCATGCAAAGATTACATCAGAGTAGCAGGGAAAGAGTCCTTCTATTAAAATTTGACATCTAAGATGTCTCAAGTTTTGGTGATCAAGGAGAACACATCAGAACACCAGGCCACAAGAAATGCCTGGTGTTTTTATATGGGCCTCCCATTATTTCTGAACCTATTCAAGATACAAGCCTGTCAATGCAAGTCTTCAAAATAAAACAAAAAGAAAAACAAGGACATTGACCTTTCAAGTTGTCTACTGGTAAAAGAAGAAATATATCTTGACTGAAAGTTAATATTAAAGGTGGAAACTTTTCAAAAAATATCTAGAGTCTACCTTAAAAGAATCTTAAAAGCCAGATTTATTTATAAGTACGCTGATACTAAAGCCATAACCAAAAGGTACAACAAGCAAGATTATTGTGTTTAAATAATTATTTAAAGGTGTTTAATTAAGTATAACTCTATGTCAGGCAGCTCTCCAAAATGTCAAGTAAAATAATTGATTCAAAAAATTATTTCCCATATTTTTTCACATCTCAGTGACTTTCAGAGGTTCTGACAACTATTTTAGGAAAACATTCATATTGAATGGGGAAAAACAACAGGCAAGTATCTTCTATTTCAATATATGCAATTTTATGAGCAAGATAGTCTAATAATGGTAGCACAAGTTACTGTCAATATAGGCATTTAATTTTCCACTATCTTTACAAAAACATAGTATCTAATTACTAATGGAATTAACTACATATGCTAATCGATGGGCTATCCACTGAGTACTCTTGATATATTTGATTTGTTCTTTTGAAGGAAATGAAAACAGCAGAATTGCCAGCACTCTTGCTGGCCACAGTCCCTCAAGCAACAAATCATTTTGCACTAGTAAATGTTTGCCCTTCCACAACTATTATAGGCACACAGTCTAAATTAATAACTCAGCATTGGACACACTTTTAATCATATCCTTTTTGAGGGAATTTTTAATGCGATGTGTTTGCCACCTTTGTTTTTCCATCACAAAGCTTCGATAGATTTGACAATATGCTGACTCCCACAAATGATGGTCATGACACATAACAATGATGATTCTGGAAAGGCATTTACTTCTTTGTGGTTGGGAGGGGGGAGGGAGGCAGGTTTAAGTATCAAATTATGGAAAGAGTTTGATTGAAATAGCCTCCTGAGTGATTAAGGGCTCAAAAATGTTATTATAAAAATCAACCAAGCTTGGAGTTTGTTTTTTTTAAAAAATCTGAAAGGCTTTATGCTCGTTAGCTGTCTACCTAGTGAAACAAACACATGATTATGTGGCTTGCACTTGTCAGACAAGTGACAGTGATCTCCAAAACTGATTATCCTGGGAGAGTGTTACACTAATTATATCAAAAAAGAAAAGAGCAAACAGGGTGAAACAACTCTTTGATAACATTGCTGCCATTAGAAATGTCACAGGTATTTACAATGTGTTCAGGGTTGTGCTTTGGAGATTTGCCTTTAGGAAGTGGGTAATGATAGGCTGCCCTACTTCCTCCAGCAGAGCTCCTTTTGGAATGGTATTTAAGAAGTTGCATACTAGTTCCCAAACTCTTATGAAATATTCAGAAGAATACATCCATTAAATCTATGGTTCTCAACATTCTCTGTTCTCAACTCCAAAACAATCAGGATGTCTGTGACAGGTGGCAGTAAACCTTAAAGTTGGTCTCACCTCCCAGTAGGGGTGAATCTGATTCCAGTGTTACATAGAAAGGATTTTATTCCACTCCTACTATTTCCTTCCAAGTGGAGAGCTGGACATTAACATTACATTCCTGGCCTTTCTCTTTCTTCTTCTCTTGATTGGTACATTTGGGGGAAAAGAGTTTTGGATACGCCTAGTTCTGTTCTTCCTTCTTGGGTGCAAATCTGTTTGCAGGAATGAATATTCCCTGCTCCTTCAAGGAACAGATTGAAAAGGAGCTTGTGTTTCCACTGCTTTGCAGATTTTAAGGAGACAAAAAAACAAAATAGTCTATAGCTGGATTGGCAAATCTGTCTCCTTTGTTGTTCACTGGTAGGAAGATCATAGACATAAACAATAACTTACAATATTAACTTTGTGACTCATAAAGGTTGGTGTTTTTAAATCCCAATCAATTATACTCTTTTGCCTTATTTCTCAAATGGTTTAGAATGTGAGCAAGAAACAGAGGTGTTAAGTATTGGGCATGCCCTATTGCAGTATCTGAGAAAAACAGGGAAATAATTTAAAAAATCTTTCCACATGAGTCTAATACACTGCTCTGGGGACAACTCCACAGGTCTAATCACGAATCACTTCTTTAGGGCCTCACTGGTGGCGCAAGGGGTTAAGTCTCAGCACTATGAAACTATCAGCAGCCACTGACGCATGAGTTCAATACCCAGTCAGGGAGCTACCCACATGGCACAGCAGACCTCTCCTGTTTCACCCACTGCTCCCCTCAGCAGTGTATCTCAATAGATCTGCTTGTTCTGCTCCCCACTCTGTCTCTGGTAAAGTGTCTCACCCATCCCCACTCTGCACCTCTGGCCTATACCCCAGCTTTTATATGCATAAATAAATAAATATTTTTTAAAAAAGAATCACTTCTTTAACTGAACTCTTAAATCTCCTTACTGGGTTTTTACACTACTCTTAAAAATCGCTCTACTTATAGTCACCCAACTCTTACTCAGAAGACTTATTTTTTTTTAATGTTTTATCAACTACCCAAAACATCAGGTTACCATATTCAATTAGGAAAAGATGAGCCAAATTTCCCAATTTGGAACATGCCACATATTCAGGTCATTTCTCTAGGACAGTTGATAATAGAAACATGGGCAGGTCTAGCATGGATGGGTCCATATAATTGTGCAAATTAAAGTTGAAATGGCAAAGTCCAAAATCAACATACTTCAAAATGAGTGATTTTTTTTTCTGGTTTTGAAATGATTCTATACAAATGACTTGATGTATTCATTTCACAAATATTGGAAACTTACAATAGACTACATCCACTTGAGTTTTCTTTTTTTTTTCTTTTATTTTTTCTATTAGAATCTCAATCTCGTTATCAGGTACCAAGCAGACTATTCCACAAATGTCCCCCTCCTCCTGCTTCCATGCCATCTGCTGACAGCCACGTGGCACATTGGCCTTTGGTCTTTTTCTCTTCACTTTCCATCCCTGAAGGGTCACTACATTGCTTTGTTTTGTTTCCAGTTTTACCTTAGCAACGCCTCTTCCACCCATCACTTCCCTATGGTCCTAAGCTTTATTACCTCATCATCTCTTTGTTGGCTCACTCCTCTTCATGTGTCTTTTGGCAGTCATCCCTGTATACTATTAAGCATATAGATGATAGGTTTTAATTTTTATACTCTTTCTGCTATTAATCTGCCATTTTTTTCTTGAAAAGAGTCTTCGAAATACTGTAATTTCCTTCCTTCCTTCCTCTTTGTTCTAACTCTACCAGTGTTTCTCTACTATCACGCCAAGACCCTGGGCAAGAAGGATGCATTTTCCATCCTCTTTCTCCACCCCCTGAGAGTGTCTGGCAGATTGTTAGTGCTCACATAGCTTTGTTAAATATACTCAATTTTAAACACAGGCTGTGACCATATTGTGAATGAGCTGGGGAACCCCTCTCTGTTCTAGAAGGTCAGAGACCAAATGCACTTGCATAGGCTTAAAGTCAGCATGGACTGTCCTCTGAAGCAGCCATGTAAGGATCTGATACCCATAAGTAAACTTTCAGCCTCCATGAATGGCCATAGAGCCAGTTAGAGAAAATTTTAACGATGGGCACCCAGCCTTTTCTCTCCACAGGGCATTCTTCAAGAGCCAGGAAAACGATTAACTTAGTAAACTTTTTAATTATTTAAAGGAAATTTTAACCTTTTTATGTATTTTATGCTTACTATTTATTTACACTGGTAATGGCAAAAAATACACATAATAAGTGATTTTTGTTATACATTTGGCACAAAAGCACAGAAATTGGCATAATTTATAAACTCTCACTCTAGTTTTCTTATAAGGTAACTGCTTACATTGAAGTGTGTGTAATATCTTGACAAAATATGTGCCTGAGATATTATATACAGAAGTATAGAAATGATGCATATTAGGTGCAAAAAGTAGTTTTAAAACATTTTGAAGATTTATGAGAGCAACAAAACATTAGAAATGTAAACTTTCATAACATTCCAGAAGGTTTAGTTAGATCCCCTGTACGGTAAAAGAGAAATGAGCCTTCCCAGAAATCTTTGTGCCACCATTGGGATTAATGTTCTTCCTTCAGAAATATAAAGATGATTATAAGACATTTCACAAAAATATATTTTAAATTATTACCTTGTGTGATGACTCATAGCTGACTTTTTCCGAAAAAGGTTGATAATCCAATCCTTGAAGTAGTTCTTTTGGAAATTCATCAATACAGGAGGAAGAATACAGTTGTAAGAATCTTTTAAGGAAAAAATGCATTTCTTTTTGACGCAAAATCAACCCAGAGTTGAAAAGGGATGTGAGAAGTGTATCATCCGGCAAAATAATTCCTGATACTGGCTTTAGAGATGCTTAAGGAAGAAAAACACCTTGAATTAGAGTCATGCTAGGAAAGAGAATTATCTCAATATTATCAGCATTTGTTCCTAACCACTGTCCCCTCCTCAGCTTGGGGCTGCCAATGACAATCTTCCATTTTTAGAGCTTACACACTAATGGAATTGCTTCTTTTTTTTCCATCTATCATTTTTATTTTCTTTCTTTTTCTTTTATATATTTTTACATCATTTTTCATTTTTGCACAATGTATGCATTTTCATCTTGGTTATAGTCCCCATACAATCAAAACAAGGGGAGTGGGAATTGTATGGAATTGCTTCTTGACAAAGGAAGGAAAAAAAATCTCAGACTCATATGAGGAATTGCTTAGGATTCTAAGTCTTGACAATGCAAAATAGAAATTTTATCTAATTGCCTTACTTAGTGGCTATGCCCAAGACAAATCTTAAAGCAAGAATTTAGGTGCAAGAAATTTCTTTGAATATCCAGGACACAAGGTAGCGAATGGATAAAGAGTTACAGAGCTAAGGAGGGTGCATTAATAAATTGGAAGAGCCATGGACAAAGTGAACTCTGTGTTGCTGGACACCTTTGGTGGGAAGAAGACAAACGTAGATTGTTCCATGAAGGGACTAGGAAATTGGAATGTTTATCTACCAGCTTCCTACCTCAATAGCTGAAGGTTAGTCTCTGGTATGTGGGATACTTGACACTTTCAGGCTGTCCTGCCTGAGGGATGGCAAGCCTCATTATCTTCCAAGAAAGCCCAGAGCAGAGAGTAAAATGAGGGTGTTTAACAAGGAAAAAGTGCCAGGGGTGAATTCAGAGGTGAGCTGGGCAGGGCGTGCAGCACAGCTCACACCTACTTCCTGCGCTGCTGATCTCCCCTGGTCCTCACCCCCAGCATGATACACCTTTATCCCTGCCACCTTTCTGAGTCCTATCTGTCCACGCTGATTCCTGATCACTATGCTTAGCCAATTTGGGACTCAGCCTATTTGCCCTGCTGGCTTCTCCACCACTTCTCCATCATTAGTCCCTGGTGTGGGGTGGACCAAATCATCTTTTCTGCCTGTCTGCACCATGAGCAACAGTGAATCACCAGCTTCATGCAAACAGATTAAAATACAATAAATATATTGTCACAAAACCACAAGAGGGACTGATATGAAACAGAGTACAGCAATTTTTCTGGATAGTCTTTGGACAATATCACTGACAAAAGAAAACAACAAAAAAAGCTAAACAACCTCATGCAGTTAAATACCCTATCTGAAGACATGCATTTCACCTCCTGTATTTCATCTTATTCATTTCATGAGCTGTCATCTTCCAGTCACTGATTCTTAACTGTTTGGAGCCACAGACCACATTGGCAGTCTTGGGAAGCTTCAGGAGGCCTATTCAGAATCATGGTTTTAACTGCATTGAAATACTACTCTATTTTTTTAAATTTATATCTTTTACATCATTGTGTATTCCCCGTAAAATTCCCACCACCAGTTTACCCATGAACCATCACCATAGTCCTTTGTGCTCTTCTCTCCCCTGTGTTGTCTTTTCCTCCCCCTCACTCATAGAATGTCTCTTTTTCATGTTTGCCTGCTAGTTTTTTATTATTATTGCTATTTTTTATTGCCCTATTTAAAGGTCTGTGTATCTTTTGTTAAAAACCTGACATTATCATCTTCAGACGAGAGTCAGCTTAGAAAGATGACAAAAATACCTCATAATTCTAAACATATTTTTGAACACATGAAAAGCCTACCAAGGAGTTTGCTCATATTATTAATCCTCTGCAGGTGAATATAGTAGCGCAGCAGAAGAATCCATGTTATATCCACTTTGGTCTCAGTATTTTTTGTAACATCTGTGTTGCTAAAAACATCATTACTCTGGTAAGAAAATGTACACCCAGTCTGGAAGACAACTTGGTAGTTTTCTGAAAGTTAAAAAAAAAAAACAACAACCCTGTAAAACAGTATGTTTTCCTGTGTAAATAATCACATGAGCACAATTCATAAAGAAAAGACGGACTCATGGGACTTCATGTCACTAAAACTTTTTGTTGTGTCACAAGAGATACCAAACAGCAAGTAACAAGACAACCCAAAGACTGGAAAAAGGTATTTAGAATACATGTGAATTGTTTTTCTCTAATACATATAATACCTTGCTTCTCCCCTCAGCAGTGTATTTCAACAGTCTGTCTGTTCTGCTCCCCACTCTGTCTCTGGTGAATCCTCTTACCCTCCCATGTATCTGGCCTATACCCCAGTTCTTGTATAAATAAATAAATAAATCTCAAAAAAAAAAAAAAAAAGAATTTCAACAAGCAGATTGCAGAAAAGGCAACCAAATGACCAAAGTTTTGGCATCTTGAAAAATTAGAGAAGTGAAATTAAAATGAAAGATTATTTCACATCCCTTAGGAATTAGTAAATACTAACATCTGAATATAATAAGCATTGATAATGATGTAAAGAAACTGGAAATATCATACTCATACTCAAAACACCTTCTTAGGAAAGCAATTTGCCAGGACCTAATAAAGTTAAAAATGCAAATACTCATATATGTGTACCAGGAATTTTATACAAGCTATCCATGGCAGTGTTTTGTGATATAAAGCAAACAAACAAAAGAAGACAGAAAAATAAGCAGAGGTCTATTTGTCTCCTGCAGCTTAAAATGAATTAATTTTTTCAGTCTATAAGGGGAGAAGTATAGTGTAGTGTCTTGGTCCTAGTTCCGGACACGCTCCTCACATGCTCAGTGTGTGAGCTTAAACCTCTCTTTGCCTCAGACCTCTCTAGGCTTTTGACTTTATAAGTTTTAATTTTCTCATCTTTAAAATGGGCATGATAGATGCTGGATAGATCTTAAAAACATATATTGCATAAACTAGCAGATTCCAGATGAAATGCAGAGTATAGTAGCATTTGTATAAATTTCAATGAACTCAATACAACATTTTATATTACTTATATGCAAATGTATATAATATATACACATATATAATATATACACATATGCAAACATATATAATATAATAGATACACATTTGTGTGTGTGTGTGTGTGTGTTTAAGATAGTGGTTGTCTCTGAGCAAGAAGGGAGGGAGAATGAATAGAATCTTTTGTTCTAAATGGTCTATGCATACTTTCTTGAAAAATAAGATGAATTCTAGTATGCTTACCACCCAGCTTAGAAAACAGAATGTCCCAGTACTTTTGAAGAAATTCATCTCTTTCTAAATCCATTTCTTTCTCGCTGTCCCTACCTATCTACTAAAAATGACCACTAACAATTACCCAAAGCTTTCCTTTACCCTTTAATCATAAATTATATACTACAAATTATTTAGCAAATAATATGTTGCTAATTTTCCCCTTTTTGGAACTGTACACAGAGAGAGGCATATTGCATGTATTTATCTATGCTATTCTTTTTTCACTAAACGTTGTGCTTTTAAAATTCAAGACTGATACATTAGCTGTAACTCAGTGATTTTCATTGTTGCCTTGTATTCTATTATATAAATATACCATAATCTATCTGTTCTATTGTTGATAGACATGTGAGTTGTTTTAATTATTAGCTCCTTGGCTGTAGTTTTGTCTTTGTTTTTATAAACAAGGCTTCTATAAGTATTTAAATATGCATTGTCTGGTATTTTCCAGAAACTGTGCTACTAAGTTCTTTTTGGGTATCTTTCAACCAACCATGCTTTTTGTTCTTCCATATAAATCTTAGAATCTGTCAAATTCCACCAAATAAACCTGCTGAAATTGTCACTAATGCCACATGAAATCTATATCATTTTGAGAAGACTTGTTATCTTGCTATAATGAGCCTTATTAACTATAAATATGAGGTTTTTCCTTTCAGTACAATTTTTATCATTTGTTTTATCGTTATAACTTTTGTTATAGACACTTTATGTTATATTTATCTCTAGACACTTTGGCTTTTTAGCTATTGCAAATGATGACTTTTCAACATGTATTTTCTGTTAAAGATATATAAACTATTACATTTGGTAATACTTCTAAACATTCCTATTGTCTATAGTGTTTGGGACTTGTTCAGAGCAGGAGCTATAGCTAATGATAACTTCTTTCCTCCCAATTTTACTTTGTAGAATAAATAGCTTTAGTATTTGAATATTGAGGGTGATAGTCCAGTGGGGTTTCTTCCCCACTTTTAAGTGTTCCAAATTAAGGAGAGCTTTAATTCTTAGTTTTAACCTCATGAATATGCATTGAATTTTATTGAACTTTTCTGCATCTTCTAGATTGATCATTGTTTCCATCGGTTTCTTAATGCAGTGATTTAGTTTAATCGATTTTCTGATGTTGAGTTATATGTGTACTTTTGATTTCAGAAGTTGATTTCTGAAATCAACCCAATTTTATATATCTTTTATTTAATATACTGTTTGTTTTGATCAAAAGTTACACATTTACATGATCAAAAATAAAATTCCCTATTCCCAGAAACAAGCATTTTTTTGTGTGTGGGACCCTCACCGGCAGCGGGGGAACGAACCGTCGCTGCAGAGGCTGTGGGGAGTCTCGCAGCCCAGTGCTCAACTGCTGCACCACCAGGGGAGGCCCCAGAAACACATATTTTTAACTATGTCTGCTTTAGTTCTTGTGGAGATTGGTCCTGACTCTTAACATAATTCCCTTCTAACATATTCCTGGATTATTAGTTCTAGAAAACATATACTCCCATCAGACTTCTGTTAACACACTTCATCCCTATTTGCTCAAGGCTCACCTCATGACAAGCAAAATCAATATTGTTGGTATCAAAATGCCGGTCTGGAAGTAAGACTCTAGCACCTTGCTTCTTAGACTGTTCAAGTGCCTAGTATATAAGAAGCACTCAATACAATTTCTTAATGACTGAGCCAGACAACACATAAATGAATGTTAAATATTTGTGTTATTGCTGAACTGACTTAGAAATTATATTACAGTTTTCTAACAAATGAGTCATAAAACAAATATTAATGAGGTCAAGGTTAAATTCTGCTGAATTCTTTCATTCATTGATTTATTTAACAAGTATTAATATGGAATGACTGGCATGTGGTAGCAATGTGAGGTTTCCTATAGCTAGGTTGCCAATCAAATAAACAAAGTCTCTGTTCTCAGGAAGCCAATGATTATTTAAATCACTCACACACACACACACACACACACACACACACAAATACAAAATATCTAAGAAAAAGATCAGGGAACTATAGGAGAGGGTGAGTGTGAGTACAAATTTTAGAGGATCAGAGAAATTCACTCAAGTCAATATTCTCAAATCTCTTATTTGATATGTGTGAACTGGAAAATTAACAGATAAAAGGAAATACCATTTTTCCACAGAGTCCTGCAGCTGAAATGCAGCAGTTGACCGAGTGTGTGTGTGTATGTGCAGTGAACTGAAACTCCTTTGTTTTAGCAACGAGGTGCAAAGACCCCTTCTTCTCCCAGAAGTTCTGCAAACTATTATCCTCCATTAGCTAAAACTCAACAAATCACTCCAAGTAAACCATTGAAACTTGATTAAACATTACTTATATCAGGCTTTTGCAAAATGCCTAGACATTCAAACATACCAAGCAGATAATCTGTGTAGGAAGACAAAAGATCCACACTGGCAAATTCTGGGATATTTGGTAAAGCTTCTTCACTAACTTTATCAATTCTGGCATTTTTCTTTCCAATAAGTAGGTTAATTGCCAGCACAGCTTCACTGACCTAAAATTAATGCATAAATTAAAAATTCATAAATGTAACCCTGCTGATTTATAGACTATCCGTTAGATAAATAAAGTGGGTATACTGAATTAATAAAATAATATTCAATATATATTGTGGGAAAAAATAAAGACCACCTGAAATATCTGTGACTCCCAACATGGTATACAGAATCATAGTCAAATAAATCACTACTGTTGACAATTTAACTAATGTATAAGGCACCTTAAATAGGGTACATCACCTAGTTATGACAGGGATTTGCTAAAATATCAAATATGTTCCAATATTTTCATTAAAGTTGAAAAAAATAACAAAGCCAGGACTGCCTCATTGAGATTAAAAACACAATACATACAAAGAGCACCTTTAATCGTACCCCCAAAAGCATCATTTACACAAATCCCAATTAATGTGAAATTTTTCTTCTCTGTTATAGAACAATGGAATGACTTAAAAACTAGTAGTGAAGAATGTAACAGTAAAAAAGAAAGATTAAAAAGAACATTACACCAACCTGTGTAGCAGCTCTTATAGCAATCCAGGCCATTGAAGTGTATATTTCAAATCTAGGCACTACTTGCTCTTTAAGGGAACTATGCCTTCTGAGAGGAACCTAAAAATTGGCAATTGTTTTATGATAAAGATATCAGAAAGTTTCATGATAACTTTTCTCATCTTCTCAAGATGACATTTTTAGTGAAATATTATATAGTCATTAAGAATAATGGTATATCATGTCTCGGCCTTCTGGCTAAGATCCAGTGAAGAGTAACAGTATTTCTTGCAGCATAATTTACAATATCTAAGCTTTTGAAACAATCTGAGTGACCATACAGAAATGAATGGATACAGAAAATATGATAGACAGACAAATAGGTAGACAGACAGAGAGAGATATCTAGATACAGGTAATGGAATATTATTCTGTGGTAAAAAGGGAAATTTTGCCATTTGCAACAACAAAAATGGACTTTGAGGACAGTTTGTAAAGTGAAGAAACTTAGAGAAAGACAAATACTGTGTAATTTCACTTATATGTAGAAAATTTAAAAACAAAATGAGCTCATAGATCCAAAGAACAGATTGTTGCTTGCCATAGGTGGAGGAGGGAGGGGAATGGATTAAGTTAGTCAAAAGGTGCAAATGCTCAGTGATAAACAGTTTCATGGGGATGTAACATATACCATAGTGACACTAGTAAATAATATTATATCGCATATTAAAAAGTTGCTAAGAGGATTAATCTTGAATGTTGTAATCACAAGGAAAAAAATGCAAACTAAGTATGGTGATGATGTTTGCTAAACTTATTGGGATCATTTTGCAGTAGATGTTGTGTTCTGGGAAAGGTATATTGGGAAAAGGAAAGGGTAGTTTACAAAATAGTATGCAAAGTATAATTCCACTTTTAAAAAAATGTACAGATGTGGGCCTCCCCGGTGGCGCAGCAGTTGAGCACTGGGTTGCAAAGCTGCCCACAGCCTCTGCAGCGCCGGTTCAATCCCCGGCTGCTCCCCGGCCACTGAAGGAGGATCCCACATGGCACGCAGACCTCTCCTGCCGCCTGCTGATCCCCTCAGCAGTGTACTTCGTCCGTCTGCCTGCTCTGCTCCCCGCTCTGGCTCTGGTGAATTCTCTCACCCTCCCGTGCTTCTGACTGTACCCAGTGCTTGTATAAATAAATAAATAAATCTTTAAAAAAAAAAGTACAGATGTATATTCCATATATATGTATATATATATATATATATATGCAAGCAGAGAAAATTATTAACAGAAGTTATGCTAGGCTTGAAAGATGATTAAATTTTTTTGATGTCTATAATGAACTTGCATTATTGAATCATGATAATCTAAAAATGACTATATTCAGAAAGAAAAAGAAAAATACCGGATGGTCTCACTCATAGCAGGAATTTAGAAAACCTAAATAAGGGACCAGGAAAATGACTAATACAAAGTAAAAATCAAAATCAACATGCAACTATAAACCAGAGACACACTATGGGGAGGGGGGCCCACGGGGAGAGGAAGGATTAGGGTCAAATTAGGGGGGCTGCAATTGTATGGGGAATATAACCAAAATTAAAATGCATACATTGTGCAAAAATTAAAAATGATGTAAGAATTATATAAAATAAAATATTTTAAAAATAAAAAATTAAAAAATAAAAATGACTTTATTGTATGTAAAGATGTCAGAAAAAATAATATGTCAAAGGTTTTTAATAAGTATTTACTATTATCTCTCTAACTAGGAAATTAGACAAGGGATGATGTAATCATGAAGTTCCATAGAAAAGCAAAAAATAGCAATGAATGGAGATATTTTTTGTAGTGTGCATGTGTATGTGTTTTCTCAGTACGTAAACATAAGACAATTAATGACACAGAAGTAAAAAGAAACTCTACCAGCAATATAGTTTCACATTTTAAAAGTTAACTAAAGTTAGCATTAAAAACTAATTTGTAAGGTTTAACAAACAGGATAAAATTAACCATTTAATTAGACTGTGTGATTCTGATTTTTGATGCTCATTTTTTTTTACCAATTCTTCAAACTTCAACAAAACTGCAGAATGAAGTAAACAATGACAAACTATTTCTTTTACTTTTGGCTACAAGACTCCCAAGGAAAAGAAAAGGCAGCAAATAAGCAGCTTCCAGAGCATCCAAAGAAGTATCTAGACAAGTGTGACTACAAAGTAATGAATTAGTTCCTCCAAGTCACACAGGAAAATTAGTCTCATTATTTTAATAGCACAGTGTTACCAAAATAGCAATCTCAAAGGCAATTAGCTTAAAATTTCTAATGGCTTATTACCGGAGGTGTTAATGCTGATGTTGAAAGTTTGTTCTTTGGATTCCTCAGATGTAAAAATAATAAGGCCATTTCTAGGTAAGAGTCTCTTATCAACCTAAAATGACAGAATATTGTACTTATTAAATGATTTCACCATTCATCATTTGCCAACAATTTCCAAGTGAAAAAAAGGTAAAAATAGGCAAAACCAGCAGCAGTCCCAAACCCAGGTAGATACCAGCATCTTCCCTCCTACTGAAAATGGAAGTTTTTGATACCAGGGTGGGTAACACCCCACTGTTATCACTGCTATGAAACGCAGCATCAAGATTATTCTGAATTCCAGCACCCGAGTTACTAAAGAAGTGACGGTCAGGTCTGGAAGACTCTGTTTGAAAACTAGGCTCTTCTCTGTCACTACCCTCTTACACTGATTAAAGTTGAAAGAGACAGAGCTATGTGGAAAGCAGTCACTGGTATAGGTTAAGTCTGTGGATTCACTGTTAAACTTGTCAGTTGAGGCAATTTGGATCAGTACTTGTACAATAATGGTGGCTTACCTCTCAAGACTGAGGTGATTTTTATACAGTATTAAGTTAGCCAGCCGTGGTATGTTGACCTAAGTAAATATCCACAAGTCCCTTCTAGGTACAATTTCTCTTCTAGATACAATTACAGGGAAGCCCCTGTAATTTAGGTGATCTGAATTACACACACTGACGGATGACAGATCTAAGCACAAACTAGAAGGCATTCACAGTCCAACATGGCACCATGATGACCACCAGCATCAACCATCACTGTAAATGGGGCCGGGGCTCAGAGCCAAGAGCAAGCTTGAAGAGGAAATCTGTAACCCTGCTGGCCAGTGGACACCATTGCACTAGCCCTGCCATGAAGGGAGGGTCTCCTAATGGCTCCAGCCTGAACATTCAGTGTTCCACATGAATGCTTACACTGATGGGGCTCGACGCAAAACATACACATTGTTTCTATAATGGGAAGGTACATATTTATTTACCCTGAGTTTTGGTCATTTTGCAGGCTTAGTTGTATTGCCTTAAATAAGCTCTCGGGTTGCAAACTTGAAGATCTATCTTCCATCAATATTTGGCGTTCTATTTTGCCTAAAAGAAAAAAAAAAGATTCACAAAGATGGTCTTTCCCTCTTCTATTATTTTGAACTTCAGAATAAATATATTTCACATTGGAAATTCAGAAAATGTACTGTCCTTTTTGTCTATCTGTCTATTGTCTCTTGTTGGCAGTAAGCTGATGGAGAAAGATCCTTTGCTTCTTTCTCCAGGCGTCTCAAGGCTTTAGTAAATTGAGTCAAAGCCTGAGTTTATCTTTTTTGATTGCTCAGTAATATTTCATTGTGTATATGCACCACATTTTCTTGATCCATTCATCTATTTTGGGGCCTTTGGGTTGTTTCCAAAGCTTAGCTATTGTAAATAGTGCTGCAATAAACATAGGGGTGCAGCAACATGGATGGAGCTGGAAGGGATCATGCTCAGCGAAATAAGCCAGAAAGAAAAAGAAAAATACTGAATGGTCTCACTCATAGCAGGAATGTAGAAAACCTAAATAAGGGACCAGGAAAAAGACTAATATAATAAAGTAAAAATCAAAATTAACAGGCAACTATAAACCAGAGACACACTATGGTGGGGGCGGGGAAAGGAGAGATTGGGGTCAAAATAAGGGGGTGCAATTGTATGGGGAATATAAAAATAAAATAAAATAAAATGTGAAACTAAATAAATAAATAGATAGATAGATAAATAAATAAATAAATAGTAAATAAAAATGAACATCCGGAAAAAAAAAATTGAGTCAAAGCTGCCTTTGGTTTTCCAGACACAGCTGTTTTGACTTTGCTCTCCCTTCCTCCTATAGCTCTCATTTTCTTTTCCTACGTCCATTTTCCTCCTATCTCTGTCTACTACTGCAGATCCCATTGAAAACATCTCTGTTTAGAAAAAATTCTGAAAAATCAGCAAAGTCATGAAAGCCATCATGAATGATGGGGTGCTTACACAGCAGGATGACAAAGGTGTTGCACAGCTCCCAGGCCACATGGTGGCCCGCAGCCTCCAATGCAGGTGCTGAGGTGGCACCTCTGAAGCAAAAAGGGCAGGAGAGGGGAATCTTATAATCGCTGTTAAAAGGATTCACAATTTTCAGGTGGCATGTGGCCAGGGCACAGAGCCACCAGTGTGAACCTAACATCCAGGCACCATCAGGGAGTACCTGCAAACTTATGGGAGTTTCCTTAACCAGGGTGTACTTCAATTTCCTTATCTGTGTACCAGGATTAGTCATGGTGACCATGGTGACCAACAACATAGAGTTGTTGTAAGAATTAGCACTATGAGGGCCTCCCTAGTGGCGCAAGGGGTTAAGCACCACACTATGAAGCTGCCCGCAGCCTCTGCAGCATGAGTTCGATCCCCGGGCAGGGAGCTACCCACATGGTGCAGCAGACCTCTCCCATTGTGCCCTCTGCTCCCCTCAGCAGTGTATTTCAGTCAGTCTACCTGTTCTGTTCCCCACTCTGCCTCTGGTGAATCCTCTCGCCCCCCACACCTTTGGCCTGTACCCCAGTTCTTGTATGCATAAATAAATAAATCTTTAAAAAAAAGAAGAATTAGCATTATGAGATGTAAAACACTGACCAAGCAGCCCAGCATCTAGCTCGATAAATGATAGGAATCACTATCATTGTTGATCTGATGTCTAAAATGGTCACAAGAAAATCATGAATAAATCATATGAATATATATTATATGTAAGTTATAAATCTAGATATGTATAGCTATTTAGTATTAATGGATATGTATGTATTAGAAATGTTAAAATGCTTAGCAAAGTAATGAAATGATGGAAAAAAATTGCAAGCATTATTTGAGTGACATTATTGATGTCTAAATGGCTAATAATGACTTTTTTTAGTTCAACTTTATATAAAAAAAGTCATTATTAAATAAATGAAGTACTGCTTTTTTTCTTTTTAGATATAAACTTAAAATATATCTTAAATTATATCTTAAAATAAGATATAATTTAAAGCGGAGTTTGTCACAGGAATCAATATGTGATCACCAAGCCCACTTTAAAAGCTGTGTATTTTATATAATCAGTGACCAGATTTTCAAGAAGCTATTATTAAGAGGAAAAATGTTTCCATAAACTTTATCACAGTTCTAGCTGCAAATACATCTTACCTTTCTGAAAAAGGATTTCTGCTTCTACCTCTGGTTTTTCTTTCGCTGATGTCCTACAGAGTTTCAATGCCATTTCAAAAAGGTGAAGGGCAGGCAACCACTTTGAGGGATCCTTCTTTCTACTGGTATAATATACTTGCTTGGCTATTGTATGCCCTAAAGATGGTTAGATGGGAGAGAAAAATAAAATACAGTGTTTATAACATGCCTGTCTCCAAGTTGCCAGACAGTTCTCACAGCGAGGCATCTGTTAAGAACTCTGGTGCTCTTTCGTTTTTGGCTCTAAGAAATGTTTCAAAGAAACAATATCCAAGTATTTCATTAAATTATAACTATGATTGTTATAAAACGAGACCCCCAGAGAACCAGGAAGCAAAAGGCTAAGGCAGCCAATTGTTTGATTTATTTCGAGGAAGGTAGTTAATTAACATGGTTAATGCGTTTAATTTAAACAGTATCTCAAGTCCTCTTTCTAACCAGTTTCCAACCATCTCTATCTGGTTTGAGTAGCATCAGCCTGAGTGACCTGAAATGGCCAGTGGCCTCATTAACATACTAAAATATCTGCCCAAGAGAGTACTCAAACCACCATTTTCTGAACATGCAATGTATGTGGACGTGATGGAAGCTAAGAGTAGAAAATTAGGAAAGGAAGCCTCACAAGACCAGAAATTGGCTCACGCAAGGCCAGAAGCTGGAGGTGGGAGTTGTTCAATGAGCTATAGAGAAAAGTAAAGTATCCAGAGGCACAGAGTGAGGTGCAGGGCTGGTGGGAAGATTGAGGGCCATTGTAAAAGAATCACCAGTCCTTCCCAATGGACTTAGTCAAGCCAAATATAGAAAAAACCCTGAGGTGCCAACCCTAGAAATAATTAAATTAACAGCAGTCAACACTTCCACAAAGGAATGAATGCCTCCCAAAAAGAAAAAGACTGGATCAGTGCATTTCTGCACTAGCAAGAGGCAGCAGCTGTCTGGCCTGCCTGTGCCTATGCAGTTGTGACTCTTCAGCAGGTTCCTCCCTTTTTATGATAAACCTGCCTATTTGAATATAACTAGATGGCTCTGCTCTGTGGGGAGAAACTCGCTGTGTGCCGCTGAAAGGGGAGCTCTGATGAAACTTTTCTCAGAGTGTTAGGAGAACGGATGCTCTTGGATCTGGGGGTGCACGCTGGTTGAAGAATAACAGCCACCAAGCCAGCATGAGAACAAGCAAGTGTGAATTTATTGAACAAGAGGAAATCCTGACAGCAGGAGGGGGTCCTGGGGAGGATGCCTGTTTACTCGAGCCTATCCATGACTATAGACTGTCGGACTTCCTCTTGTCCCATGTGCCAGACTGTTGATTAGGCACTAGGTGATCGGGAAGTTTCATGGTAGATGTTTTTCTGTTCCCTAATTGTCCTGTAACCAGCTCTCACTCTAGGTGGTGGCTGGCTCAGCAACATTTTAGTATAATACTTCTATTTTCCTGGGAGCTGTGTCGTTCCGTCTGTTCCTATATTGTTTAAAAACCACTGTCCATGTCTCAGCCTTTCCAGTTCCCCAAGTTCTCCTGGTTTCTGCTTCTCTTAAGAGGTAACCCAAGAACCCTCCACCCAACACCTCTCCAAACCAACATCAGCAGCACTGAGGAGAGCAGCTTTGTTATGTGTAACAAGTAAGGAGCAGGAGCAGGAAGGTAGACCTCCAAAGACTATTCTACCCCCACTCCCCAGCATCCCTATTGCACACAAATCATGATCAATAAGTGTTTGTTGATTGAATGAGTATAAGGAATTAAGTAACTTTCTTCACTCCTATTATTCAATCAGTGATCTATTTTTTCATCTAATAAAGAAGCCCAGGGTTCAGTCATTAATGAGAAAAACAATCTTATACACCCTCAATGCTTATTTTTTTGTTTAAAAAAATTTTTTAAATGCTTTCATTCCTGTCAGAGGCTTTCACAAAGGAAAAAAAAAAATCAAGGGGCTCTAGCTTTGCAACGCAATCTATACGATGACTATAAAGGAAAACTGTCGAGAAAGCATCAAGGCAGATGATTTCATACTTCATAATATTGAAGTGCTCCTTTTTCAAATAAACATCAACTCTGTGAAAAAGAAGTTATAAAACTGACTTTGTTTTGACAGGAAAGCTGCTTTTGGTTTTTGTTTTTTAGTCTCTATTTAATATAATATAGCAGAAAGCAAGCTGTTCTGCTTCAAGGGAGTCTAAAAACCAGCAGCAGTATTGCTACTGAGTGCTGACACAACTTCAAGATTAGAAAGGCAGGAAAGCAGAGAATACATTTGGTTTAACACAATCTGTACAATTTAACACAATCTGTACTTTAAGCTCCTGTAAAAATCAACTGTACCGATAATAGAACAAATTGTCAGCTAAGAATGCAGGAGAACAACTCACAGGGGATCGGAGAGCTAGCAGGGACTCCGGAGGTTACCTAGGGCTGCCTGACTCCATAAACGAGGACACTCGACAGTAGAAAGGTAAAGTGATTTATCTATAGTGATGAGATTCATATCATGATGACGACAATCTTATAATAATAATCAATAATAATTGTGAGGGGGAGGAGCAGCAGGGAAATAAGGGTGGGAATTCTGGAGTGAGGAGGGTTGAGCTTGCCTCTCTCCCCTCCATCTGCCTTCTATACCCTCAGCCTCTCCTGAGCAGCTACTGGGGCGGCCCTGCAATGGGTCCCTGGCAGTGAGTGGTAAGGATTCAAAGTGCATGTTCTGTTGTTATTCAGGTATGATGAGGTCAGCAGGTCAGGAGACAACGGCCACTGAAAATTTAGTTTGTTTCTCACAGATCCCAAGAGGAGGGACACACCACACCACACACATGGCACCAGGGTCAGTGGGGAGGTAGAAGGAAAAAGTGGGCAAGAAACCTTATTGAGACTTTTGTGGAAGGAATGGGTGGGGTAGGTAAGCAGGCTGAGTGGTTCGGTGTGGGTTAGTCTGGACAACTTCAGTGGTCTCTGCTCATAGTAGCCCCATGCCTGCCCCTCAGGTGATGAGGGCAGGAGGAACAGGGACACAGCACAGAAAGCAATAAAGGAGCCCAGTACAGGTGGGGCAGGGCTCTGGTATGGGAAGTTTGCATAGGGAAAGGCATGCTCTCCTAGCAGTGATTTGCCAACCTCTAGGAATTGGCTAACCTTAGGAGGGGAAATCCTTCCCTGGTCAGCAAAACCCCTACTTGTCAAAGCATCAAAAATACAGAAAATAAAAGTCATGGTTAATACAAGTTAGAAGAGAGAGAATTGGTCTAAGATTTTTCTGCCTTCTGAGATAGACAAGAATGTAGAGACTGAGACAGGCAGAGTGGGGTAAAAAAATCAGAGACATTGCCCTAGAGCGAGATTAAAAAAATGTCCATGAGCTCCTTCTTGGTTTCTGAAGAGTTGCAAGTCTTCTGCTTACAAGTTGCCTGCTCTGGTCAGGTCCGGTAGCCAACTACTTCCAATCTGTTCTTCCCCCAGTGTCATTTTTTGAAACATCAACCATTCCTACTCCCTACTGCCATTAGGCTGCCCCACAGCCCACTCTTCTCTGTCTGTACTGGTCTCCTTGCAATTCCAGAACATATCGTGCTTGTTTTGACTTCAGATCCCACAACTTACTGCTCCTTCAGCCACCATTAGATATACTAGGTCATTGGCATCTGAGTTCTGGGATTAAATGCCACCTTGCCCAGAGAGGCCTTCCTCAATTATACTACTCAAACAGACACCCCACCCTTCATTATTATCTAGCAGCAGACCTTATCCACATCTTTCGTAACTCTAATTACCAGCTATAATTACATATATAATTCATTATATAATGTAAGCTTTCTATGTCTTTGTTGATTTCTTCCCTGGTTGTTCTGTCCAATCCATAATTTATTTTAGACAGTATTCCTTTTATTAAATTTTGTCTTTATAAAATGCCATGCATGCTTTATAAATATTAGCATATTTCATATAACACTTATAACATGATATGTTAATAACAGACACTCTGGCATATGGTTTGTTTACTTGTTTATTTCTATCTCCCTCACTAAGAGGGAGTAACAGAGAGGGAGTGACCTTCAGCAACGTCCCAGGACTTCCCATAGTCTGGGGCATGTCTAGTGAACAAAAACCATGTATTAAATCAATGGAGACTGGGTATTTCATAAATATCACCTCATACACATGCACTCATGATAGCTTGCCTTATAAAACTCAAAAATGTTCATCAATATCTTGAGTATAGTATATGGTTAAGTGTTCTTACCAATTCTCATTTTTGTTTGGGCCAATAACATGGTATGAGGAAGATAGACATTTTTCAAAGGCTGCAATGGACTTGCATAGTCATTGCTTGACAAAGGAAACTCAATTGTTTCTCCGAAAGTTAGCATCTGAAAGAGAAACATTGAAATAAGGAATTGGCTAATGTTTGGAATCAGAAAATTAAGTTTCTAAATCTTATGGACACACAAGTATTCTCACCTGTTCAATAAGAATGTTGTGACATTGTGTCAACAGATTTAACTTTTCTGTTTTTGAAGAGGGATTTTCCTTGAATTTATCAGCTTTTGTTAAGTCATCCAGCAAAAGCATGCTTCTCACCAGGATTAAATGAGATCGAGGAGAAATAAACTCATTTCCGTCAAGCAAATGTATTATATCCTATTAAAATAAAATGATTCCTTTTGAGTGTATCATTTCCAATTCACTGAAACAAGAGCTGGTCATATTGATTGTTATGCTTTCAGTACCTAGTTGAATTTTAAACTCTCTCCTTTTATCCTAAACAGAACCCTTTGGTAAGTATCAAGGTGAATGAGATTTCCTTCCTACCTGAAGCTTTCGTATGATGTCTGCCTTTAAATGTTTTTCTTGTAGACCAATGATTACCGCTTGCATCAAGAATTCAGCCTGCAACTCACTATCTCCTGAACTTTTTGCCTCCAAACAGGCTTCATTGATGAGGCTCACATAATCTGTCATATCATTTTCTGAAGTAAACAAATGCAGTTATTTAAAATGCACCGAGAAAGCAAGAAATTATATATGCAGATTCCTCAGCATTCATCACAGGAACATTATATAACATCGAAGGAATTAATAAAGACAAAAAATAAACAGACTCTACATGAAACATTGAAAATTAATGTGCTGTAATTTGGGGGGGAAGTACATTGAGGTATTCCAATGCTGCAAAATATAATGATATTGCATGAAATGATTTAATTTGAGAGATGGATAAAGATGGGTGAATAGACAGGTTTACAAACAGATCATTATGAGTCACTGTAAGAACTAATTTACCTGTGTAAGAACTAATTTACCTATGATTTAAGAACTTTATAAATTTCACCCATTTAGTTCTGACAATAATCCTATGAAGTAGATGCAATTACCTCCACCTTACAGAGGAGGAAATTGAAGCATAGGATGATTTAGACAGTGGGCAAAGATCATGAAGCAAAGAAGTGGTAGATGTAACATTTGAACCCAAGTGGGGAGACTCCCAAATCAGTGTTCTGTACCACTACTCCATGCTGCCTTTTAGATGACAACAAGATGCACACGTTAGTATTTTGAAATCCCATTGTCTTTTTGCATACATCAGTAACATATATGCAATTTTCAGTGATACAGAGACTGTTGAAATTGATTATCTTAGTTAACAACCTGAATTTTTTATTCTGGAGACAGATCAAGCTATAAAGTTATGTTAATGTTAGGATAAAATATATCCCATAAGACTGCCATTGCCTCAATAAAATGAAAACTCTAAGAAAATAAGACATTGTACCTTTCACGATTCCAATGCCACAAATTTGTGCGACAAATGCAGTCACCAGGGCTAAGCAGCACCTCAACCATAGATGGATGTTGAAATATTCTCGAGAATTGAGAGAAATAGGATCTAAAAACTCATCATCTTTATTTTCAGTGGCCTAAACAATATTAAAATGATGGTTAGCTTCTGATTTAATAATCTCAAAGTCCTGCCTAATGCTAAATGCAATGTAAGTTAAGAGAAGCATGTCCAAAATAATTTAACAGTATTAAACTGCTAATATTAGAAATTTTTCTTGCATATTATATAAAATAGAAAAAATACACAAGCAAACATCACCCATAGCCTGATGATCTTTTGAACAGTGGACAGACCAGTGGGAAGCACAGTAGAGGAGGGTGACCCCTTCCTGGTCAGAGTGAGCAGAGGTCCGGGGACAGAATAGTGATTAGTATGGGCACTCCAAGAACTAATGGAATTCGCAGTACAGAAAATATGCCCATGCACTAATCTTCATTTTTCAAGGCCTACATTATCTGTTAATATTAAAGGTCACATCATAATCTAAATCAGTTTTCGACCTTGGCACTACTGACATTTGGGCCTGGATAATTGTAGGAGGACTGTCCTGAGCATTACAGGATCTTAGCATATCCCTGATCTCTGTGCAGTAGATGCCAGGAGCCCCCCACTCTCATTGTGACAACTAGAAAGTCTCTAAACTGTGCCAAGTGCCCCCAAGGGGACAAAATAGACCCCATTTAACAAAAAATTGCTCTGTCAATTTTTATTAGATTGCCTTTTATCATTTTGATTGCTTTTGCTATAGAAAGAAATGAGTCTCTAGGACAACTAGCTTTGCTTATTTGTAATGACACTAGATATTAGCAATTTTATTAGTAAAATAATGATCAAGGCTTCTATGTGATAAACTGCTGTATTTTAATTCTAAAAAGCCCTGTATTATAAAATTACTTGGTATTCTCAAAGTTCAATAAAATTTTAAAGAATGCACAACACCAGGGATCCAATAGATGTGAGAGTTTAAATGTGCAAGAATCTAACAGAGAAATCCAAAATAGGAAACAGCAGTGTCATAGTGGTGATGCTGAAGTAATATATTTAAAGGGGAAATGACAATATGTGAGACACTTTTATTTGATAGTGACCTCAGATCTAGAACACTGGAATGATACCTCTATTGGGGCTTAGTGATGATTTCATCCAATCCCTAAAGTTCACAAGTGAGATCACAAAATTTAGGGACTTGCCCCAGTTAATAAATAGAATAAAAGAGAGCTGAAACACAAATATTTTTGCTTACAATTCAATTTTTTTTGCCATTTTACCTTTTATTTAACCTAAATAATTAGTTAACTTCCTAGCATGTCAATATCTACTACAGAATAAGTATTGTAAGGAGAAACATTAAACTCATACTTACAAAAGTCTTTGTAGAAGTAGAATTCTCTGTGTCATCTTGTACTACCTTCTTATCAAAAAGTTTTGAATCCTGGAGAAGTTTAAGTGTGGAAAATACTATTGCAGCACTGAAATAGAGAGTATATTTTTATTAGTATTACATTTGTGGCATGTGTATAGTAATTCCTAAGTATCTTCCTCCGAAAAACTTTTCCATACTCAATGGACCCCCAGATTGGTCAGGTGCCCCTCCTATGTGTTTGATATCACTCAGGTCTTATACATCAGTACATATTACACTTAAATTTTCTGTAAATTGCTCTACAGCTAATTTGTCTTTGTCTTGATGAAACCCAGCATCTGGTGACTGGGATGGAATATAAACTAAACATTTTTAATGAAAATGAGTGAATAAATGAAAAAGTGATGAGTGTTTCCAAAACAAAAAACTGAAAACAAAATGCAATTGCAATCTTGCTCATAAAACAGACACATATGTGTTTTATGTGTCTTATATGTCAGGATGTGTTTCTCCAGCTTTTTGAAGTTATAGAACTGTGTTACATTAACACTGTAACTTGGAAACTCTTAAGCTAAATTATAGCTTAATCACTGTCTAGCAGAGCCAGAAGGAAAATGCACTAAATTAAAAAAACACAAGCCAGGAGATAGGAATCTTTGCCTCCTGTTGCTTCTTAAGCAAATTTGTCTGCTCTTTCATCGCCATATCTTCCTCTCCAATAGAATGATACATTTATAATTGATATCACACTTTTTTCAAAATATTTTTATAATACTTATCAACAGACTTTTTGGGAAATTTTATTATAATCAAAATTCAAAGTATAAAACATTTAAAGTTGCTTACAGTAATGTTATTTATTAGCACAGAACAATTGAGTGAAAACCAAACAGTCAATATGCCCATCTCTCTAAGTCCCCAACTGACATCTCCACTTGAACAATAGACAGTTCCCTCTAACAGACATTTGGGTTGAAAGGCGTTCCTCCAAATTAGGTATGTGGAAGTCTTAGCCCTCAGTACCTCGGCAGGTTACCTTATTGGGAAATAGTCTTCACAGACGTAATAAAGTCAAAATAAGGTCACAGGGTAGATTCTACACCAATAGGATGAGTATCCCCATCTCTGTTTGGACAGAGAACAACGGAAAAATGATGTGATGACACATGGGGCAAAGATGGCTGTGTGACTGCAGCGATACAGCTATAAGGATTTCTGGTAAACACCAGATGCTAGAAGAGGCAAGGAAGGACTCTCTTTTAGAGCTTTAAGAGACCATGGCCCTGCTGTGCTCTTGATGTTGAAGATCTAGCCTTCAGAACTGTGAGACAATAAAACAAAAACAAACCTTTAGATGGTAAGACCAATGAGTGGTGACCAGGATGGAGAGGCAGAAGGGTGAGTAAACTGGATAAAAGGGTCAATTGCATGATAAAGGGTAGAATTGGGGCTTTTAGTGGTGAACTTAAGGCAGCATATATACATGTGGATTTTTAACAATACACACTTGGAACTGACATAATGTTATAATGCAATCACTTCAGTAAAAAGATAGGCAGTAAATAATCAAATTTTGTTCTGTTAAACCACCCAGTTCTGTGTGCCATGTTATAGCAGCCCTGGGAAACTGATAGACTAGGTTAAAAGTCCATTTCCTTGCTTTTTACTCCTTTGCCCAACTCAAAGCCCCCACCCCTATCCTCCATTCCAGATGCAGAGCCCCACATAAGCTCAGGACTGGACATGGTGGCAGCTTCCTGGCCATCTCCTCACTATGTCTCTTGCCATAGCCCCAGGGGTCTTATCAATGTAAATCAGATCCCTCATCACACCCCAAGACTATGGTCAGTGTACCCGCTCCTTTGGGTCAATTACTGAGAATAGGATCAGCTTCATCAGTGTCTGTGGATTCTTGTGAGGATGCATAGTCTCTGGATTGTAGAGCCCCCGAGAAGGAGCCTATGCTCCACTGTTAAATTCTTTATTTTCTTAAAGATTTATTTATTTATGCATATAAGAACTGGGGTATAGACCACAGGTGGGGGAGGGCTGGTGAGAGGATCAGAACAGGCAGATCTACTGAACTACACTGCTGAGGGGAGCAGTGGGTGAGACAGGAGGTCTTCTGTGCCACATGGGTCAGCTCCCAGGCTGAGGGGCATTGAACTTGTGCTGCAGCAGCTTCTGATAGCTTGATAGTACTGTCTTTGACCCCTGCACCACCATGGGGGCCCCTGTTAAATTATCGTTAAAATCTCTCTTTCTTTTGTTGTCTACATCTTATTGTAAAAGAGGAAGACATTGTACAAATAGTGAACACATGTCTCTCTTTTTATCCAATCCTTTAAAAAAAAGACACAGAAACATTAATTCCAAAGGACACCTGCATCCCTATGTTTATAGCAACACTATTTACAATAGCTAAGCTATGGAATGCCCAATGCCCAAATGCCCACAACCCAAATGCCCAAAAATAGATGACTGAATCAAGAAGATGTGGTACATATACACAATGGAATATTACTCAGCAATCAAAAAAGGTAAACTCATGCAGTTTGCAGCAACATGGATGGAGCTAGAAGGGATCATGCTCAGCGAAATAAGTCAGAAAGAAAAAGAAAAATACCGGATGGTCTCACTCATAGCAGGAATTTAGAAAACCTAAATAAGGGACCAGGAAAAAGACTAATCAATACAAAGTAAAAATCAAAATCAACAAGCAACTATAAACCAGAGGCACACTACCGGGGCAGGGGTGGGGGGGAGAGGAAAGATTAGGGTCAAAATAAGGGTGGGTGCAATTGTATGGGGAATATAACCAAAATGAAAATGCATACATTGTGCAAAAATGAAGCAAGAATTATATAAAATAAAATATTAAAAAAATAAAGCACTTAATCTTCAAAAAAAAAAAAAGAAAATGTTAACTGCTATTTCCTGAGTGTTCATGACCTGCCACCTGCTGTGTTAAGTGCTGTCTGGGATTTCCTTCACTTAATCTCACCCCAAGACTTCAAGGTAGACAATATCATCATCCTGCATTTATAGATTAGGAAATGGAGACACAGAAATTCCAGAGGCCTTGCCTAAGGTGACCCAGCTAGAAGGAGGAGGCAGGTGCTGACCCAGTCAACTGGGAGCCTGAGCTTGAACCTGAGCCTTGACTACCAGGCTCTCAGGTGGCCTCTGCCTCCCCCAGGTCCAACATGCTTGGTTTTGTTTATTCCACTATAGTGTCACTTGGTGCCACACTTGTGATCATGACATAGCCCTTGTTGGCTGCACCTTCTATCAGTACTCTACGGCCATCATTGTCCAGTTGAAAGCTTTTTGCCTTGTATTCTAAATAATGGACTTCACACACTGGATTATTGGAAGGACTAAAATATGTATTTACTCTTTTATTTGTGTCATATATATAGCAAATTCAGCAAATAATGAATGTTAAAGCTCCAAGATTTTCCTGAGATATTAGACATTTTTAGAGTATTTTCTAAGATGTTGCTTGGGATACCTAATTTACTGGTGGTGTTTGTTTTTGTTTTTTTTTTAAGTGAAAGTAAACAGGCAAGCAAGAAAACAATAAGAAACACAGGTGTTTACAGTCTGACGGCTCTTCCCCCACGCCTTCCATCCTCAAGGCTGCCTATGAGCTTCGTGGAGGTAGAAAATGGTGCCTGTCTCATTCTTGGGATATTGAAGCCCAAATTCTGATTTCAAGAGAAATGAGGTTTGGAATCTCATTAATCCAAACACTTAATGAAAACAATGTAGAACATCTAGTGTGTCCTAATCCACCTGGTACTGCTCAGACGCACAACAGAAATTTTCTAGTTTCTCCACCACACGAGAGACAGAGTCAGAGGATTAGCCATTGTAAACAGCCTAAAATCCCAATGGAAGGAAGTTTCATTCTGACACAAAATTAAAAGCCTCCAATGCTTTCCCCTTTAGACAATAAATTAAATAGAAAGGAACTTAGAAAGGAACACAAGTGGGGAAAAAAAGACAGGATTCTGATAGAAGCATCCCTCAAAGAAGCAGAAATACAGTTTGAATAACTTTGATCCCATTTATTTCTTATTAACATTCATGACAAAAAATGGTCAGTTTGTTCTCATAAAATCCACGCAGCTCACTCTGTCACCCTAGGGAATGCGCCTTTCAATTTTCTTGACACATAATTTTATTAGAGGGATCATGAAATGTCAAGCTAACCATCATTTGGAAAAGGGACTGGCCAGCCCTCTCTGCTGCACCCAAACAGGAGCTCGTGGGTGGCAAAGTTCATGTAAGAAAAACTCATTCTTCTTGACAGAAGGCTTCCCCCAGTGACAACTCTGCCCAAAAAAGGCAAGAACACCAAAATTTTTTCAGGTTTTGTCCCAAGGGCCAGGTTCATGTATTTAAAATAGGAACAATTCTAATATACTTGCACATCATTTGCATATGCCTATTTTCAAATTAATGTTCTATTATGACACTTCTTTCTGTGGTCCTTTTATAATTTTCACTTTTTTATTTCCTTCTTCCTCCCTAAAAAAAAAAAATCACTCATAATCACTCATTTCCTCCATAGCTAAATAATGTAAGAAAGGTGGAGAGCTGGGGAAGGATGAAGGTAAATGACAAGAAATATCTTTTAGAGCTACTATTGCTCTCTGGGACAGAGAAATCATATGATCATACATACATAGAGAGAGGGAATATATACTCAGAATTTATAAAAATAATTTTTTTCTAAATCATGTATTTTCTTTCATTTTTTAAAGATTTATTTATTTATGCATACAAGAACTGGGATATAGACCAGAGGTGTGGGGGGTTAGAGGATTCACCAGAGACAGAGCGGGGAGCAGAACAAGCAGACTGATTGAAATCCACTGCTGCGGGGAGCAGCGGGTGAGTCAGAAGAGGCCTGCTGCGCCAAACCACATATTTTCTATAGGAAATCATACAGTAAGAGTTTCCTCTCTTTTACTATTTTTCAGTGGGGAAAAGGGTAGATTCTGTTGCCAAGCCTATTTGACCATCAATCAATTACCACTGTATTTCTAAAGATAGTTATGAATGTGGCAATACTCTAAACCAGAGTGTCTCAAGCTTAGCTCAGCATTCATTTACCTTCTTAAAAATTACTGAGACTCTCCCAGAGAGTTCCATTAATATTTGCCATGTTAGAACTTTTAATTGAGAAAACTGTAACTTCATTAAGATTTACTAATTCATTTGAAAATAAAAATAATAAATTCATTACATGTTAGCATCAATGACTTTTATGAATAAGTGTACTTTCCAAAAAAAACAAAAATAAATTAGTGGCATGGGGCCTCCCTAGTGGCGCAGGCGGTTAAAGCTGTCCACAGCAGCGCTGTGAAGCTGTCCTCAACCTCTGCAGTGAGGGTTCAATCCCCGCCGGCCACAGAGCAATCCACATGGCGAGCAGACCTCTCCTGATTCACCCAGTGCTCCCCTCAGCAATGTATTTCATCAGTCTGCTTGTTCTGTTCCCTGCTCTGTCTCTGGTGGATCCTCTCACCCTCCCGCACATCTGGCCTGTACCCTGGTTCTTGTATAAATAAATAATAAAATCTTTAAAAAATTAAAAAAAAATGCTATTATTTTTGCAAATCTTTATAATGTCTGACTTAATATGAGAAAATCCACTTACAAACAACTTATACATCTCTTTCTACATTCAATCTGTTGTGACGTATTGTTTTGTTTGCAGTATAAGAAAATTAAGCCTAATATAGATAGGAGGAATATTTGAACAGCCTCTTTAAAAAATCATGAGGGTTCTCCATTTTTATTTCATTATATTTTTATTCCCTCCACCCCCATTGGTTAATTTTTTTACATGTTTTATCATTTATTTGTTCTTAAGGTAACATTGGCTGACAGCACTGTATATGATTCGGGGGAACAGATTCCTACCTCCTCAGGTGTGTATTACCCCACCCATACAGAGCACCCTCACCCCTTTACCACCATTGGGCCCCCTCTATCCAAAATCAGAATTTTGGGGTATCATGTGGAAAATTCTAGCTCCCCAAGTTATGCAGATCCCCTTAGTGTCAAAACATTTCATTACACAATTTTTTAAAAAGTGTTTGTTAATATCACCATAAATCTCCAATCTCTCATCCAAAAAATCCGCACATTAGTAAACTGCCAAGTTCAAATCTTCCAAATTATAATATCCTTATGAAAGTTCAGATTTTATCACTGGCAACAAAGTACAATTAGTTGTTTTCCTAGAAAGAGCAAGTTAATTTTGCTCACTTTCAATAAAATACTTCTCAGATATCCTAGTCTGAGTAATCATTATTTTTCAGGTTTTTATTTTTTCAAATAAAAAATAGTGTTTCATGTGAAAAACAAAAGGCCAACATGTTGGCTTTCAGTTCAACCACACGTGTTTTTCTTCCCCGAGAAGTGCCTTAGGTATTTTTCCCATTTAATACTCCCACAAAATATTAAAAATATATTCAAGGATAGAGATTTATTAAAGAAGTATATTCTACCACTTCATCAAAGACATTCTTAAATGAAACTGCCTTTTATTTCTTTTAATGGCAGTGAAGAAAACAGTGACCATCAGCATGATTCTCTGCTGCTGCCCTGATTCGGCAGGAGATGCCAGGAGTCTGACCACCCCGCTGTTTCAGCAGCATCATTGAAAATAACAACAGAATGAAGGTGGGTGACAACTATTTTTTCCTTATAAAAATAGTTCTGGACTAACAGATGCCCGAAAGGGGGGCTTAGGGATACCCCTAGATATTGTCAGACTGCATTTTGAGAATCACTGCCCCCCACAGACTAGGCAGATTTTCATCACTGCTTAGAAACCACGAAATCATGTACTCCCCAAAACCTATACTGCCTCTTGCATAAAATAAAACTTCAGTGTGGTTCATCATGGAATGGCCTTCAGTCAAGGCCCATGAGGATGAGAGGCCTGTATGTTTTGAGTCAAAGCAAAGGGTGTTTCTGCTGAATTGATGACCCCTTTGCAGAAGCTTCAGGTGGGCTTCTTCTGTTTAAAGAGAATGACTAACTCGAAATGGTGTGGCTGAGCTGTCATGACTGATGCCACACACAAGAGAGCACACATAATGAGGTTTTCCAGGAAGAACAGCCTCCTGAACAGGTTGAACTATCTCTCAGGTGAGCAGGGAAAGAAGACTAACTTGGAGTTTATAGTGGTTCAAATGAATGGCACTAGGGTATAAGTTCCATGTCCAGGCCAGGGTTTGTGTGATTTAAACTTCCCACCAGTACCAAAAGGGGGAGAGGCTGAGCCACCTTATCTGCATGCCCAGATATGGGGCAGAAGGAGAAGGAGGAGAGGTGGGGCTTGAAAACTGTCAATCTTTGAATATTGAAATGGAGTAATACTCTGTTTCAACCATATGGTTTTCAAATAACATAATTTAAAGTGTAATAGTGCAAGAAAACATCCCTGAATAATACAGAGACAGGATGTGCTATCAATCTAGGAGTTTAGAGAACTTATATAAAATGGAAGGTGCACTTAACAAATTTGGGTGAGGAAGAAACTCTCTACTGGGCTTCAGAAGACTCACCTGTACGCCGCCCGATGTCTCTGCAGAGCGATGGCGGCCAGCTGCAGCTGAGACGCCACCACAATCTCCAACTGGCTGGCAGAAAGCTGGGTGAGACTCCTGTGGCTGGGCCCCATCTCTGACACCAGAGCGTTTAGCCTGTCTTCAGCTTCTATCAGTAAAATGGACTAAAGAAACAACACCACATAATCACCTAAGTTCAGAAATAATGTAGGTAAGGTCTTATCCAGCAAACATTTTTTTCATGAGCTCAAAAGTAACAATGAATGGAAGACCAAAAGGGAAATCTGAACAAACTCGTAGAGAAGAGAGCTCAGAGAAGAGGAGAAAGGCAACAGAGAAGTTACAGGAAAACAGTGGCAAGGCTAAGCATGTTCAACAGTTACGCTTTAGTATGTGAACAGCCAATGTCCATTCATGCTTATTGATAGTGTTTATGGTCTATAAAGTGGCTGCAAACATGGAATGAGGGGTACAGAATCATTGCTCCCAAGGAAAATGCCGGTTCCTGCAAGCCTCTGTTCACAACGTTTTTGTCAACTGATAAGTACATGGTCTGTTTAATGTTTCTATTGAAAGACACATTATTTAATATATGATGTGGACTCATTCACCTTGAACTCATGGCCAGAGGCTCTATTCCTTATGCTGGAGGAAAGCTTATCTGGCACGCTTATTTTTTCCAAAAGGCACATCACAGACTTCTCTGCACTTAGGAAAACTCAACGGCGCATCAGCACTACACTTGGGTGCTATTTTGAACAGTAAAATCACTAACAAAACAGCGTGAATATGCAAAGAATTGTGGCAATAAATAGACGATGAACAGGACACTGTTTACAGTAGGAGAGCAGAAACAAAAATTCAGAGTGATTGCCTGCTTCTACTCGGCTGCTTTGATATGTGTGCAAGTCACATTTTTCTATGCTCTTTACCTGTTCATGATGACCACAAAAGAGTTATAAATATTGCTTTTGGGGTTACAAGTAAATTTTAGCAGATAGATAAGTCAGCAGATAAGGAATCTGTGAACGATGAGGATCGACTGCATTTCAAGTTAAACTATGGTCACTTAACCGGTAATGTGAAGATAATGAGATTTTGCAATGGATGATCAATACTAAATAGCAACCTCACAAGGCAAAAGAGAAAGGAACCAACTGATGAAGAACAGGTCTCTAAAATCGTGTTTGCACAGAGCAGTGGATGATGCGTAAGCACAGCACTAGAGCAATTTAGTATAATGGTTAAGAAGGTGATCTGTATTTTTATTAGATGCGTGATGTTACTGAATTTCTTACCGCCTTGGCCTCAATTTTCTTAGGCTTAGCACGACGTTGTTCAAAATGATTAATACCTATATCACAGACTTGTGAAAATTAAATGTCATGTAGTTAGCACTGAATAAATGGCAGCTGTTTTTGTTACTGTTGCCATCACTACCATTATTAAGAAATAAAGAGCAGGACATGGAATATTCACATCCCATCAAGTCATGAATTGTATTTCCTACAGCACCTCAATCTGGTTGTAAAGTCACAGCCTGATTTCTCTGGCCAACTACTTTCCTCATAGGGAGAAGACTTCATCCCTGGCCCCAACCCAGACTTATGCAAGGAAACCACCTGATCTCCCACGCAAAACCACAACCCCGAGAATAGGGCTGTCCCAGGCCTAAGAGTGGGCATTTTTGGTGACTGATTTACCAAATGTTCACACTTACCTTTAGAGTGTTAAAACTGAAGTTACTGTTCTCTTTGGAAAACTGAGAAGGTAAGTTTCCATCATCCTTTAAGTATAGATCTACAAGACACACAATTTTGGAAGAAACAAAGATATCTGTGATTAGTTTCAATATTAATTCAGGTTTATTATACTCATTGTTAGTGGGAAACTTACTAGAAATTTAAAATTAAAAAAACCAGTCAGTATAGTGAACCAGAGGGCAGGAGTTGACTTTAAGTGGCGATAGTGAAATTTTTATGCATAAGAAATGCAAGATGCAAAAAAAGGTAAAATGTATTATTTGTGAATAAATCACCAATCTTATTATGTATATAAATATATATATGTAAAAGGGTATGAATATGGGCACATACGGATGGCTATGGATATGCATGTACCTAGATACAAGCACATGCGTGGGTCATGAAGTGAGCTCGGAAATGTGCAAGAATATATGCTAGATTGTTTACATGGTTTGCTGAGGGTAGAGTGGGGAGTAGCTGGGAAAAGGCAGAGAAGAAGAAACAAGCAAAAGATAAAATCGAACATTACCTTTCAAGCTTGGTAAGTTTCCTTTGCTCCGCTCTGAAGTAGATCCATAGCAGGTTGCTTTTATGGTATTATCTGGGACACAATTAATTGTTGCTGCCACTTTTATTAAAAAGTATGCTCTAACAAAAGAAAACTTATTTAAGAGATGCTGTTGACTAACTGCCACCAGAATCAGAGGGTTGCCTTTATTCATTAATTCATCGAGTGCCTAAGTAAATGAAAAAAGCGGAAAGCAAATTAGTCAAAAATTTGTTCCATCCCCTGTCACATGCATCATCAGGTGTTGGGTGAAGGAATAGCTGACAGACATGGGGTTGGGTGAAGGGCGGGTCTGTGCAGACACAGACAGGCAGGCGATCCCAGCAGCTCTCCAGCACCTCTGCTGTTCCCATCAGTCTGTGACCTGGCCTGGGTCTCAGCCCTGCCACGTGATGAGAGGGAACAGGACGTGATGAGAGGGAACAGCGAGGTAGGGGACCCTTCATCAAAATAGGGAATCCGCAGACACTCATCAGCCACACTCCATGCCTGTTCTGCTTTATAATCAGCAAACCAGGGCTGCTAGGACAGGAATAGGGGAGGGATGGGGGACAGCATGTCCCTGACCAGCTTTGATTCTGCGCTCCGTCTTTAGAACCCTGCCTGTGGAGACCCTGGCTCTATGGGAGGGGGAGTCTGAGTGGACTTCCTTGGCAAAATCATTGTTCTGGTAAAATGCAACTCTGGACCTTCTTGGGCATGCACCTGAAAGTTGAAGAAGGCTGGAGTAAATCAAATCATCACGCTAAGTGGTCTCACTTGAAGTTCCTGAACAAACCTCGGTGCTGCCTGCGAATCAACCTATATCCTCATGGTCAGTCACTCTGCCTCTCCCCTAGACAGCCTCTCCACCCTCCTCCCAGATGCTCCTCCCAGCTCAGGACCTTGCCTCCTCTACTTAATGGGGCAGGGAGTTTGGGGTAGGAATTGATTCAGTCAGCTTAGTGCCCACACACCCTACAGCTTCATCTTTCCCACCTGCCCAAGCAGCCACTCACCACTCTGCCTGTCTTCCTGATTCTTAAGGCAAGACCCAGTCCTGTCCCCACTGGTTCATGCGGCCACTTCTCCTACACCATCAATGTCCTTTTCTACAGAGATGTGTGCATCAGCCCACAGCCATGCTGTCATCTTCGTATTGAAAAAACAAAAACTCTCTATACTCTGACTTCCCTCTTCAACTACTCTCCCAATTCTCATTCTCCTTTGCAGCAACCACATGAAGGATGATCCATATTGCCATTTCTCCACTTTCATCTGCTTTTAAACCCACTCTCTCGACATCAAACCCCTCTGGTCAAGGCCACCAAAGGACTGTCCTTGGCTAAATCCAAAGTTCAGTTCTCAGTCCTCATAGGCCATATTACTTTCAGTGGAATACACCGTTATTATATGTGCCAATTAACCTGTCACACCCCCTCAATTTAAAATGCATTCAAGGGCCTCCCCGGTGGCGCAGCGGTTGAGCGCTGGGTTGCGAAGCTGCCCGTGGCCTCTGCAGTACTGGTTCGATCCCCGGCTGCACCCCAGCTGCCACCGGAGGAGGGTCCCACATGGCACGCAGACCTCTCCTGCCGCTCCCTCTGCTCCCCTCAGCAGTGTACTTCGTCAGTCTGCCTGCTCTGCTCTCCATTCTGGCTCTGGTGAATTCTCTCACCCTCCCCCGCTTCTGACTGTACCCAGTGCTTGTATAAACAAAACAAACAAACAAACAAACAAACAAATAAATAAATAAATAAATAAAAATGCCTCTATAAAAAAAAATTTTTAAAAAATTAAAAAATGCATTCAAATTTCAGGGACGTTAAATATGGGGGAGGAGGGAAAAGCATGTTAAAGACTCCGTCAATCATGGTACTTGCATCATCAACAAAATTTGACATTAATTACTCCCTTTTCTGAAAACACCTCTTTGTTTTCAAGCCACAGATTCCCTTGTTTCTGTCCTGTCCTATTGGCTACGCCTTTTAGTCTCCGTTGCTGGTCCTTCCTCCTCAACTCCACCTCTTACCACTGACGTGCCCCACGGTTCTGGCCCTTTTTTCTGTCCTCACTCCTTCCATAGAGGTGACCTTAATCATGCTCATGTTTTAATTTCATCAAAATGTTGATAAAATCCCAAGTTTTTCTCTCTAGCTGCAACCACTCTTTGAACTCAAGATTCATAATCAATCTGAGACTCAATTCCTCTGCTGGGATGTCTAACTGCATCTCAAACTCAACATGTCCAAAACTGTATTCCTAGTGTCCTCCGTATACACAAACACACAGAGACATAGATGCAGACACACACACACAGACATACACACACACACACACACACACACACACACACACACATGCCCTTTGAGGGCTGGAAATTTGTCTGTATCGTTGTTTGACTGATATATTTATTTGAAGACACAAGGACAGTGCCTCTCACTTTTATTAAATACTTGCTACTTTGGTATAAAAGGTAGCTGCTCAGGCTAGCTATTCTAGAAAATAGGGGGACCTATTACATGTAAATGAGAAGACATCTCAGTATTTGGGAGAGTCTGAGGCGATGGATGCTGCCTGTAGAGAGATGTGTTGCTGTTGTTCATTATCCTTATTTAACCTCCGGAAGGGTTGGAAATCAGTGCATGCCTAAGAGCCAGGCGTGGAGCAGCACCCAGCCAGCCTCAGCTGGTAGCGAATTATTGTTTTAGGAAAACACTTGATATTCCCCATCTGGAGAAGAAACTCCAGAATGACTGGGGGGTGAGGGGAGAGGGGATCTCTTTTCTCTCTACAGCACAGAGCGAGTTAGTGAGCCTTGACAATTACACACACTTGAGGATCAAAAGAAGATTAATTAGTAGTGCTGCTATTTAACACTCCTTTCTCTCCCTCCATATGGAAATATAAAGTAGAATCTGAAGATGCTTAAGCAGGCCAACAGTTCTGTTTTAATTAATTAGCTAATAGAAATCAGTTTTCCATTATACTGTCAGTCTCTCTCTGTTTAAAAAAAAAGGATCAGGCAGACATTTCTTTTATACCCCAAATCACTCCTTAAAGAAGTATATTTACTATGGGGGGGTAAGAACAAAGTGGGGAGGGAGTACAAAGGACTATGGGAATGGACTGTGGTGCTTTGGTAGTGGATGTGGTGTAGTAACACCTGCAGGGGGAGATAATCTGCCTCTTTTAAACACAAATAACAATGTACACCAATATTAACTCAATTTTTTTTTAAAACAGTATTTTTAGGATGCTCTGGCATTTATGACTAGGAAAAAATATCTTCAACATCCCAAGGTCTTGGAACTCTAAAATGAAATAATCAATACCAGTTCTTTCATTTCCAGCAACTTACTTATAAATTAAAGCAAATTTTAGGGCTAAAACAATGAGTCATCTGAAGCATAATTAAAAGTGGTTTGTGGAATAAAATAAGCAACAGTAGAACAGTAATAAAATTGCATTTAATGAAAGATGGATCTATTCTGATCAAAATCATGGGAAGACAAAAATAAAACAATTATGAGGAAATGTCTTTCAAAATGATTTAACAAAAATAAATACCTTATTTAATGAAACAGATGACTGTTTTCTAGCATTTAACAAAATAATAAAAAGTATGTGTCTCTCTCTCTGCATTGCTGCCTCCTGGCTGTGTGAACAGCTTCCTGTCCGTTTCCTCCTTGGACATTGGCTGAGCACCGCCTTTCCGCTCCAACATGTGCCTAAGATTTCTTGAAATGCTTCAAGATATTTAAATGCTAGTAGGATATCAAATGCCTAAATCCCAATAGTTCAATTCTTGACAAGAACAAACACATTTAGATAGGAGGTTCTCCCTCTGTAAAGAGTACTGGGGAAGTGAGAAACGCCGCTTATGAAAATGTCCTATGAGAACCTTCCAAACCATTGACTGGGAGCAGTCTTGAAACTGGGAGGTAAGGATGTGAGTAAAAGTGGATTGTCAGGGCCTCCCTGGTGGCGCAAGGAGTTAAGATGCTTCACTATGAAGCTGTCCACAGTCACTGCACCACGAGTTCGATCCCCAGCCAGGGAGATGACTCACATGGCACAGCAGACCTCTCCTGTCTTGCCCGCTGCTCCCCTCAGCAGTGTATTTCAGTCACTCTGACTGTTCTGCTCCCCACTCTGTCTCTGGTGAATCCTTTAACCCCCCACACCTCTGGCCTGTACCCCAGTTCTTGCATGCATAAATCTTTTTTTAAAAAGTGGATTGTCACAAAATATACAAAATCTTTGTCTTACCATCACAGTCAACTGTTATCTTAACGTCTAGGTAATCAAGATACAAATTCAAGTTAGACACTTGGCAAGGCTAGATGAACAAACTGAATCCACCGTGTAAATTAGACATTAAGGAACAAACTGATATTTGCCTGATCTGAAAATCAGACCACTTTGGGTCCAATCCTACCATTCGCTTCACTATTTTGAGATAAAACCCCATTTTCAGGGATAGAAGAGCATATTACCTAACAGATTTTCAAAAACAAAGCTCACACATAAAAGATCGAAATCAATCAAAAATTATCCCAATAGATACCTAATGTTTATATAATATTTATCCTTACCTGTATATTTTCTTTACTGGCAAGAGGTTTTCCTGAGTCAAATGACTGAAATAACTGTCAACACACAAAACATTAACATTTGGAACAAGATTATTAGAGTATCTTTTAAAGGGATCTGTTAATGTGTTGTCCTAAAAGTATTTTGAGCATCATTTTTAATGTCAAGTAATTCATGCATGTCTGCTCAGAAAAGTATAGGATATTGAAGAAAACAAAAATCATACACAAGTCACCTTCTTTAGGTTGTCAATTTTAATATTTTGGTGTCATTGCTACCAATTTCTTTTCAATGATTTTAAAGGTTACATGTAGATTTGTGTTCCATTTTCACTTAACATTAGGTCATAATTATCTTCCCATACCATTAGGTAATTTATAAACCTCAGGCTAACAGGTAAGTAATATGCTGTCCCATGAATGTAGCAGAATATTCCATTTCCTGTGGCAAGACATCTATGACCACCACTTCCTACCCACCATTCAACCCCAGTTTATTTGGTCTTTATTTTTGGTTATAGCCTTTGCATAGATTCCTAGAACCTTAATTGCTGGCTCGAAAGATAGAATATATTGAAAAATTCGCAATGGGCTGGCTTGATTTGCATGTCCACCTACACTGTATGCAAATGCCAGGAAGACTGCACATTTAACAGTTAAGGATTAACTTAAAAAAGGTTTTTTCCAGTTTATCTATTTTTATGGTTTTCCCTTTTTCGTGAATTATCTGTTCACAGGTTTGGCTCTAAATATAATCTTGCGGGCCTCCCTGGTGGCACAAGGGGTTAAGTGTCAGCACTATAAAACAATCCATAGCTACTGCAGCACAAGTTCGATCCCCAGTCAAAGAGCTAAACCATACGGTGCAGCAGACCTCTCCTGTCTCACCTGCTGCTCCCCTCAGTGTATTTCTGTCAATCCACCTGTTCTGGTCCCCACTCTGTCTCTGGTGAATCCTCTCACCCCCCACCCCCCACACCTCTGGCCTGCACCCCAGCTCTTGTATGCATAAATAAATAAATCTTTAAAATAAACAAACAAGTTAATTAATTAATTGATTGATTGATTAAATGTTGCATTAGGAAATACATGCCTCAAGAGATTGTTATATCACCTTGTAGGGTGCATCCTCTTGGTACACAGATGCCCATTTGTAGAAGCCAATCCTGATGTCTAGCCCACAATGCTAAGGTCACCTGGAAGTCACAGGTAACTTAATGGACTAGGTCACTCGCATATGGGCAGTATCCATCTCAAGAGCCTGCACCTCTTTGTCAGAGGACATGCTGTTGCCACAGGAATTGAAGAGAGTTTGGAAGAGCAGGGAGGAACCTGCACCAATAAGGCTGCCTACAGCAGTGACCTCATTATCACTCCTGGATTGATTTCCTTCCTTCCCTATGTGACTTTCCCACTTGCTCAACATTCCTTACAGAATCACCTCCAAATACACAACTTATTCTCAAATCCTTGTCCGCATTTGCTTTGAGGGATCATCCCACACCAAGACATCACCTATTGCTTTTATTGGAATAATGCACTGATAAGTGTTAAAAATATATTATTTTTTTCTTTTTTGAAGATCTCTATTTCCTATAACACACTGAAAAGTAAGTAGCTGAATCCAGGGGAAGTCCTTTGTGGATACAAATTGAACAAAGTTGATAACGGGACTTTAGATTTGGTCATGAGAACAGAACTCAAATATGAACATAGTGTTAAAATATAGAATTACTTTTATTAAGGTAGCACTGATTTAAAACAGTGCATATAATTTAGAGGAGCAGGTTCACATTCCCATTGATGTATGTTGCCCCATCACACCCACCACCTAACACATTTTACCTAGACCATTGCTACCCCTGCCCTCCCTCCCTCTCAAAAATAGAGAATTTCTTTAAGCTTGTGAAAAGACCAATAGAAATCTGCCAGGCTTTTTCATTTACTTCTTTTACAACTGATTAATTCATTAATCCTTTCTTTAAATAACTAGCCTTCTGCCTCATCACATTGGCACCTTTTTTAATTATAAACCCTGAACGCATTTCCTCTTTTAATTACACTTTTGAAATTCCCAATTGAAGCTGGAAAGCTGCAAATTAACTATGAGGACACAAAATTTGAAGTCGCAATCCACTGGGAGATAATCTACTCACACTTTTGTCTTACAAAAACTAGTTGATAAAAGCAAAGTTTGGAATTTACACGTGAAAATTAGTTTCAGGCTGTTTGTTTGCCTCTTTTGGTGAAAACAGTGGTCATTGAACACTCCACCTAACTGGCTTCCTTCTCTCCCAGAATTCTTGGATTCTACCTGGGCATGACCCTAGGCTCAATCCTTAACTTCTGCTTTCCTATTTCTACCTTTGTCCCCAGCTGAATTTATCCAGTCCAGTGATTTTTTTTTCCTTTGTATTTTCTTTTTTTAATTAATATTTTATTTTATATAATTCCTACATCATTTTTCATTTTTGCACAATGTATGCATTTTCATTTTGGTTATATTTCCCCATACAATTGCACCCCCCCCTTATTTTGACCCTAGTCCTTCCTCTCTCCTTCCCTCCCCACCCCATAGTATGTCTCTGGTTTATAGTTGCTTGTTGATTTTGATTTTTACTTTGTATTAATTAGTCTTTTTCCTGGTCCCTTATTTAGGTTTTCTAAATTCCTGCTATGAGTGAGACCATCCGGCATTTTTCTTTTTCTTTCTGACTTATTTCGCTGAGCATGATCCCTTCCTTCCAAATGCCCAAAAATAGATGACTGGATCAAGAAGATGTGGTACATATACACAATGGAATATTACTCAGCATTCAAAAAAGATAAACACATGCAGTTTGCAGCAGCCCAGTGATTTTAAATCTCCATACTAATGCTCCCAAGTGCCTGCGAGCAATAGTGCCAGACACTTTTGCAAAAGCGCAGTCTAGATTCTAGGAACGCAGCCTTCAAAAATAAAGAAATGACTCTGAATAAACAGCAGGAATACCTTTATCTTCCCAGTAGTTTTAAAGCTGGCAGGTGTTGAGGAAGGCATGTTTTTTCCGTAAAAAATCTGGGACATCTCATAGAAGGCTTCGGAGAAGAATCGTAAATCTATAAGTATTTCTATCTTTAAAGGAAAAAAAAAAAAGAGGGGAAATGAGATTTCAAATTAAATTGTGCTTTACTTACAAAATAAACGTTGTAGAGAAAAACCAACAACGTGCTGAAATCCAAAATGTCTGCTGTGTTGGTAACATGAAGGAATGTTTAGTAAATGCAGGTGGATGAAAATGTCTGTGTTTGTGTGAAAGCTGACTTATGTGTATCATGGATGGACCGAGGTGCTCAGAAAAAGCAGGACTATTCAAGAAATGGGTATTAATTAGGCATGGTTCAATTTAGAGGCAGACATATAAAATAAGATAGGTGCAAAAAATATTTTTAGAAAAATAATTGAATTCATCTTTTTGTACCCACAGTGAACTAAAAGAAAAAAAAAAACACTCCAGATGTTTTCTCACACCCTGGGGAAAATCAAGGAAGTCAGGAGACTAACTCCACCATATATATCACCACATATCATTTCTTTATCCCTAATGAATAGACATTGTGAAGACATGGACTCATCATTAGTTAATTGGTTAACTATATATTGGTTACACAGGGCTTTTTGTGGAATACAATCCAGCAGGAGGTAAAATCAGCAAACTACAGGGAAAGAAGTTCCTGTTCCAGTTCATTCATTCAACGTGCTGGTTAGGCACCTCTGATGTGCCAGGTCCTCCCAGAAGTTTCCTTTCCATCAGGATGTAGACTTAGCTAAATGAATATGACATGCAAGCATATAGACATTATAAGAAGAGGTAGGTGGTGCTGACAATGTGCTCTTTCTAAGGTTGTGAGAAGACCACCTTCAAGAGAAGATTTGGTAAGGGAGAGAGACATGAAAATATGCTGAGGGGACTTTAATAGGGAGCAATCTAGAGGTTCCGAGGTGCTACAGAACAGCCTGTGTGGCAAGAACTTGGGGAGTGATGGGAAGAGGGTGAGAAATGGAAGACTAAAATTTTTTTTAAAGATTTATTTATTTATGCACACAAGAACTGGGGTACAGGCCAGAGGTGTTGGGGAGTGGGAAGATCCACCAGAGACAGAGTGGGGAACAGAAGATTGACTGAAAGGGGAGCAGTGGGCAAGCCAGGAGAAGTCTGCTGTGCCATGTGGGTAGCTCCCTGGCCAGGGATTGAACTCGTGCTGCAGTGGCTGCGGACAGCTTCATAGGTTGTGTCTTAACTACTCACACCACCAGGGAGGCCCAGAAGACCAAAATTTTAATTTATCTTCAATAGGTTTAACCATCTTACTCTTCCTTTAAGCACTGCTTTAGCATTCAAGAGTATATAAATTTTAAAGAAATAAAAATTAGAGGAAATAGGATGTGACAATAACATGAAAATTAAACATGACAGATAATGAGAATATTTTCAATGGAGAAAACAGCTTAGTTCTTGCCTAAGACACCTTGGGTTCTAATCTAGTCCCTAATGTCACAGGACAGCAAAGGGGGAATGAGAGGGGTATAGGAAGTCTGTCAGCCTTCTAGATGACTGTCTTTCTCTTTACCCCTAAGAGAAAACACATCCCCACAGCTGTGGGAGGTTACTCTCGTCTTGACTCTTAAGATTGCTGTACATGGGCTACAACTTGTAAGGGTGAAGGCTGCCTCTGGTTTCAACTTAACAAGCCCATCTGACCATTTGGAAAAGCTACAGTGATCATAATGGACATGCATTTTCAGAAACAACCAATGCTGTGAACACAAACAATCCAGATGGACGAAAAGACGACCCATAATTCAACCCTTCACTCGCACAAATACTGAATCGGTACCTGTCCCCTGAACATGGGACATTTGACAATAATAAATCTTTTAAGATGTTGGCCATTGCAAAGTGAAGCCAGGTCAGCTGATTGTAAAGAGATTGAAAGCTTTCCCTGAAAGACACAGGGCACTATAGAAACTTAACAGCGTGATCTGCTGCTGTCTCACTTGCCAGAAAACATCAGGGTTTACAATTTCCACACTAGAGCTTTTCTCTCTTCCCACTCATTTTCCTCAGAAAGGTCAGACAAACTCCATCACGCAGACTGCCATTCACTCCTTGATAGGACTGCCCTTTTCCGTGGCTCCTGTGGAAATCCTCTTCCAGTCTTTCAGCACCACTATGGCAGTAGGATCCTATGTCTCTCTGTTCCCTCGCCTATCAAATTCTATGATTAATTTTCCCGCCCAACCCAAGGCCACAGAATAGATGGAGCCCACAGTTCTTCCATGGCTTTAAGCTGCTCTAGGAGTGAAATAGTCACCAATGCTAAATTTCCAATCAAAATGACTCATTTCCTCGAAACCATGTTGCACAGTCTGTGCTTCAGAGCCTCTTTCAGCCTCCTGACAAGGCATTCATGGTCACCTCAGCCCATCCGGCCTTCTTGCCTCTTAATAACAGAGCAGAGTGGCACTGTTACCCAATTCTGTGCCACAGTATCCTCATTTCTCTCACTGCTCAGCTTCCACATTGTGTCTCCCCACAGTCTGGAGTTCAAGACGGGGACCCCAGAAGGTCCACATCGTGGAGTGGAGTTTTCACTTTATCCTCTACAACCTGCTTGCTGGAAACCTGCTCTCCAGTCTACCTGAACCGGTGCACCCCCTATAGGAGGCAATACTTTCTCACCTCACATCTTTTACCCTGATATCTGCCAAGAATGTCCTCTTCCTCCTTGCTCCTGCTCAGCCAGCTCTTCACTTTACAGTCTAACTCTTACCTACTTAGTGAGACCTAAAGACCCAAAGACATTTTGTCCTTCTCTCAAACTCCTAGAACAACACTCACCACACTCATTAGGAAGCGGCCAAGGGGCAGGTGGAGCCTTATTGTCCTGTGTATCTCCACTGTCTCTTATTTTCACCTCCTTATAAGCAAGGACCATGGGTTACCTTTGTTTGATTTCTTACGAACCAGGTGCTTTTGCAGAGCAGGCACTCAACATATGTTGTTTCAGAGGTTAATCCTAACAGCAGTTCCCAGCAGGGCACATCAGCCTGGGCTACACCATGGCCACCAGGTTTCATGGTCAAACCCTGGGATAGCCGTGTTTGAGTTTTAGGGGGAAAAAGAGAGAAAATCGTGGCAGTTTTGGAGACACATGGGTCAAGTTTGAACCTGCGCAGTGCCATTCAGATACAGCAGAGCTTATCCACCCAGCTCCTGCATGAGATGGTGCTGGGCAGACTGGATGCACTTCCAGGGTTTTGGTTTTGAACCCCAAGTTGGTTTTGAAAACAGGTCAAACATGTCCAGGTTTCCATGGATGCAAATTAGGTTCAAGCTTGCACCAACACCAATGAAGTCTTGGAAGGAGCCAGTTTGGAAAATGGACCGGTCAGGTTGGAAAGACGGGTACCCCGAAGCGGGTATATAAACAGAGATTTAGGAAAGGCCTCAGATTGTTGCTGGAGAAGGTCTCTGAGAGAAGGGTTGCCTGGGAAAGGGGCTGCCTGGGGAGACTTGGAGCCAGCTTGAGAGGAGAGGCTTGATTTGGCTTGGGAAGGCTTCAGTCATTTCGAGAGAGGCAGCCTGGGAAGGCTTGAGTTGGCTGAGGTTTGACTCAGCTTGAAAGTAGCTTCAGGAGAAACTCTGTTGGAGGCGGCCTCAGCAACGCCACCTGTAGCTACCCCAGCTACTGCAAGTTGGCTGGATCCTGGTCACCACTCATCAAAGTGCCTCCAGTTCCAAGCCCCCTTTGGAAGGACAATGTTGCCTTGCCCTAGCAGCTTTTGGTTTGGACTACTGGGCACTGTGGACACTATCTGGGGTAGGGCAGCTAGTCAATTGTGACCTTAGGGGCCCTTTCCTTATCTCAAGTTCCCCTTTGTAAATAAAGCCTGTTATTGTACCCTGAGATTGAGTCGCGTCGTGCATTTGTGAGTGCACAGGTGAAGAAACCACAAACTGTGAGATCCCCCAAGTTTTGCACAATTTCAAAATCAATAAATATTTGCCAAGTATCTTCTAAGTGAGTTCCCACAAAACACTAGGGAGAATGTGGACAGTAGGCACTTAATAAGCACAGGTTTTTAATTCAACAGTTAATCATTAAATATTGAGTTAGGCATTTATTAGTCAAAAGACTATAGGGAACTAAAAGATGAATAAGAAACAGGCCCTAACTTTAAAATTTTTCCAGTCTTGAAAAGAATGCTGTTTTTAAAAAGAAAGGAAAGTGTTTTATACTGGTTTTTTAAAAAAAAATTGTGGTTGGAATTCAAAAGCAGAAATCTTGGGAGTTTGGTAGCTAAGAAAGGGTGACTCAGAAATTTTAAATTGGTCATTTCTGGGTTTAAAATCTATGAAGAGTCAGCATCAGGGGTCTCCTTCAGAAGATATTTTCTTGATTTAGAAATGGAATGCAATGGACTCCTGGGTCTGAAAACTTGGGCCCAAGGGTATGGTGGGTGTGGAGAGAGCAGTTCACAAGGAAGTCTAATTTTCCCTCAGTAGAACTTGGGGAAGGTTTGGGGAACAAGGGTTTAGGGTATGTCCAAAATAGTGCTGGAGCTCATGCATCCCACTTACAGGGCCTACCTACAGCTTGTTCCAAGGCCAGCAGTGCCCAGTCCGCAGGCTGTAGTCTAGAGTGGGCATTTCTTCACCATGGAAACTTCACGTGCCACAAGCAGGGCATTTTTTTTAAGCAAGTTGTGAAACACTGACCAGCACATAACTGGTTACACCATGGGATGGGATGGGAGGCAGAAGAGGGAGATATTGGACAAGAAAAAATTTAAGCTCAGAGATGCCAAACGTTCTGTATAAATTGTTTCTTTTGCCTCTACATAAATTTCCAGGTCTTCCTAATTTTCAGTAAAGTTCGATATAAAACTAAAGACCTTGAGTGAACGTGTTGTGTGTGGTGGTGGTGGTGGTAGGCGTGTGTGTATGAAAACATGGAAGAGAGTTGAATTCTGAGATGAGGAAGTACAGAACAGGAAGATGCTGAGTTGATTCATATACAAAAAAAACTCAGCGAAAGTTAGAACCTGTGACCATAGGATACTAGGAAAGGGGGTTGAGAAAATGACTAAATTTTAATTTAGCCAAAATTAAGGTCCCATTCTATGTGGACTTCAAGCCAACTAGACATGAAACTCGAAGTCAGACAATCTCAGCTGACTTCTAAGTTACAGAACTGGGATTTAGTGCTCCCTTATTGCTTCCATTTCTTGTGCATTGAAAAATTCTTATATTCCATGATATACATAAAATGATATATATAAAGATTTTTAGCAATAAGTTCACAGAAACTTCAGAAAACTGACATATTGGCTTCTACCAGGAAACCAGACTGTCACACGTGGTGATTTCCAGGCTTACACCTTGTTACCAGGTGTGGATATACTCACTTTATTGTGGTCTGAGCATAAAAATCTAGATATTTCTGGCTCTTTCTCTTAATTACAGTAATGGTGAGTTATTTTCTTATATCAGTATAGCATCATCTTATCAACTTATTAGTGTTAGAGTATTAGAATGAATTAGAATTAATATTATTATGCCTAGTAAATCTGAATTAATGTATGACAGTGCCCTCCAAGAGTTCAAGAATATCAAATGTTTGATTTTCTTAACTGAGGTGAAATTGACATACAACATATCAGTCTCAGGTGTTCAGCCAGATAAGAGTCAGTGTTTGTACATACAGAGACTATCAAATGACTTAAAAGACTGTAAATACCTTGAGAATTCTTGCTTCTAGATTTCTGACTAGGTCCTGGCAAATCCCCGAGACAAAATATTGGTACAATGCAAGGAGAGGCAGAGTCTACCAAGAGGAAAAAAAAAAAACAAAAAAACAACTTTTAGTTTTAAACCATAGTTTATCAGGTCTCAATACATACTAAAACTTAGCCAAAATCAAATATTGGAGGCGTTATATAAAAGAACAGCTTCCCCTTATAGGAGACTGTATTGTGCGGTATAAATGAAATCTGTCTGGCATACAGCTTCATAACTTTATCAGAATTTTAAAGTGCAGTCGGGGACTTCCAGTGCCAAGTAAATACCACTTTCCACTCAATCCTAAGTTTTACAACTCTTTAAGCACAGAAAAGTAAAAATTCAATCAATTAAGTGTAATTCCAATTAGTTATCTTCTTAAAAAAAGGTTAAGTCAACCTTATATGTCTGAATAACTGAGAAATTTGGAAACATTCTAGCAAATGAGATATCCAATAAATACAAAATCTGAAGCAAGGGAACTCACAGTCAAGTCCCTTGATTCATCTCAATATCAGTTGTCACTTGTCTTTGATAAGAATATATCAATATATCTATATATATAGGCTATATATATATATATATATATATATATATATATAACATGCCTATTTTGTGTCAGGCACTGCTGTATGAGAACAAGACCTAAGAAACCCTTTCCTTCACAGAGTATATATTTGATTAAAACAAAAAACATTTCACGTGATATTTTTACTTTCCTATAATTAACCCAAAGTCCAAGTTTTCTTGAAGTTTCATGAGTATACGTGGAGGTTACAGATTATCAGTATCTCTCCTGGCCTGACCACTATCCAGTCTGAAACAGGTACGGAGGGGCTAGGATTACCAGACTTCTGAACAGTGCCTCATCTCAACTCAAAACTGAAGCTCAGTTTCTGCAGAAGGATCCTGCTCCACCAAAAAGAGATGAGTCAAGGAGATGATTGGGGTCCCCATTATTTAGCTAACTGTCTCCCATGATGCCACACCAATGTATCCCATAGGAAATTTTCTATGTGATCAAAACCTACTTAGCCACTGGATTTCTCGAGATGGGTGCAATACAAAATACAAATTGCTTTCATCTTGCCAGTTTAGCTAAGGAGTTTCTAATTATCAGTCAACTGGCAACTGATAATGGCAACAGCTTTTAAAAAGGATTAGAAGGATTGGTCTTAAATGATTTCTAACATCATATATTTTTCTACAATTATGCACCACAAACATCACAATACCTTTTTCTATAATTAATGTATCACAAAACAAAAAGAGGGTATATTACCTTGAAAATTAGTTTCTTTTTTATTGAGAAATAAAAACACACCATTTTATAGATGCCAATTGCTCAATTATTCAGAAAAAAAATGCTTTCAATTTCTTAAGCTTCAGAGAAAAAAGTTCTCATTTCTTTTCCAAGGCAGTGATATGTATTATATATGAATATGACTAAGCAGCTAAAGGTTACCCAGGGGAATGAACTATTTTCTAAATCTAGAAGTGAATCCCCTTTACAATGAGGAGCACTATTTTGTGGTGTTTTTTTTTTCCTAATAAACAATTTCTTGCCCAAATCTGCCAACTGTTAGCACTTATCAACCTCATCACTTTAACACATGGCTTTATAATTTAGCAACTTACAACAGAGTCCAATAAATGTTGTAAAGAAAGAGAGTAAGTTTGTAGTGAGAGAATAGAAAGCAATATATGTGGGGGGGAAAGAAAGTCCTTATGAAAAATGTGGAGGAAAAGGAAAGAAGCAGAAAAAGAGAAAGACTTAATATTAGATGCAAACATGGGTGCAGGGAAAGACCAAAAAAATAGAGAAAGTAACATTAGGGAAGAGAATAAGGCAGAATTATAAAATGACCAACAGCTGATGCATACTAATTTATTTTTAAATTGCAACCAACTTCAAATTTATGATATATGCTGTATTTATTTCCCCAAGGGAAAAGAGGGCTATATTGGGGTGAGGCATTTGCTAAGACATTAAGAAATGTCTTTTATTTCAGATAGAATATGTTGTTCACTTAGCAGCATGCTTAGACAAAATACAGGAGACACAAAGCTAAATTTATTTCAATAAAGAAATGCTCTCATAATTTTGATATTTATATGAGCTGCATGATGACTACCATGAGTTGAGTTACATATACACTAGATGCCTCTGCTTGAGACCAGTTAACACCTCTAGCCAATTTTACCAAATTCCTTAAGAAAAAAGTGACAGAGTAAAAAGGAAAAAAAAACTAGACATTGTTTTTATATCTGAAATGCAATACAAACAATGATGTCAATGAAAGAATATTGACATATTTTATTTTGAAGTATGGATAAGAATCCTAAATACAGAGTTTAAGGACGAATCAAAAAAATAGCAAAATTTATAAAGTGTTAGGTAATCGGAGCCAAAAATTCCATAGTGAATTAAGATTTGTTGATTTTATAAACTACTTACTAAGAGGCTTTGCCCGACAAAGTGTAGCTCTCGTATAACATAATATAGACTTGCAACCACAGAGCAGATGTCAGCCCTGTATCTATCTGAGAAGAGTTCAATGCCTGGAAGAAGTTGAGTGATTTCATACTGAGCATAGCAACGTTCAGCTTTGGGGTGTGGAAGTGTGGTTCTAAGCAAACCCTGGAAATGTAAAAAGGGAAAATAAAGAACTATAAATACATCAGCAACCATGAAACAGAAATAAGCACACATGTTTCTTCCTAAAGTGCTTAGCACATGCATAGAACACTGGACCCTGTGAAAAATCAGTACTTATCATTAGTATTATCATCATTGCAGGTTCTAAATGCTGTAATCATTTCAGACAGGCCTTTTAAATTCCATGGTAGTTGGATATATTTGCTTTTAGAATGAATTATCATCATATTAAGTTACAATTTGTTGGAGGCCATTTTGTGTCGGACACTATAGGTAAATGCTTTATAAACATTATCTCATTTAACTCTCCTTTGACCCAACCTTAGCAGGAAGGATTATCTCATATATAATATCACTGAGTATTAAACTATTAATTTCTCTGAGATCATAAGAAAATGGTGGCATAAAGTGGATTCAAAGTCAAATCAATTTAACTCAAAAATCTATATTCTTTCCATTATAGCAAGCTATCAGCACAGAAGTCTTATTTCAGAAGTCTAAATCAGGCAGAGGTAAATCTGAACTTTCAACTGCATTAAAGGAAAAGATGATCTAACTCCACCAATCCTTCATAAGTGATTTATATGACTAACATTAGACTAGGTTTTATAGAAACAAGATAAATAGAATTAAATTTTACATTTAGGAGCACTTCTTATATTATTAAAAATAAATACCATTTCTTGATAACAAATACATTATATAATTAATTTAATGCACATATCTAGTTTTAAGCAGATTTCTCATTAAAGTTATAAGATATCCTACTCCAAAATACTACGTAGTTGTTTACATTTTCAATTTTACAAATTTCCTTTAAATTCATTAAAGTAATTGGCATATCTTCATACTCTACCAGTGAATCTTTATTTTAGGGATAGTATTACTAAGAAATTATGCCCACATGAAGTAAAAATGTTGAATATATTTTTATATCATGAATTTTCTGAAGTATAAACAGCATTGTCTTCTAGAGTAAGGAGTAGCAGAAAGAATTCAGTATCAGGAGTTGGAACCGCAGGAACATTCCCTCTGAATCCTTGCCTCCTCCACCTCTTTCCTCTGAACCACTGGCAAGAGGTGAATGAATATAAGAAAACTGAAATGTCTGGCCTTACATGCAGAGAAGACTTTTCATAAAAATTTATCTAGATTCCATAAGCTATCAGAGTCCTGTGATACATAGAACAAGGGTGTCCACCCTTCAAAGTAAACAGAAACTTTAGTAGGTTGAAATTTCAAAATGTCTTGTATTCCAGATGAAATTTCTTTTCTTCAGGAAAGTCAAATCAAAATCCTAAGAACTATAAACAACCCTACTTCTGTATATACACTCCATTTTTGTAGTCTTCAACTTAATTCTTGCTTTCATTCCATTTTGCATCACAAAATCGAGCAATAATTTATCGAGGGATGAGGTGACCCAACCATTGGAGACACGCAGACTGGCATCGCCACTCACTGAGCAACACGGTCTCACTAATGACAGGAAACTGGGGTTCCTTCTCTGTAAACTAAAGGAGAAAACCCGCTCGGCTGAATGTTAAAGATGAAAGTGCTGCAGAGGTTCAGCCAATGATATTTAATCAAGCTTATGATATTTAATCAAGGTTCATGCTATTTTCCTTCATCTGAGTTTTATAAAGATGATCAACTCCTGGACTCTTTTCTTTTTTTACTGACTGAATGGATAGTCCTGCTCCTGCAGAAAGACAGACATAAAGTGTTACCTGAAAGAGTAGTGCAGACAAAAGGCAACAGTTGGTTCGCTTCTCAACGTCCAAAGTCTTAATAAATCTAAAGTATAAGAAAAATAAACTGATTTGGAAATAATTTCCAAAAATTTCTTTTGCAAAAGTGACTCAAATACTCATAGGTTTTCCAAAACAAAAAGTCTTTATGATTCTGAAGGTGTTACATACTCATATAGTATGTATGTAGAGCACAGAAAAGCAGGAAAAGACCAATGAGAAATCACCTGCAATTCTACCACCTAAACATGATTCTGGCAAATTTCCTTCTAGATTGTTTCTATATATAGTTACACTTATTAAGACTAGAATTAGTAAGACTGGAAATAATTTGTCGCAGCAGTAATAGGAAACTAATACAGTGTGTCTTACAGGCTAAATTATGCAATAGACACTTTTTCTAAATAAATTTTCTGTTCATGGACATAATGAGCTACATCATTTTTTACAGAACTTTCATATTTTATCATATGGGTGTACCCTTATATAAAAATATTAATCTCCATTTTGTGTTCTCTAATACTTGAAATAGACATTAAACATCCTTGTACCTACATTTTTGAGAACTTCAGCTACTAATTCCTCAAGTTCTATCCCTAGTAGAGGAATTTGGGGGGGAAACAGGTGCACAATTTAAAAGTCTTTTGATGAGTACAGTGAAAAATAATTCCCTCCAAAATACTGAAACAATATGATTTCTCATTATGGGAATAACAAGGACCAATGGATAAATCTCTCCTCCAAAGGTAAAGGTAATATCTTTCATTTGCTACTGTCTGTTTTATGTCCCTTAAGAGTTTGAGCTTTCTTTATAGGTGCTTGAAACTTGCATTTACAACTCATAATCCACATTGTAGATTATTAATGCTTTAATCATTTCAGATGGGCCTTTTAAATTCCATGGTAGGGCCTCCCCGGTGGCGCAGCGGTTGAGCGCTGGGTTGCGAAGCTGCCCGCGGCCTCTGCGGCGCCGGTTCGATCCCCGGCTGCTCCCCGGCCACCAGAGGAGGGTCCCACATGGCGCGCAGACCTCTCCTGCCGCCCGCTGCTCCCCTCAGCAGTGTACTTCGGTCCTTCTGCCTGCTCTGCTCCCCACTCTGGCTCTGGTGAATTCTCTCACCCTCCCGCGCTTCTGACTGTACCCAGTGCATGTATAAACAAAACAAACAAATATAATAAATAAATAAATAAAAACATGCCTCTATAAAAAAAAAAAAATAAATTAAAAAAAAAAAAAAAAAAAAAAATTCCATGGTAGCTGGACGTATTTATTTTTAGAGTGAATTAGCATCATATTAAGTTGTAATTTGTTGGAGGCCATTTTTGTGTTGGACACTATAGGTAAATGCTTTATAAACATAATCTCAGTTAATCCTCATTAACCCATCCTGAAAAGGATGCATTATCTCATATGTGATATCACTGAATGTTAAACTATTAGCTTATCTGAGGTCATACAGCAAGTGGTGGCTGTAATCCACATTACCTGCTTCTAAATCTTATTCAAATGCAACTAGTCATCTCATCTTTGCTATATTAATGACAATGACTGAGCACAGCTTTTCCACGTGGATATATGAGTGTGGTGTTTTGTCTGTCTCAACGGTGAGAAGTTCTTTTCCTCAGGAAGCCCCTGGGAGCAGTCACAGCCCCTGTGGAATCATCCTGTGCAAGTCAGGCTTCCCGCTGCAGAACCAGGAAATGACTCTCTGGTGGTTGAAAATCACTAAGTAATGATTCCAGAGGCTCAGAGAAGCTGAGGTGCCCCCCGGCAGGAATGCTGTAGCTGTTCTTTGTCAAGCTGTGAACCTTCCTTAGCTTTTCTATTATCTGTTGCCAAGTTCTACTAAGTCACAAGCTCCTATCTGTGGTGGGGAGCGTGTGTGTGTGTGTGTGTGTGTGTGTGTAAATTTGAGCTTCTCCCCAGGAGTACAAATCAAATTGACAGAGGTTAAGAAAAGTCTTTAATGTTTACTATGTTTTAATTTCTTACTCCTGCTGCCCGATGATGCTGATTTTCTAAAAACATGTGACTATTTACTCACACAAATTATCATTTTTAAAAATTTACTCTGCAGCTCAAAATACTGCTGCACAAGTGTCTGCCCAGCATGCCCAATAGGTAAGCCAAAAGTGTAACTGGAAAGGTGAGGAAAACCTGTACCCCTACTCTCTATACCCACTACTTTCTCACAGTAATCAAATATTTAAGATATCTGTGAATGCTAAGTATATATAAGACACAGTGGCAAACATGCACATATGTGTGGTAGACTGAATAATAACCACCCCCCCCCAGGGTGTCTACGTCCTAACCCTCCCAAACCCATGAGTTACCTTACATGGAAAAAAAGAATTAAGAACCTATATATGGAGAGCTTAGCTTGGATTATTCAGGTGGGTTCAATATGATCACCATGGACCATATAAGAGAAAGACAACAAGGTCAGCAAGAGGAGGAGATATAAGGATGGAAGCAGAAATGAGAGAGAGAGAGGTCATTGGTTCTAAAGGAAGAACAAGGCAGTACCAGCAAAGAGTACGGGAGACCTCTAGAAGTGGGAAAAAGCAAGGAAACATTCTCCCCTAGAAATTCTGGAGAGGGTACAGCCTCCCAACACATCAATCTTTGAGCCTTCTGGCCTCCCTAATATATTTGTGTTGTTTCAAGCAATTAAATTTGTGGTCATTTGTCGCAGCAGTAACAGGAAACTAACAGAGCATATCTTACAGGCTAAATTATGCATCTCCCTCTCTCCCCCCAGAATAGGACTGTACTTGGGGGGGAGGATCTTTAAGGAGGTAATTAAGTTAATATGGGGTCAACAGGGTAGGTTCTAATCTGAAATGACTGCTGCCCTTATAAGAAGAGGAAATTAAGGCACAAATACAGAGGGGAGACTCAAGAGGTCATAGCCAGCAGACAGCCATCGTCAAACCAAGGAGAGGAGCCTCAGAAGAATCTAGCCTTGCTGACAACTACCTGATTTCAGACTTCTTGCCTTCAGAAGTGTGAGAAATAAATTTCTGTTGTTGAAGCCTCCCAGTCTGTGGAACCTTGTTACGGCAGCTCAGCAGATTATTACAGTATGTCATGTCACTCTCCCATCTCAGATCTCAGATGAGGACACTGAGGCTGGCTCTGAGAGAATGAGTAGCTTTTTGAGGGTCAGGGTTAGTAGGACGCTTTGGATTTAGATGCAAGTCCATCAGCCCCCACTGGCAGAAGAGTTATTCTTGCTCCCAAACCAACTGTTCATTCACTGCTTGAGTAGCCAATAAATATTTATTGATGCCAACTTCAAGCCAGGCATCGGTGAACAAAGCCAGTGCCCAGGCAGCACTCATAGTCTGGGGGTGTTACAGGAGGAGAAGGTCGCAAGTCATAAACATGACAGATAAGTAAATGGTATCACCCTGAGTGATATGAACACAGTGGCCCACGGACCCAGCAGTGCGAGGCAGGGCACAGTACTCTGAGCATGGTGTAAGGAACCGGAGGGAAGCTACTAGCTGTTATGCAGATCATTCCATTGTACACTCACTGTGCTATTTTTGCTGAGATGACGGCTCCTTGCAAACACCCCCAAATGCCGACTTTCAACAGAAACTCCTCACTGTAGTCTTTTAAACCTGAAGATGAGCAGCTGCCAGTGACATTGGTCAGCAAGACACCGAGCTCTTTCCATGTATGCAGCACATCCTGCTTTCTGAATATGTCATCAAGAGCTTGAGACCAACATTTAAAAGCAGCCCTAAAATGGGAACAGCACCAGGCAGTTCATTTTCTCAAACCTTTGTTATCAAATCTATCTTTAGAGAGGGAAAGCAAATGTACTGAGTCAACACTTTAATGAAAATACCAGAGAATAAATCTACACCATTTATTGCTCATCACTGTTTTCTCGAGGAGCATTTGATGAATAAAATATAGCTCTGTGATATTATCACCAAATAACTAAAATGTAGGGAAAACACTGTATTTTCATTGTAATTAATAAATGTTTGTCAAACCAAGTTTCCTTTTGTTCTATCAGCTCCTAAAAATCTACCTTTTCTTTCCCGCAAAGATGAGAAGACTTCCAAGTTCGTGCAGTGCCTGAACTTTAAGGCTTCTTTGATTGCTGGCTTGGAGAACATCTGTATTTTTAATCAAGTGAAAGAACAAATGTCAGTTCTTGAAAAATATTTCCTTTATATTTGCAAGAATATTTTAAACTACATTATGCCTTAACTGTGTAGATAAGAAAACGGCAAGCTAATAGTGCCTTCAAATGTCACAGGATATAGAGAGAGAAAGAGAGCAAACAGTGATTTATTTGAACATAGTGGAGTGAGAGATTGAGTCTAACAGGTAGGAATCAGGGAGAAAATGCAATAAGAATCTAGCAGGAAGACATGGTTGAGAAGAGAAATTCAGAAAAGCATGCAAGGCTGGACATACGTGATTCTGATGTGTGGCTGCAGTAAGGTTTTCATGGGAAGGTGAAGGAGGAGGTAATGGTAAGATTACGGAGGCCTCTGAATTACATATGGAGAAATGTGGATATTATTCTAGAGCAGATGGGAAGGTTTTGGGGAAGTGGGGATGCAACAAGAAAGAACACAGTATGTCAGATTTGTCCTTTTGTTCAAAAAAGTACATCTTTATTATCTGAATTTGTGGAGGGAGGGGTGTGATTAATGCATGCCTTTAGGATGCATTAATGAGCAGCCACAAAATTCCAACCGTGGTGGCAGTGGTTTCTAATGTGGGCAATACTGCCCCCTGGAGGGTATTTCAGGAATCTGAGGAAAGAATCTGTCCCAAGTGGTCACAGTGGGGCATCTCCTGGTACCTCATAGGTGAAGACCACAGATACTAGGTCACCTGCAATGCACAGAACCTTCCCCTCCAGTGAAGGAAAAGATGAGAAACGTGTCTATAATGATTGAGTCTAACATCTGACTTTACACATAAAAAGAGTATTTTTGCATATTTTCAAAATGCTCTGAATTTTCCAGAAAAACAAGCACTGCAGTATATTTTTTATTCATAACTTCACCTAGATTTATTTTCCACCTTAGAAAGTCACATCACCAAAATAAATGCTAACAGACCTGAGACACCAAAACCGTCACCTGGTTCAGTCCACATCCACAGCTGTCACATGTAGGGAGATTCTGGCCATAAGATGTGATTGCTTTACTACACTTTCTAGGGCCTTACAGAATTAATTCCTTTATTGTAAAGTTATTTTATTTTTCCCTTAATTCATGTTTAGCACTTCACATTGATTTTCAGAAGCAATGTGTGTGAGAAAAAATACATTAAATATACATTTTATTTTGAGAAGTAAAGGGAGAATTACAAAATCTTTGTTATAAAAAGGGAGGGATGTTGGTGCTACCACATGGGCTGCGTGCAGACTGCTGAATCTGTAGAATCACGTATTAAGCAGAAAGACAAGGAAACGGAGCCAGCTGGGCAGAACAAAAGGACACAAGAGCGAGCACATTCTGACAAGCAGTTCACAGATGCAATTAAGGACAGATGGACAGAAATGGCCTAGAATCTTGCAGTGGTAACCAGCTGGGAAAATGGGCAACATGTGGGGGCAGGGGGCTGGAAACATCTTGTCTCCACACCACTCTGTCCCCATCTACAAGGATATGACAATAAGATTCTATGTTCAAATTCTTTCCCTCAACATTTAAAGATACCATTTTAGGACCAAATGAAATCTCAACAGGAATGTGGAAGATCACATTGAAAATGGAAATATAAAGAAAAATTATCTTACCTATAGTTTCATGATAAGAAGAAATCACGAGTCCAAGTTGTGAATAAGGGAGTTTGCTTTTCTCCACGGAACTAAAAACTCTGAAATGTTCCTGAGAAAGGTCAGGGGGAGTCGGCAGATGCATCTCTTCTGTCCCCAGGCAAAATTCCACCTTTCCACTAGTAAATTTTGAATTGTTTACTGCTCTGTCTCCTAAATTCATTTAGAAAATTAAAAAGAAATTTGAAAGTAAGTTAATAAGGAGGGGAAAGGTAGAAGATAATGGCAAAGGAGGAAAAAAAGGAATTTTTTTTTTAATTTTTTTTTTTTATAGAGGCATGTTTATTTATTTGTTTGTTTGTTTGTTTGTTTTGTTTATACATGCACTGGGTACAGTCAGAAGCACGGGAGGGTGAGAGAATTCACCAGAGCCAGAGCGGGGAGCAGAGCAGGCAGAAGGACCGAAGTACACTGCTGAGGGGAGCAGCGGGCGGCAGGAGAGGTCTGTGTGCCATGTGGGACCCTCCTCCGGTGGCCGGGGAGCAGCCGGGGATCGAACCGGCGCCGCAGAGGCCGCGGGCAGCTTCGCAACCGAGCGCTCAACCGCTGCGCCACCGGGGAGGCCCAAAAAAAGGAATTTTTTAAAAAAAGATTTTTATTTTATTTTTGCATGGAAGAACTGAGGTATAGGCCAAAGGTACAGGAATGAGAGGATTCACCAGAGACAGAGCAGGGAGCAGGAAGGATTGACTGAAATACACTGCTGAGGGGAGCAGCAGGCAAGACAGGAGAGGTCTGCTGCACCATGTGGGTCAGCTCCCTGGCCAGGGATTGAACTAAAACGTTAGTGGTGATAGCCATAACAGTGCTGAGACTTAACCCCGAGGACACCAGGAAGGCCCAGAAAAAAAGGAACATTTTTATGTGTAACCTGAGACTTAGTTGTAGTGTGAGGGGTGTTGTTCCCTTAAACTAAGCACCCAGAATCATTTCTGAAGAACTCTGGTGTGTGGGGGTCCAATACTCATGTTATTTTATAAAGAACACTGCAGAAGGTAGTTTGCAGAAGGGAAACGTTGAGATGATGCTCTGCCTCTCTGGGGATTGGCAGAAGTCAGTTTGGGTTTGCCTTTTTTAAGAGCTTCAACAGTAAAATGTTAGTTTGCTTCTGGGGCAGAGACCTCAGGGAGAGAAGCAACAATAGGGAGTTGTGACCTGAAGGGAGGAATAAAATGAAAAGAACTGTCTCTTTGTAACATCAGAGAACACATGCAGGAAAAGGAAAAGTATTCTAGGTGAAGTCGTCAAAAGCAGCAGAGTGAAGATAATATGGATTTTGAGGTCAACAGCCCGAGGTTTGGGGACACACTGCTGAGAATGTTTGGCTACCAAGTGAGATTCAAAGTGAGTTGTAAACCATTACTGAGACTTGTATTTGCTGTTTTAATTCAAGCCCTAGCCATTGTCAGTCTATACCATAATTAAAAGAAGCTTAGATATGATGGGGAGAGTTAATATAATGAACAATACAACCCAAAACTATGGGGTACATATCCTAGCAAGTGCTTGGGGGGAGAAGCGACAATAAATATTCTGAATGGTGGTTAAAAAAAAAAAAAAAAAGTTGGTCAAATTTCCAAAAGATCAGCTCTATGGAAATCTTGAGCAAATCTTAAATATAAGTTCACGTCTATTTTTTAATGTTTAGTGATTTAAGTTTATTCTTTAAGATTATTATTATTCTAATAAATTTGAATAGCAAGGATCAAAAACATAACTTAGAATTTTTTTAAAAAATTTAAATAACCTAAATACAGATCATTAAGGATTTTTCCCAGCCTGGATTTGAATATAATCTTTTTTTAGGAACCACTTAACCACTCAAAGTCCTGTTTTGACTGAGTTCACAAATCAATGGATGTTAAAAAGGGAGAAAATGAATAAATATAATTTAACCAAATGCAGTAAACATCTTGTTTCAAGCTAAGAGAAATCTCTATGGTATAAATAAGAAATCATGTTGATGTTTATGGTAAAATGCATCCAATTCCTTGATGCTGATAAAGTAGTGTTTTGGTAAAAGATGCTAGCTAATAGAGTATGAATCAATTTATCTACTTATGAAAACAAAACAAGACTACAGCAGCATTCTTACAAAAAAAAATTATAACACAGAGGTGCAGAATCAAGAATTAGCAAATATTTCATATCTACTCTACTTGCTTTCACAGAACCCATGATTAGTGAGACCATGCCTTGGTTGAATTAAGGTGTGAGAGAGAGAAGGCATGATCTTTTAGACAAGAAGAAGAAAGTGAAAGGGAAGCTGGGAGTGGGTGTGTAAGTGGGGAAGGGAGGACCCTATGGCAGCATATGGTAGACCCGCAGAGTGATTTCCCGACTCAAAGAAAGGTTAAGGCAGGAACTGAAAGTATTTTACCTTGTGTCTGTGCAAGAAGTAATGTAAGCAACTTTCTGCTATGTCGGATTGATCTGTTATGATATCTGGATTTTTCCAAGGTCTGTCTAAAACATTTTAAAGTATCTGTCACATCCAAGGGCACAGAAATGTGTTCTTTGGCTTGGCTATATTCTGAAAGAAAAGCAAAGAATAACATTGGACATGAAGGGCTGCAGTAAGCCAACTAGCAGCAAAAGACATTCTAATTCAGAAAATTTCTTAGACCTAAACTAAAGCTGATAAATTCAAAGCTCCCAGGTCTGCACCAGGTGTTGCAACATTCCATTCAAATTTTCTTGGTATATAGGGGAGTTCTCTAAAAAATGAAAAAAAAAAAACTTAAAAACTTTTGATGCTTATGAAATGCAAATAACTTCAAACCTTGCCAATTTTCCTTATGAAGCCACCTACTTTTTCTTTTGCTGATCATAAAGGATGAAATAATCTACTCCTTTCAGCAGCTTCTTCAAAGCCAAGGGTGCCTTGGGAAAGAGACAAAAGGAAGAAACAAAGAAGCCAGAGAAATGGGCAACTGCTCTCTTAAGAGATGAAAAGGGCAGGTTTCCAATATGGAGGATGCAGAGTAAAGGAATATGGGGCCATATTGGGTGTGGAGCTTGGCTTTGGTATCTCTAGATCATTTTCACATGGCTGTGTTTGGAGGCTTCTCCACACCAACAAGTTATTCTCTGGCACCAGCAGGGTGTCTAGAACTCATGTCTGTTCAGTTCTGGCACTCTCCACCTGGTGACAGCATCAGATTCCACAAGGGTTCACACCTTCTACTTCAGAGCTAGTCCAGGGTGTTATCTGGGCTTCTGACAGACTAGCTATAAGTCAGGCACAATTAATTTTCTAGAATGGCTCACAGAACTCAGAAAACCCACTAAGCACTACATCATTAATTTATTAGAAATAATTAGATATTAGATTATTTCATAATTAGATATGATTTTTAAATAATTATTTAATAATTAGATATTATTCAGGAACAACTAGTTGGAAGGGCAAGGTATGGGGAAGAGCATAATTTCTGCACCTTCTCCAAGCCTGGTGTTCTCCTAGCACTTCCGCATGTTCGCTAACCCAGCTCTCCCACGCAATCTTCTTGGATTTTTATGGAGCTTCATTACATAGCCATGATCAATGAACTCATTGGCCATTGGCAATTAAACTCAATGTCTAGTTCTCTCCTCTCCCCAGAAGTCCAACCAACCCTCTAATCATACACTTGGTTCTCCAGGCAACAGGCCTCCACCTTTAGATGTTCCCCTAATGTCAGTGACCTCATTCACATCATAAAAGGCAGCTTTATTATTCTCAATATTTAGGAAATTCCAAGACTTTCAGGAACTGTGAAGTAGAGAGCATCTGGTTACATGTTAAAATGATGGACAAGATGGAAGAGAGAGATCAGCTCATGGAGGAAAGGATAAGCAACCAAAATCCCCAAGAATCCTCCTGTGACTAAATCTAATGTGCAATTTAAACTTTATCTCACTTAAATTATCAGCAGCAATTGACTCAGTCAATAACACTCTCTTGCTCAAAATATTTCCCTCACTTGGCTTAAAGTTTCTTTTCCAACCTTCCTGACCCCTCCTGAATCCTCTTTGCCACCCTTTTAAATATTGGAAACCCCAAGACTCCATTCTTAGACTACCTCTTCTCAATTAATTTACACTCATTCCCTTGAAGAGCTCATCAAATCTTGTGGTTTTAAATAGCCTTATTCTGGTAGCTCCCCGGTTAATAACCCAGGTCCCTACTCTCCTGAAGTCCAGATTCATCTATCCAGTGGTCTACTCTATTGTGCATCCAATAGACACTTCAAAATTAACAGGTCCCCAACCGATTTCCTAATCTTTCTTCCCTGAAACCTCTCCTCCCATTTCTGTTCCCATGTGATTAAAGGAAGAAGAGATTTTTTTCCAGTTGCTCAAATGCTAGACTTACACTTGACTCCTCTTCTTCTCTCAAGCCCCAAATCAAGTTCACAGCAAATCCTGTAGGCTCCCCCTTCAGAAAATACACAGACTCCCAAAATACAAACAATGATCTAAACCAACATCGCCTCAATAAAAATAGAAAAATGAATTATCCAGACTGCCACCATCTCTCACCAGATCAACTCTGCACTCTCACTCCCACTATGTTCCAAGCCCTCATAGTCTTCTCTGAATTACTGCACCCTCCCTCCTAACCAGTCTCCCCATCTCTACCCTGGCAACTCCTACTATGTGCTCTTAACAGAGCCACCAGAGGACTCCTTTTAAAATGTTAGTCATCCCCAATTTGACAAAGTAAAATTCTTACAAAAACCAGCGGACATTAGTAACTGAAGTGACATGTCTGGGTTTAAGAGGGAAGAGGGTGAGCAAGAGTCAAAGGGGTTGAGACGCAACCTATGAAGCTATTAGCAGCCACTCAGTCCTAGTTCGATCCCTGGCCAGGGAGCAACCCACATGGTGCAGCAGACCTCTCCTGACTCGCCCACTCCTCCCCTCAGCAGTGTACTTCGATCAATCTGCCTGTTCTGTTCCCCACTCTGTCTCTGGTGAATCCTCTCGCCCCCCACACCTCTGGCCTGTACCCCAGTTCTTGTATGCATAAATATATAAATCTTTTTTTAAAAAAAAAGTCAAAGAGGACATACTTGATACAAAGCATTGAGTAAAGACCTTCATAAGGAGCCCTTATCCTGACATCTGCAACTCAAGAGACTTCTTATCTGGAAAATGCCATAGACAATTCAAGAAGCTATTTCAAAGGTAATAATAGCCTCAACAATTTGAAATAGATCCGAAAAAGAAGGCAGAGTAGTAAGAGGAAGGACAGGAGGAGGAAGAAGCAGGCAAGGAACAAGAGAAGAGGTAGGGGGAGAGTATGGAGAAAAGGGGAGGAGACAGGAAGAAAGAAAAAGAAAAGAATGACTGTGTTCCTCATTCTAACAGTGTAGATATTAAAACTAAAATGCCAACAACTCCCGAGAGATGAGTCCGCCGAGGAAGGATCCCAGGAAGTGATATGAAATTTGGGCTGCTTCCTATACGGTCATATCCATCCAAAGGCCCAGAGGCAGTTATCAAACACATCTGCCCAAAGGTTTAAAATTCCAACCTAACTGAGAGTGAATAACCCTATCAAAGATCTTAAATATTAATAAGGTCAAAACTCAAGGAAGAGATTCCAGGCAGAATGCATAAACAGCTACAATAAAAGGCTTATACAGAGAGTTATCTCCCCTATGAAGTTAACAAGCAGGCAAGTTACTCATCCATACAAGAAATAATCTATAAAGTGAGGTATTTTTACATTTCAAAAATCCTACAGAGACTATACCAAATTACATATGCATTATTAAATAGTAAGAGGGAGACTAGAATGCTGTTAAATAATGAGAACACCAAATGTTCCTAGGCACTGGAGCATTGCAGTAACTGTTGTGAGGAATTAAAGGTATCAAGCATTACCACCAAACGCTTTAGGCCAAAAGAAAATCTATGATGTTCTAAAGCAGTTATCTGGTGTGGAAACCATCCACTACACTTGGTCCTTTACAAGAGCTGCAAATGTGTCATGGTGACATACATAAGACCCAACATGCTTGTAAACATGTTAATGATCTGAGTTCAGTGTGTTGAAGAAAATTCAACGTCTTAAAATCCTGCCACAAGTATAAGCCAAAATATGTCCCACAGAGGTCCTGGAATCTTATAAAGAGCTGTAAGTTAAGTTAGATGCAAGATTTTAATAATGGTTCACTGTAAACCTACAGTTAGTATATAGTCATCTAAAAACTGTCATATAATCACAGTAAGCCAGAACAAAGTATCTGTCTCCCTATGGCCACTGAAAAACAGCAAATTTTTTCTTGAGTGTTTTAGTTTAGAGGAGATTCTAGCCTAAAGGGGGTAAATGGTGACCACCTGGGCGCCCAGTGGGGCACTTATGAGTTAGCAATCAGACAGGCCAGGCTGTGAATCACAGATCTATTTACTATGACATTTAATTTTCTTCTTTGTAATGTAAGCATAATAATATCTACCTCCTAAGATTATAAAAATTAAAGACACTAATCATTGTAAAGTACTACATATTGTTCCTGACCTGATAAGTTACTATGTATTTCTACTATCTACTATTATATATGAATAATTATTGGTCCAGGAAATTAATAAATGATTATCTTATAAGATTGTATCCATCATTGCTCAAGCTGGCTATACTTCCACCACCATTGAGAACCAATGAAAGGATCATTGCCGATAACTATGGCCTCAGTTCACCCACTTTCCTTTCTGTCCCAGCATCCACCATCTTGCCTTTCCAAATGTAACTTTAGCAACAGGCAATCAAAGCATTTTTCTGACATGTTGGATCCATCATCACTGAGCAGCAGCAGGTGACACAGGTCTAAAATGTCACTAGGTAAGATTTTCCTGTCCCCTTTAGATGCTAGACACCATTTTAATAAGAAGCAATTTTTGACACATTTTCTCACATTTGTTGCCAGCTCTTTAGGATGGAGGGAATACTATAAATCACATTCTGAGTTACGGATCCCAAATTGGCAACCTCCAGAGGTTTGACAGACAAGGTCAAGAAAAGAACAGCACATTCAGGAAGAGTGCCACTCTGACTGGAGCTCCCATTGCTTATTGAATATGAGGGGATAATTTGATTTGTTGTTGGCAGTAAGACCTACAAGTTCATGGTCACCAACCTCCCTCATGGCTCTAAGGTGAAGGCGTCCCAACAAAAAGGTCAGAGACAACAAGGTGCCAGATACAGTAGACACTGAGTTCCTACTATATATGGCACTGATCTCTCCAGACTGTGGATTGCTTTCTCTTCCTCAGCTCTCGCTTGCTCTGGCCTTGTTTGTATCACTCTCATCCATTATACTGCCCCCCACCCCAAGATATGTCCCAATATCTTTCAGATTTTGCCCTTCTTCTGTTTGCTTCAGTGACAGTCATTAGGGCTCTTCACATATTCTGCATCTCTTTATCCTCAGGGTACAGAGGAGGCTCACAATCTCCCTACCTTTTTGAAGTTAGATGTAGCTATGGGACTTTGACTGATGAAATGTCAGCAGAAGTGATATGTATCACTTTTAAGCAACAGCTTTCAGAGCAGGCATGTGATTTACATATAAATCATGAATATAAAATTATAAAATACAAAAAAGAATATGAAAGACATTACTTTTTCTGCCCCAAATTCCAAAGCAATAACAATTTACCCCACTAGGTGGTAGTATGCTAATATCCACAAAAGCCTGAAATGCAATGCATAGTAAAATTTCTTTTGTTGGAGTTCTTATAGTAATTAAATAAGACAATCATATAAAGTCCTTATCATCAAGCATATAGTAGGTGCACATATGGTCTGGTTTCCAACATGGTGCCCTCCATGCCTGTTGGTTGAGCTGCCTTATAGCAATATGTTTGTGTTCTCTTTCTGGTCTTGAAGACAGTCATGGGAGCTGTGTCACGATAGGGATTCCATCAACCCAAGATGAGTGGCAGCTCAGTATCTACCTCATTAAAATCAGTAGCATGAATAAAAGATACCTTTTCTTGCTGGAAGAGAGTGAGATTTGGAGGTTGCTTGTCACCTCTGTATAGCCTAGCCCATGTCAACACACATGACTTCTTAAATGTTGGTGCTATCCAAGAAGACATAATTCCACACCTCCCTGAATGACCTGTATATGATTTCAACCACTACTGATATATTAATGATTAAAATACTAATCTCATCTGAGTGCCTCACTCATATGTGCGGTCACATACTAATTCCTTCTGCTCAGTTATCATCCAGTCCCCTCAAATTCTATAATAACCTTCTCTTGACCTACCCTTCCTTTTCTTTGGTTTTCCTATCTGATAGAAGAGGCAGAAACCAAGGCAACTTGAACTCCTCCCTTATCCGTTTCCTTTATCTAACCCACACAGTCCAGTGGAAGGCATCTGTCTCTCTCCATTCTGTCCATGCCTCCATTCTCACTTCTGGAAAAAGGCCCTCAGTAGTGCTGTCCTCATGCTGCGTGGTCTCCTCTTAACAGATTTCCCATCCACTGCTGTTTTTTTAAGAACACAAATATGATCATTTCACTTTCTTTCTTTAAAGCCTTTCAACTAGAGACCCTCAGCTCTCCAAATAAAGCTGATTCTCTTTATCTTTGTCTTCTAACTATAAACTTTGTCCTCTAAACCTTGCCAACCTTTATAACCTCTGCTTTTCCTCTTCCTATATTAGTGCCACTAAATTCTATGCAGCCTCTCAAAAGTAGATGCTGTTACCTATCATTTTTGAGTAACAGCAGTGATATTACAGATCTCATTCCTGTATGTTATCATCTCTGGTTTGTTTACTAGTCTCTTCAATGGACTATAAGTTCCAAGATAACAAATCTTTAGTCCCATTCATCTTTGTATTATCTGTACTTAGTAGGGCGCATAAACACAGCAGATACCCAATAAATATTTTCTAAATGAACAAATAACTGCTTGACTAAATCGATAATGAATTCATGAATTAGTACACATACACATATATACATATGTACACAAAATCAACCATAAATAAATGGAAGGATCCCAACACATCAGAGAGAAGACTTGCATTTCTTTCTGACACAAAAACAAAGACAAAGAAAAAATGCAACTAAGGGAAGGCATTATTTCCATTTTCATCTTATTCTATTGCCTCATTCCTATAAGCTACAAGCGTGGTCAATATTGCAGGATGGATTATCAGCTAAAAGCAAAGGAGCCATTATGTTCCCAGACCTTCCTCCTCATTCTAGTTGAAAGACCTACAACTTACCTGTGGTAAAGTCAATAGGAGAACCCACCTATACTAATTATAGAAATGGAAGTTACAATAGTAGTTAAGACAAAAGAGAGAAAATAGAAAAGATGAATTTGAAAGTTCCCAAATGAGTTAAAAAGTTAAGGAAATATGGGCCTCCCTGGTGGTGCAGGGGGTTAAGCACCACACTATGAAGCAATCTGCAGTCTTTGCAGCACGAGTTTGATCCCCAGCCAGCCAGGAAACTACCCACATGGCACAGCAGACCTCCCCTGTCTTTCCCACTGCCCCCTCAGCAGTGTATTTCTTCAGTCTGCCTGATCTGTTCCCCACTCTGTCTCTGGTGAATCCTGTCATCCCCTGCATCTCTGGCCTGTACCCCAGCTCTTGTGTACATAAAATGTAAATAAAATGTAAAATAAAATCTTGTATGCATAAATAAATCTTTAAAAAGAAGTTAAGGAAATGTGCAAAGTAGTCTTTTCTTATCTTTATTTTTTCCATCAATTTTCCTTCTCCTTTTCTTTATTTCTGGTCTTTAATTTACAGAGTAAGCCAATAAAAGACATGTATTTAATCCCCCCCTTTAGTGCAATATAAAAAGAGAGTCAATATCAAAAGAATTTTTTCAGTCAAATAATATGACAAAGGAGATTTTGTAAACATTGTAATTATGGAAGATTTGACATGCAGAAGACAACAGCAAACTGCTTTGAAAAAAATAGAAAGAGATTCAAGATAAAATTGATTCTGACCTGAAAAAATAAGCTTTTGTAGGGCTTCTGAAATGTTTCCTTCTATCGTTTTTTGTGCTGAAGGATTAACCTTGAGTTGCTTCCCAGTGAAATTTCGGCAGGTTATCTGAAAAAGAAAAAGAAAAGAAAACAAGTATTACATAGCCAGGTATTTAGAGCCAAAACTTTGGCTTGCTTGAAATGTTTATCTATTTTTCACTTGTCAAAAAATAGTGATACAAATGATGCTACAGATAAAAGCTAGCAGAGTAGCATTCAATCATGAGAACTTTCAGGAAATAAGGCAAATACATAATTTTTCATATTTCTTTTGTATAGCACAGCTGGAAGAGCATTAGGAAAATTATGTAGTGCAATTAGAATATGATTTTCTGATATTTTGTAAATTCACCAGTCTAAATATATCTTCCATTATGTAAGTTGAAACATATTTAAAATATAGGCTGTTCTTTTAATGGCAGATTTTTCTACCCTACTCATAATTAAACCAATTTAAACTTCCATAGTGAAGTCTTCGAGAATGAACTTCCTCTGTAGCATTTAAAATTCTTATTTTCTCACAGATACTTGAGTTTTAAAATTGAAGAATATATGAAAAAAACACTTTAAACAGAAGGAAATTCTTTAAAAGGTCCAAGGTCCTTTTATGTTTCGCCATTCCCACTCCTTGAAATAACCCATTATTTAAAATATAATCGCCCTTTGATCTTCAGTCTGATGCTTCTTTATTGTCTCTTGGAGATACTTCTACAATGAGATGTAAATATAATTTAAGTACAAAATCCTTTCCACAGCCTAATAAGACCCTACTTGACCTATTTTTCTCATCTCTCCAGCTTCATTAAATAATACTTTATTGAGCAGCTACTATATTCCAGGAACTGTTCCTGTTTCAGGAGTGGCATATCAGAGAACAAAATAAACAAAAATTCCCATTCATATGAAGAATTCCACTGGAAGTAGAGACACAATAAACAAAGTAGGGTACATTATAGAATATATTAGTTGTAAATGCTATAGAGAGAAACAGAGCAAACAGGCAAGAATTTTTAAACAGGATAGTGAGAAAAATCCTCACTGTGAATATGACTTCTGCAAAAGACTGAGAAAAGGTGAGGGAAAAATCAATGTGGATATTCAGGAGAAGAATATTCCAAGCAGGGACACAGCAAATGCAAAGTCCCTGAGGCAGCAACATCTTGAAGAACAGAGCAGCTGAAATCAGCAAGAAGTAATAGGAGATGAGTTACTGAGATCCCAGGGGTATGGATGCATCTGTAGGCATTCAGGTCAGGATGAGGCTGTTCACTTTAATTCAGAACCACATGAGAAGCCACTGCAGAACAACGTGGTCTGACTTGAATTTTAAAGCCTCATTCTTTCTGCTGCATCGAGAACAGGCTGGAGACCAGGAGGGTCTCAGGGAGGTTGGCATCAAGAAGACTCATCAGGCAGTCACTGCTTCATCCAAGTACTGGTGACATGGGGCAGAACAGGAGTGGTGAAGGTAGTGAGAAGTGATCAGGTTCTGAACACATTTTAAAAGTAGAGAACTTGGTGACCAACTTCAAGCAGAGTTTGAAAGAGGGATGTCACCAAGGAGTCTGGCCAGAGCAGCTAGGACGACAAGGTTGTTATCCATTGAGGTGGGAAAGACCTGGAAGGACAGGTTTGTTTGAGATGTGCTAAGTCTGAGAAGTTTATTACACATCGAAGAAATAATCATGGTTAAGTGGCATGATATCCTTCTGATGAGTCAACTTGACTAAGTTAAACTGTGAAGATGAAAGTGAGGGAAGCAACCATTTTGTCTCATGCCCACACTTCATCCCACCGAGTCAGTGAAATACTCATCTAGGTGCTGCTGTGAAGGGATTTTGCTGATACTGAATAAAGTCCCCAATAAATTAACTTAAAACTAGGGAGATTACCCATGGCAGGCCTTTCCCAATCAGGTGAATCCTAGATGAGCTGGAAGTCTCGAGATTCCAAAAGCCAAACATTTGGATTGATAGTGATTCTCCCCTGACCAGATCCTCCCTCGCTGACCACCTATGGATAACAGCTTCTGGCCATGCCTCTCAGGTTCCTTCCTGCGTGAGATCCTGACTGACTACTTTATGGATTTTGGACTGGCTTAGCCAGCCAATTGACATAAGTCAATTGTCGTAAATCTTGATAGAAAATGATAGATGATTGATTGGTAATAGGTAGGTAGGCAGGTAGGTAGGTAGATAGGCAGATAGATAGATAGATAGATAGATAGATAGATAGATAGATAGATAGATAGATAGATAATTTTACTAGTTCTACTGCTCTGGTTGAACCTGACTGATATAGGAAGTTAATATATCATCAAAGAAAAAAATATATATATCATCAAAGAATTCACAAGAAAGGTCTGGACTAAGGCCTCCCCTGGTGGCGCAGTGGTTGAGCACTGGGCTGCGAAGCTGCCCGCAGCCTCTGCAGTGCAGGTTCGATCCCCCGCCTCCAGCGAGGGTCCCACATGGAGCACAAAGCTCTCCTGCCACTCCCGCTGCTCCCCTCAGCAGTGTACTTCATCATTCTGCCTGTTCTGTTCCCTTCTCTGGCTCTGGTGGATTCTCTCACCCTCCTGCACTTCTGACTATGCCCAGTGCTTGTATAAATAAATAAATCAATCTTGAAAAAAAAAAAAAGAAAGAAAGATCTGGACTGGAGGTGTCACTTCAATAGTCATCCCCGTAACGATCGTACTTACAGTCAGAGACTGAATTAACTCTGAAAGAGTTTGTGGATGGAGGAGAAAGGAGGACCAAGAACATTCTTGGGATGCACCAGCAACATTCAAACATTGGGGGAAGAGAAAGAAGCACCAAAGAAGACTGAGAAGGAGTAACCCCCTCTTTTTTCCCCTCATCTGCTTCACCCCAGTCATTCAGACTTTCTGTCCCATCTCAGAGCCTTTGCCCTTATTCCTCACACTTGGGCTGCAGTGAGCTTCCCCCTGCATGCTGGCTCCTTCTCATCAGATGCTACGACCATTCCCAACAGGTCTTCAACGGCACCTTTGCTCAAGTTTCCACCTCCCACCCTGGGGTATCGCTTTCATATTGATCTATTTTGTTTTCTTCACAGAATTTATAATGATCATTGCTCTTTTTATTTATCTGTTTACATATTTATTATCTGGCCCTCCCTCCACCCCTCTATAATTAAGTGACATAAAGGAGGCACACAGACTGGATTCTCACTCTGCAGAACACACAGGAGGCAAGGCTACCTCTAGGCTACAAGGGACCATGTTAGAAGAAAACAGAGGGCCTCCCTGGTGGTGCAAGGGGTTAAGACACAACCTATAAAGCTATCCACAGCCACTGCAGTACGAGTTTGATCCCCGGCAAGGGCACTACCCACATGGTACAGCAGACCTCACCTGTCTCGCCTGCTGCTCCCCTCAGCAGTGTATTTCATCAGTCTGCCTGTTCTGTTCCCTGCTCTGTCTCCGGTGAATCCTCTCACCCACACCCACCCCCAGGACCTCTGGTCTGTACCGCAGTTCATGTATGCATAAATAAATAAATCTTTGAAAAGAAGAAGAAGAAGAAAACAGAGTCCTTGCTGGCTGACTGCAGCTCCCCAAACACAGAGGAGTCACCCTCCGTAGGTGCTGGGCCCGTGGCAATATCATGGACTGTACAACTCTGCGGTGGCCTGACAGTAGTGAGCCAATATACATTCATTAAATTAATAAATGAGAGAACTGACTTTTCTCTTTCCTCCCCTAACTCAAAGCTCCGCCATGCCTCTAGTTTGCTTTCCATGGTATCTTTGCTTTCATGAGCTGACTCCTCCATAAGAATACTAAAAATTATATTTTACAATTATTTTAGTATAAATATAAATATGGTAGTAGGAAACATCTAAACACTTTCTTTGACCTAAAAGGTTTTTTTTCTTTCTATTTTATAAGAAATTAAAACATCAATGAGCCTCACTATACATAATGGGTAAATCAGCCCTGATCTGAAGCTTCTCGTGCATAAGGACTTAATGTTTGTTTACCTTGTTTATAGAAAATAGTGCCACAAAGCAGGCTGCCAGTATGATTTCTGATTCAAATGAGAGCTGCTTAAGTGAAAATAATACCATTTATCTGATTCCTCAATCTTTGCAGTTTAGATGTGTACTAATAAGAAATCACAGCTGCATGAATGATAGTCAAACTTACCTTCTCTGCACATTCAGTCTTATATCTTTCGCATGGTTGTTGGAGAAGAGCTGGACCATCCGGCTTGCTTATTCTCAGCAGAAGCTGGCGCTGGGCATATACCAAGAGTGGTGTCACTTGCTCTGTATATCTCTCACTAAACGAGGGTAAAAATACATAAAGAAGCAAACATCTGCTAAAACACATTTTTTTCCAATGAAGTCTATCACTTTTAATTGCCCATATAGCAGTTCTTACTGTGAAATTATGTTGAACTGAATGGCAAGCGATACTAGTGCTTCCCATTTTTCCACTTGATATAAATATTCCAGAGATTTTAACACAAAGTCATGGATCCATTTCAAGTCAACCACATTTACATCATCCAGAGGATGCTCAAACGTCAGGCTAAAACCACCGTTGTCATTTTTAATATTTCCATAGCAGCTTGGAACACTGAATTCTTCCTTTTCTTCAATAATCTGGAAGTAGCATGTTGGAAAAAAAAAAGTGTGAGTTCAAATTTTATTATACTTTAAAAAAAAACTGAATTGGTAGATAAAAATATAAATAGAAGAAACTGCACAGAAAAAAGTCCAATGTGATTATGCAAATCAAAGCTTGATAAAGCTATCCAATAAAACTTGCAGGGATGGTGGAGGTTGGGGGGTTGTACTGTTGAATGTAGTAGCTACTAGGCACAAGTGGATGGATACTGAGCTCTCTCAAGTGTGATGAGTACAACTGGGTTTTTAATTTTAATTCATTTAAGTTTAACATTAAACAGCCACATATGGCTTATTGCTACCATATTAGCACACTCTGAGGTCTTCTTGTTACACAGTCACTATATACTTCTGGAAAGATATTACCAATCAATAAGGTAAAGTCTGGAGGAAAAAACAGGATTTTAGCATATACAAATGATTATTTCCCTAGCACACTGGTTAATTCATCAGTTTGTAGAATAATATATCCAATTCCCTGAGGCAATCATCAAATCTGTAGAGAAGAAAATTTTCTAGAAGACTCTTTTAGGCCAAGTGAAAGAGCTACTTTGTAACTAAGGAGTTCATTCTCTCCCCTACACCCCCCCCACCCCGTCCTTATGCATTTGTGTGTCCCCCTAGAAATTCTTGAAGCAAAGCAAAACCTCTTAAAGGTACCTAGGGACTTGACTGCCGACAAATCAACAGTATAGAATTCAAGTCCTGCCCCTCCTACCTCAGTGTAATTAAGGGTGACCCATGCATAGGTAAGGGGAGGTGTATCAACAATAAGTAACATGTAAACTGTAAACATTCCCTCTGACAAAGTTCATAGTCCTTAAAGTTAGAGACCTTGTACATCACCTGCATGTGAAATGCAATAAACATACCTGAGATCAGGTTATGAATAACATGAGTCCTCAAAGTGACCTCTGTGAATTTGTCTCCTTAGCAGAGTACCTGGGGCATGTGACATGTTTCAGAATAATCTTCATGTTATTTAGTTATGAGTTCCATTTCTGTAGTCCACTGATTCTCAAGGAAGACTTTCAGCAGCACAGATCTATGTCAGGGCTACCTCCATTGCCTTGACCTTGGACTTCCAGTGAAGGCCCTCCTGGCCTTTACTCAGTCCTCCTGGCAAGTGTGGAGGAAATTAAACCTGTTCTACCTAAGCCTTCCCTAGGGATTGTCCTGTAGAGCCTCCCTGCCAACAGGATCACACTTTCCTCCTTCTGGGTAAGTTTCTTGGTCCTTCCTTGAAGCAGAGGGGATCTGCGATCAATTAGTCATGTCTGTGCCTATGTAGTAAGTTTATTTCAGGCATGAAAAATTAGGACATCCTCTGTGGTTACTCCATCTTCCAATATAGCTTTCATTGAGAAGAATGCTGGAATTATATCTCCAACTGTCTCATTCAGCACCCATCTTTCAACTGATTACAACTCAGGAGAAGGGAACAAAGAAACAGCATTTGCTACTCACTTCTTAATTTTGGCAATGTCACCTAGCAACACTAAGAAATACATAGTACTAATATTTGAGGATCAAACCTACATATGGAGAGAGTTTTCTGACATGGCCAAGGCCGGAATCTTTAAGTTTTGCAGATTTAGTATGGGCCATGTGTAATTTTTTTAAAAACTTTTTATTATTAAAGGAAATTTCTAACACAAAAGTAAGTAACACAATAAGGACCCCTACACACACACTGAGCTTCAATAATTATCAACTCTTGGGACCTATTTTGTTTAATCCATATGTGTGGCCAAATTCTCCCCAATTTTGAATTGCATCCCCCAAATTATATTAATTAATCTATAAACATTTCATGAGGATTTAGTATGTTGTAGTTATTTTATGTAGAAACTGTAGCTCAATAAATGTCACTTTCTGTTTCCTTTAAGAAACTGAATTTCAGGGTCAGATATTTGTAGTTAACATCAATGCAAGCTATATACTGTGAACCAAATAATAATGGGAAGCAAATGAAATATAGATGAACCAAATAAGAACTAAAGAAAAATATTTATTTCTACTTATCCCATGCTGCCTGGTACAAAAATATTTTTAAATGAATAAAATAAAAAAAATTACCCAAGTGTTCTTACCGTAATAGCATTGACATTTTGTAGTTCTATTAACATGTCAATAAGTAAGTCTGCTCCCAAACAGAAGGGTAAAGCAGCAGTACAGAGGAAACCTTCCTGGCTGATAGGAAATGTTTTATACAGGTCTACTGCCTGTTTAAGGAGTATTTGTAGCTCCTGAGTAAAGTTCCAAAGGGCCCGGCAGCAGTTTTGAAGCAGAGTCCAGTAGCCACCACGATGAGCAAGAATCTGAAAAGAAAACGTTCAAAACATCCCAAAGTTCCAAAAGTCACAGTTCTCTGAAAAATTTCATTTTTTCTGCAAGTATTTTGTAAAAATAATAAAAATAACTAATTTCATTTGTATGCACCATGTATATGGTCTAGATACCGCTAAGACATTTATAGGCATTATATTAGTTTATTCTAACAAATAATTCCAATAAAGTAAGTAGGCACTAGAACTCTACTCAATTTACAGATGAGGAAAAGGAGACATGGCCCAGGGTCATAAGGATTTGCACACCTGAGGTCTGACTCCTAAACTCCCATTGTTCCACATGCTAGAAATGCTGCAATGAACAAGGAAAACTGGTCTTCCTTGTGTTGCTTCAATTTATCAGGGGAAGCTGACATTAGATTAACAGACAAAAAATATATATAATTTCAGGGAATAACATCTGTTGCAAAGAAAAATAAAATAGAAGTGGGTAACAACTTGAGTAAGGTGAGACTTTTATTTTAGGCGGAGTGGACAGAATAGAAGTCCTCTCTGAGAAGGTGACATCTGAGCAGAGATCAATTGAGTCGAATAGTCACACAAAGATGGAGTGAGGTGTTGAGGAGAAGAGAGGAGTTTGAAACTGAGGGAAGTGCAAGTGTAAAGGACAGTGGATGACCCTGAGGGATGAAGAGGATCCAAGGTTGGTGCTTTCAAGATCACAGAAGGGAGTAGACTCACACAATGGAATACTACTCAGCAATAAAAAAGATGAGTTCTTACCACTGGCAACCAGTGAAGGGGATAATGCTAAGCAGAATAAGCCAGAAGGAAAAAGACAATACTGTATGGTTCCACACATATATGGAACATAGAGAAACAAAACACAGAGTCAGACAAATCCAAACCAAATATAAACCCTAGGTATCTAATTGGAGAATTGAGAACACCAGAGGGGGTGGGGGATGGTGAAAAGTAAAGGGAGAAGGGAAACAAATGGAGTGTGGTAGAAGCCTGTGGGTGTCTAGGAGGGTATGGTAACACACATCTGAAGATGTGTGAACCTATACCTCTGAATCCTATACAGAGTTGCAAACCAATAATACATCACTTTAAAAAAAAAGAAACAAGAACAAGAGGACCTGAGTTCTAACAGGTGAGGAAGATCCAGAACTTCAAGAGTTCTGAAGCTGGTAGGAAGGAGGGTACTCTAATGCAGTGCTCAAGATCAAGGGGATGATGTAAATCTATTTAAAATGTGCAAGCAAACTGTAGATCTAAGACATACAGCAGGGGAGAGGGAGGGCAAGGATTTAAAGCAGAAGAGGGAAGAGTTAAAGCACAAGGGACTATGGTGATGGTTCATGGGTGATGAGGTAGTAGGAGATTTATGGAGAATTTATTCATTTATTGCACAAAAATGAGTATCAATGTAGTGGAAAATTTTTTTAAAAAATCATTCTCTCCACTCTACACACATTTGGGGAATTTAAGTGTTCCTTTCTCCTCTAGAAAGAATAGATTTCCTTTCACCTATTGAAAGATTTCAAGTATATGTCCTTCCTGATAAGGCAAAAAAAAGAAGCGAATTCCTTTGTAGCTGATAATTCCAGCTCTGAGTTGAATAATCTATCATGCAATAGTTAAAGTGAAAAGAGAAAACCAAGTGGTCTATAGAAATAGGAGGGAAGGGGGCAGGTACAGGGCTTTCCTGTAACCTGGAAAGATCTTCCCCTGTGCTTCAGGGAAGGAGATCCATGGTACCCCAGAAGGGAGTAAGACCCCAGAGAGAAACCATGTTGTCACCAAGGAAACTCACTAAGTGAGGCAGCAGAGGGTGCCTGGATATTCATGGAAACTGTATGCACAGAACAAGGTCCATCTTAGCTCTGGGTGGATGGAGGGCTGATCACTAAGGTGCTCCACAATCCCTAAGACCGCAACAATGTGGTAGACAAACCTCATCAATGACTGACATGTTATCTAGCACATTCAGCCTCAAAAATTATGGACATTATGGAAATAAATCCCCCATGCCACACATGCCTGAATTTGTGGGCTGACATTTATGTCACTTCCTCAGTGAATAAGAAAGACCACATTACCATTGCTCTCCTGATATATAAAAAGACTTTTGTAAAATGATCCAATAGACTTGAAGTTGTTGTTCGTTCCTTGTCCTTAGAACTAACACCTGATTGAGAGTCCGAGTCGTAAACCATCTGTGTCTTAGAAACGTTTTCATCGCTCATTTTGGAATTAATAAATACTGAAAATTCCTCAGCATCTACAGTATAAAGATAAAGTGTAATGAGAATTAAGTTCAGAAAGCACAGCTGGCTGTAAGCACCAAAGGAGTAATTCAGATTAATAAAGGCTTCCTACATAAATTTGAAGAAAGGACAGAATTATCATGGACACAATGAACCAGGGAAAGTTTTCAGAGAAGGAAGGGTTAGACTGTGTTTAAAAGGGTGGGCATGATTTAACTATACAGGGAGAATATGGAGAAAACATTCTAGGTAAGGGTGATGGTCAAAAAATAGTGCAGGCCATTCCTAGAACACAGACACTGGAAGCCAAGTGGCAGCCCCGGGAATGTGACCATGCCGTAGCCCTGGCTGTTAGCATCCTCCTGTTAGTGTGATATAAAACACCAAGAATCACTCCTGCCACAGCCCTTGGAAAACTCTGCATTAAATAATGTCTCAATAGTATATTGTATTGTCAATTTCATGGGCATTCCTAGGGTGGGAGCTAGGAAAAAAATTCTCAAGAAGCTGTATATTATACTCTATATAGAAAAATAAGGATCTTTCTATGTCTGGGGAATTTATTCTCAACTATTTCAATATTCATAGTATGATACGCAGGTACCACTGAAAACTAATCTATCCAGTGGAAGAAATTCGAAAGCATCTCGAGTATCTCAAATATGAATTGACATTTGCGGGGCAGTCAACTAACATATGAAGTATCCTGATCAGTAATAAGTTATGCCATACTTAAAATGCCTTTATTAAAAATCTGTATAAAGAGGTTGGTAGTTACATAAAGATATTAGAAATGAAATTTTTATTTGTGAAATGAGTGGTATTCAAGACAGAGGAGTGCTTAGGAATAATGTCATCATCCCCATCAAGAATCCTGTTCAACTACATCTTTCCACCTCCCTGAACCCCCTGATCAGATGACAGGTCTGGCTAGTCCTGAATAAATTTTCATGGGTAGTGTTAGTTGAGAACCTAGGGCAAAAATGGGTTTCCCTGTGCACCAAGTTCATAACATAAAACAGCTATTTGACTGTTTTCATTTCTGCCTTCATCAGGATATTAGGCAAAATTTATTCTGAGACTTATTCCCATTAAAACATAACACCTGATATCAAATCTTCGCCTATCCTGGTGGCCCCTGGAGGTTGTTCCAAATTTTTTAGAACATTGCTTTTATTGAAGAGCCAAACTGGAATAGGTCAGAACACAACATAGCTATTTCCAAATATATATGATGATACCATAGAACTATTTCGTTCTTTAAAAATAGAACAAATAAGAATATAACCAAAATGAAAATGCATACATTGTGCAAAAATGAAAAATGATGTAAGAATTATATAAAATAAAATATTAAAAAATAAATAAAATAAAGATTTAAAATTAAAAAAAATCTCCTACAAAATATCACAACTCAACTAAAGTGATGGGACATTAGAAAATGGTGTCTGTAGAGCGTGTGTGTGTTGTATTAGTAAACAAAACTCTGAAGGCAATCTGATAGTACATTAACATATTTATTTTACCTGATGGTAAGTTGGCCTTTCTTTTCTTAGCTGTATGAAGGAAATCAAGCATCACTTTATAGCTTTCTACAGTCAGTTTTCCTGTTGGTAATACTGTTCCTGAATTATATAATGAGAACATACTAGGATCACATGACCTGAAACTGCAAATGGGGAAAAAAAATCACAATAAAAAACAACATAAGCAAAATTAAATCCATCAAATACAATCTACTTTTATTTTCAAAATATGCGTGTGAGTGTTCCAAATTTTGGCTCCACAATTTTGGCTCTTAACCAAAGCCAAGTATTTTTCCATTAACTTTTAAAATTACAGTGTAACTTTGCTCTTCGCAATTTTAACATCAATGTTTCCCTAAAAGTGCCCTTGAAAATGGGGGTGAGGGCATCCCTGGTGGCACAAGGGGTTAAGATGCAACCTATGAAGCTATTCACAGCCACTGTAGCACGAGTTTGATCCCTGGCCAGGGAGCTACCCACATGGCGCAGCAGAACTCTCCTGTCTCACCCACTGCTCCCCTCAGCAGTGTATTTCAGTCAGTCTGCCTGTTCTATTCCCCACTCTGTCTCTGGTGAATCCTCTCATCCCTTCCCCCACCCCCGCATCTCTGGCCTATACCCCAGCTCTTGTATGCATAAATAAATCTTTTAAAAAAGAAAAAAGTAGATGAGGGTGAAAGGTCTACACACACTTTAAGAACTCTAAAACAATAATTAAGGACAACTTTAAAACCACCTGGTTTAAACACAATTTTATGAAGAAGATTCCTATTATATAGCACGATGTGTCCATACTATTTATTTCTAAAATAAGTTCTGTGTAGTAAACAGTCTTCCAACAAAAATACATAAATAAATACTGAGTATAATGAAAGGTTTTAATAAGATCTAGTTCAGCACCAAGTTATCCTGACACAAATATGGTAGGGTCCTAATTACTGTGCTGTCACGTAATCAAGTATGAAAGGTCAAGTGTAATTGGAAGTTTGAAGACTTCAGAGTATCCTCTGAGTGACTTCAGAAATGTCCATCTGATCTGACATGTTCTCTCTGTCATGGTCTCATCAATGGTCACACTGATAACAGGTCCCCTGTTGGTCAGGCCATCTAACCGTTTCTTGAATGCAAATCTGGCACAGCCCACATAGGAAAGGGATCTACCTGAGCATGTATTTGCAAAGATTCAATCTAATAAGGACCAGGTCAAAACTCTAGAGAAGCAGAAAATGGGACCAAGTTCGTGGTGCATTTCAACCTGCATATTTTTATCACTTGATTATTGAAATAAATACCCTCCTTAATTCACATCCCATCACATTCTTTCCTTCCTCTGGTCCATTTGATATGGTGCTGTCAGAGAAATTTCTTATAAAAGTCTTGCTCAAAATTCCATAATATCCTCCCATTGTGTATATATATATATATATATATATATATATATATATATAAAGTTTATATTTAAGACTCTCCATGATTTGACAGCAACCTACCTTTCTATTTCATATCACTCACTCTCATATGCTCCAGGTTGTGGTCAGAATATTTAGGGTTCTCATCCTGTATTTCCTACTTGGCCTTGATTCATGTTCTTCCAACTCTCTGGGATACCAGTTTCCCTACCTGTTCATTTCTAAATTTTGCATATCCATCAATAGCCATACCCAGTGACCCCTCCCCATGAAACCTTTCCTATGGTCTCAAAGGAAAGCCTCCTTTCTAGGAACAAAGAGGACTTATATTTACTTCATTTTCAATCATTAATTACAATTATTTATGAACATTTGTGATCTACTCTACCAGACACATTATGTGTACATCCTATTGCACCTATCTCAATGCCTTGTATTTTAATGGGGTCCAACCAGTATTTTAGTTTTAATGAATTACTCTAGATAACCTTTTTATGGTTATAGAGTATTCCATATATTCCATACTATGCTTTTATCTTCTGTTTTTATCTCCCCTCACACTTAAGCAAAAGACACAAATAAGAGCTCAAGTGTCTATTGAGTTAACAATATAAAGTTTCTATCATAAGAAAATATATCATCTGTGCTTATAGAGGTTCAAAATACAGTTCTAATGAAACAGAGATTTGTCTAATGCCTACTAATATCTACAGTTTTTGTACAATAATAAATTTCCCATGGAATTACATTTTATCCTTTAAGTGATTGCTAACATCAACAAATATATTCAAGATATGTGCAAATGAGTACTTAAAAAAATTTAGATCTAGCACTTGCTTTTAGAAAGATTCTGAGCTAACAAGTTGAGAAACACACCAATGACCAGTATAAAGACAGAGACACTCTATAAACCACTTTGAGCTATTATCAACATTGGATCCCTGAATACGTCAAATATAATCTATGATCATGAGACTTAAAAAATATTATTCATCAATAATATGCTATACCTGACCATTGTATGCAAAGTGCTAGATTTCGTCTTCATCCGATCTCCTAGTTTCATTAAAACCAAATTGAAGTGTGCACTTGCCAGATACAAGTTCATCTGAGATTTCCAGGGAAGCTCCTCAAGAAATATTTGATGAAATCTCTTTTTTTTATTATAATTATGTACTAGAGGATTCAAGTTATATACTAGAGATCGATGGGCTATTTTTCTAACATCAGCTCTCTTATTCCTGCCAAGGGAGAAAGAAGTTTCAAAATTAGACAAACTTCCAGATATTTAATAAAGAAGAATGATTCCAATCTGTACAAAATACTTCAAGAAGTCATGCAACTGCCCTTATGCCAATATTTCTGGCTTATTTATCATTTCCTTAATGCTAAAAATGTGAAAGAGGGAAGGAAAGAAGACTCAGGGATATATAGTAGGGACAAAGACACCATGTATTACCCTCAGCAATCTCCAATGTTTGTGTCCTCAGCTCAAACCAAACAGAGCCGTTGTTTTCCACAACCAAAATACCGCTAAGATTAGACAACTAAATTATAACCTGTTCATATTCATAGACTAACTTCAATATTAGGCAAGAGAATCATTTCTCTGTGTTGTCCCTTAAGGAAAAAAATGCAGCAAAATTTTTTCTAACATTAACAGGACTACAGTGAAAATAAACTGTCAAGTATAGATGAAATAACTTCATAAAAGCATATTCAACATGCTCTGGCAAAAACTAAAATCTCAAATTTCAGCCAACAGTTCAGATTTTTAGTATAATAGATGTTTAATTCTTAAAAAATCATTTCAATCGAAATCTAAATGTGGTGGGCCTCACCTGGTGGCACAGAGGTTGAACACTGGGCTGCAAAGCTGCCCGCAGCCTCTGCAGAGGAGGTTCGACCCCGGGCCGCCAGCAAGGGTCCCACATGGCACGACAGACCTCTCCTGCAGTGCCCACTGCTCCCCTCAGCAGTGTATTTCGTCAGTCTGCCTGTTCTGTTTCCCGCTCTGGCTCTGGTGAATTCTCTCACCCTCCCACACTTCTGACTGTACCCAGTGCTTGTATAAATAAATAAATAAATCTTTTTTTAAAAAAGTCTAAATGTGGTGCAGTTAATGTTATAATCACATGCTATTTATAGGGCATGACTTCTTTTCTCCAAAATACTACATCAAATTATTTTCTTACTGATAACTATGCTGCTGCCCTTCTTGGTCTGAGCCATTTGATCAGAATAATACTGGAGAAAGAAAAACATCTCCAATAAACACTGGAAATGAAAAAAATCTCAAACAGTAAGTTAAAATATCTTGTTCATTGTAATAGCTCACAAGTCTGAACCTAAATCAACACACACGTACAGCAAGCAAATGAAGGGCATAGAAATGGAAAAAAGAAAGACAGATTTATGCAGACATATATTTCCTAGCTCTGTCTGTTGAGAAGGCTTAAAAGTACAGATATATGACTAGTCCCCAGAACTTAGATTCTAAATACCATTTTCCACAATAAAAGGAACCAACTGATTTCAGTGCTGGGAGAGGGTAAGCATAAGATGAACATTTTTTTTTTATATAGTTTTTTTTTTTTTTTATAGAGGCATGTTTTATTTATTTATTTATTATATTTGTTTGTTTTGTTTATTCATGCACTGGGTACAGTCAGAAGCGCGGGAGGGTGAGAGAATTCACCAGAGCCAGAGCGGGGAGCAGAGCAGGCAGAAGGGCTGAAGTACACTGTTGAGGGGAGCAGCGGGCGGCAGGAGAGGTCTGCGCACCATGTGGGATCCTCCTCCGGTGGCCGGGGAGCAGCCGGGGATCGAACAGGCGCCGCAGAGGCCGCGGGCAGCTTCGCAACCCAGCGCTCAACCGCTGCGCCACCGGGGAGGCCCTAAGATGAACATTTTGAAGTAAGAAAGGAGCTTCCAAAAGTGATGCAAACAAGTCAAAATGACTAAGGGACCAGCCAGAAAGGGCTCCTGCTGGGCATACTAGAAATAAGTTGAGAATCAAAATAAACAATAATGTTAATTTGATAAAAGGTAGCCGCAAAAACAAACCTCCCGCAAACAATATTCTTAATAATAAAATGTTCGTAGTTTGGAAATTTTTCCTCTGAAATGGGAGACAAAGAAGTCCACTGACATCATGTTTTTCCAGCACTGAGACAATTCAGGCTAGACAATAGGGCTAGACAATAGGGCTAGAAAAGATGGGTAGGAGTACAAAGATTGAAAGTAAAGAAATAGATAAATTATTAATCATAGTCAATGATACTGCATATTTATAAAACCCAAGATAAACTACAGATAAGATAGTAGAATTAGTTTATTAGGGCTACTGAAGATAAACTCAGTATACAAAAAGTGATTCTCTCTACATAACAACAATATACAAGCCATTAAAAATGAAATTCTAAAAAGATATTTCCTGTAGCTTAAAAAAATACTTAGGGAGCCTTCCTGGTGGCGCAAGGAGTTAAGACGCAACCTATGAAGCTATCCACGGCTACCGAAACACGAGTTTGATCCCCGGCCAGGGAGCTACCCACATGGCGCAGCAGACCTCTCCTGACTCACCTGCTGCTCCCCTCAGCAGTGTATTTCAGTCAGTCTGCCTGTTCTGTTCCCCACTCTGTCTCTGGTGAATCCTCTCACCAACCCCCCCCCCCACCGTCCGACACCTCTGGCTTGTACCCTAGTTCTTGAATGTGTAAATAAATAAATCTTTAAAAAAAAAAAACTTAGGTATTAATCAAAGTAAAGACATACAAGATCTATTCATAGAAAATAGTAACTATAAGGACAACTCTAATCTGTAAAGGAGTAAATGAGAATAAATTAAGATAGAGTTATACGGTGAGTAGATGAAACATACCATTCAACATTCATGTTTACTGAATTCAAAGCAACCCCAACCTAACTGCCAACAAGTACTTTGTACTTTTAAATATGTAATTTCTAGGTTGTTTTTTTTTTCTGAAGTCCAAAATCAAGGTGTCAGTAAGTTCGGTGTCAGATTAAGGGTCCACTTCCTTTCATTAGCACATATGGCCCATGAGGGCAATGCCAGACACTGTATTCCGAATGCCCAAAATAATGCCTGAGACAGTAATTCAAATGAATATTTATTTAATTAATTGATCAATACCTTTCTTGTTCACTCAATTCAGAAACACTTGGATTTCTGCGGAAAAATTCCTTCAGGGTTTCCTTTCTTCTACTTTTTTTTCTTTGTGCCCCATCTGCAGACTTAACATGGAGATAATAAAATGTTAGAAATTAAATTTAAACTCTGAAAATGATACTATAATTTACTCATACTCTAATGCTTCACTCTTGGCATTAAAATATAGTAGGTCTTTATGCCTCAATTGAAACTGCTATCAGCAGTACCCCTGTAGACAAAGAAATGCAATGAGAATATCCAAGGGATAATTTAAGAATTATGAAATATTGTATAATTATAAAATTATGATGGTTATTTCCTTTTTCATATTATAATGCAACCAATCATCTCTACATACATAAAACTCTTCACTAACTTAAAATTTATCAAACTTACTCTTCCAATCTCCATTACCGCAGCTTTGAACTTCCTCAAAGGTTTACTAGCCGTTTTTTTAGACAAAGCAGTGTCCTTATTTTTCACTTTTTTAAATCCAATTAGAGACTCATTCCTCCTAATACAAAAAGATAAATTCAGTTAAACAGGCTTGCAAGAATTCGCAAAACTGTCCCAAAGTAGTAAATCTCTAGTGAATGTTGCTGCTGAAATTAACCAAAAATAATATTTCCAAAATTGCTTGTGTCCCATGCATAAATTAGACTGTGAAATTCCTGTTCAGGAGGAATAGGCCTCTTAAGAGAGCAAAATATAAATCATACCATAAAAAGCGATGAGAGTTGACCTAAGATATAGAAGGAACAATACTGGGCTGAAAATAACACCGTATGAATACTTCCCTTGAAAACTGAATAGGTAACTACATAAGAATGACCACAGAAAAGCTACCTAGCTTTCAACAGACTTCAGTTATCTTGCTTTCAACAGTATTTCCATTTCCTTGGTCCAGCAAGCTCCTAGCCACACTCACCTTCTGGATACAAAAGGATCTAAGCACATTAGATGATCACTAAACTTTGTCACATCCCCCAACACCTGTAGTGTTTTTTTTTTTTTTTAAAGATTTATTTATTTATGCATACAAGAGCTGGGGTATAGGCCAGAGATGCGGGGAGTGAGAGGATGTATTGTCATTTGCCAAACTAGGAAGATTGGATCAGAGACATGGGACTCCATCCTCTACAACTTGCATCCTGAGACCAATTGCCAGTCATTCTCCAACCAGTTGGGTCTCTTCTCTATCTCCAACCTCTCCCACCTTACCAGAATGTTTGACCTGGTTGCTGTTATGCCAGAAAGTGAAAGGAAGGAGAAAGGAGATCTTGGATGACACCTGGGCTATGTTTTCCCAACACTCTTAGTATTCTCCTCCATCTGCTATAGAATTCTCATCGACCAAACAAATTAAACCAGGAGAATATCTCCTCCTAGTTCTGGTTGTTTTTATTTCTTTTATGGTATGTTGTAAAAAATAGAACTTTTAAATCTTTATGTAGTCTATATTATTGATCTTCCATTTTGTTGCTTAGTCATTATTTTGATTACTTAGTACCTATTTCTGACTCCACTGTCCCCAATGGCTGTCTGCACATAATTTCACAAACACAACTCGATTATATTTTATCTGATAGCACAAATCTCTTACTGTGTTTCTCTTTATTTTTCAAATATTGTTTATTATTCTAGCACATTTTATATAAACTAACCTGCCGGAATTGCATTAAACCAATAAATTAATGCCAAGATAATAGAATTCTTTGCAAAGTCTATCTGCCCAACAAGTAATTCAAGTAAAAAAATTTTATATCTCTTGGCAAAGAGATTTAGTCTTCTTTATATTAGTCTAGGTCCCTTCAAATTTCCTGATAAATTTAATCCTGTACTTCATAGAAATAGGCTCATTTTTCTATTACACCTTCTAGTTTATATTGGAAAGTTACTGATTTTGCATTTAGGCATCCTATAAAATCCTATTAGTTTTATCTGATAGTTTTAAGTTAATTAGCTTGTTAAGTTAAAAAAATTATTTGCAAATACCCATCACATCTCCATTTTCAGAGCACTTCACTGTGGAATTTATTTGACAAACCATCTTTGAGATCCTATTATGTGATAATCATATAAATTTTAATCCTACTTTCTATTTCTTGTTTTAATGCATTGGCAAGAACTTTTAGAATACTGTAAAATAGAGAAGGAATAATAGGTTTCTTTAGAGTTTATTTTAACAAAAAATAGTCTTCGTATCCAAATTTGCCAGGAATGGTTGAATTTCAACACATCACTTTTTGGCATTGACTAAAGGCTCCTTGTGCTACTAGTGATAATTATATTTACAGATTTTCTACTGTATATATTGAGAATATCATCTACATTTTTACAGCTGAAATTATAAGCCAGCATTTTATTTTTCCTTCTATTAACTGCTAAGTAAGATTGAGCGATAATTTTCTATTTTTTCATTCTCTTTATAAAGAAATGTTTTAATCAACTCATAAATTTTTCCAAATAATCGTCATGTTCAATTTGATTTTCAAATTCATTCATCTTAAATTGTATATACTGCTATCTAATATTTGTTTAACCCTTTCCAAATTGATAATTATTTTCTCTTTGGATTACTTGTATTTCACCTTTTCTTATTATGCTGGCTAGAAATTTACTTAATTTATTCATATCTTCAAAGAAATAATTCTAGCAGCTATAAATTGGGCTATTTTAAAATAAATTTGTAAATGATCAGTTTCAATTTTTATTATCTTCTTTTTGCTTTCTTAGAGTTGTTTTTATAATTTCTTGAGTTAATTGGTTTATTTAATTTTATTTTTCTTCATTCAGTAATAGAAACTTCTAAAGTTAATTATTCTTCTCTAACTGCTGCTTTGAGTTCATTTGACATTAGGATTTCTCATAATTATTTTCAAAAGATTCTATTCTTTTAGTTAGATTTCTTTTCTTTTTTTTATGATCCAATAATTACATATGTCAATAATTTACTTTGTTATAAAATTTTGGTTTTATCATATTATAAGAGAATGTGGTCTTTGCAAATCTGTGTCCAAACCATCCACTGAACTTTATTTTGCAGCATAAATATTACTTTTTAAACATTTAATACTCATTAAATGGTTAAATGTTGCATAGTCGTAATTGGTATAAACATTAACCTTTTAAATTATATGTTTTATTTTTTCTATGTTCTTTTTTATTTGTCTTTTTAAAAAATCATATTAAACTCTCTCAATATTATTTTGTTTCCATCTCATCTGCTGCTCCCCTCAACAGTGTATTTCAGTAGATCCTCCTGTTCTGTTCCTCACTCTGGTGAATCCTCTCACCTCCCTGACACCCTCACCATACCTCTGGCCTACACCCTGCTCTTGTATGCATAAATAAATAAAATAAATCTTTTAAAAAATTAAAAATATTAGTAGTAAAGAGATGATCCTTTAGATGTTACCAGGACAACTGATAAACTGAGGAAGAAAACCTAAAATTTAATCTAAAACTCCATACCAAAATAACTTCCATGTAGATAAAACATTAAATACAAATCATGAAACCACAAAACCAGGGGGAAAAATACAGCTGCATATTTGCTACAATGTGAGGAAATATCTTTGTGAAAAATGTTAAGCATATGAATATTAAAAAAATAAATATTCCTGTAAAAGTGGAAATTTCAAAGTATTTCTTCAGCCCTCTTCAATAGACCCTGATTTCTAGAAAAGCATCTTGAATCAACATCTCAGTTTTGAAAATGGAAATTAGCACCTTTGCTCAATCTCCAATTTCAGATCTTTTATTCTACCATTGGCCAATGTTTCCAAGTTGCTTATTTTTGTTTTCCTCTTTCAGAATATTTATTATTCTTAGATTAGATCTCCATGGTCAGCTCTCCAAATTTCACCTCCCAGGGAAATTGTCTTCTGTTTTTCTTTCATATCAAGGATATTACCTACAACTTCTGGCTATTGTGGGTTTTGTTTTTTTTTTTTAATTTAATGGAATTCTCTAATTCTGACCAATTCTTATATTACCATGGCCTGTTTCACTTAATAAAAGCAATTTCCTCTTTTATCTCTGAAAATATGAAGCACATATATTCCAGCTCTCATTCTAATAGGAGAAATGCCTATTGCTTTTCTTCTGTTGCCATTTTAAAAACAGACCTCATGTTGTTGATGTTTACTTTCACCAAAATGAAAGAGATGGATCTATTTCCAGGGGTGAAGGGGAAACCCAGATGTTGGAAAAAGTTTGATTCATTTGGCATCTCTCATAACTATCCTGAGACACAATAATTGTCTTTGGCAACAAAGAGAATCATTCAGGATTAGAGAACCAGAGGGAGAATTTTTACTTTATTCATTTATTCATTCATTCCTTTATTCATTCATTCCTTTATTTATTTATTTGTTTGTTTGTTTATTTATTTATTTATTTATTTATTTATTTATTTATTTGAACCTCGGTCTTGTAGATAAATGAAAATAATTATTCAACTCAGTAATGTGTTGACTATCACTCAGTAGTAAGTGTTATAGGTTTCCAAAATGATCTATCACTTTGCTATTTCACATGTACTCTTGTGAAAATGATTTTTATTAATTGATTAAAATTTTTTTCTTATATCATTGTAGTCCCCATAGTTGTCCTGCCACCATATCACCTGTGAACCATCACCATATTCCCTTGTGTTCATCCCTCCTGCTTTGCCCCCACACCCCCACTTAAATTTAACTATTTCTATCTGGGGATCACCCCATTCATCATACAAATGGAAACCCCAAATCTCTGCTAGCAACTGTAGAGAAATCAGAAAAGCATGGCAAACGAGCAAAAGTGGACCCAAATTCCTGTACAAGTTGCTAATGGCCTGGAGATCTATTACCCATCCTGACTTAATAGCAAAGGCCTAACTGATTTCCTGCAAGAAATCTGAGCATGTTCTATCCTTATCCCTTATTCAAGTTTGCGAACAGATCAATCCTCATTACCTCCCAGATAGTTGTTTTAACTATATATACCCCACCCTCTTTTTCCATCTACCTTATACATCTTCAAATGAAAATATTGCTTATGTTTAAATGTTGTTAATACTAAAAATAAAACAGATATTACAAGTACCTCCTTAAGAAGTCATTGACATTATTTGCTATGTCTATCAAAAGGTGAAATTTTTCATCATTCAAGCACTTCATCATAACTTGTGTAAAGAATTCCAGGAATCTAGGTCTCTGCTTAAATTTCATAACTGTGAAAATGAGAAAGTTCATGTTTATCAGTACATTTAATTACTGAAGCTGAAAGTTTCCTATTGCTAACAGTCCATTGTGTCCCAACAGGCAAGATTAAAACTACTTTTTAGATTTCTCACTTTAAAAACAAAAGAGAAAAAGTAAATGTGAACTACTATTTTTCTAAGATCAAATAATTCTTTAAAATGGTCTATGTTTCATTTCTTTTCCAAATATGTCAATACTGAGGAAGATTTCATAAAAATGACTTCCACTGCATGACTGGCTGGGAAAATATTGCAGATAATTATCAGACAGACAAGTTATCCTGAGTTTATTATATTTCATTCTAAGTTAAGATACTTCTTTAAAAATGAACTTAAGATCACTGACACTCTTCCCTGTTTTTGCAAGCTTCATAATATCAAAGAAAGCCAACATCGAAGTTCTGTCTTTCTAGACTTTACATCAGGTACATGTTTAGGTTTCTTTTAGTTCTTGGCAATCAGTGTCTGTATTATTCTGCATGGGTTAAAACCAAAAATCTTCTGGCCAGTACAGGTGAAATCTTTAATAACAACAAGGTCCACAGATCAAACGACCTTCCATAATGAATTGAATGAACAGCATGCATGTATTTAAGTCACCTACCTTCTTTTGTAGCACCTTTGACTGACCAATTTAAAACGATGGGGTAAAGAAATATAGGGTCCTCTGTTCCCTGGAGTTCAGTAGTAACATCTAAAATTTTTAAAATAATAATAAATTGTAGTTTCTGTTTGACATGAATAGCCAAAAATGAAAATTCCTTGTAGGGGATGAAAAATAAGAAAAGACTCAAATATTCATTCTAAATTATGTGCCTTAAAATAACAGTTATATCATTACATTTTGGAAATTAAAAAATTCAATAATTTCAATTCTTTTCCCTCTTAAAAACCAAGGCGTCCACCAGCAAACAGGGGAAGAGTTTCCAAATCCTGAGGCTCTCTTATTTAACAGCTGTCATAAATCAGCAAGACCCAGAGTCAGAGGCCAACAATTATATTAACTCCACTTTTATAAAATTATCTTCAGAAGAGAATAAAGTATCGAATAATAAACAGCTCAGCTTCTGGAGCCAGGCTGTCTGGGTTCAAATTCTAACTCTGACACTTTTGAATTAAAATACCATGGGAAGTTCATTTCTCTGTGTCTCAGTTTCTTTATCTTTAAAATGGGGATACAAATAGTATCTTTCTCATCTGGTTGTTATCTTAGGGTTATATGAATTTTAATATGTATAAAACACTTGAGAGGTCCTGGCACACAGAAAGCATGGTATAAAATAATTTTTTAATTATTGCTTTGTTATTGAATCTAGCTAGAAACATCACATTGTGCTTCTTAGTATGATGTTTCTTATTGATAATAAAGGAAAAAATGTTTTTGTTGATAACATGAAAAGTGATTCATATTTCTAAAACACTTTATACTTTAAGGGATTATATATTATATAATCTGAGATCCAGGGGAAGGGATTCTGAAGCAGCATGCCCACTCAGCTATATCTGAGGCTGACAGTGAAATAGGTGAATTAGCGTCAAGAAATGCTACAAGTACCAAATACCAACCCCAAATACCAAGGGGTTACAAGTGGAGCTGCCTACTGAGACACACAGGTACTCTTGCTTTTCTAGAAGAGTTGAACCACCTGCTTTAAATTTTTTTTTTAATTTTTATGCAGTAGCTGGGGTACAGGCCAGAGGTGCATGAGGGTGAGAGGATTCACCTGAGACAGAGCAGGGAGCAGAACAGGCAGACAGGCCAAAAGCACTGCTGAGGGTAGCAGCAGGCGAAACAGGAAAGGTCTGCCCCGCCATGTGGGTTTCTCCCTGGCCAGCCGGGAATAGAACCCGTGCTGCAGAGGCTACAGACAGCTTCACAGCTCACAGCACGGTGCTCAACCCGCTGTGCCACCAGGGAGGCCCTTTAAAAAAAAATTCAATGTTGGAAGCGAAACCCATTTCTTAAGCAGTGATCCCAGCTTCAAGGACAAAACTTTAATCAGGGTGTTAACATATTTGCCTATTGTGAAATTACAGCACACTGACCTAAAAGCAATCTAATCTTCCACCAGAGTAGATCTTGGTTCAAACCATTCACACATTATTGTTCCATACCCTGTTCTTTTAATTCTCACATTTTTGTGGTTAAAGAAGTGATTCTCAATTTTGCACCTCCCTCCCCAATACATTTGGCAACATTGTCCTACCCATTGTTTGGGGAAGCTGCTGTGCCCCACATCTACAGGTAGATGCCAAGAATGCAAGATGCCAACATCCCACAATGCTTGGGACCTCCCCCTGACAACGAAGAATTATCTGGCCCAAATTGGCAGTTGCATCAAGGTTGAGAAGCTCTGCTTCAAAGTCAGAGGATTTAGGCTCAAATCCAGGCCAGCTACGTAATCCCAAATAAATTGCTTGATTTTTACAAGCCGTATCTGTAAAAAGTGGTTAGCAATCCCTTGTTAACTGAGTATTGTTAGAATTAATGACATAGTGTAAAAGTACTGCCTAAACCTTAAAGGGTTTACCAAATGCTGATCTCATCTTTAATCCTTTTAACAAAGTATTTCCTTAAAAGTTAAATAAATAAAGCTACACAGAAGTACACAGAAAGAAAAAATACTGACTGCTTTGCTTTGTCAGCTTGAGTAGATGTGTCTCCAATAAGGCCAGCTGTTCGTTTATTTTTTCTGGTAATAACTGCTGTGGCTTCTTACTGTTGGAAGTCTTCTTATGATCCTACGAACAGGTTAAATGTCAAATTCACAGTGTTTCTACAATTGTCATTTTCAAGTAACATTCTTTAAATTACATACTCAACTTTCATACATGGTAGACAAAACTATAATCTACATGGCTAAACAATACTAATTAATAACTAATAGCAACAACAATAATAATAGAGTCCTAACTAGTGACTAACTAGTGACTAACTAACTAGTCCTAACTGTGACACCAGTCACAGTACTAGTGTTTTTATGAAGCTTGCCAAAATCTGTCTTCTCTCTCCCTTCTTCCCAGTAACTTCCACCCTGAACTAGTCCCTCCAATACACATCTCTTCTAAAATCTGCTGAGGGTTTATGTCCAGAAAATCTCCAGTCAGAACTCAGAAATGTATCATTCATTTTTCTTTTTTTTTCCCTTTCTTTTTCCCAGAAGGAGCTTCTTTACAACTAGGCTAATTGTCTTTGCAGCCTTACCTTTCACTGAAACATAACTGGAGCGGTAATTAGTGGATTAAGAACTGACAGTCGTGCACTCAAGCTTCCCACTGTGTTTTCAAAGGTCTGTGCCTGAGAACTGACAGCTAATGTCTCCTGTTCTATAATAGATGATATTTAGATAACTAGATAGACAGCAGATAGGCAGAGAGAGACAGACAGACATACAGACAGACAGACTCCCGACCCCTTTAGGCTTAAAGAGAATTTGAGTGGTTGTAGTGATTTCTTACTCTTATATAATAGGTATTAGTTTCTCAGTCCCTACAGTCTTAGGAAGAAGGGAGTGTTACAGCTTCTGCTGAACTAGAGGCTCCAAGGAAAGAGGCCTAGGGCCTTGTCCTGCAATGATGCAAAGGGACAGAATCCTGAATCAAGGCCTGGGAGACATACAGGGGCAGGCTGATGGACGCTGACAGTAATCAAAAATTTGAGGATTTTTAAAATTCCTCAAATTGTTTCCAGCTTAATCAAAATTCCCTCTAGACAAAACAAAACCTTCCCAAAAGTATTAAGGTTTGTAAAATTCATCCAGCAAGGCTTTTTGTGGCAGACTTCTACATGGAAACTCAATATGTAGCAGAGACACGCGCAGCTATTCCAGCAGAAACAGGGTCAGGGATGATAGCCTCCACCTTACCCTAGTCACTGAGAGCACTTCCAGCAGTTCCCATTGCCCCTCAGAAACCCCTTGGGAAACTAAGCAACATTTTAAAATTTGAACTACAAAAAACCTTTACCTATCTAGTTTCAAGAAAAGACAATAAAACAGATCCAAGGAGACCGACATTTGGGAAGCAGACAATCTCAAACTTCAGCAATTTCATAAAGAAGGCAATTTTTTTTATTTTACTTATTTTATATATTTTTACATCATTGTTCATTTTTTAACAATGTTTACTTCCCCCGCTCCAGGTGTAGTCCCCACAGAATTTCCTTCACCAATGCACCTGTGCACCATCACCTTAGTCCCCTGTGCTCCTCCCTCCCTCCCTACGACCCCTCTCCCCTACAGGATGTCTCTGATTCATAATTGTTTTTGTTTTGTTGTGTTTTGTATTGTTATTATTTTTTCCCTGATGTCTTAGTTGGTTCCCCTATATTCCTCCCATAAGTGAAACCATTCGATATTTTTCTTTCCTTCTGACTTATTTCACTGAGCATAATTCCTTCTAGCTCCATCCACGTTGCTGCAAATGGCATGAGTTTATCTTTTTTGATTGCTGAATAGTATTCCATTGTGTATATGTACCACATCTTATAAAGAACACAATTTAAATGTGGCGATGAGTTAAGGAAATATATTGTGAACATAGTAAAAGCTCTGACATGTATTTACTGCCTTCAATGACCCACCAAAAATAATACAATATTCAATTTGGGAGAGATGTTAGAGGGTGTGCAGGCCCATGTCCTGCAGGTGTAAGAGACTATGAAGTCCTGAGTAATGATCAGTATTGGTGATAGGGGAATATTCAATATGCTAGCCTGGATTCCTTTTCATTTTCTTGACTGATTAAAAGAAGGGGAAGAAGCTCTTCACTACACAACTTTTGTGGAAATATGACAAATTAAAAACTGAGCAGCTTTCTAACTTGTTTACTAATTCCATATGACCCCCTTAAGAGACACAACTAAATAGGTGTTTAAAGATTGGCAATAATTACCTCTTCTGGCACTTCTTCTGGTTCAACAGAACCAAATAGAGATTTGCACTTGGGTGTGATGTCCAACATTTTTTTCCCATAATTTATAATCATTATTGCCAGGTCATATTCCTTCCATGAACGCAGAATCTAATGGGAAAAAAAATTATTAATGATCTTTGTTGGAAACTCTTATCTATTTTCAGGTGTCATGCGGCATCTTCCATATATTCAAAAGTCCCTTGAACATTCTGGGTTTAAGAACTTCAACTTCCCTGTTTCTGTTAAGGACACTGGAAGTTTACCTGCAGATCATACCTAGAATTAAAACTACACGATCCCATTAGTTTGAAGAATGAATGAATAAGGGGAATCTCACTGATAATAAATTCCCTATCTCTCTGACACCTTTTTGGAATCTTAAGTTAACTTTTAAGTAACATTTTTACTTAAAAGATCCACATTCAAATCATTCTTAGAGACCATGTAACCACCACCTTTTGTCTTGAGTTGCTTTCTCTGAGACATGGGACACTTACAACATTGTGTCGTAAGGGGGCATTCATATCAGTAAGTGATTTCTCAGACTTTCTGGTACAAGACCAAGCTAGAGAGAAACTGGTTTTCACATTTGCTCCATGAACCCTAGGGAAAGTAAACACTATAATTCCAAGGGAAGGAGCCTGCTCTGCCCCTCTCATCCACATTCCCTCTTAGTAATTGTTATTATTTGGTTTTATCTAGTCTGGCCTGATCAACTACTCCAGTATAATCTTTCCTAGTACTTTAAGCTTACAAAATATTGAGCCAAGTACAAATTCTGACACTTAGTGTGGTTTTAGGACTTCAGATTTTCCTACATGCCTTCCTATGGCTGAACCATTTCCCAGAACAGCTTTCCCCACCATATTTATACAGCTTTTGCTGTTCATTAAGACCTGAGCTCTACCATCAATTCAGTAAAGCTTCCCTGGCCAGCAATCTGATTTGCATAGACCCTGCTGCAGTGAAGGGTCATGTGAAGGGGACACATTCATCATCAACCCCAAAGGACAATTCAATAAAGGGTATAAATAAGTCTTTATGAATGTTACATGTGGATGTATTCCGGCAAGGCAAATAAGTTAGCATTTACGAGAAGTAACAATTGTTACTTTCCATGCAGGGAAAAGATAAAATAAGGGTGCCAAAAAATAGTGAATGGCTACTCAAAACTACCTAATGCCAGGGGCGAAGAACTGGAAATATTTCTGCAAGTGTGTTAAACTTAAGCCAACTATAGAACAGAATGTGGGGAGGGAAATTATGAAATAAATATTGGAAAGGTAGATGGGAGTGAAGTCCAGCAAGGCCTTGTCCAATCTCATTATAAAACTGATATGCAAGGGAATGAATTTTGCGGGGAAGCTGACAATGGCAGCTGTTATTTTGATCATCTTTTGTCAATGCCTGTGAGACCTGCTTACCCATTTCTTGCTGTAGTCTGCAAGAAGGTACCTTAAGATTATGGCAAACTTTGGGCTCAGCAGCCTTGCTTTGGGCCTATCCTGTTTGGTTGGGCATTTGCCCAGGAAAGGATGGGAAATTTTGAGGGTTTTATTATGAAACTGTTATTAGGAATATCCTTTCTTCTCTCTCTCTGTCTGTCTTTCTCTCGCTGTCTCTCTGTCTTTCTCTCTTGCTCTGTGCACACTAATTCAATTAAAGATCTGTCATACTTAGAGTCTGCTTCCTTTATCTTTGTGTGCACCGATGGTCAGATCCCTTCAGGTGATGTACCAGCCTTAACCATTTGGGGTTCCTGGGTTCCCCTCAGTCATGTGCTAATGACCTTAACACCAAAATGTGTAACTCACTACTAGAAATGGAAAGGGCTGCTTAGTGATACTCATTCTTTCCATGGCCATTCCATATGATAATGACAGAACAGCACAGAAAGATTCTTATGATTGAAGAGAAGAATGACAAAATGGCATTGGACTACTCCACTTTCCACCCTTCCTCTTGCCTAAGGGAAGTGAAACTAACCCACCGGAGTAAGTGCATTCTTGAGAGTCTTGATTCTCTTCCCATCCCACTCTTTACAATGCCCTCAGGTGACAGCATCTGTTTATATTGCCTCAATTGAGTCCATATAGGAATGATTCCTTTGTCTTTATACATATGTGACTTCTCCTGAGCTCCAAGAATATAGGCCCAATTATTTAATGACTGCCCCTATGGATCGCCTATACACCCTAAAATTCAATATATTCAAAACTCATTATCTTTTTCCCTTCCCCATACAAAATTAATTCTCATCCAGGGCTAACAAATAGCATTGTGTACACCCAACTGCCTGGGCCAGATAGATAGCTGGATATGTTGATTCTTCCCTCTCCCTCTTTTATCTCCTCATATTTAAAGATTTATTTATTTATGCATACACGAACTGGGGCACAGGCCAGAGGTGTGAGGGCTGGGAGGATTCACCAAAGACAGAGTGAGGAACAGAACAGGCAAATCAACTGAAACACACTGCTGAGGGGAGCAGTGGGGAAGTCAGGAGAGGTGCCATGTGGGTTGCTCCCTGGCCAGGGATCGAACTCCTGTTGCAGTGGCTATGGATAGCTTCATAGGTTGCGTCTTAACCCCTTGCTCCACCAGGGAGTCCCCTCATATTTAATAGGTTTCAGATTCTCAAATTCATCTCAAAAATGACTCTTGAATCCTTTCAATTTCCTCTCCCACTTTTCCACACTAGTTTAGTTTATCATCTTACCATCTAACTCACTTCCTGCCTCAGATGTTATCTCCCTCTAATTATTAGCTGTAGTGCAACCAGAATATATTTTTCCTAAGATGCAAATCTCATTATGTCATTCCTGGCTTTGAAATCCTCAAATGGCTCCTCTCTGATTTCCGAAGATGCCATTCATCACTAGTACTTGTCCACTACACTCCACTTTTTAAGATCGCTGAAACATTTCATTATATCTTACATAATTAAATATAAATCTGATTCTTCTTTTCCCAAACTGCAAAATTATTTCCTATTTTTCTCACTGATTATTACCTGAGGCAGTCAATGTTAATAATCCTATATCTGTCATTTTTTTAGTATTTGTGTTTAGGCTGACTTTATAATTTCTTACCTCAAAAACATATTTTAATTATCATGTAATCTAATGATCTTCTTCTGTTTATTTTTTGAATTATGTGTCCTACTGAGAAAGGCTTCCCCTGGCTTCAAGGTCATACAAATATCCTCAAATCCATTTGGTCTTTATTTTGTTTGTGGTATGAGGTAGGGTTCTGGTTTTGTTTATTTTCAGATGATCAGTCAATTACACCAGCACCTTTTCTTAAGTAAACGCATAGTAAATTATTTTCTCAATGAAGCCAAAGGCCACTTTGCTCATATATTAAGTTCTTCTGTAGACCTGGAGTTATTCCTGAACTTTATTCTATGCTACCAAACTGTTTGCCCATTCCTGTGTTAATACCATTTTTCATTGATGTAGCTTCATCGTAAATTTTAATATCTATTGAGGACTTTTAAATTATTCTAATCAGTTTCAGAGACACCCCATTGGGACTCTGATTAGAACTGCATTGCATTTAAGTAGTATTTTTGGAAGGATTTATATTTCTATGACAGCAGGTCTTCCTACTAATGATGTGGTGTGACCTGCATATGTTCAGATCTTATTTTGTGTCCTTCAGTAAGATTTCACAATTCATTTCTTTAGGCCCTTAATACTTTGTTAAATTTAAAACATTGTGTGTTTTAAGTGTTATGTTTTCCCCTCTCCATTTCTAACGCTAAGTATATTTTTTAAATCAGTTCGTAACTGTTACAAACTGTGACTCACTTTATAATTTCTCTTTCAAATTCTAGTAATTTTTACTTGATCCTTATGGGTTTTTGAGACCTCTAAAATTGCAGATAAATTATGCTTTATAGATGATTTCATACCTTTATCAATTGCATGAGAGAACCTCTAAATATACTGAACCGCATTATTTAGCCAGCATCTGCTTCCTGTGCTTGATTTCTAAGGAAACATCTTCAGAAATTCAGCATTTAGCATGATGTTTACTATAAAGTGTTGGCAAATGCCAAATAGCTTTCTTCCATCCCTGACTTATTTAGAAATTTTACTGGGAAAGCTTGCTAGGTGTTATCAAACGCTTTTGTAGCATTTTTATATAGTTATATTGGTTTTTTTCTCCCTGAATTTGCTTTTGTAAAAAATTCATGGTTTTATTCAGACTTAATCTTTTATAACTTGATGATGAGACTGTGCTAAGAGCCATCCAGGAACAGAGGAGAGAGGAGCCATCTGACAATGTTGAAGAACATTCTATAATGCTTCTCTCTATCCTGCCTAATGTCTTGGGTCCTGAATTCTGCTTTTTCTGACATAACAATAGTTCCTTTTTTGTTTGCATTTTTCCCATTACCTTTACCTGCCCATTTATTTTTCAACCATTGTTTGTCACTTTGTTTTACAAGTGTTTCTTGGTATAATATACATTGGAATCTGACTTTTTGGCCCATCTAACAGTCTCTGTCTTCTGAGTTCATCCACTTGGTGAATATATTTTATCCCTCCCACCTTAAATACAATCTCCTTTTCTTTCTCACTTTTGCTGAAATAGACAATTTCCCCTTTTTCTGCTCATTTTTCCTTCCAGATAATTGAGAAGTCCTACTGTGCTTTAAAGTTCTGTTCATGGTTACATTTCTCCTGAGTTATCTTTCAATATATGTATCATATCAAAAGAAATCAATGCATTTATATAATGTGCATTTTTAAAATGTACAACCATGCACTAAAAATCTCTACCTGCTCACCTCCCTTAACCCCAGACAGAATGGAAATTTTAGTTCTAGGTTACTATGAAGTTTTTCTTTCCAAGATGACTCTTTGATTTTAAGAATCCCTACTTAGCATTTATATTACAAAGTCCTAGTCACATCATTATAATATCTATTTAATTTTAATAATACATATATTGCAAGATTCATTGCTACCATTCTTCCTCTCCTTATTGTCTTTCCCTGTCTTGGGATTTCTGTTCTGAATCAATTGTCATTTGATAGAGTATTTCCTCAAGTGTTTTCCTCAAATAAGTACATGGGCAGAATACTTTTTAAATGCCTATACTTCTGAAGATGTTTAGTTTGCCTGACAAATGAGATCTTTTCTGGTTATTAATTTGTGGACCATGAACATTTTCCCTCAGGATTCTACAATTGTTGTGCCAGTATTTTAACTTTGAATATTGCCAGTAAAAAGTTTGAAGAAAATTGATTCTCTCCATTGCATATTACCTGTCTTGTGGTTCTCAAAATTTTAAGATTGCCCTTATGCTTGGACTTTAGGAATTTTATCAACATGTGTCTATCACACATACCTTACTACATTAATCCTGTCTATGACCCGGGGAGCCTGTTACTTCTTCATTTGTTTCTTTTTCTACCTCCAGAGCTTCTTTTATGTCATTCTATGACTTCTTCATCTACCTTCTGGATTTATCTCTAGGTAATTCTGTTCTATGTTACAAAATATTTTTTGAGCTTCCATATCAACTTAAGAAATAACATACTCTTCATGTTTCATCTGTTTAATCAAAAATGAAATTTGTTTAGTTACAGGAGGTATTTTTGATTTTGGTTTTGATCACCTAATTGTATCACATTGAAAGCTTTCCTTTCTTAAGTCATAATTTCCAAAATAATGAGAGCAAATAACATTATTGTAGGATGTTACTTGCTCTTCCCCCTTGTACTTCTAGGTCCTCTTTCTGCTAATGGTTTATGCTGCCTCTGCAACTGTACAAGCCAGGCCATAAAGGTCTCTCCAGTTGTGGAAAATGAGTGATAGAAGGAATATACTTTTTTATTCTGGAGATCAGACCATAAAGTTCTCAAATCATGATCTCTTTACTAAAGTAGAGGGTAGAGGCATTTCTGCAGCCAAAGCTCCAGAGAAGTCCTGATTAAAGTGATGAATCAATCCAGGCAACTATGAAGAAGTATTCCAGAACCCTGGCCGAATCAGAAAGGTCCTGCCAGAACTACACCAAACAGTCAGGCACATATGGCCCTTCTTTGAGGAAACTCACTGCATTCAGTGAATCTCTTTGAACAAACATACAATGCTGATCTTTAAGCTAAGCAAAAAGGAGAATAAGCAGTCCCTCTCCCACTTTTCCTTAGTTCTTTCGTATTTCCAAGGTGAATGAGTTCCCATAAAATTCCTTCTCCCACCAACCCCCAACCCTGGTCTAAGATATACCCCCTGGCTTTACCAACTGATATGTTTGAGCTACTATAACAACTGAAAGAGGAGTTAGTTAAATCTTGTCTATGATCCCAATTGCCTCTTAGTCATTGTTATAGTAGCTAAATTCAGATGCCAATGTTAATCGTTTGGTGACCATTCTTCCTGTAGTCCGATTGCCCTCATTGTTTAATTTCAGCATGCCTGAACTGCTCCCCACCAACCTCCCTTTTCCCTCATCATGAGGCTCTTAATCTAGGTCTTCAGACTCTGCTGCCTAATCTCTGGCTACCATATCCACAGCCGATGCGATTACTCTCTCCACTTGTTTGGAAAGAGCATCCTTAGATGTTTTCACATTCCAAACCCAATTTGCTCTGTGTGTGTTATTGTAAATACACTGATCTTGTATGTACTCTGACCACACTTCTGCCTATGTCTTCTTCCTGGCTTAGATTCCAGACAGATCACTCTTAATTGATAGTCTGACTTCACCTCTACAACTTGTTTGGTTCAACAACAAGCACACCAATCTCAGAAATATCCTTACGCTCTGTGCCCTTACTTTCAGACCTAACATTGTTCTTAATATTCTGATTTCCTGGGATTATCATACATTTCCTTTATGCAATGATCCAGCATTCATTACCCTGCCACTTCATCTCTTGGCATCTTCTAAGCCACTGTCCTAACTCGGTCCTCGAGTTAAGACACTTCAGGTCTGCCTGTAGTTTTTCCCCTGAGATCACAACTTGACAAGAAGCTACACAGATTGCAGTACTATAAATCATTGATGTTCTTGGGTTTTGAAATAAATTTGTTCTGTGTGACAATATGTAATTCTTATAAAATATACTAATGCTGTCTCAAAACATCAAAACACCACAAATTTGTCCAAAAGTTCTATAACAGATTGCTATTAAGTCATGTTTACACTTTTACATTTCCTTTGATACAAACTGCTTTGGGGTTGTAATTTTCAAAGTACTCTAGTTATTGTGATTAAAGGTAGTGTATTTCTAAATAATTACCGTTCCTGAATTTTATCATAGTAAACAAAACAGGAGATAAATACCTTTGTTATATAGAAGATACAACAAGCTATCATGTGCTGTAAACTTTCAAAATTCGCCACATGTTTCCTGGAGTGGACGACATGTGGAAGTCCTTGCAAAGCCACTATGCATTTTATCAAGATCTGAAAACAAACACAAAGGTTTTTGTTAAAAACTATCATTCTTACTCATTATTAAACATTCTATGCCAATCATGCAAGTTTTAAGCCATCAAATTTTACTGTTACAAATTATTATTGATAAATCACATGTATAAAGGAGTATACTCTCCCATAAAATTGATATACTCAATTTTTAGATGCATTCCTTGAAAACTAGCAGAGAGGATAAAATAAATGCATAAGTGACTGTAAAATAAAGCACACTTTGACAAATCTACAATAGATCTGGTAGAATGTAGGATGTATACCAGCAACTAAAGATCACATCCAGGCTTAAAATATGCTATAAATATAATCAAATATGTTTTCTCCTTTTGTTTCTAAAGAGTTCTGTCTTGGTTAGAAATGGTTCTCCTAATCCCGGATTGCATATGTAATCTCCTGGGGTTATTTTTCATAAAAATTTTGCTTTGTTTTACATTTAAGTCATTAATAAGTTTGAACTTTTTTTGTAGAGTACAAATAAAGGTCAAATCTACCTTCTCTCAGATGACTAATCCAGTGCTTCACCACCATTTTCTAAAAATATCCATTCCCTTCCCACTGAATTGGAATGACAATTCTGTCATATACATGAGGCTATTTCTGGAATCTCTCTCTGCTCCACTCTTTTCCTATTCTAAATGATATAATTTAATTAGAAATTCCTTGCTGAAAGCTTTTTCTCATAGCTATCACCCACTCTGTAAGTTGTAGCTAAAGGCATCCTGAATCAGTAGTATTCTAGAATATGACAGCAGACTATCCTGGACTCAACCAATTGACCACCAATCTCAGCTGGTGCTCCTAGCTGTTATCTTTGCTAGAGCACAGTAAAAGTCAAGTGCTGATGTGACTAATGTTTTCTTTTCTGTCCTGTTAGGAAGAAGTACCAGAAGTTCCCACTCATGTTGAGCAGGCAAGAATATACAATCTTGCCCCAAGGCAACAATAATTATCCCACCCTCTGAAATAATACTTTAAGAAAGGGCCCAAACTTCCTAGACATTTCTAAGATGTGAAAAGATCTGAACGCTGCAACTCTATGCCAGTAACATTGTTAATCAGGCCTCATAAACAAGAAATGGCAAGCACTTTGAAAACATGGATAAGACACTTGTCTCCCAAGGGTAGAAATAAGTCCTAAAAAGATGCAAAGGTCTGACACATTAATGAACTATCTGGAGCATCCTGGCACACCTATCCAGAGTAGGTCTCGTATCTGCCATCTCTCCTATCTAGAAAGAAAAGACAATGCTATGAAGACAGACACCTTTTGATTCTGGAAGAAGTGCACTTCACTTTAATAATACACTCTGAATAAATATTGCTGTTCTAATATTGTAAGAACATAAACATTTAAATGGCTTTGAAAACCTAGCAAAGCAGGGCCTCCCCGGTGGCACAGTGGTTGAGCACTGGGTTGCGAAGGTGTCCACAGCCTCTGCAGCACCAGTTCGCTCCCCGGCCGCCAGGCAAGGGTCCCACATGGCGCACAGACCTGTCCTGCTGCCCGCTGCTCCCCTCAGCAGTGTACTTCGTCACTCTGCCTGTTCTGCTCTCTGCTCTGGCTCTGGTGAATTCTCTCACCCTCCACGCTTCTGACCGTACCCAGTGCTTGTATAAATAAATAAATAAATCTTAAAAAAAAAAAAAACCTAGCAAAGCGAATGGTCAATATTTAAATATGGGCAGCAGCAGGACTGAACATTTTCAGAGAAACACATTTGAAGTCTTTGTGATAGCCCAGACATATAATATAAATTATTAAAATGATTTTCAGTGAACTCATGAAATTTCAGACTTATTCTTGACCTATTTGTACTTCATAAGAGATACACTGCTGTCTGTTTTTTTGGAAATGTATTGATGAACTGCATTTGTAAAAAATATCCTTGGCTGGTGGAAGGAGGGAGGAGCACCCTTACCTGGACAACAGGTACCAAGACAATATTGTGATAGATTATAGGAGCAAGGAGCCCATAACATTGAGTCACAGCTTGAAGGGTATAACTGGAATCATTCAGGTAGTTGCTAAGTTCCAATGCCACTAATACTCTCTCACATTCAATTAGTCTAGCAATCTGTAAAAAATAAAAAAAAAAACCAGTATTGTTAACCATATTGAATACCAACTGCTTAATTAATGTTTATCTTAGAAGACAATAGGGCAGTAAATATGATCCTTGTGAATTAACAACAGCATATTGGTATGAAAAAAATCTAAATTTAACAACTACTTCAACTACCCAATCATCCTATCTATGGTTAATACAGTTTTAGAATTAAACTTCAGAAATTTTTGTAAATAATACAAGTACCACTAATAAGGGAAGGAAACCAAACTTTCTTTAATTGCTAAGATACATTCTTGGCTGTCCTTTAGTGCTAGAAAAATATCTATTTTTTTAAAGGAAGTTATAACAAATAATAATTATAATATTCCTGTAATATTCTCCCCACTTGATTAACCAAGTCTCATTTTCCTTTTGGATTTGTGAGAAAGTGGTAAATTCTCAGTAGACCAAAGATATAAAGTTAGATTAAATGACACAAAGAACAAGATTCCTATCTTACTCCTCCTTCCCTTTCCTGGGGAAAGGTTTCATTTGTCCATATGTACACATAATATTCTATACAAGTGGCAACCAGAAATTTTTATATAGCAAATTGTCATGAGAATGGAAGGCTGGCATTCTAGAATTCACTGAAGTACTTAAAGATTGTCTTTATTTTCAGACTGGGTACTGAAAGAAAACTGAATAGATGGTATAAACAGACTTATGGCTGTGAGTGGTTGGATTTTACAAAGCTGTGAACTTGTCTTCAGCCAAAGGTCATGCTTTTTCACTTTTATACCTCAGATATTGGCACAGCCTTCGGTAATGATTTATTGGCTGGTCAATTAATTGATGGGTAAGGAAAAGAACTGTAAAATGAAAACCTAAGGCAAAAGTCTACATATATCTAAGGTAAGGAAGAGAGAGAGGAAGAATGAACCTCAAGCTAGAATAGAAAAAAAATAATGTAGGATTGTTATTAAAAGCAGAAGATATATATCAAGCAACATTTATAAAGAAGCACCCTGAGAATCTATCAATAATTATCAGAAAAAGGTTGAATTCTTATCTGTACAGGAATGCAATATTATAATTTTTAAAAAGTGGTAATGTGATATATACTAGAATGAAAATATATCCAGGATAAAATTTAAGACATGTTAAAAAGACAAGTTGCAGAATAGTAAGTAGATCATGATTCCATTTTTGTATAATAATAAATTACAATAACATTTTCTCTATGCATAACAGTTTTTTGTCTATGCATATTTTTTTCAAATTGGAGATATCAGGTGAAAACAAAAGCATAGTATTCTCAGGGGCAATGAATTACAATGGGTTTCACCTTATATAGTATACATTTTCAAATACTTGAAATTTATACTACTTTTGTACAAGGGGAAAAAAGATAAATTGAAAAGAAGGAAAAAATCAACTCAGGCCTTCGAAACCTACAAGGAATATCAAATAAACCAGCTCATTTAATGGCCTCTCAGTCCATACACAAACAAGAACGTGCAATCCCCAAGGAACATGAGCTTGAAACGTCAAGAAACAAATAAAGGTAAATTGGCACATTTTCAGTCATTTTTAATTCACTTACTTGTTGAGAGGGGAAAATCTCATTGCCTTTAATATTGTCACAGAAAAGATTTTCTTCTTTAATTTTAATGTCACTTGTTACAAAAATATTTCTAAGAAAAAGGTATAAGAGGATTGAAGACGTCTCTGCCAAAATATCTGGATATAATCTGCAAAAGCAAATAAATGGTATTACAGATCTAAATACAAAATGATTTAGCATGTGAACTCACCTTTTTAGATGAACTTGTTCTTACTATCCACATAATGATACCAGGAGAGCAGGCAAAATTTGTGGGATAGTCTCTTTTGTAGTCTTTAAATTAATATTAAAGACTAACTTTAACAATTAAGAAAATGAAGTTGCTGAGGTTCCGTCTAAGATGCATGAAAGTAAATACTGGTAGAGAGTTCTGGTTCTAACATATAAAATTATTTTCTATCACTATAATGAGATCACTATGTATATTCAGAAGCCTGTAAAATAGTGCCAGTATTTTAATTAATGAATTTTAATGAAAACGAGGGTCATTAATAGTAAAATCAGCCATGGAGAGAATAGCATGGGGGAAAAGGTTGAAAGACAGAAAATTAATAACTCTTGGGACATTTCTAATTATCTTTTCTAAACTGTAGTCAACAGTGTCAGCCATCGGCAAAACAGAGAAAGCCACAATCTTCCTTCTTTGCTTCCAATATTCCCTTCCTTGCCCTTAGGCATACTTGGAAACAAGCCCGCCCCCACTAAATTTTTCTCACCCTCTCCTATACCTATACCTATACCTCTCCTATACCTGAAGTAAGAAAGGCTCTGACTTCAGTAAATCACACTTGTAGGTGATCTGTTTAACAACATGTTGAATTCTGAAATGGTCTTTGCCAGGAGAATGGGAGCTCCCCCACTCCTGCAACTCACACTCAGCATTCCTTGGTCCTCAGGATGTCTGCCAGCACCTTGACAGGTGTGATGACTGCATCCTCTTGGCTTCCTACTTTCCCTGCCCAGCTCAGATGCTGGTCAGTCATTTCCACAGTGACTTTTCCAGTACTTTCAACTCTGTACCCTTTGTCTTATGCAACAGTCCATTTGCTTTACCTCGAAGAAATGTCACTGTCCAATTGTGATATTTCTGTTCAATTTTTCTGTCTCCAAAATTTTTCTATCAGCCAAAATTGTCAATCGCTTGTCCATTCTCCTCATTCATCCTTGTCTTCATTCAAACTAGCATCTGCTGAACACCTACTGTGAACAAGACTATTTAGGCCTTAGGATACAAAGTCTAATCAAACATGGCCCTGAGCCACAAGAAACTGGAGCCTGCTACAAATTCATTCCCTGTGACATCAGTGGAGTCATTAGTACTTCTCAACAACAGTTCTCTTTAGCCCTCATGTCACCTTAGTCACATTGCCCACAGCAAACGTCTTACTGTCACTGTGCCATCATCACCTGCATGTTCTTATATCCTTAGTCTCTCCACCTCCACTGGCTCTCCACTCTCCACCTTCTAAATTCTTTCATTAAGCCTGTCTTCTCCCTAAAATTTCTTCCCAGCTTCCTTATCCCTTTATACCAAACTTCAGATGAGGAGTCTTTGTTTGTTATCATTCTCCATTTTCATTTATTCTTTATCCAACTGCAAAAAATTTCTGGTCTTCAGAAATCACAAAAATGGCTCTCGTGAACTCACCAGTGGCCTCTCAATTGTCAACTCTAAAAGTCTCCTCTTAGTTTCATTCTGCCCTAGCTCTCTGTAGCGTTTAATTGAGCAACTAATTGCACTTTCTTCCAATGCTGTTAGCCAGTCCCTCTGTGGTGATACTTTCACTTCCCTTGGCAGTGCAGTTTCCCAGACTTTCACCTCCTGGATTGCTCCTTCTCAATCACCTTTCTTAGGGTTCCACCCCAGTCTTCCATCTTTTCTGCTAAACACTCATCTATGGGGAGATCTCACTGTCAAAATTTCAATGATGACCTCAACAGACAATTTTCAATCCGTATCTCTAGCTTCCACCTTTCTTCTTTCTTCTTCTGACCCATCAGACAATGACCTTAACTCTAATTGATCTTTTTCTATTACAAAAGTCCTTAATGCCTGTTTGTGCTTTCTAGTATATGTGAAATTATGCTGGTTAATATTCAGGGTTTTTTTCCACATCCTTCATTACCTTATATGCCAAATGCAGCCATATGCCTACAGTGTTTTTTCTGACTCTAATGAGGATGCTTACAAACCTTTAAACAACTTCTTAGGGGGAGGAGCAATTGTATGGGGAATATAACCAAAATGAAAATGCATACATTGTGCAAAGATGAAAAAAGATGTAAGAATTATATAAAATAAAATATGTAAATAAAATAAATAAACAATAAACAATACCCAATTAAAAAAATAGTCTTAGGAGATCTTATGGAGATCTTAAGATGAAATTGAAAAGAAATTAATTCTAGGTTTCACACACAACATCCATATTTTCAATAAGAAAATCGATCCTTTAAAAGAATATTACCTTCTTTGTGTAATCGTCATTATATTGCTTAAAGAGATCACAGATTGTTCATCATGACGTGGTGAAGCAACAAAATAATCCCAAACTGGTGAGAAAACTTTCTTAGCCAACTCATAATTGCCAATCTGATAGGCGCCCTATGACAAAAAGCACATAGTCTTATGCAATGTTTTCATTTGTGATATGTTTATTTTAAAGAAGGATCCTATCATGCTGATCTCATCTATAATTTTTCACATGTGCTATTGTGTTCTACAGTGCAACAGTCAGGTAACAACGGCCACTGGCAGGGGAGACAGGCACATTTTGAAATCTCTTTTATTTCTAAATTGCATGGAAATTTGAAACTCTGTAAGGATGTTTCAAATTCTCATAAGCAAAACAAAGATCACATCTGAGCCAAATTAATTTCATTTCCATCTATCTCGGCAGCGCGCTCCATTTATTACAGACACTGTTATAATGAACAATCTGTTCCAAGAGAAACAATCAGATTTCCCAAAACCAAAATATGAAATATACTTCATTCTTTTCAGGTTCTGACTGACACTTTCAGAGTTTTTGTGCAACAAAAGGTTCACAGCTGAAAAGAGTGAAGAATTAAATAGAGACACTTCCGAGAAGCCATGATCCGTTTTGAGGTTAATACATTCAACATCAGGCAAAATAGCGACTTCACTGGTATAACCTAGAAGCTTAAGAGAAGATAAAAACAGTGACTTACCTATTTCTCCTGGTAGAATATATTTCTTTAATGATATTTCTAAAACTCCTTCCATTTAAATATGAATAACAATATGAAATCTCACCAAATGAATGGTGAGCTATTTCAGTCTTTAAAGGAACCAGGCAGGATATAAAGTATAAACAAATTGATTGAATGAAATATGTAAATAACATGTTGCCAGAGTATGTTCCACTCAAGGGAATAGCTTAGAGGGCCAGAACTTTTTAAATCTGCCAAGTCAGTACTCATACTCTAATGAGGTTTCTACTGTGTGCTAAGTTCTGTTAAGAAAGATTCTTCAAAGCTTAAAGTGATCTCATATTTCATGAACTGTACTCAAGTTATAGATATGAAATCACAGAAAAACTACAAAGAATAACATAATAATTACAGGGCTTGAATAAGGAGAAATGAAGACTTCAAGGAGGAGAAAGGGCTGGAGTTGATCCCTAAGGTTGGGTGGAGAATCAGACAGGCACAGTTTGGACAGAAACTGAGAAAAGGTTCCATATTGGAAGCCACCACTATGCATTCAGCAAAGACTGGAAGGACAGGTCAAAATGTAAATAAAAATGGGGAGGATGATCAGGCAGGTAAAGTGGGACCTGATTTCAGAGGGAATGAAAATCAGGTGGAAGCCTTTAAAGATGCCAAGTACCAGACTAAGCACCTTTTGTCATTATTGTGCTGACTCTTCAATGACTGATGTATGAAGAGAGCTTGATTAGCCTCCTTGTTTCAGATGAGGAAACTGCGACATGGAGTTGAAATTTGTACAGAAACTAACATTCAGTTAAAATAGTGGAGCTGAGACTTTGAGAGGTAAATGACTCACTTTCCTGAGCTACTTCGGTTAAATGAAGAAGTTGAACTAAATTAGTATCAGATGATTTTAAGATTTTTCATGGTGAATAACAACAGATGATGTCTATGGGAGTGAGTGAAACTATCATGGAATGTTCTTTCTTTTAAAATATATACCATTTCCAAAATATTATTATTTATTCAATTAGTGACCATTGCAAAAACAAGAAAGAATGCCATGAAAAAACAGCTTTATCAAGGCATCTGTGTACCTTCACAGAGGAAGACTCTGATACAAGCAGGTTCAAAGGTGGTTAACTAGTAGTTGTATGCAAGGTAGAGTTAAGGAGAGGGATAAAAATAAGAAAGAAGCACTAAAAGAAAAAGAAAGTACAGTACAGTCCTCCTTGATATACAGCCTTCACTCACCTTCCAGAACTCCACTCTTGGCTTTCTTTTACTGTATTTCTTTTCAGATGCCTTTGCAAGCTCTTCTTTTCCCCAAACTCTTTATAAGGGAGTGACCCAGGGCTCAGACTTTGAACCTCTCCTTTTCTTCATCTACTCTCATTTTAGCCCAATGGCTTTCACTGTCTCATGACCACTTTCAAATTCCTCTCCTGCCTTCCCAAACTCTCCCAAACTGCAAATACACACATCAGACTGCTCAATAATTCTCACTAAATATGGAACAATCTTATACTAATGTGCCTCATTTACACTACACACAGATGTCCCCAACCTAGATGATGTCAACTTTAGCTATCCAGTTGGTCAACTCAATATCTGAGAGTTATCTCTTTTTTCTTTATATTATTTCCATCATTAACTTGTTAACTGCACCTTTAAAACACAACCATAATCTGATCACTTCTCACCACCTCAAACTACTGTCATACCGACCAAGAAACACTCAAATCTCATAGGATTACAGTAACAAATGCGTTCATCTGCTTCCATTCTTACTCCCTAAGGCCTGTTCCCATCATAGCAACTGAAGGCGATCCTTTGAAAGTAAAAGTTCACGTCATATCATCCCACTACTCAAAACCTTCAAAGGTTGCCTATTTCACTCAAAGTAAAATCCAAAATTTTTACAATGGTTTAGAAATAATTTCATGGTCTGCATCCCCAATCCACCCACTCACCTCTTACTTCTCTGACCAATTTCTTTTCATTCTCCATGAGTTCCTCTGCTCCAGACAGAGCCCCTTGGTGTTTATGAAACATACCAGATGCAATTCTGGAAATCTTAGAGCTTTCCTCCCTCTATAGAATGCTCTTCCTCCAAAAGCCTCTCCCCTCACCTCCTCCAAGTCTCTGCTCAAAACTCACATTCTGGGTAAGGTCTCCCCTGATCACCCTATTTTACTCTGTAACCTATTTTTCATTATCCACTTTATATTTCCAGTTCCTCTTACCATACACTAACATCTCATTTTATAGCACTTACTTTCCAACATACTACGTAATTCCCTTGTGTTCATTGCTTTTTACCTATTTCCCACAATGACATTTTGTTCATTTGGTTTAGAATGGTAGTTGTCAAAGTGTGGCGCCTTGACCATCAGCATCAGCACTGCCTTGAAATTGTTAAGAAATGCAAAATTCTTGGGCTTCACCCCAGATCTACGGAATCATAAAGTCTGGCAGTGGGGCCCACAATAGTTTAACCAGCATTGCAGCTCATTCTTGTGCACACTTAAGTTTTAGAATCATTAACCTAGAGCAAATTCATCACAGACTAAGTGCTCACTAGAAATGTGTTTGATGATTTTTAAAATCCTCTTTTCCTGATGACTTCCTTCTACCCACAGAAGAGGACACCTAGCAATTATACTGTACTATCATGTGGCTGACTAGTCCAGGAATGAGTACCCGACTCCAGCTGGGTGTTTTATAGCCTCCCATCAAAGTGAGATGAACCCCCTACCTAGAGTTTGGTTCTAAAGTGGAGGCTGATTACACTCCATGCACCAGGAGAATTTGAGAGAAAGTTTATTGCTCATACAAGGGTTCCCAAGGAGAGATAGGCAGGCACAAGCAGGTCTGGCTTGGACAATGCAGAAAGAATGTGTTGGGCCTTAATCATTGACTTGGGAGTTGGACTTGGGAAACTTCCTGCTAGCGGGAAGCTTTAAATTTCCTCCTGGCTCCAAAGGTGAAGGTAAGCTCACAGACCTCCTGATCAAGCTTGCCCAGGTATAAAACCAATGGAAGAAAAAAAGGATGAGCTTTAAAAACAAGGATGTGATCAAATATCAAGAATGAAGACTGGGCCTCCCTGGTGGCACAGGCAGTTGAGCGCCACACTGTGAAGTTGTCCACAGCCACTGCAGCGTGGATTCCATCCCCGCTGGCCGGCAAGAATCCCAGATGGTGCCACAGACCTCTCCTGTCCCCTCAGCAGTGTATTTCGGTCCGTCTGCCTGTTCTGCTCCCCACTCTGTCTCTGGAGGATCCCCTCAACCTCCCGCGCATCTGGCCTGTACCCCAGCACTTGTATGAATAAAATAAATCTTTAAAAAAAAAAAAAGGTCTCCCCTGGTGGCACAGCGGTTGAGCGCTGGGCTGAGAGGCTGCCCACAGCCTCTGCAGCGCCAGTTCGTTCCCGGCCGCCGGCAAGGGTCCCACAAAAAAATAAATAAATAAATATATAAATAAAGAAAAAACAATGAAAACCAACTCTTTATTACATTGGGTGAGCCAGTCAGAATTGCTTATCCAGGAATTTGGAATCAAGAGTATGAGCCACCTAGCTGATCTCTGTAGCTGAAACTAAGGGATAGATAAAAATTCAGGAGCTGCCATTTTCCACCAAAGATGGAAAAGTAAAGACAGTCAATCACTGGAGAGAGAAAAAGAAAGCAGGTTATAGATTCAAAGGTCTGAGGACCAGAGCTGTGTGGACCCCACAGCCTTCCCAGCTCCCAGTCTCAACCCCGCAAACCAGGCTATTTCTCTCACTTGCATCCAGGGTCTCAACTAAAACCGTAAGTCAAAAATCATCTAAACAAGGGCTATTGTTATGGTAATGAGATCAGTACAAAGACAGTTGAAAGGAGGAAATGACATCTAGCATAGGATCTGGAACAAAATCAACATTGAATAAATAATAAATAAATGAGTAGAGTTAGTAGCAATATTCAGTTAGAAAATGAGAAGGAAGAGCTGAAACTTGCAAAGAAGTTTAAAAATGGAGAGATGATTATGTTTTAGCTGGAAGTTTTCTTTTTTTTTAATTTAAATGGTCATCGACTAAAATAATACCTCTATTAATCAAAGAGTTTCAATGGATTCATACATGAAGTGAGAAAAAAATGTATGAACTTCATTTTCCTCTCTCCTGCCACCACTGTGGTAACTGACAAAGCATTAAACTCAACTGCCAGTTCTTATCAAAACCTGATGCGCAACACCAACCCACGCAGAGAAGAGATGGGGGGATGCAGGCTCTGAAAGAACTTGGCATATATTAGAGGTTGAACACATGACACCCTTACAGCCTGGCCAGAGCAGGAGAAGCGCATGAGCTGCTTCACGTGTCAAGTTTACATGTGCTACCAGAGTAACCTTGTATAAATCACTTAACCTCCCTGAGACACCCTTTCTTGGAATAAGATGGAATTGGTAGAGAAAAGATTAATCTCTATTTCCTCAGCTATAAAAGTCATACTATTGGGGGCTTCCCTAGTGGTGCAAGGGGTTAAAACGCAGTACTATGAAGCTATCCGCAGCCACTGCAGCACAAGTTCGATCCCCGGCCAGGGAGGTGACCCACATGGCGCAGCAGACCTCTCCTGACTCACCCCACTGCTCCCCTCAGCAGTGTATTTCAGCCAATCAGTGTATTTCAGTCAACTCTGTCTCTGGTGAATCCTCTCACTCCCCACACCTCTGGCCTGCACCTCAGCTCTTGTATGCATAAATAAATAAATCTTAAAAAAAATAAATAAAAAATAAAAGTCATACTATCATTTCATTGAGTCATTGTAATAAATGGAATAATGAATTTTAAAATGTCTGACACTCAGTAGTGTTTTAATAAGTGACATTCCCCATTTTTTATGTCAACGAGCCATTGTGCTCCTTCACTGTCTGATTCAATAATCCAGGAGTATTTGCATTTGTTCTTATATCCGTTTTACGGATAGTGAAATTGAGACCAAGCAACTTGTCTAAAAGCATAATCTCTAAGGTCAAAATTAAAATCCTGACCACAGAAGTCTAATTTTCAATGTTTTGTAAATATTATGCAGCTGGCTCAAAGTTGAAAGGGAAGAATAAAAAGAAATAAAGTTATAAAGAGGAAAAACATTGGAAAATATCCAGAAAATATAACTCATAGTTTCCCCCCTCCAAAAAATTTTCAGAGCACCTTAATTGGTGGATCTCTACATTAAAAAAAAAAACCTAGTAAAGATTTGTCTGATTTTATTAACATCTACAGAACAATGTTGAATAAAAGTTTAACCTAAAATCCCAAACCTAGTCAGTCATAGGCATTTGCTGAAATATATCCCTATTTTACTATATTTGTAATAATATTTCTTGAAGAACAGAATTGTCCTAAAAGTTAACCACCTTCATGAAAAACAGATTGAAGTTCCCAAAGAAAGGTACATTTACTTGATGGAAATTAAAAACTGAAATCTAAGTTGCAAATTGAGTAGGTTTACTAAGTGAGAAGATTTTGCTTCAGCCACTTAATATTATGAGAGAGAATGCTCATAAACTGTCATAACTGAACGCCAGCGCTGCAAATATAGTGTCAATAAAGAAACACAGGTCATTACTTTATGACACTTCTCATTATCTCAGCAGTAAGCCTGGACTTAGTTTTATTAACTTTCAATGAAAGTTCTGCCAAATGAAGCCCAAGAGTCAAACCACTCCCTGGAGAAAAATTAGGCCTTGATGAAATATTCGGTTCCTCACTTTGAAATAACTCCATCACTGCAAATTAGAGAATATATTAGATTCCAAAGAAATAAAAACATCAGAAAACCATGAGCCAATTTGACATGCTAAACCAATGCTAGACAAATCCTAGCAATTCTCTCAATTTAATTTTCTTTGAAAAATATGATAATATAAAATGCCACTAAGATCTTATAGTCTATAATACTAATAAACTCTTAAGAGAAAAAAATAGCACCATGGAAATATGATAAAATTTAGAATAGCCATCAGCTCTACAGCCGCTTAAAATTAGATGTTGAGACTTAGGTGAATGAATCATTATTTTTAGCACCCCACTCATTTGTGATATTTTAAGTCAGTCAGTCATTTCAACATAAGGATTAATTCATTAATATATCCATAATTAAAAACAATAATATATCTTAAATGCCTACTGTGTGATAAGTGCCATTGGTTAAGCATTTGACATGCATAATTCAAGTTACTACTTATAATAGCTCTGGGAGGCAGTTACTATTATTATTTCCACTTCACAGATGAAATTCCTTGCCAATATCACATAACTCACGTAAGGAGCTGAAATTTGAACTCAGGTATATTTGTCTCTATTATCTCAGACATTTCACTTCTATAAATTTATCCCACAAAAGTAACCATGGATGCAGGCAAAAACAAAATTATATACAAAGATACGCACCACAGCTTTGCTTATAAATAGCCAAAGGCCAGGAAGTAATCTCCAACAATGAAGAATTACTAAGTAAACTATGATACAGCTTTAAGAAGGAATACTGTGTGATCATTAAGAGGGGCGGGGAAAAGAAGGACTAGAGTCAAAATAAGGGGGGAGGTGCAATTGTATGGGGAATATAACGAAAATGAAAATGCATACATTGTGCAAAGATGAAAAAAGATGTAAGAATTATATAAAATAAAATATTTAAATAAAAAAATAATTATCAATAAAAAAAAGAATTGTGTTCTGGAAGAATACTTCATGGAATGGAAAAATGTCAATTATATAATAAATAAAATTATCAAGATGTAATGTCATATGTACATTATGGTTAAAATTATAGATTAGGGCCTCGCTGGTGGCGCAAGGGGTTAAGAACAGCACTATGAAGCTATCTGCAGCCTCTGTAGCAGCAGTTCAATCCCCAGCCGGCCGGGGAGATACCTACATGGCGCAGCAGACCTCTGCTGTCGAGCTTGCTGCTCCCCTCAGCAGTGTATTTCAGTAGATCTGCCTGTTCTGCTCCCCACTCTGTCTCTGGTGAATCCTTTCACCCTCCCATACCTCTGACCTGTACCCCAGTTCGTGTATGCATAAATAAATAAATATTTTTTAATTACAGATTATACACAAACTCATGCATCTGTGAGTATATGTATAGTACATATGTATGTGTACACATGTGTGTAGAACACACATGTGGCACTATTGATACATGGACTGGAAAGTCTTTATATGGCAGGGCTATCCTCTGCCTTATAGGGTGCTTACAAACATCACTGGTTTCTATTAATAGGTCCCTATAGTACTCCTAGATTATCAGAAACAAAAATATCTCTTGACATTGGCAAACATCCCCAGGAGCCAAATTTTTAAAATTAATTGTGTCACCTCTGTAATCCAGGGAAAAAGTTATTGTGAGATGCAAAATAGGAAAAGGATTGATTCCCATTTATGAGATAAATTACAATATAAAAGACACAAAAGGAGCTTTTGAACACCTGCAGCAACTTTTCTTCTATCAGAAATTATTGGGTAACTGCTGCTTCACAGAAAACAGAGGGAAAAGTTAGCAGAATTCTCTTTTACCTGGGTCAAGAATGTCCGAGCAGTAACAGCAGAAAGAGGTGGATAAATCAGAATTGGTTTAGTTGACTCCCCCACGGCATCTCCAACAAGCTTACCAGTAGAAGAATAAGCAGCAATTGCAAATATATATTTTTCATTGGTTTCTAAACCTTTTACTTCAAAAATGCTTTTACCATCAGCTGGGATCTGTTAACAAAAGCATACTTCAAATTATGTATAAAAATTGTTATTTTTTGATATCCTCTTTTTTTGAAGTGCCTATTCTAGAAAATTGCCCATGTTAAGTTTCATCTGCCTTTTTCTTATTGATCTTTAAGATTTTTAAATGCATTTTGAAAGCAAGTTCTCTGCTTGGTGTAAGTATCCTCTCAACACCTATTTTTCCTTCTCTCCATGGTGTTTTTGGATTAATAAAATTTCTATCTTCTTATCTTTTCTTCTAACTATGCCACCTACTCTAATGAATAAAATATCCTCTTTTACACTCTTTAAGAGCCAGAATATGGTATAACAACAGAGTTTGGGTCTGAATAACTTTCAAAACATATCAAGTGTGTGTGTAAATTTATACCAAATTTCCCAACTATCTTCTTTTTAGTGGTAAAATATCTTGAAACTACCTATTCCTACTAAGTTCCAAGAGATGAAGAACTCTTATTTCATATTTAACATTTGGTGAAATTTCCAGATGATATGGAAATTAAAAGGAGTTGGAATGGTTGCTCTATAATTATCCTGCTATTACTCAGATTTGTATTGGGAAGGATGGACTACAGGTCCAAAACTATTGTCTGTGTAGTAAAGAAAGTGGAGAAATTAAAACTAAATATGCTTCCTCAAAGTTCTGACTCTGTTTAACATTGTCAAGGTGTTTCATTCTGAGTAAGAATTCACCTTTGATTCAGCTCTATGTACCATTTCAAAGGTAATATGACCTTGAAAATATAATTAAATAAACCTTATATGTAAAAAATTAACATGTTCATTTACTTGGAGTTTAGTTATGACTCAAGTTGAAATTAGAGAAACTCACTGAATATAATGGCTTCATAAAAGGAAAAAAAAAATACCATTTGTCATTAGTGAGGCTTTTGGTAAGGCTTCATGAGTTTTGTTAATTAAATCTTCAAGACTTCTTTTAATTTTACCTACCGCTTCTCCTGAGTTTGGGAGATGGTTATTGTTTAGCCTCACTTTTCCATAGCTCCCTTTCGCTTTGCAACCCAAAATGCAGTACCAGGAGACCTGCCAAGGAGAAAGGCACATCCATCATCCGTAGTCTGTTTAATGAGCATTCGACTTCTTTTATCATGATGTGACACAAGGAATACTTTTCTAAATAAAAATATAACTATTCAAGTTTTAAAACATGAAATCTAATTTTACTAAGATACTCAGATTAATCTTTTGAAAAAGACACAAATAGGGTTCTTTTACCTGGTACTGCCAAGGCTAAAATATTATCCATTAATATTTTAACTACCATTCATTTAGCAGTTTCTGTGTGCTAAGTATGGTGGGGAAATGTCTCTATACTGTCTAATAGTCACAATATCCCTGGAGATGTGATGACTATTGTCATTTTGCTTTGCAAGAAATGGAGATGCAGAGGTGTGTATGGTAACTTGCCTAAGATTAGGCCATGGCAGGAAGTGAGTCCAAAGATGACTTGACCTTGCTGGGAAAAAGAGATCCACACTGAAATTATTTTCATATTTTATTAAATAATACATGACAAAAAGCAAGTAGAAAAAGCAGCAAGATATCAGCTGTAACATTTATATGAAAAAGCCTGGAAGAAAATTCTCCTGAGAAAGGATAACGGTAGCATTTGATGGTAAAATAGTAAGATTGTTGGTAATTTTTTTCTCCAGTTTATAAACTTTCTGACAAATAATGTTTTAAAAATTCTTATATGTAGATATAAACGCAAAGAAAAATGTAAATTCCACAGAGACAACCAAACTTAAACTCGATTAAATGGTTAGAAAATTGTCCTTCTGGAAGGGTGTCAAAATAATGAAGATTCCTGATTGAATTGAACTACTCTCACTGCAGGGGGAAAGGGAGCCAGTCGATACCTGGGAAATGGTAGTAGAATGAAGCCATAATGTCTGAGGGTTGGGGTTAAGGGGGTTGTGTTGTGTTCACTGGGGAATTCCCTTCTCCAGAGAGGTTCCACCTCACACCTCAACTCTGAAATTACAAGAGAAGCTGCAAAGAAGGGAAAATGTAATGGTCTCTAAGAGACAACTGCCTCTTAAATTTAACCTGCATTTTCTCCCCCCAGGTCAAAAGAACTATCCGAAAGGGGTCTAGTCTGCATTATGGTTCTTGACCCTGACTGCAGCAGAATTACTCTTTAAAGTACGGTTTGTACAAATTCAACCAGTTTTTTTAATTCATATCCCTAGGCTTTTGAGATTTAGATGAGTCAGAATTTCCTATGCAGGTATCCAAGTCCTTACATTTCCTAAGAAAATTTCTTAGGTGATTAAGGAGCACTAGATAAAGGCAATAGAGCTCCAAGGACAGAGAGAGCATTGAAAGAACTTGGAAGCTGTAGGTCAGGGGGTTAAAAATCATGCAAATCTCAGGGGAAAAAAATCAGAAACTAACTTCCCTTTACTTCCCATGCAAAAAGAGAGCCATGTTTCCTAGGGGGAGAGGAGAGACAGAAAGAAAGACGGTATTATATGACTTGCATCATTATTGCTGTAAATTAAGTTCTATATTTAAACCAGAATTTGAAGGATAAAATTTTCTCTAGAAGCATTCTTACAAGCAGACTTTATATTTGTTTCATTCCACACACGAAAACATCTTAGTTTAACTGTAAGAAGCATTGTGGAATTAGAATCTACACAAGAGTAAAGACACAACAAACAAATAACTAACTTTAGAAGTTAAAGTTTATAAATAACGGTAGGATTTCCAACTATTAAAACAGACCTTAATAAATGGAACGCTTTAACAGGCAATTTTGACAAAAACAAAAGATGGCCGAAGACTCGACACAGAAAACTTATTTAAGTCCATAGCACCATCTAGTGCTCTGAGTAGGACATGGAACGATAATAATTTTCTGGAGGGCTCAACTCTACTAATGTATAATACATGGAAACTTCACAGAATGTCCTGAGTGTCAAGTCCTCCAACTTCAGGTCAAATTTGGAACCATTATGTCTTCCTATTCCTAAGCTTTAGGAAATAAAATAAACCAGTTGCTAATTAGAAATAACATAAAAAATGGAATTTTGGTGACAAAAATCAAAGTAGTTGAAAATATTGAACTAGAACTTTTGGTAAAGTATGCAATTCTGAGTTGAATTTTTAAAATCAGTGAATCCCTGCTCTTAAACAAATCCAAAAATAGCTAACTTTTGAACTTTAAAAATGCCTACAACTACAATAATACATGATAGCATATTAGATGTAAAATAAATGTTCTTTCTACCTCCTGAAAGGTCTTTTATTTTTTTTATTTTTTTTTTTTTTATAGAGGCACGTTTCCTTCATTTGTTTGTTTGTTTGTTTTTTTTTTGTTTATACAAGCACTGGGTACAGTCAGAAGCGCGGGAGGGTGAGAGAATTCACCAGAGCCAGAGCGGGGAGCAGAGCAGGCAGAAGGACCGAAGGACACTGCTGAGGGGAGCAGTGGGCGGCAGGAGAGGTCTGCGCGCCATGTGGGACCCTCCTCCGGTGGCCGGGGAGCAGCCGGGGATTGAACCGGCGCCGCAGAGGCCGCGGGCAGCCTCGCAACCCGGCGCTCAACCGCTGCGCCACCGGGGAGGCCCTGAAAGGTCTTTTATTGCTATAAAGCAATATGAAGGTGGTAATAATTCTCACTGATGTCCATCTCCCATTGGTCTGAAGCTCTTCAAATAGTGGAGCCAGACTTTATTTGTGCTTATTTTTATATCTCACTACCTCTCACAGAATTTGTTAGATAATAGACAATCAATAGTGTTCACTGGACAGAATTAATGGAAAAAATCAATAATGTACTCATATTCTTTAAGAGCATTAATTGTTTTTAGCAAACTTGACTAATACAGTTAACAACAGAGATGGAGAAACGCCAGTGATTATGTCAAGAATAGTCATACATTATCTCACTTTTACTTTTCCTCACTTTGCTTTTACAGTGAACATATTTGACAAAGGAAAACAACAACAAAAACACCTCTGAAAGAATATTTAGATTCTCTAAGGTAAGCGGTGCAACTAAATTTTAAACTTACATCTTCCTTACTTTACAGCCTGTGCCCTTTCCACTACACTAAACTGATGTTAGTCCAGGCAAAACGTCCTAAAGATAATCAAAAATAAAACTTTATTTTATATATAACATCAACGAGCATGCTGTTGATAATCAAAAAAAAAGAAAATGTAAGATTTCAAATAAATTAAGCAGAACCAAATACCTGTTAGGAAATTAAATCTCAAGTTAACAGTGACCTATGTGCCAAGTTTCAAGGTACTGGGGATGGAAGAAAGAACCCATTTTTTAATAAACACATAAAGACTGATGTTTTACAATAGGCTAGAATTGTAATGTTTGCATTAAAAGGAACCCCATTTACTTGGGAAGACTTTGGGAAGAACTTCTCAATTCACCACTCCCAAATTTCCTTACCTCTATCATTGGTTCTTGAGAGTAACTGTGTTGGGGGAGAGGATGTTCTGAACAACTTCCACAAACACAAGTGATAAGGACTCCACCCGTACCCCACAGCAAAGACATCCAAGGCACCAAAGATTACAAATCCCATAACGCCACCACCACCAAAGGGAGGATTGCTGGAAACTCAGGGTGGAGTTAGGTAGCCAGGCTTGGTATATAACCAGACAAGTGGGCCTTGGGGGTCCTTGGTTTTTCACCAGCCTTCAGCATGCTATTGGGGTCCCAACTCAGCAGAACTGGTAGGACGCATTCACCAATTTATTTCTCTTTCTTTCTCCCTGGGTCATTCCTTTTTTCATTAACCCTATTTATAAATTAAACCCTTTTTTAACCATTTTTGTGTGTGTGCCTGCAGTTGAGTCTCATTATAAATTCCTTTAAGCAGATGAGGACCCACATGCAGGGCAACTCATTTCACATTAGGGTTGCCCTCTAACAACTGCTACCCTCTGATTCCACTTCAACTGAGACCTCGAACTTGAGCACATCAGGATGCCTGATGCAGCTGTGTCATGGTGACAGAAATACTTAAAGAGAAATGCTCCTCTGTTGTCCCTGTTCACTGCATATTTGGGAATAGCGAGGCTATATAGAGCATAAAGGGAAATACAGAGAAGGAAAGAGTCGTGAAGAAACTGAGCATAATTAAGACATTAGAATACTGATCCCAGCACTCAGGGCTTATAAATAAGGCTATTCAAGTCTTAAAAGCAATAAAAGCATTGATCATTATCATCATAAAGGTACTTACGGTGCTTTGCTTGATGAAAAGATCATAATGAACAACATACCTGAACATCTGAAATAAATGGAGCAGGTTTTAATGTCACAGAACAATGAGTTCGGGACATCAGGATGGGTGGAGGAGGGATTCTGCTTTTCTTTCTTTTTGAACTTTCCAAATATTTCTGATATGAATATAGGGAATTTTGCTCGGCTTCAACCTTCTCAATTAAAGAATATGCTTCCTACAACAAAGAGCAAAAATGGAAAAATACATCTCAAGAGCTAGAATTTCATTTATAGGTGTAGATTTCTGCTCACATTAAGCAACATTATCTTGCTATATGAAGTTTGCTCAGCCTCAGTGGTATACTTATTTCAAGCACTGAATTATTTTAAAGAGGTAAAAAAAAGCTACTAAATAAAAGTAAATAAATAGCTTTTACATGAGGCAATGTAATATGTATATCTAATATATTTATCATTATTATACATTACTATGAAATTGAGAAATAGGTTTTCAATAACACATCAGATAACAACAACAAAAAAATTATATGCTCACATCTTCCGCTGCCTAACACAGTGCCTGGCACATAAGAAGGGCTCACCAGTCTTGAAAGGTGAAATGAGCCTTTACCTATCAAAGAATCAGCCCACAAACCTCAATGGAAAGAAGCTTCCACACCGATTCACAAGGAAAGTAAGTTCGAGCTTTGTTTTTCAATTAGGTTTGTGCTGACAAGCAACAGTACTGAGGACAAAGGTACTATTAAATCTCCCTACAGTTTCCTTTGAAGAAACTGAAACCTGCCTCTTTTCAGAAGTTACTCCGTTTTTATGAGGACAGATTAATGTTAAGTACATTTGACAATGACTTTTGTGCAGCAAAACACTTAAGGAAAGATATAATGCAATCTTGAAAGGTGTGTTAAGACATATACAAACAACTATCATTAAAACTGGAAGGATAAATTGCTGTTTACTGCTTGTCTAGTAGACCTCCCTGAGGTCTATTCTAAATTTACAGTGCTACTGAGAACTCCTACATTTCAGAAGGAGATGAAATGTAGATTCAGTCATACCCAAGTATCTGGGGAATGAATGTTTCTGAGTATAAAATATACAATTTATAAAATCAATCTAAGAAAAAATGCAGCAACAAATGTATAGTTTGTAGAGAAAAATACACCATAACATAATTTGGATATGACAAGCAGAATGTTCCAGAGTGCTCAAAGTGGAAGACAGGTAGTAGCAGTAAAAAAAAAAAATTTGCTACCATGTATTGGCTGCTTTCTCTGTGTATATGTTTAGTATTTTATATATGTCATTTCATCAAATCTTCCCAAGATGCCTCATTTTACAGATGAAGAATTTAAAACCTAAGAGAGCATGAGTAACCTAAGAGAGCATGAGTAACTTAGGTCATGCAGCTAGTCAGTGGCAAACCTGAAACTGAAATCCAAGACCCTTATTTACCTACTATGCTATATTGTCTTAATTGTAAATAGTTAAGTTAAAAGAATTATGGAAAGACAACCTAGATGGAGTTTCCTAGGTGGTATCCTTAAAACACTTGAGATTAAAAAAAAAAAAAAAAACCTAAAATGTAAATATGCTAAAATCTTCTGCAAGTAGCTTGAAGACTAAGGGTCAAAACATGACTGCATGGGATGGGGACAGAATTAGAAAGTATTCACTTGTTATCAGGAAGATTTCAGCATGGAACAATAAAGAGTTGAGATCTCTGGGGGGAAAAATAGCTCACATGTATTCTTCCCCCAAAAAAAGCAAAAATAATTGATTTCACTAAAATGCCAAGAAAAAGGAAAAATAATTGAACTCAGTAATCTAATTACTCTAACATAGTTAATAGACTGATATTTAGAGGAGGTAATAACAGGAAATATTCAAGTCAGGAGTGATTAGAATTTCTAGTGACCTTGGCTTCTTCATTAATTCTAGTCCCCAAATAGAAACATAAAATTAGATTCTGTGTTGATTATAAAAAATAGTCTGCTAACCCAGAATGCTCTTTTGCTTCAAGTTGAAGCACTGTTGCTAGAATTTGGAATTGTTCAGACCATCTCAATTGTTTGCTTAGGTTCCATCGAAAATTATCAGGGGGGGAAAGTCTAGATGCTCCAGTTGAGGTTCTCGGCAACAGAAAAAACAGGAAAAAGAGGTTTGCCCCAAAGTGGGTCTGAGCCTGAAATGAACAAATGCCAGCTAGTTTGAGTCTTTTTTTTTTTTCTCTTTTAATCCCTCTGATCAAGATTGAGATTGCAAGAAGGGAGCAACCAATTGACCCAAATACACCACGAGACCTTCTCTTGACTAAGAGAGAAGAAAGAACCTGAAAGGTCGCACCTGATTCCACTTAATGGAGGAGAAGAAATTTTTCAAAAAGTGATGTTTAGAAGGGAAAATGGATGCAATTGACAGAAAACAGCAGTACACAATCCTGGTGTAAAGTCAGGAATGGACACGGTGCAGGTTTTCTAATCCAGCAGACGTGGTAAAGGAGCAGTCAGAGTCCTTAGTGGCTTTTTGCAGGTCTTTTTATTGGGATTTACCTGGTACATGGCAGGCAGAGGTGCTGGGGGGCCGGGAGGCTGGCAGGCCTCCCAGCCCCCAGCAAGTCTTCACTGTATCTGGGCTCTCCCGCGTTCTCTGCTTCTCTCTCTTGCTTCTGTTCGTTCTCAGCTTCCTGGCTTCTGCTGGCGTCCCTGTGACGCCACCCTTAAAAAGCACAGTCTTAGCCCAGATGAATCCCATCTACCTATGCCCACACCCTACTCCAGGTGCCCACCATCAGGCATGCATTCAGGACCGCAAGGATCCATCATCTATCCTGATGACAGGAGGGCAGAAAAGCCGTACATTTTTCCCTACCCTACACCTGGTAAACCTTAGCATTTGGAATGAGGTTATTCCTGGCTCTTCCCCATGAGAAATTACATCAGCAAAGATGCTGAATGTTCAGTGGTGGACTCTGAAGTGGACTAAAAGCAAAGTCCCTAACTCATATGATCATCACCCCAATTTAATCAGATGTAGAAGATCAGGGACATCTAGATTGGTTCCCGGTGCAATTCGTTGAAAAAAAAACGTAGCCTAATATAAAAGCCAATAACCAATACAAGAAGATGGTGAAAATTAATCCAAATAAGAAAAAATGAATCACATTTGGAAAGCTAACAAGTCAATATCAAAGGTTTGGCCCTCATTCGTGACAATAAGTTGGTCCACTTTTAATTGATTTGGAAGAAAACAGCTGATAAGATTGCACAGATCTACAAGGTCAGGAAACTTTTGGGAAAAAACTATAAAAAAAAAAAAACCTCTCCTATAAAAGAGAATGAATTATTTAAGAGTTCTGGAAAAAACCTAGGCTTTTGAAACCTTTTTATGGTATCAGGTGACACATCAGCTACTGATTTGCGGATAATTTTATTACAAGATCATGATAATGTAAAACATTCTGTAATATACCCCAGTAGAAAATGATTGCCAAGGGAAAGACATTTATTTGTTTTCTTTAAGGAAAGAAACTTTAGCAATGATGTGAGCTATCACATTGTTTATGAGAGTACCCTGAGGATGATCATTAAGCCTTAACACTTGGATAAAAAAACTACAACTAAGGAGCAGAGGTGGCTGTAGAAGATTTCATGGCTGCTAAATAAATATTCAATATGTTCCTAGTCAGTAAAAATCCTTGTGGAGGACCCCTTGTAAAAAGTGAGGCTCTCCAATGCATCTATCTTTAGGACTTTTTTTTTTTCTTCTTAAAATTGTTTCACTTAAGAAATAGGAGGTAAAGGTACACAAGGAGAAGAACATGAAAACTTCAGACTTTCTGAATCTCTGGTGTGTTCCCCAGGCTCAGGGGTAGGGACACAGAGACACAACAGGGCAGCGGGTATAGTATGACAATATGAAGACAAAACTGAGTCAAAATAAAACAAAGGAGAAAGCTCCAGAGGTTTCTACTCTCCCCAGGTTCTGAGAGACCACATGATTAGAACTGAGAGCAAAAGTTCTAAAAGAACGAGAAGTATTATTTACCACAGAAAAAAGACAGAAGTGTCAAAGTCTCTCAGCACTAGATGGCAGCACGTAGCCACGGGAAGTATCTGCTGAAAAAAATGGATCTGAACACACCCCAAATGTCTTCCTCAAAAGGTCAGTCACCTGTTGCTCTTGTCAGCTCAGACAACTCAATACCAACATCATATTCCTTTACTCAAATGCTGGGAATTCATTTTTTTATTGTGGTATCATTGACATACTAAACTAACAGTTTTCAGGTATACAACATAATGGAGATTCAACCATTTGGAAGTTCAAATTTAATGAAACTTCTAATATCTGTAGGACAGAGTTTCCCAAATTAATAACATCTGTCTGATATCGTTGAACATTGACAGCAACCAAAATCCTTAGACTTCTTATGAAGAAGTCCTTATCCTAGATAAGGATTTATATGAATGAGATCCTACCTCCTCTCTCTCTTATCACCCTCTTCCGTACCTCCACCTCTTGCCACTGCATCTAAGCTTCTGTTACACTGCATGACTTGTAGGATTAGAAGTATTCTCTGATCTTTCTATCCTCAGGACTTTTGTATAGGCAATGTCTCTTCCATCCTTTGTCCTCTTTATTTCTCTGGCTACTCCAACCTATCATTCAGTATTCAACTTCAAGTCACCTTTTCTGGATGCTTCCATAAACATTCCCCGCTGTTGAGCTAGGTACTCTCCTGCCAAATTCCCCTGGACTCTTGCAATTAAAGCCCCTGTTCAACTGACCCAGAATTACCTACTTACTTGTCCATGGTCCATAAACTAGATTGATCTTGAAAGCAGGAACCAAAAAGGAAAGGTAATCCATCAACACTTGTTGAATAAATAAATGAAATATGGTTGGGTCTTTACTCCCTACATTCAGTATGCCAAGCATACAGCATAACGTTCAATAAATATTTGCTGAATGGAACAGAGGCACTCAATATTTGTTGGATAAGTGAAATGATGAAGAAGTGCTGTATATCAGAAATTTTAAATTGCAATGCTTATTTTCTGACCTCAAAAACTATTCTATCTCTCGCAGACTCTCACTTTCTGGATCCTGACCTCATAGAGATGTCCAGTCTCTTAACATCTCCCTTGTCACTATCCTTTAGAAACCTTGATGATGTTACTTTCTTCACTATCAATCTGGTCCCACATTTTTAACTTTCATTTAAAAAATTGAACACTGTACAAATCTCTGCTGTCAAACACTGCTGGCACAACTACCAAGACTACTACACCAGCTTGTCAGGCCACCATGGAGATGGGGCCCCCTGAAAATTCATGGTCTTCAGGCTCACCTAGAACTTAATGTGCAGGCAAGTCTCATTCCTCTCCACTCTCCAGTCTTTTTCACTCTCCTAGTTCTTCACTGTTGGCAGACATCCTTGCCTCTTAACTTTATCAGATGAGTGAAGTAAGGCATCAATTCAACTCTCTGCCTCCAGACCAAAAGACTTATTTAAACCTACATCTGTTATTTCTTCCTCCTATATCAGAGAATGAGGTTTCTGCCCTGCAGCCTACCCTCCACCAAAGAGGAATCCTTTCCCTGTTCTTTTCATCTCATCCCCTTCCCTCTTCTTTTTTTTTAAAGATATATTTATTTATGTATATAAGAACTGGGGCACAGGCCAGAGGTGCAGGGAGTGAGAGGACTCACCAGAGACAGAGTGGGGAACAGAACAGGCAGACTCACTGAAGTACACTGCTGGGAGAAGCAGCGGGTGAGCAAGGAGAGGTCTGCCCCACCATATGGGTATCTCCCTGGCCGGGTATCGAACTCGTGCTGCAGAGGCTGCAGAGGCTGCGGACAGCTTCACAGCGCTGCACTCAACCCCCTGAGCCACGAGGGAGGCCCTCCTTCCCTCTTCTAAAGAACTCTATTGTTTAACTTATTCACCTTTCTATCATATCTTCAATTTTGACCTATTTATTTTCATCCCCTATCTACTAAGCTACTTGTAGCTTTATTTCTACCTTATCATGTGCCATGCATTCAGCCAATACAATCAAATGTTTGTGAGTGATACCCAGGGAAAACATTAAAAAGATCCCATAACTTGAAATGTGATTATCCTAGGAATTTAAATGCTAAAATCAATATATAATGAATCAGCAAGACAGAACAATTTCCAAGTTAGAATGAGACAACAAGGTGATTGGTCCATAAATCAGCAATAGCCAAGGAATGGGATATTTGCCAATGGTCTTTAAGTATTTAAATTGTATAGTAAGGAATATATTACATTGGTGTGGTGTCCAATAATTCTTATAACTTCCCACATTTTTTTCCCATAGGTTTTTTTTTTTTAAGATTTATTTATTCATTTTACACAAGAACCGGGGTACAGACCAGATGTGCGGGAGGGTGAGAGGATTCACCAGAGACAGAGTGGGGAGCAGAACAGGCAGACTGACTGAAATACACTGCTGAGGGGAGCAGTGGGCACAACAGAAGAGGTCTGCCACACCATGTGGGGCCCTCGCCGGCCAGCCTGGATCGAACCAGTGCTGCAGAGGCTGCGGATAGCTTCACAGCGCCGCGCTCAACCAGCGCCACAGGGGAGGCCCAATTTCCCACGTTTTGAATCCCTCTGACTTTATTTGGCTTCCCATTTAATGGTTGCTCCAACTGAGAGAATACAGAGTGAGAATTTCTCATCTCAAGAAAATTCAGAACTGGAGATAAAGCATTAGCTCCCCTGCTGAGGACTATTCCACTTCTCAAAGTGAGAAGTACACAAGGTGAACCTGAGATTCCATATTTTAATGTTAAGGGCAACACATTATTTTTAGTCTATGGAAAGAAATCATTTTAACATAAGTTGTATATCAGGACTAAAAGAGGAATGAAATATTGTTACCGTCAACAAGTTATGTGAAGATGTAGAAGCTGCGTCTTTCTCAAATATTAAAAGAGCTTTCTGCATCAAGTAAATTGCCTGAGATAGTTTATTCTTATTTATTTTATTCATTATAGTTAATTCTGAAAAAAAGCAAACAAGCATTTTACTAAAAGAACAACTATCTTTTCAGTTTTTAGAATACTAGGTTATTCCAGTTTTAATTACCTGTAAAACAATCAGTGCTTCCAGATTGTTTTAGCTTTTCTGGACCTTTGGTAGATGTATTTTTGCCAACAGTTGGAGTCTGCAAAACTGAAGATTGCCATTACAATTAGTTTTGTGTCCAAGAAAGAAAATATTTTCTAAACATTAAAGAGTAGTCTTTTATGTACAAAATTATTTTCTCTTCTGTATATCATTTTTTACCCATAGGTGAAAATTCAAATCTGTTATAAATACACTTATTGTCAAGTTCCCTTTTACTTGCCACAATATACCTGAAAACATGTGAATTTTCAAATTATAAATAATATCTTACTTTCTATTTCACCTTAAATGAAACCATCTTGAAACTTGATAAATAGGATCCAGACTACTTTTGTTTTCTTTCCCTTTACATAAAGAACAGATGAAATATCCTGATACTAATCAACAGACAAAACTTTGCCCTTAGCCTTTTCTAGAGAAAACACTTCATCTAAGATCCCTACACGAGCTCGGGGTATTCATGAAGTCTTCATCTCTCCTCTCACTGTGGCTGATGAAATCAGAGCCTCTCAAGATTTTCAACCTACGCACAAATTGTTGATTGTGGGCAGTGTGAGATCCCAGAGTATAAATGGGGCTGATGACCGTGGTCCAGGAAAGAGAGCAAGCAGAATGAGGAAGAAAAGGTAAAGCTCTGCTGGCCCAGGGAGGTGGTGAATGTTGCCCTGATTCTTGATTTTCCAGATCTGGCAATATGGGTACCAGCAGTCACCTTACAATAAATCCCATTATTAAGGTTTGATTATTTGTACTAATACATGTGAGTCACCATGGGATGGTGATTAATGAAAAGATGCCAAAGGACACCATTAAAGGATATAAGGTTTATTTAATGGCAACAGATAAAGGAACTTTCTGCAGGAGATGACAACACAGAGCAGAAAAGAATGCATCATTTTCTCAGTACCTAACTGAGAGAGGTTATTCAACTCTCGTTATTATAATCACAGGAGATAAGAACAAGATTTCTCTACTGCAAAAAAATATCTACTGCAAAAAAAAAAAAAAAAAACCCTGAATGCCAATACAGGTGAGTCCTATTTGATACCACTGTCATCAACAGGCAACCATCGTAAAGTTCTTGAACAAAGGTGATAAAAGCAGTATTTAGGGAACATTAGTCTAGTAGCAGCAAAGGAGAGTGAAGAAAGACAGGAGGAACAAAGCAGTCACTTATACTAGGGGAGCAGTTCAGGAAAGCACAGGAAAAAATTCAAATAGACCCCAACATATTGCAAAGGAAAAATAACTAATTTCATTTAGATTTGAGCTCAAATCTACCTTCAACACCTTTAAGTAGGCTCTCATAAAAACTCAGAGGATCATTTGGCTTTCAAAGATTTATGGACAACAATTAAAGAACAAACTATTTAGTAAATCCATGAGCAAATAAGACCTTACTTCTCCACTAAAGAAGATAATACAGCAACTAGGTAAGAATCTTGAGCTAGTTTTCTTAAAGAGAACTTGATGCAAGAATGTCATTCTTTTTGAAATATCTTTTCAAACCAAAGAATTTTAAAGGCAGTAACCTCAATTACTAGAAAAAAAATTGTAAGCTTTTTTAACTCAATATAGAATCCATAGTATTAGCCCTAAATTAAAAGGGGCAATGTAGGGACATTGTAGCTTTTGTTTACAAAAATATACAAGCAGAGCCTCCCCCGTGGCGCAGCAGGTTGAGCGCAGCACTGTGAAGCTGTCCACAGCCTCTACAGCGCCAGTTCAATTCCTGGCAGGTCAGGGAGAAACCCACAGGCACAGTAGACCTCTCCTGTACACTGCTCCCCTTAGCAGTGTATTTCAGTCAGTCTGCCTGTTCTGTTCCCCACTCTGTCTCTGATGAATCCTCTCACCCTCCCACACATCTGGCCTGTACCCCAGTTCTTGTATAAATAAATAAATAAATAAATAAATAAATAAATAAATCTTTAAAAAAAAAGATACAAGCAAATGAATGTAGTAAGAACAGTTCAATTAGAAAGTCACTGTGTACAACCATTATAATTGAATTTAGAGGGATCAAGAGAGGCTAAAACCATGATGTGAAAATCTGTTGGGGATAGATCATTCATTCTACCTCCAAGTAGCACCTTACAATACCATTATTTTTTCACTGATAAGAGGAAATGTATCCTTACAATAGAGAAAGAAATCTATTGAAAATCTATTGATGAAACGATGCCAAAAGACACCATTAATAGATATAAGGTTTCTTTAATGGCAAAGGGCAAGGGAAGTTTCTGCAAGAGATAGCAACAGAAGACAGATACTACCTTAAAATAATAGCACTTTTTTTCTCCAATAATAGGAAAAATTAACACTATGTGCAGTTTAATGTGATACAATGGGATGTCCACATCACCACCTATAAATCATAAGGAAACTATCAGGAAAATTTAGATTGTAGGATGTTCTAGAAACATGCCTTAAAAATTACATCATAAAAGAAAAAGTTACAGGAATTACTCTAGATTAAAGACATGACGGGAAAGTAACATCACCATCATGACAGCATAAGATACCCCTCGCTTTTGTGCCGCCTTCTCCCAAACCGCAAAAATTCAGTATCCATTCATAGGCAAAGGTGCCTGAGAAAGAAGCACAAAGCTGGAGGCATTTGATATCAAGCTATCCTCACCACAAAGCTGTGGTTATCAAAACAGTATGGTACTGGCATAAACAGAGACACATAGACAAATGGAAAAGAATTGAGAACCCAGAAATAAGCCCATTAATATACATTCAATTACTATTTGACAGTGGAACCAAAAGAATACTGGATGGACACAGATAGATACACACATCCTGGAATATTATTCAGTCACAAGAAAGGAGGTAATCCTGCCATTTGCAATAAAATAGGTGAACCTCAAAGGCATCATGCTAAGTGAAGTAAGTCAAAGAAAAACAAATACTGCATGATATCACTTATATGTGGACACTAAAGAATTCAGAATCAGAGATTAGGGTGGTGGTTAACAGGGCTGCATGTGGAGAAAATGAAGAGATGTTGGTTGAAGGGTACAAGCTGCCAGTTATAAGATGAATAAGTTCTGGGGACCTAATGTAAAGCATGGTGACATCATATTGTATAATATTACACTGCGGTAGTAATATCATATTGTATACCTGAAAACTGCTAAGGAAATAGATCTTAAATGTTCTCACCACAAAAAAAAAAGGGAAATCACATGACATGATGAAGGATTTTAGCTAACACTACAATGGTAATCATTTTGCAATACGGAATTCTGTGTGTATCAAATCAACACAATATTTGACATCAAGTATATCTTAAGAAATTTGGGAGGGAAATACTGCATTCAAAAATTAGCTAGATAGCCAGCATCTGATTAAATATATTTAGCTGTAGATATGGTTTGACATCTAAATGTTTTTGATGGAGACCAGAGATTATATTTGGCCAAAACACTCAGTGGTTTAAAATGGAGAGTAAATGTGTTACTTGTTTGTGCAGTAGAATTGCTATTGGCATCTTTTTAAAAAATGTTTTGACCTGACCTTTTTTTTTTTTAAAGATTTATTTATTTATTTACACAAGCACTGGGTACAGTCAGAAGCGCAGGAGGGTGAGAGAATTCACCAGAGCCAGAGGGGAGAGCAGAGCAGGCAGACTGACGAAGTACACTGCTGAGGGGAGCAGCGGGTGGCAGGAGAGGTCTGCGCACCATGTGGGACCCTCGCCCGGTGGCCGGGGATCGAACCAGCGCTGCAGAGGCTGCGGGCAGCTTCACAACCAGGCGCTCAACCACTGCGCCACCAGGGAGGCCCAATGTTTTGACCTTTTTATCTAATTAAGCAAAAACAACTTAGATCCAACTCATCTGTCTTCTGGCATTACTTTCAGAGATGTCTTTCTAAATTTTTCAGTTGTTTCTAAGATAAACTATAACCCCCTTAACCACTTCAAGGTTAACTGTGACTGACTTCTTTTTTTTTTTTTTTTTTTTTTATAGAGGCATGTTTTTTATTTATTTATTTATTTATTTATTTATTATATTTGTTTGTTTTGTTTATACATGCACTGGGTACAGTCAGAAGCGCGGGAGGGTGAGAGAATTCACCAGAGCCAGAGCGGGGAGCAGAGCAGGCAGAAGGACCGAAGGACACTGCTGAGGGGAGCAGCGGGTGGCAGGAGAGGTCTGCGCACCATGTGGGACCCTCCTCCGGTGGCCGGGGAGCAGCCGGGGATCGAACCGGCGCCGCAGAGGCCGCGGGCAGCTTCGCAACCCAGCGCTCAACCGCTGCGCCACCGGGGAGGCCCAACTGTGACTGACTTCTTTAGGATTCTATGTGTCATTCTCCCAAGTGTGCGCTTCTCTTTTTGACATTAGACATTATTTTAATCACTGACTCTCCAGTAAAGTGTATCATCATTAAAAAGTGGCAGCCGTGAAAAACTTCTGTGGATTATTATTGAAATCTATAACAGTGTTGTTGAATTAAAGTTGTAAGAAAGCAGATAGTTTGGATACTATTTAAATACAAAGCAATGAATAAGTCCTTTGTTCTTTATTTGTGGGAAACTCTTCTTTCAATACTTTTATATTCTAAATAAAGTTATAAAACATTTAGCCTTTTCTCCCTAACATGATTTTTTTTTTTGTGCACACAAGCCTTTTTTTATCACCTTTTTTTTTTATTTAGGTAACCTAGTTAGTAACATTGTATATATTTTAGGCTTCTATAGAACACTACCTCTTCAAAGATATGTTACCACACAATACCCACCACCAAAGCACCAAAAATCTCCCACCTCAGTCCACAGGGCATTCTCCACCCTTTGTGCCCCAATCGCAACTTGCCCTATTGATAACCTCAGTTCTGCAGTCAGATTCCAAAAATTTGCTTGGATTTGATTTTGATGTTCCATTGTCTTTATATTTTATATGAGTGAAATCATCCAGCATTCGTCTTTCTCCTTCTGTCTTACATTGCTTAGCAAATGGCAAGATTTCATCTCTTTCTATAGCTGAGTAGTACTCCATCATGTGTATGTATGCCCCAAGCATCCACATCAATTCCACACACAGTACTCTCTTAGACTGAGGCGGAAGTCAATAAACAGCAGGAAGCCAGGAAAAGGACAGGTGCACCTCCCCAAGCCCCTGTAACACTGGGGGAACCATGTCTCGAGATTTCCTATCCTTTCCAATGGTCTCTGTATCTCCTCCCTATGTGAACACCCACCGTTAATTCCCCAGGTATCTTACAGGTACAGTTGCTCCCTGCAGAGGTCAGTCTGCAGTGTCCATGGAGGAAATGACAACTCCAGGATCCTGTTTCTACATCTGTGTCCCCATGTACTCTGCTGCACCTCCTAGCACCCTGGATTACATGGAATTGCTGTATTCTAAAGAAACCAAACCATGCTCTTTACCCACAGGAGAATTCCAGCAGTTTCTAAGCTGCACATACAATTGTTTCTACTTTGCTAATGGCTATTTTTATTACCCTCCTCTTTCACCTTCTTTATAAAAATAATACTCACTAGCTTTCTGGCCAACTAGCACTTCGTAAAAATTTGCTTGATTGAATTAACAAAATACCAGTTATCTCTGTAACTGAAACATATTAGCTTATTTTTTCTTAGATGTTTACTAACTGATTTGCTATGCAAACTGTAAAGAAATAATGGAAAATACCTGTTCATATTAGAGTAGAAAAATAATGAAATTTATGTGGAAAACAGCCCAATCAATAAGAACATAATTTAAAAATTAAATCAACTCTATACTTGAATTTGTCTTTAAATCAATTGACAACAAGGTATTTGCTTTGATCACTACTACCTTGCAATTGGTCAAGAAGTACCACAGCGACTCGGTGCTGGGATTGAATTAGTTCAAGATGCAAATCCATTATGAAACTATTTGGTGTAACTGGTTTGTAAATGTTTCCATCCATACTGTGGGGGTACTGTGGGAGAGTTGAAATAAAAATAAGAAAGAAATGCAATTATCAAAAAAGGTTAAAGTACCTCTATCCTATTTTCACCCATGTTATCATTTTACTCTAAGTCATTAAATTCTGCTAACTTCTCAAACCTTTGCAACCTGGCTTACATGCTAATAAAGCTGTTTTTCAAACTCAGTGGCCTCTTTAATGACAAATTTAAAAACTCATTCTCCTTGATTTATTTCTGGGAAGAGAGGAAGATATTTCTGAACTATTAGAAGGAAGCCACTACTGGTCAGACTGGGCTGCTTGCAAGTTACTTAAAACTTCAACCTAAAGTGAGATTTCCCATTCTTACTTTAGTATAGCAGTGGTCAATCACTGAAGATCCATTTGGCAAGGTAGTTAACATGCACTTCACATTTATTCCACTAATCGCTTTATCAAGAAGTTTATAAGCCAAATATAACTGTTCCATAGGTTTCATCTGAAGTAATTTTACGAAAAAGAAAACAAGAGAAAATTATATACAACATTCTCAAACTTCCAACAACTCAAAATAAAATAACAATTTTAAATAGACTTTCCAATATCAATAATGTTGTATTTCTTATCAAGTATATTTGTCTTTGATTAAATGTGGAGTGCTATTAATAAAGGTGATAAAAGAAATATATTTCATCCAAATAAAAATTAAACTTCACCAATACATATATAACATCCTTTTATGGTTTTCAAAATTCTGATTGTAAAAATGTGTAGGTAAATTTTAAATATACAACACAAAATTTGTCATTTCCTCACATACTTTATTTTGAACTTTTTTTTTTCAAATCTCAGAGCTGGAAGATTATATTTGGAGGTCATCACATCCAACGTTCTACATCATAATTTTCAACACTAAACATCTTTTTAATGTAATTATTCTCACAGAGACACAAATATAGAGATCAACATAAAGAGCAACCAGCTTTGTACAAAATTTCCAATTTTCCATATTTTCTCCAGGATATTTTTCGAAAAAAGCCAAGATATATACGCATATAATTGAAATCACCATTCACAATGACATTCCTCTTCTCTGCTCCTTGATTTTGGTTTTAGCATTCTTCTGCATGCTTTTAAACTCTTAGTCCATGTGTGTGTGTCCATTAACAATATACAACACTGCACTACACATTTTTTTAATTCTACCATAAATTCTGCAACTTGTTTTTTTACTCAACCATATATTGTTGAAGCTTTTTCATGATGGTGTATGTAACTCAATGTGTCTGTTGGTTAGGATTATAGAATGGTTAGGAATGCAAAACAGCTCTAGATATTCCAAGCAGAATAGCATTTATTTTTTTTTAAGATTTATCTATTTATTTATACAAGCACTGGGTACAGTCAGAAGCGCGGGAGGGAGAGAGATTTTACCAGAGCCAGAGCGGGGAGCAGAGCAGGCAGACTGATGAAACACACTGCTGAGGGGAGCAGCGGGTGTGGCAGGAGAGGTCTGTGCGCCGTGTGGGACACTCGCGGGATGCCGGGGATCAAACCGGTGCTGCAGAGGCTGCGGGTAGCCTCGCAGCATAGCGCTCAATCGCTGCCCCATCGGGGAGGCCCCAGAATGGGATTTAATATACTGAACTAGAGGTTCCACTGAAAAGCCAAGATCCCAAAAGGTGCCGTGACAGTTCTGCTGTATACAGAGCCTCTGTGTCTCCTAGAATCAAGGTAGTAACTGACCACAAACAACCCCAAGTGTCTACTACAATGAAGTGAATTGCAAAAGCTGGCTAAGCTGGGCGAGAACATGCTATGTGCCAGGGGATGTTCTAAGTGTACTTTAAACAGGTAGCAACTCATCTGTCAGAGGCATATGCTGAGTGCTGTATCTTTGTACTTTAAGTCTATGAATCACAACACATTCAAAATACCCAAAGAATGTAACTATAAATTCTTTCAAGATCCTTTACCTTACTTTTAAAGTTAATTATATTTTTCAATAGTAAAAACAACAGATAGAAGAATGGTTTAAATATATGTAGAAATCATAATTCTCACATTTTAAACACTCAGAATTATTTCTATAGCTAGCCATTATAAATTTACAAATTTAATATTATTTGAAAGTTAAAATTTATGTTTTTAAATTTTCTAAAACATTTGCAATACCTTTAATAGTGGGAGAACTTCTGGGTTCCATCTTGAACTCCCACGGAATTCACCATTTTCTTTTTTTGGAGGTAGCTCTTAGAGAGAGGAAGAGAGGAAAGAAGAGAATGGAGGTAAGAGAAGAAGGAAGAAGAAAAAAAAAGAAAAGGAAGAAGAGGAAAAGAAACAAAATGAAAGAAGAAAGAACCAGAGTAAAAAAAAAAAAATTGGAAAGAGAAAAATGTAAATATAGCAGTAAATTATGATCATAAAAAATTATGTAAATTAGCTATCTTTTGAAATTACCTATGATTTTAGAAGGGATTTAACACTTTAGAAGCTGTCTAAACATCACATTGTTTCTTCTACATATAGTATTAATAATTAAATTTTATCTTTACATCATTTAAAATCATCTTGCAGTACAAAAGCCCAGTCAAAAATCTTGATTATCAACAAGATAATATTATGTTAAAGAGATTGGTCTTCCTGTATACTCTATAATAAAGTTCATTAAAAGGCATTCAAAAAACAATTTAGACAAATATCAGATGAGACTGGTTTGAATTGCAGAATATAAATTAGAAATATTTACATGGTAATGTTAGTTTCCTATATTTAGATTAATTCAATAATTAAATTAAATAATGTATTATTTAATAAACAGTCTAATGAGCACCTTGAACCAAAATATCATAATTATCATACAAGTCCCCCAAAAGTCATATATACTCATTAAGTGGGGTGAAATGGGAAGGTAAATACCCACCGTAGCCATGCCCATAGCACCGTCTACACACGAGTCACCTAATGAAACAGGCTCAGGGTTTCAACCACAGAAGAACAAAGAGGTTAGAGCAGGACTTCCTTCAAAAGACGGTACCTCCTGGAAGGATGAGGTGATGACAGCTGACAAGAATAGGGAGAGTCGAGGAATGTGTGAGATATTGCAACAAGAAGAGGGTAAAAGTAAAGAAGAGAGGGGAAGGGAAGAGGGGACATAGAATAAAAGAACAAGGAAGAATTTGCAAAGGAAGAGGATCACCAGAGTGGAGAGAATTAAAAAGGATATATAGAGCTTCCATATGATCCAGCAATTCCACTCCTAGGTATTTACCCAAAGGACACAGAAACATCAATTCCAAAGAGCACCTGCACCCCTATGTTTATAGCAGCACTGTTTACAATAGCTAAGCTTTGAAAACAGCCCAAATGCCCAAAAATAGTTGACTGGATCAAGAAGATGTGGTACATATACGCCATGGAATATTACTCAGCATTCAAAAAAGATAAACACATGCAGTTTGCAGCAACATGGATGGAGCTGGAAGGGATCATGCTCAGCGAAATAAGCCAAAAAGAAAAAGAAAAATACCGGATGGTCTCACTCATAGCAGGAATCTAGAAAACTTAAATAAGGGATCAGGAAAATGAATAACTATAAGAAAGTGAAAATCAAAATCAACAAAAAACTATGAACCAGAGACACTTTTAGGGGGGCGGGGGTGGGAGGGGAGGGATTGGGGTCAGAATGGGGGGGCTGCAATTGTATGGGGAATATAACAATAAAATTTATTAAAAAAAAAAAAAAAGAAAAGTAAAGATAAAAAAGGAAACTAAAAAAAAAAAAATATATGCAAAAATAAACCTGTGTAAACAATATATCAAAATAAAAAAAAAAAAAAAAGGATATAAAAGGTGGAAGGACAATGAGCCTTTTAGCAAACAGTCCGCATGAGTCAGGGGGTGGATGCCAAGAATATAGTGGTGACTAAAACACACTCTCACCATTCAATAGCGACACACTCTCAGGAACAGGACAAGAAGGAAGGATGGAAGGGATTAAAAAAAAAAAAGAGTAGAAAAGGGGAAAGGAAGGCCCGGGAGAAAGGGAGAAAAGAGCAGGTGGTGACGAGGAACAGAGAAAGGAAATAGGAGTGAGGAGCAGACAGAGCCTTGTCAGCCAGTGAAGCAAAGATCATCTGAATTTTCTTAACTTCCACCTGGTAAGCCTGTTATTTCTCTCTGTGATAATCAGTCGTCAATGAAGCACAATACAGAAATGCTTAGTTTTCATTAACAAAAGTTATCCTGCAACCCAATTTATACTTATTTATATATAAGGAAATACATATATATACACCACTAGGAGACTATTTGCACTTATATGTAAGTATCAACACACATATGTATCAATAACCTCGCATGGTTGTATTCACCATTTTTACCTAAGGATTTTTTAAATTTTCTTCTTGGGTTTCCTAAAGATTCCAATATTTCACTAAGCCGTAATGTGACCTCTGCCACCATCACAATGTCAACATCTTCCATTGGATAGCATTGAATTACTTCATTTATCTGCCAGAGAAGATAAACCCACTGAAAAAGAGAAAATGTACGGCAAAATCAATTAATAATAAAAGAGTCACAGTTTTCAAAACCTATCCTTCTTTGAAATCAATATCTTCTAGTCATATGAAAACGTTACATGGGTTCTCCCTCCTTATTGAGGCATCTTAATTATAAATACTATGAGTATAAGTGATCCTAATAATATGACATATAATAATAAATCTATTGGAGGATAAAAGGAGAAATAAATAAATCTATTTACATAAATTCATATAGAAGATTCATTTGTTTATGGGCTATGTATCTATAGTCATCAGTGGACAATTTATTATCAAATTATTTATTATCAATTTATCAAGATTTATCAAACTGATCATTATTTTTAGATATCGGTGAAGATTATCTGTATCCTCTAAATTCTCTTTCTCCTTTCTAAAAGCAGTTGTTGTGACCACTATCTAGTCTTCCAAAATAGTAAGGTTCCCACTTGATGCCTTAGAAACATCCTTTCATGCCTCTATCCCCTAAAGCTTAGAACATAAAATTAGTCATCACACTTTGGGAGCTAAGATGAGAAACCAGTGTTTATGCAGCCACATCAGTACTTCGTCAAGTTGCATGATAAGGGCCTCCCCGGTGGCGCAGCGGTTGAGCGCTGGGATGCGAAGCTGCCCGCAGCCTCTGCAGCGCCGGTTCGATTCCCGGCTGCTCCCCGGCCACCAGAGGAGGGTCCCACATGGTGCGCAGACCTCTCCTGCCGCCCGCTGCTCCCCTCAGCAGTGTATTTCGGTCCTTCTGCCTGCTCTGCTCCCTGCTCTGGCTCTGGTGAATTCTCTCACCCTCCCGCGCTTCTGACTGTACCCAGTGCATGTATAAACGAAACAAACGAACAAACAAACAAATAAATAAATAAAACATGCCTCTATAAAAAGAAAAAAAAATAAATAAAATTAAAAAAGTTGCATGATAAAATCACGGCCATGCATCATAATGTAGCTAATCTTAGGAGACCTCAGGATCACAGAAGACTCTCTTACTGTTAAAATATTTTCTCCTAAGTTTCCAGATTATAATATTCACCTGCTTTCTCCTTTCCATAAAAGGACACATCAAGAGTCTAAATATATTATTGCAGGGGGGAAAAAACTGAGACATTTTACTTGATTCTTTGTACTTTCTACTATTAACTTTTTTCATGAATTTATCTGAGTTCACATGACCTTAGATACATTATATTTATTCCTCCATTAAAACCTGAAACATCAGGCCTCCCCGGTGGCGCAGCGGTTGAGCGCTGGGTTGCGAAGTTGCCCGCAGCCTCTGCAGTGCCGGTTCGATCCCCGGCTGCTTCCCGGCCACCGGAGGTGGGTCCCACATGGCACACAGACCTCTCCTGCCGCCCGCTGCTCCCCTCAGCAGTGTACTTCGGTCCTTCTGCCTGCTGTGCTCCCCGCTCTGACTCTGGTGAATTCTCTCACCCTGCTGTGCTTCTGTCTGTACCCAGAGCTTGTATAAATAATAAATAGATAAATCTTTAAAAAAAAAAAACCCTGAAACATCTTCCCAATTCCCAAAACTGTATTGTAGCAAAGTACAGGAACCACACTTCAAAAAAAAGCTCAGTCAGCACTACATTTAAAGAACTGTATTTATGCAGATGGATTTGAAATTCATATCCCAATTGAAATCAAAAATAACAAAAAAATGTGAAAGGAAACAAAAAGAAATACTTTGTTAGTACTGAGTTTCTGGATGAATTTTGCATAATCATTTCTGGATATACTGATCCGCTGAATTCCTGTTTTACATTTCTGCCATAGGAATGATACCATGTCCACAGTGATTTCTTTATCGGGCAGAACATTCTGAAAATAAAAATGGTAAAGTAAAATGATGAGAACATTGAGCTATATAGATATATAACATTAATGTGTGCCAGGCAACATTCTAAGAGCCTGATAGAAGGAATGTGCATGTCTTCAAATTTTTAAGTTAAAATCCTAACCCTCAAAGTCATCATATTAGGAGGGGCCCATAGAAGGTAAGGAGGCACTGGGTGCAGCCCTTATGAATGGGAGCATTGCTCTTACAGAAGGGACCCCTGAATCTATCACTCTTTACCCAAGTGAGGACACAATGAGTAGACAGCCATCTGTGAACTGGGAGGGATTCTCAACAGACCCCCAGTCTCCTGAAGCCATCATCTTGGATTTCTTAGCCCCATAACTATGAGAAATAAACGCTTGCTGTTTAAGCCACCCAGTCTATGGTTATTTTGTTATAACAACCCAAATGGACTAAGACATGTAATCCTCATAAGAACCCAACGAAATGAGAACTATAGCTTTCAACCCCACTTTACAGGTGAGCAAACCCAAAATGAAAGTAGCAAGAGTCAAGGTCCAAATTCAAACAGCCTCACTTAAGAGTTCAGGTTCTGGGCTATTTCTGCCTCAATACTGGTCATTGTGTGCAAGTGACTCTACCTCATAACCAGGCTTTTTACCCACAGACCAAAAAACAGAATTTCATTAAGAATATTAACTCTTCATTAAAACCGCCTGCACATTTCCTTCATTATTAAAAGTATGGCTAGTCTAGGTGCCCTGTTTTGAAGATGGCACGATTGGCAGGCACTTCCCTGTGCCCAAAAATAGATGACTGGATCAAGAAGATGTGGTACATATACACAATGGAATACTACTCAGCAATCAAAAAAGATAAACTCATGCCATTTGCAGCAACATGGATAGAGCTGGAAGGGATCATGCTCAGTGAAATAAGCCAGAAAGAAAAAGAAAAATATCAGGTGGTCTCACTCATAGCAGGAATTTAGAAAACCTAAATAAGGGATCAGGAAAAAGACATTATAATAAAGTAAAAATCAAAATCAACAAGCAGCTATAAACCAGAGACACACTGCAGGGTGTGGATGCAGGGGAGAGGGAAAAAGGGAGTAGGATCAAAACAAGGGTGGTGGGAATTTTACAGGGACTGTAACCAAGATGAAAATGCATACATTGTACAAAAATGAAAAATGATGCAAAAAATATATAAAAATTTTAAAAATATGGCTAGAGATTTTCCAAAAGGGAACAGTTTGGCACCCAAAGTGGAGACAATAATAAAAAGAGACTTAAAATTACAAATCAAGATATAACTCAATTACTTATCCTAATGATTAAATATTGAATTTTGGCAAGGTGTGATTCCTTTACTTTCAACCTGGCTTTAAAATGGGCATAACAGCTTCCTTTGATACTATTAAAAATTATTCAAAATAGCTATTTCACCTGGGGACAGTCACAGAGACACGTATGCAAGACCATTGCCAAATAGGAAATATCTTCTGAGTATCCACTGGTCTTCATAGAAGTATCTTGATTCATAGAGGAAAATTAAACCAAAAAATTACAAAATTTCAAGAAAAGGCACAGAAATACAAGTCCTATGAAAAAGATATAAATGATCCTTAAGTAAATGTCAATATGACATTTTAAATATTTCTGTAGGAAAATGAATGTAAGTGGCCTCTAATTTAATTAAAATAGACAATTATCACCCTTAGTCTATAATCTACATGCAGCTATGTCCAAAATATAATTGAAGAGATTCATAACATTAGAACACATATAAAATCTGGCAGCTGAAATTAAAATTAAAATTAACAAGTGTGTCATTACTTGGTACAAATGATTTACTGCAATTGAGTGGTGGATGCCAAGTCTAAGAACACCATAAAACTATTTTTAAAACATGGGATTAAATAATTCTCATTGTTTTAAAAATCAGAGGTTGCAGATTTTCAACTATAGAGACAATAACTTTTAAGAGTAAAAATGTTCTAGAATGGAAAATTCTGCATGCTGGGAAAAGAGCACCCATCAGACCCTCCCAGCCAATGTGAACCAATGGCTTCTGATTAACTACCCTGCTGGCCTCTTGTTTGCCCATAAGACAGCAGCTAGTCAAAATCACCCCTTGGAATAACATCCATTATTCCTACAAAGCCTGGGAGCTAGCAGGATCTAGCACCCAGCCATTTCTCTGATCTCATCTCTACCATATTTTCAAATCCCACCTCGACCACCGAGCACTAAGCCATGCATGCTCCTTGCCTTTCTTTCAAATACCAGCCACACTCCTGTCTTCGGCCTAACACCCCCTGCTCCAACTGTCTAAAACATTCTTTCTCTCAACTGACCAATGCAGTGGTATCAGATATAAAAAAAAAAATTTAATTTTTCAAGAATCAAATACTCACTATGGGACACATATTTTTTAAGATAATGTTGAGATGACCGTCCTTCTTTGTAGTTTTCCAAAGGAAAGATCAAACCCTTGTTTCTCTTTATGTTGATTAGAGGTTCTATTGCAAGAAGAAGAATTAAATCCTTCTCTGCTCTCTTGGACTCTGGATCATCCTGCTTCTAAGAGAAGTATATCCCACAAGTTAATAACTCAATGTCAGGTACACAAGATAAAAACAAATGAATGGTTTTGCCCATATTACCTGGAGAAATCCAAGAAGATGCCCAGCTGAAGATTCAAATAAACCCCATTCCTCATGGGTAAAAGCTAATTTTACAAATCTCATAGCAGCATCCATAGAAATAACATTGTCCCCTTTTATGATATGTTGCAGAAGAGATGTCTTTGGAAAATGAAATAATCCATCTGTACTGGTAGTCGACACTAGAAAATGAAAAAGAGAGGTTGATGTCATTCATGCAAAGATATATTTACTAAATTTTATCTATCAGATATTGTCACACTAGAGAAACAAGGGGAAAGAAACACAATCCCTGCCTTCATAGAGCTTATATTCTGGTGGGACAAAGCAGAAATCTTTGTGGGCAAATATAGGGTTCGGTGGGGACAAATGGGAAGGGCATCAGACACAGGTTTGGAGTAGGAGGGCAATCAGAGAAGACTACCAGAGGAAGGAACATGGAAAAGCAAGCATAGAAAATTAGCAAAAATTAACTAGTCACTTAGGTATTACAGATTGAAAGCTTGAGAAAGAGATCTAAAATGAGGATGCAGTGCATAGAATCATTATAAATCCATAGAAAATGATGGGCTTGTCATGAGCAACGTACAACTGCCTAAGACAGAGCAGTCAGGAAGATCAAAATGTGAAAGACATGGGGGGAGGCTGCAAAGGAGGTGCTTAGAGAGAAAGGAGCAGTCAGCAGAAGCAAACAGGACAGAGCAAAGCAAGAGTGACACTGAACAAGCGGCCCACATCATGTTTGAAGAGGTTGCCCAGGATATCCTCAGCAGGGTGCAAGGAACAGAGGCCTGCCAATGAAGAAACAGAAAGAAAAGGGGCCTCCCTGTGGCGCAAGGGGTTAAGCACCGCACCATGGAGCTGTCCGGAGCGGAGCCTCTGCAGCAGGAGTTCGATCCCCCAGCCAGCCAGGGAGCTACCCACATGGTGCAGCAGACCTCTCCTGTCTCGCCCGCTGCTCCCCACAGCAGTGTGTTTCGGTCATTCCTCCTGTTCTGTTCCCCGCTCTGTCTCTGGTGAATCCTCTCACACACACATGCACACCCGCACCTCTCTCCTATACCCCAGTTCTTGTATACATGAATAAATAAATCTTTAAAAAAAAAAAAAGAAATAGAAAGAAAAGAATGTGGAACAGTGAGACAAACTATAACAAGAGTAATAAATACAAGGAGGAAGCTGAGAGAGGACACAGGGTGAAGAGACAGAGGGATTAGGCTTACAGACCTAAAGGAAGGAAGGAAAGGAGCATCCCATCCATCTTCATGAGAGACAGAGGAAAGTATGAGGATAGGAGGGGGTAAATTTTCAGGCTTGGATGAAGGATAACAGTTATAAGAAGGAAAGTTACCAAGTGGGAAAAGATATTTGCAATACATGTATTCAATAAATTCTTGTTATCTCCTGGATGTCAGATGTATGATTTGCTAAATCTTCTTCCATTCAGTACATTACCTTCTCATTTTATATGGTAATATACACTCAGTAGAATACTACTCAGCTATATTAAAAAAGAAAAAGATGAGGGCCTCCCCGGTGGCGCAGCGGTTGAGCGCTGGGTTGCGAAGCTGCCCGCGGCCTCTGCGGCGCCGGTTCGATCCCCGGCTGCTCCCCGGCCACCGGAGGAGGATCCCACATGGCGCGCAGACCTCTCCTGCCACCCGCTGCTCCCCTCAGCAGTGTACTTCAGTCCTTCTGCCTGCTCTGCTCCCCACTCTGGCTCTGGTGAATTCTCTCACCCTCCCCCGCTTCTGACTGTACCCAGTGCATGTATAAACAAAAACAAACAAACAAATATAATAAATAAATAAATAAAAACATGCCCTCTATTAAAAAAAAAAAAAAGTGTTAAAAAAAAAAAAAAAAAAGAAAAAGATGAAATCCTGCCATTTGAACCTAGAGGGTATTAGTCTAAGTGAAAAAAGTCAAAGACAAACACCATATGATTGTATGCAGAAGATCAGAAAATAAAACAATTGAACAAAACAAAACTTTTAGACCATAAGAACAAAATAGTGGTCACCAGAAGTGAAGCAGAAAGGGAACTGGGTAAATCAGGTAAAAATGGTCAATTTGGTGAAGGACAGAAACTATATTTTTGGTTAACAATGTGTTACACACACTGTTGATTTATAACGCTAGTCACTTAGACCAATTTAATGTTATAAACCCAATGTTACTTCAATTAAAAAGAAAAAGAAAAAATTATGTACAAACAACAACAACAAAAACGCTTGGCAAAACAAGAATAAAAGAAACTTCCTTAATCTGAAAAGGGGTATGTTTAAAAGTTTTTAAGAAAATACCAAAATTAATGGTGTAATATTTTTTTAAAGACTTATTTTATGTTCATACAAGAGCTGGAGTACAGGCCAGAAATGCGGGGGGGGGGCGGAGAGGATTCACCAGATACAGAGTGGGGAACAGAACAGGCAGATCGACTGAAATACACTGCTGAGGGGAGCAGCTGGTGAGACAGAAGAGGTCTGCTGCGCCATGTGGGATGCTCCCTGGGGATGGAACTCATGCTGCAGAGGCTGCGGATCCCATCATAGCGCAGTGCTTAACCCCTAGCACCACCAGGGAGGCCCTAATGGTGTAATATTAAAGTTTCCATTTAAGATAATAAATGGAACAAAAATGTCTATCACCACTTCCATGTTTTACTAGAGAGCTTATCTTGGAAAATAGGTCAAGAAAGAAAAGAAATAAAGATTAAGAATGAAATGAAAGAAGCAGAATTGTCATTATTCACAGATAAGATGACTTATACATTTTTTTAAATCTCCCCAAAAAATGCAATCAATAAATTATATGAATTATCAATTGAATTTATCAAGATTGCTGAATTCAATAGTAAAATAATTTATAGTAAAATATTATTTCAACAACATATTTACTTATGAAGAGGTCTTTTCCTGCCAAAAACAGTTCTGAGATAACATCACGAACTTCTACTTCATCTATAACAACAGGTCCAACTTGCAGTGTCCGCCTGTTTGAATCAGAAAGAGCTTCTAAGACAGCCAGAAACCGAGAAGCGGTGCTGTCAAACATCTCATCCAACAACTTTTCTGTGACGGTTCGTGGCCACGGCAACTGGAATAAAAAATTATATATACAGTCCATTGTTTAAAAATTCTACAGTGTTTGATATAAGGCAAAGATAAGTAAGGACATGCTTAATTAATGCTGCAAGAGAGTGGTGTTGGCTTATCAATGAGAATTTCTATAGTTTTCATTTTTTTGATGTGGCCTTCCTGACTCCATTCAAGTTCAAGTCATGCGGTGCTGTTTCAAAAGCTGTGCTATTTCTTTATGCTTGTCTTTCCAAGGCAGCATTAAAACACTGTTTATTGCTGTCTTTTTTTCAAGTTTCATCGATTTGCCTTTGGTTTATGTAAGTGAGCAAGTGTGTTAATTTGGGGAGTACAGTTCCACACCTCCAGGTGTGTATCTGCCTGACACAGCCTCCACCAACTCTCCAGTGCCTTTTAGCCTTGCACTCCAGCATGGGTCTAGAGGGTTCATTTTCAAAGGAATCTGGTGGTGATAGTGGACATACTTGATTTAGTTTCCACATGTTTGGCTTTTGTCCAGGTTTCTTGTTGGGGTTGATTTCTAGATTTATAGCATTGTAATCAGAAAACGGATACAAATTCAGTTTGATCTGTTTTTGAGACAGGTTTAGTGTGCCAGCATACAATCTATCCTTGAGAAGGCTTCACGCACACTTGAGAAGAATATGTATTAATTTCTTTTGGGATGGACGGGCCTCCCCTGGTGGCGCAGGCAGTTGAGGGTCGCACTGTGAAGCTGTCCGCAGCCTCTGCAGTGCCGGTTCGATCCCGGCCGGCTGGCGAGGGTCCCACATAATGAGGTAGACCTCTCCTGTCATGCCCGCTGCTCCCATCAGCAATGTATTTCGTCAGTCTACCTGTTCTGTTCCCCACCTGTCTCTGGTGAATCCTCTCACCCTCCCACACATCTGGCCTGTACCCCGGTTCTTGTATAAATAAAATAATCTTTAAAAAAAAATTTCTTTTGGGATGGAAGCCTCTGTAGATGCATTAATTCTATCTGATCATAGCTTCATTTGAGGCAACTATTTCCTTGTTTGCTTTATGTCTGGATGACCTATCTCTTGCAGTTTGTGGTATATTGAGATCTCCTATTATAATTGTACTATTGTCAAAGTGTTTCTTTAGTTCTTTTAATAGCTGCTTTGTTTTGGTGCACTTGTGTTGGGTACATAGATATTAATGACAATTATATCTTCTTGGTAAATTATCCCCTTGATCATTATGTAATGCCCATCTTTCTCCCTAATTAGTCTTATTTATCAGATATAAGAAAAGCAGTTTTTTCTTTTTTCTCAGGTGCTATTGATTTGAAATACTTTCTCCAATCTCTCACTTTGAGTCTATGTTTGTATGTAGCTCTAGGATGGGTTTCTCATATGCATAATATTTCTGGGTCATGCTCTTTTATCCAACTGATAGTTTGAGTCTTTTAATTAGTGAGTTAAAACAATTTCTGTTTAAGGTGATTTGTGGTATATGAGACTTATTTATTGCCATTCTTTCTTTTGTTTTTTGGTTGTTTGGTCTTTATGTTATTTCTTTTTCCATGTGTTTCTATCTGCCTTTCTACATGGGTGACTTTCCTTGGTGATTCTCTCAGTTTCTTCATTTCTTCTCCAATGTGTTTCTATACTGGGTTTTGTTTTGTGGTTACCAGGAGGGTTGTTATTAACTATCTTTTTATTAGAGCAGCATCATCCATATGTGTTGTGGTACCCTAATTATAATTACAACTTTAAGGGACTGATATTCAAACTTTGGTTGCCTAAGAATCTCCCAGAGCACTTTTAAGATTCACAGACAAAACCTCCAGAGATTCAGTGCAACTGGGTGAGGTATTTTTAATAAGCACTGCAGGAGATTCTAGTACAAAAAGTCCTGAAACCCAAATTTGAAGCAATACTTTGTAGAATAAATAGCTAACTGGTCTCATTGTTCTAAAGAAGAGTTGACCAGCTGTATATTAATGAACAAGTGACTATCAGAATCCTGGTGAATTCCCAGCCACTCTGCTTTGATCTGCTATCGGTGCACGCATTAATAACTAGCAACAAGTCCTAATAGTTACGGAGGTATAAGACAAATACATTGCAAAGAATGACTCTTGAGTGAATCAAGAAGGCAATCTTAGACTTACAGTTTGTGCTTCCCTTATGTTGACTCTTATTTTTGGTCTAAAGAAAGCTTTGTTTCTTCTTCTAGACTCAAATACTCCTCTTTTGAAGATCATCACTGCCATCTGCCTCAAAAAAAAGAAAAATTATATATGAAGCAACAACAATGTGCACTGCTTGAGCACTAGTGTGAAGTATTTAATCAACTGTAGAGTACAGTCATTTTCTGTTATTTTATGAAATTTTTATACCTTTATTGTAGCCTCTCTATAATAGCTTCTGTTGTCTTCACGTGATTGTGAGGAACTCATTAATTCCAGTTGCCTTAACTCATCAATTTTAGCTAAAGCACGCCGAGCAAATGCCTATATGTGATCAAAATAAATTTAAACCATAATAAGTAAGAACATAGTGATTAAAAATGTATTGAGACAGAAGGCTTTATTCTCTCAGACATTTGATTTAATTGGTGAATTAAACTGTAGGCTGATATTGTCTCCTTATAACACAGAAGCTATGTCATCTATCATTTCCTATAAGTGCTGTTAAATTCTGTAGATCTAAAATTAATAAGCTGTCAGATGTGCTATGAATTAGGAAATGTTAAAAGTAAGGCAAGTTGAATTCTGGGTTGAACAGTAGCTTCCTGTAAATGATCACATCTCTGGCACTGCACATACACACACACACACACACACACACACACACACACCCCTCCTAAGGTGTCTTCTTCTCCAATCCTAAACTTTCTAAAAAGCTCACATTATCACTAAGTTGTGAGGTCCCTAAAGGTTCTTATTCATGGTTGTATCTCCAATACTTAGTATATAGGAACTATTTATTAATATCTGAGAAAAGGAAAGAGGCAGTCTTGCTTTTATTTCATCAGATCACCATTATTATCATGATAATTCTCTAGAGATAATAAGAAGAGTTCAACTCATTTCATTTATCAGTTCTTAGAAATATCTCATTTATAATTACATGGAAAATCTTCTAGACCACAACAGTAACACACACACACACACATATATAGATATAGATATATCTATATATATATAACTATATCATATTTATAATGATATGTATCATATATTATTGTTCCAATAATAATTCCAATAGGAATCAAAACTATGTAAAATTTCCATTTCTTGATAATATTAATATGGCACCACTAGCACATTGACATTAACTATATATACATAACGCAGTTTCTAGAAAATATCCTAACTAAAGAAAGGATCCCATGAGGGCCCTACTAGGCTATTCCCCTACCTAAGGGTCACTATCATCCAGCCCATCAGAACTGGTTCAGGCAGGAAAACCTAAATTAAAGGATTCATTAAAGGCTAAGAAGATTTAATTATAGTTGCAAAGGATTTACATAGCTACGAAGACTCTGTCCTGCAGGAGACTCTAGCCAACAGGTTAGCTGAGGGCTGAAAACCAGCCCACATGCTACTCACGTAGCGAGAACGTATTGGCCCAGAGGAAGAGGGCCCCTGTTTTTAATTTTCACCAAAGTTCTGTCTACTAACAAGCAAAGTACCATGTACTGTAGAGAGGGTGACTTTTTTCATTTACATAAAGATACTGTAGAAACCAATTAAATACCCAATTAGTTAGGTTAATTATTCAAGAACATTAAGTAAGAGTGTGTAAATTAAATAAATGGCAGGTGGAGGCAGAGAAAAGCGAGACAAGTGGCTGGTCTGTGGTATACACTACAGAAATAAACAGGGAAGAAAAGTGGTTTGCATGGAATAATAAAAAAGAGAAAGGAAAGATATCAGAAATCTTATCCAGAAAAGGAGCGAAGTAGATGGAAATGAATAGAGCACAAAAGAAGGGGCAGAATTTCAAGCACAAGAGCAAACAGAACAGAGAAGCCAGCACATTTCAGCAAATAAATCCTGGGACTTTAGTCTTTGCTTTATTGTAATCGCTTGAGTTGGTTGTATAGGTGGGTGGGTATAAGTGTGTGTCGGGGGTGGGGGGGTGACTGTTTTTCTTGCCAGGCCTCTAAAGAATGCTGAATATGTTGTACTTTAAAAGACTGGAATCCTCAGAATTAAAACATAGCATACCTCTCCAAAAATACCTGCTTGGCAGTCATAGTAGCACTGGCAGACAGCAGTGTAAAGAGTAGCTCTCCATGTCAGGTACCTGGTGGACAGAAGTGGAACAGAAGATTCCATACAAGTACTGGCCCACAGGAGATATTCTAAGGCCTGAGGAAGAAAGGATAGAATCCCATTTATTTTCATTTTAACTTAATAAACATGATTTGATCTAATATTGCCAAGGTATAAGTTGTGAGTGCTAGTTGCTGACAAACAAAAAATACAGTAAATAATAAATCAAGAAAAAAAATAAGTACTTAAAAAGCAAAAGAATCATTCTGAGAGCTCAAAATCTCAAGGTAGCCATTGTAAAATCTCTTCTTTCTTAGCTCCCAAAATCCTACGAACTGGGATCACCTCATTTATGAAGTGCCAACATAAACTTAGGTGCTAACTCCAAAAACCAGTTGTTATTAGCTGTGTGGAACCAGTGTATCATTCTGAAAATAAACTAATATAGGAGGGGGGAGGAAATGGAAGAAGCTTACGGTCTCGGTTTGTGATGCTTCATAGAATTGCCCAAGAATTAGTATCAAGTAGACCTAGGTTTCAGAACCAATTTTTCACCTAGCAATTGTGTCATTTTACAACTCTAGACCTCAATTGTAAAGTTGTAAAGAGATATTTTGCAGAGCTGTTATAGAGAAAGAGAATGTGTGTGGAGTTCTAGGGTGGCTTTGGCACCTTGTAAGCACAGCATAAAGTACTCCCCTTACCAGTGTAATGATCCCCAAGGAATATCTTCAAACAAAATGGTGGGGAAAGGATTCCCATGGCTATTGGCCTGTCTGTAGGAATCTATATAAGAACCTTGTATCCTATTCAGCCAAATGACTATCCCCACACATCCATGGATAATTCTTTAATGACACATTCTCACAAAACCTATAAGGGTTTCCCCTGTTATCAGAAAGTAAAGCATTTCGATGAAACTTTTCCTAAGCTGAAATTGTATCGAACAAAGAAGCAACTATTCCATTAATTTATGTGGAAAAAAATGGAGAAAATTTAACCTACAAAAATAATAACCAAAAAATAACATATGAAACTATAGCAAATAATACATAGAACCTAAAATAACAATAATATGTAGTAAATGTGAGAATGACTTAATAAATACACTATATAAAGTGCCCGCCTGAGAGAGAGCTTGGTGGTGCCACTCTCCCACTCAAGGTCCCTGCTGCTCTAGAATGGCTGCTGCAAAACAAACGCTGAAACTATTTTCACTTTCTGTCTTTTATCATAAAGGAAAAATGCCTCTTTGGACTGCTTGCAGTTAGCCAAAATGTATGCCTAAATAACATAACATGAACTTCTGGAAAATGAGGGACATCTGTACAGGGAAACACTGACGGTATGTATCTGGCAGTTAACTGTTTTGATTTTTTTCCTTTTTTCAAAAATATCCCAAGAGTTCAAAGGGTAATTAGATTATGTTGCCTTTCATTTGATTTAATATAGGAAGAAATCTAGTCCATGCTCCACACATTAATATAAGCAACATTACTGGGATGAAGATAAGAATCTGTGAGTTTAATCTCTCAGACTAGCAAATTCTAAATTCTATCCATGGAAATGTCAGCCTTAACCAAGCAGGTCCTCATATGTTTCCCCTGGACTGTGTCCTCACGTCTCCCTCTCTTTGGTCTCACATCTCCCTTCTCATATATCCCCTTCCTTATACATTCTCCTTACCACTACCAGAATTTTCAATTGCAAATGCAAACTTTAGTACAACTATCACTCTTGTGGATAAAATACTTCAATGGCTCCCACTGCCTATGACAGAACACAAGCCTCATCACTATGCCCCAGCCCCTAAATTTTATCTGGTATTTAGCTGATATGCAAGAAATATTTGTTGACTGACTGGGTGACCATTAAAAGTTCCCGTTCAAAATAGGAACCCAGGGCCTCCCCTGGTGGCACAGCGGTTGAGCACTGGGCTGCGAAGCTGCCAGCAGCCTCTGCAGCGCCGGTTGGATCCCCAGCTGCCATGAGGGTCCCACATGGCACGCAGACCTCTCTGGCCGCACCCCCTGCTTCCCTCAGCAGTGTATTTCAGTCCATCTGCCTGTTCTGTTCCCCGCTCTGGCTCTGGTGAATTCTCTCACCCTTCTGCGCTTCTGACTGTACCCAGTGCTTGTATAAATAAATAAATAAGTGTTTAAAAAAATAAAAAATAGGAACCCAACAGGATTACAGTAGAGGATTTGAGTAGGAAAACCATGCACCATTAATCAATGCAGCCACAGGATGGCACTGTTGCATCATTTATATCAGCTCATACCCTTGGATTCAAGTGCCCAGTAGAAACAGCTCAAAATTTGGATAGGCAGTTATATAATGGCAGGAATAACAGGATAAAAAATATTCACACCACAAACTACCAAACAATTTCAGTTTTATAGTTAAAAGAAACAGAAGTCTCTAGTTTCTTAGAATGAACTGATTCTACTGTATTCTTTAATGTTTGCTGTGTACTGTCCAACAGTTGCAAATGCCTCAGAAGGAGCTATATGTGATACCATATATGAAAGCAGAGTTGTCATTTATTTAGGGAAACAGGTTTCATAAGTCGGTCTTTATGGGGATGACCTGACTCAACTTGAAAATAAGGATTTATCATGTTAGGAAGAGACCCTGGCCAGTTTCATGTCTTTAGGAAGACGTTACGTCAAAAAATATTAACCACTCCCACACCGCTCCTCCTTTTGAGTTGATGAGCCAAAGTAGAATGGATTGTGATGGGATCAAAGTCAGTTAATGCACATGTATTGTTCTAACAGTGCTGAGGGACAATGTAAAGCCTTGGCTCTGACTTCAGCTACAATCCCTAACTAGATGTATGACTTTGAGCAAATTTACCCTGCTGAGCCCCAGTTTCATGACCTATGAGATGAAGGCAATAATAGCACTTTTCTCAAAGTGGGGGTGTGAGGAGTAAATGAGATAATATATGCAAATGCTTGGACACGTAATGGATACATGGTAGGCATTCATTTAACAAGTGATGAGGATGATGATGGTGGCCCTCTCCCAAGACAATCAGGAGTATTATTCTGCATGCAAAGCCGTTCACACAGTTCCTAACACATAGTAGGTATTCAATAACAGTAACTCATGGTAGCCATAGTTTACATGACTTGGGGGCGACACCAAGAAAAATGCAAGGATTCCACATCTATTTCAGCATCTGCCTTATGTTCTAACAGACTGGAATGCTAAAATAGTTCAGAATCAGGATTGCTCAGACCCAGGAGGACTTAAGACATGCAGATCCTCCAGGGACTTGTCCCCATTAAATGGATCTGTAAAGTTCACTTACCCTCAACTCAAGATCAATTAATCAGTGAAAATTATTCATTTCTTTAAAACTTATTCTATTGAACAAACTGAAAGAATTTCACCCTGATCTTCAAGTGCCAACTATACAGCCACGGACCACCCCACAAATCTGGCATCCCTCACTCCCCTCATTTTACCCCACCTTATTACCCTTCACACCTCCCCCCCCCTTATTTTATCAAAGAGAAACTCAAGTCCTATGAGGAGGAGAATTAATGTCTTACAAAGGGCGTTAATAAAAAGTTGTTTTAGGATGACTACCACATTAAATTAAAATCTTGCAGCATTAACAAGTATGAACAGTAACAATTAACTGTTAGTGTAGATATCCCTTCCCTTTGAAACTTTGAAGCTTGTATCTACAAGGTGCAAGCAGAACAAATTATGATGATTCTGTGAAGCAGTATTTATGGCTCCAGCAAGCGCAACAGGGACATGGAACTTCTCTTTAAGAAATCTCTAACTGAATATAGAACTGTAGGAGGAGACTGCAGCCAAATTTACATTCTCCATGGAACTATCTCCCCTCATTTTAATTCACACTCAAAGATCTGGCACAGAGCTTGTTTGAGGCATTGTCAGTAATCAAGTTTGTAAAGCTGAGGAATCACACAGAGGAAGAACATAATTAATGTTATCCATGGGAGCATGCAAATATCTTTGCTCCCATTTTCACTGTTTACAGGTTGTCAGCTTTTTAGATACCTGGCATGTGTGAGGAAATAAGACTTAAAGGGAAAAAAAAGTACCTGTCTGGAGTGTTAAAATATTCAGGGTAAGCTTTTGCCTGCGACAAGGAAGAATAAAGTCACAATGTCTCAGATGCCAGTAACAGCTAAAGCCTGTCTCAGTGGGAGTATACCCACCCTTCTTGGCCTGCATTCCAATGAATGGACAATGAAGACAGGGAAACTTGCCTCCTAGATAAAGGTGCCACCAACACTGTAGGCACATCAATAGAAGAGTCAACCACTGCCACCAGATAGCACTGAGCTTCAAATTAAGTCCCTACCCCTCAGCTCATGATCAAGACAGAGTTTCACCCAGCTAATGTGGAGGCCAGAAGGAGCACCCAAGTTCTTCAAGCAAATTGAAGCATAAGTTCCTTGGCATGACTTAAATCAGGTAAGAGGTTGTCATTTAAACCAGGATACTCTTAAGAGTGAAAGCAGGGGGCCTCCCTGGTGGCTCAAGGGGTTAAGTCTCATCACTATGAAACTATCAGCAGCCACTGCAGCATAAGTTCAAGCCCCAGCCCACATAGCACAGCAGACCTCTCCTGTCTCACCTGCTGCTCCCCTCAGCAATGTATTTCAGTAGATCCGCCTGTTCTGCTCCCCACTCTGTCTCTGGTGAATCCTCTTAACCCCCGCACCTCTGGCCTGTACCCTAGTTCTTATATGCATAAATAAATAAGTCTTAAAAAAAAAAAAAAAAGAGTGAAAGCAGGCACTATTCATGATTACTCCAGGACAAAAGGCACGAACTAGGGCTGTAGTGCCCAAGCCAGGGTGACTGGCCATCCTACCTAGCAAAGAAGTGACCAGGTGTCTGTTCAGTAATAAACCAACAAGTTAGGATGAATCTGAGAGACCCAGGGACTCTGGAGAACACCTCGCCACTCTTGGAGTTCCCTTTCTTTTCTCTCTAACACATGTGAACTACAGGTCCACTCCATTGACAGGTTTTCTTTTTTTTTTATTTTTTTTTTTTTTGTTTATGCAAGAACTGGGGTACAGGCCAGATGCGTGGGAGGGTGAGAGGACTCACCAGAGACAGAGCGGGGAACAGAACAAGCAGACTGACGAAACACACTGTTGAGGGGAGCAGCAGGCAAGATAGGAGAGGTCTCCTCACCATGTGGGTTGCTCCTAGGCCAGTGGGGATCAAAACGGCACTGCCAAGGCTGCAGACAGCTTCTCAGAGCTGTGCTCAACTGCCTATGCCACCAAGGAGGCCCTATTGACAGGTTTTCGTGTCAACAGAAAATACAGGCTGTGGTTATTGATAAATACAGCACAGTGCTGCAAATGAACATTTTCTTCCCTGCAGAATGCGTTTGTAAAAATGCAGCATAGAATACATATAACCTACAAAATGTGTGCTCATCAATTGCTTATGTTATTAGTCAGGTTTCCCGTCAACAGCAGCCTGTTAATAAAGTTGTGGGGGAGTTAAAAGTTACACTCAGACTTTCCACTGGGGAGCGGGTGCCCCTAACCACCCCAGGGTTTAAGGGTCAACTGATCTTTATTGTCTGCACGTTCCCATATGATCATTTTAAAGTAAAACTAAAAAACAGTAAAACTATTCACTGTTTGGCTGTAATTCACTAAATATTCTATGCTTAGCATTCATTCAGTGCTAACAAAAGCCTTAAGAAAAACAGAAAACACAGAGGAAGATGTTTCAATACGTTTCATACCTTAGAAGCCTGGCCTATGACCATCAATTTTCTGCAAATGGTATAAATGTAAATGGTACCTAGATGGAAAAAAAAGATTGTTATTATGTTTACAGTCAAATGATGGAAATGTTTAGATTCTGATTTCTTCAGTTAAAGTCTGTAGGTACTTATGATCTCATGTGAAAGCCTCATGAAGTCTAGGGAAGTTTAGAAAAATCTGATAGAGGTTATATCCATCATAATTTGGGGGGCAATTTATAGACAAAATATTAAAAGAACTAATCTGATCATATTTTTTAAATGTTGACACAGAAATCTTTCAGTGTTATTTTTAAAGACAGTTCAAGTTTTGAAATATATTGAACAAAAGAATATTAATAGCATAATTTACATACTCTATGGTTTTATTAATTCATATATAATTTTATTGTTCCCATGATTTCCTTACAGCTGAAAAACTAAAGATTTATCTCCAAATAAGATTCAAATACATATTTAATCAGCCTGGTGCAATATTCAACAAAGAAACTCATGATAATTTTAAAATCATAATGTAAAATAGCTTGCATCGTATTCATTTGCTTTCTCATATAATATTTATCACATTATTAAGGTATGTCCTATGAGCACCCTAAATGCAAAACAGCATTTGCAAATCTGCTTAAGATCAATGGGAATGATTTTTCGGTCAGGTCATTTATTTTTTTTAAATATTTTTTTTTAGATTTATTTTTATTTATACAAGAACTGGGGTACAGTCCAGAGGTGTGGGAGGGTGAGAGGATTCACCAGAGACAGAGTGGCGAGCAGAACAGGCAGGAAGACTGAAGACACTGCTGAGGGGAGCAGCAGGTGAGGCAGGAGAGGTCTGCCACACCATGTGGGTATCTCCCTGGCCAGCCGGGATCAAACCTGCGCTGTAGAGGCTGCGGATGGTTTCATAGCGCATCGCTCAACCCGCTGCGCCAACCGGGGGAGGCCCTGGTTAGGTCATTAATTAAATAGGGATGAAGGCAGATGGCAGATTTGCAGGGGAGGGGTAGCAAACAGCATCAACGTACATCCTCTATAGACAGAGGACATGATCATGCTATTAAAAAAAAAATAGCAATAGTAACATGCTTTCAAAGCCATGTAATTATAATGACAACTAGTCTAAATACTTTCTATAAAATAGCTGATCTAAAACTCATAACCTTCAAAATTCAGCAATTATAACCCCATGTTCATGGTTAAAGTTTACAAGCTACTGAGAAAATAGCATCTGCTCCAAGGCACACATCACTTTATTTATTCACATGTGTGAGCATTATAAACATTAATTACATAAATCAGTGACATGAAAAGATCAAATGGAATCTTGAACACTGAGAGCATCAGCAACTTCATAGAGAATCACAGGTCCTGAACACAGGACGCAGCAGACTCAGTGTGACTGACATGAAGTTTGTGTCCATTCAAAAAGACCCTCCAGGAAAGACCCATTTGGCTAGTAACTGCTCAAGTCCAGCCTACTTATCTCAACTTGATTTTGTTGAACTCTGCTCTTAATCTTTAAAACTGAAACTAAATAACAGTGTTTCTTTGTTTAAAAAAATAAAAAGTCATTAAGTAAGGGCATGCACAGGAAACAGAAGCACATGCTAAGCCACAACACATGTGACTGAGGTGTCTGCCAGGGGCTGTGAGCACACAGCAGCAGCAGAACCAGTAACTTTGAGAAGCTCACGAGACTGCCTCGAGAATGACAAGTGGCCTCTGTATTTCACAAATGTGCCTTTGACCTTTGCAGACCTCATACCTTCTGACTGTAACTGAACCTTTCTTTGATGGTTCAGGATCTTGGCCTGGCTCACAAATTCCCTGTGCAGAAGCCTCACAGAGAAGGCAGTTGGTATAGAATGGAACACAGATGGACTCTTTACAATCTCAGGATACCTCTGGAAGCTTGTTTTGTCTCATTTTTAACCAAATCCCTAACATCAGTTTACAGACTAGTCAATAAACTCCACTCCAGTGAATATGGCCATCATGCAACAGTTCCACCTACATTAGGGCTGAAGTTAGTTGGGTTCAGGTTAGTTGAGAAGGATGTTATCCAATATTAAAACACCCAGTTAGACTTATTAAAGAACCAAGAGTCGTTAATTCTCTTAAGAAACCTAATAATCAATGGACAGTAAAGAGAATAAGTGTTCCTCTCTGACTGAAAAGGTCAAGTGTACAATAGGTAAATTGACTGTAGATTAATTTATTAATGATTGCTTAAATCCTGAAGTTTTAAAACAACAAGATCTTTTCTCTTGCTAATCCTCCAGCTGAAATGTCTTTCCCCTAATACCCAGATGGTTCTCTTCACAATTTCCCTCAGCTCTTTGCTCAAATGTTATTTCAATGAGGCCTTCCCCAAACATCCTATTGAAAATTCAGCCCAGCCCCAGCTGAGTCCCTGCTCTCCCTAAGCCCTTCTCACCTATTTTTTTGTCTCCACGGCACTCACACAATTTAGTTTTAATTCATCATCTCCCTACAACAGGATGTAGCCATGAGAACATGCTTTTTGTCTGTTGCCCACTCCTATGTCCCTACTACCTAGAAATAATGCCTGGTGCTTGATAAAGTTTTGCTAAATTAATGAAAACAGGGGCTGTAGCTAGTGAAACTAAGGATGTATAGTTCCACAAGACAGCAATCCACTCCCTGGGCACAGATCCCAGAAAATTTTCTCAAAGCCTATAAAAGGATATGGTGAGGGTATTCACTGTGTACAATTAGGCAGGTGTGGCAAGCCAGGTGCTCATCCCTAAGTAGGGATGAATATCTGGGCTACAAATCAACAGGCAGAATTAATGAACTAGATTTATTGCCAGGACCCCACACAATTTTGAAAGTCATAATATTGAGCAGAAAAATATTTAGCAAACAGAATACAATTTAGGGCACAATACTACATGTACTAAGAGAAAGCATGCACCATGAAAAGGATGTAAAAGATAAAGAAATTGCTTAATTTTTTTGTTCTTTTTAAAGAATACAGCCTATCTTCATAACCCCCAAAATAGTGTTTTTTTTTTAAAAAAGATTTATTGATTTATGCATACAAAAATTGGGGTATAGGCCAGAGGTGTTGGGGGGTGAGAGAATTCACCAGAGACAGAGAGGGGAACAGAACAAGCAGACTGACTGAAATACTCTGCTGAGGGGAGCAAATTTGTGCTGCAGTGGCTGGTGATAGCTTGATAGCACTGTCTTTAACACCTGAGCCACCAGAGAGGCCCCAAAATAGTGTGTTCTTATGAAAACTTTCCTAAGCTGAAATGGCATAAAGTAAAATAGAAATTATCCCGTTAACTTATATGGAAAATATTTCTGAACATTCTCAGACCCAAAAAATAACCTACCAAATCATATCGACTGACATGTAAAACCGAAATAGCATAAAGTCTAGTAAAAGCAAAAGTGATATGATGACTACACAGCCTGTATAAGGCAGTCCTGGGCAAGGCACTTGTTACAGTGTGTGGCTTCCTCTACAGTAGCTGATGCAAGACAGATGCCGAATGTTAATCTTTTTCACCTTTTGTCCTAAAAGCAAAAATCATCAGATTTCTTATTTCTCTACACATAGTACAACAGGCTATAGATGCCAAAACAGGTACTAACGTAGGTCTTTCATAAAAGTAAAGTGGCGTAATAGTAACTTTCAAAAAGTGGGTGATCACATGTTTTTGTGTAGAGTCTTATAATGACTGCAGACGGGAGTCATGTTGCATCATTTCCATCACACAGCAAGGCCCATCCACAGGGCCTGCCAGTCCCACTTGAACACAGAATCTTTGCTCCTGCTCCATCCCTGCCAAGATGTATGAGCAGTTTCCAGAGATGGCATTGGCATCTTATCTTTAGAAAATGGGAGATCCTCTTGAAAAAAACTGGGCAGAAAAGATATAAGAATCACTGGACTAAAAAAAATTTTTCCCAAAGTCAACCTCATCTAGCAAATGCAAGGTCTAATTTTAATCAAAATGTCAAAAAATTACTTGGGGAAGGTGAGGAAGGAAAAGGGTAGGTAATGTAATTTCAGTTGCCATGGATAGAGGAAAATTAATGTTTTCTTTCAAGTTATTTTGCCCTGGTCTTATGCACAGAGAACACACTGTCATTATTTTACTTTCAAGAATATGTTGTGGGTCTCCTTGGTGGCACAGGGGTTAAAGTCTCAGCGCTAACAACCTATCACCGGCCGCTGCAGCACAAGTTTGATCCCCAGGCGGGGAGGTGACCCACATGATGTAGCAGACCTCTCCTGTCTCACCCGCTGCTCCCCTCAGCAGTGTATTTCAGTAGATCTGCCTGTTCTGTTCCTAGCTCTGTCTCCAGGGAATCCTCTCACCCCCTGCACCTCTGGCCTACACCCCAGCTCTTATATGCATAAATAAATAAAATAAATCTTTAAAGAAATATGTTGTTGTTTAAAGAAATATGTTTAAAGAAATATGTTTAAAGAAATATGTTGTTCAGAGGCTATGGTAGAGGACTCGCATTGCAAATTCCTAACTTCAAAATACCTAGTAACAAATGCTACCTTCTGCTACATAGCTGAGATTCATGTTACATATCTGTTGTGTGTATGTACGACTATACAATTGGGATGTGTGTGTATAAATACATTATATACATTTTCTCAGAACTCCTGACTCAGAAACAAAGAGGGGTAGGCGGTTGACACAGTGAAAGCCACAGCCATTAACCAGCAACCTGAGGACCAATATATGGCTGATGCTTAGAACCAATGAAACCTGCTACATTCTTGGATCCTTCCCCACTTATATTTACATATTAACTGTGGTGCCTACTCTTAATACACTCGAAACTCAGTATGCCCACAGACTTCTACCCTTTCTGAGCAGAAAACCCAAAAACATGCTTTGTAGTTCCCCACTTCTGAGGACAAACTACAATGTAAAAATATGTATTAAAAAAAGAAACTATAAATTCTACAATGACTATGTTTGAAATCACAGTCATCAAGTTACAGTCAAGCTTGGCATTTAAATAACTTTCCTAAAGACACAGTGGACAATAACAGATGTCGGTAGATACCGTTGTAGATGATCCAGCAAAGGTGCTCCTGTGGCAGAGCCACCTGCATGATGAGTCTGAAGGTGGACAGGATGTGCAGACACTGGGTCACAGACTCTTTATTCTGCAGGTTCATGTCATTGTCACAGAGCAGCTTGTAGCTGCAAATATTTTTGCCATTTAAAGCGTGAAACTGAAACACAGGGGAAAATATAAATAAGAATATAAAGAAATTTTATGCAATTGAGGAAAACTTTTTTGAATGTAAAAAAAAACTAAAATAGAAATAACTCTGTTTAATTAATGTAATAGGTTAGTATAGTGCTACAGCTTGAATGTTTTTTGTCTTCCCAAAATTCATAGGTTGAAACCTAATGGGGCGATTAGATCATAAGGGTGGGGTCCTCAAGAATAGGAGTTAGCGTCCTTATACAAAAGAACCCACAGAGCTCCCTTGGCCCTTCTGCCTTGGGAGGACTCAGGGTGGTCATCTGTGAACCAGAAAGCAGATTCTCACCAGACCCCAAATCAGTCAGCACCTCATTCTTGAACTTCCCAGCCAGAACTGTAATAAATGCTTATTTTTAAGCCACTAGACTATAGATTTTTGTGATAACCGCTCTAGTAGACTAAGACACCTAGAAAGAAATGTAGTAAAAGACAGTTCTTCAAAGCATCTATTTATTTAAAATCACATTTCCTTAGTCAAAAATAATTCAAAATCCCACCCCCCCCCAAAAAAAAACATGATTCTATTGCCAAGAATATAGAATTGAACACACTTTTGTAAATGTACCTAATGGGATTTTTTAACTTATTACTTCAGATGTAATTATTACCATTGCAGTGATTCATTCAGCAAATGTTTATGGAGTACCTCGACTACCACCCTTTGCTAAGCAGTAGGGAGGCAAAGATGAGGAAGCCATGGCTACTGTCCTTGGCAGAAGGAAAACTCTTAACTAAGTGTGCCTTCCTGCCCCCCTAACCTACACGCAATGGGGACACACGATAGTGTGGCTGCGTATCCTGACACTCAATTTTACTATTAACATTTTAACAGTAAATTCATTATTACTGCTTCAACTGTAATGCATTTCCTTCCCAAATCTGTTTTTCTAAGAAAAATTTTCAAGACCCCTGCATTGTCAAGTTCCTATTCGACTAAAGTTTCAATCCATCCAGTCTCATACTCATTCATTTTATACATATGTGTTGAGAACAGTGTGCCAGTGTCTTGCCAGAACCAGAAACTCAGCACCTGAATAAACAGTCTTCACAGCTTCTTGAACCCATCATTATAGTCCTGGCGCACAGGCTTCATTGTCTATTACCTTCCCCGCCGGTCTTTGTCCTTCTAATCTACTCTGTGTGCACTTCTAGATTGCTAATTCTGATGACAACAGTTCATTTATTCATTCATTGGGTAAGTCTTTGTTGAGCATCTATTACCTGCCAGAAACAACTCTGTGCAAGAGAGATTAGCGATTAGAGCAGTCATCAGCAGGATCCCAATGGAGAAGGGGAGGCAGGCAACAAAAATGAATAAATGAAAATATAGTGGGTCACAATGAGTGATATAAAGAGAAATAAAGCAGGAATGCAGGAGATCTGAAGGAAGTGGGGGGGGGAGCCCCATAGTTACCTTGCATAAAAGCATTCTAGAGGGCGGAACTCACCAGTACGCTGGTGCAAAGATAGGGGGAGATGGGGGAAGCAGGATAATGCAAAAAGGAGCCAGGGAGAGGGACAGTGGGGGGCTGACCATGATGGTATCCGAGGCAGTTAAAAGTCTAAACCCCTAAGCTTTCCTTTGAGTGTTCTCCCAATAGGACACCAACTTAGATGGCTCAGTAGTCTCACTCATGGACACATAGGGCAAATGTGGCCCCAAAATGCCTTGAGGTTGTCTGCTTATTAAACCGCATGCTATTTCAGAGAGTGTGAAAAATCACCAAGTTTGGAATGACATAGCTGTGGAGTCAGACGGATTAAGAGTCAAACACCAATTCTCCCCAGGACTAAGTGGGCTGGGTGGTCTCCGCAAAGCCTCAGCTTCCTCATCTGTAAAAGAGGCATTGTGGTGCCCGCCTTAGGGAGGGCTGCAGTGACACAGCAAGATGGCAGCTTGTGGACTGCATGTAGCTGAGCAGTGGTGACTGCACCAACAGTGAAACAATTGTAGCAATTAATATAATGGTAAGTGATATCCCAGATATAAAATGTAAAATTTTTCATGGAAGGTTCTGTATTTGAGTTCCAGAGCCACTAGTTATACGAACTGCCTGATGAGCTTCCTGCTTCCCTTTTGTAAAGCAGTGATAATAACAGTATCTCCCTCACAAAGTTATTGCGAAGATCAAGTGTGCTTTCCAAAGCACTTTGTGAACTGAAAACACTCTATAAATATTAATTATCACAATAATAACTATCTGCTGGATGAATGAGTGACTATAGTGACACAATCTCCCAAACATCTTTATGAGTTTAATAAGTGCACTTTCTTATCCAGCACCGGAAATATTTATTAAACAACTTAGAGCACATGGGTCAACGCTATGCTAAGCGAATGTAAGACATTTAGAAGCTGTCAAGTGGAGGGCTTATTGCATAGCTAATCACAAGTTATAGCTATTTTAGCAACTTCTTTCATCTTACTGTATGTATAGCAGTTTTGTCTCCCAAGCCTTTTGGGAAAAAGGCAGCTTTGAATTGATTGACATCTGTTTCCTTCTCTTCAAAGTTGGTACTGAACTGCTGAAGATACCTCCCATAGCACTGTAAAAGGGCCAATTTATATTCCTGAAAGTGAAAAAAAAAGGACTTTATGAAAGTTTCAAATGATCATCTTGCTTGTCATTATTAAAACTAGGTCATTTTCATATTATTCTTAATAGTATCCATGTGGATTATTATTATTATTATTATTATTACCCCCAATTCCACAGTCCACCTGCAGCTCTTGCTTTCTTTCAAGGACAGATCAGGTCTGGCAGGTCTGGGAAGACTCTAACCAGTTTCCCCACTTGAAAAGAGGGAGGGAGTGGTAGTTCTAAATAGTCCAGAATGGGGAGCAGTGATGGGAGCAAGATACGTATAATTAAGAGGGACCCCTTTCCACCCAGAAAGAAAAATCTTTAAAAACTCTACTGCTCTACTGCTCAGGTTCTCCTGCCTTCCTGAGACCCGCCCTTCTTGCAGTGCTCTGCCTAGTGGCTTCCAATAAACTTTGTTTTTGGCTTGATTCTGGGGCTTCGTAAAACTCTTTTCTCAACAGACACCAAGGACCCTCCAGTGTCTGGCCCTTAACACAGTTACGTTATTGCCACCACTGATCACCACCCTTTGCTAACACGTTGTCTGAAGGAGCTGAGCACTGCTTCCTTTAACTCTCCTCACAAGACACCACAAGACACCAATTGACAAAATCCAAAAACTTAGCATCAGCAGTTCATGGTAACTGAGAAGTAAGGCACAAACTCAGTCCGAGAGGAAGACGGCTTCCATAACTCACCTTGTTTCTCTGATATCTGATTTAGCTCCAAACAAGAAAAGGCGGAGGGTCATTGGGGGGTGTGGGGGGTTGGAAATGTAGAGGGAAGGAGGTGAAGAAAGAAAGAACAAAAAATCAAGGAAGGAGAGAGAGACAGAGACAGAGAAAGGAGAGAGAGAGAAGAGGGGAGAGAAAAAACAGTAAGAAGAGAAGCAGATAACTGACTCTCCTCTTTCAGCTGTCAACAGTCTCTGAACCTGTAACAGGATGAATCAGGAATGTCTCTGCTAGGGGGTTCTCCTTAGCTCTAAGGCTTATGCTCCATTACAGAGTCAGAGGGCTCATTTCCGTTGCCCTCAGGGCAAGGTTGACCTGGAGCGGAGTTCAGGGCAGCGGATGTGAACGGGGGTTCAGAGTATGAGTCAGTTGCAACCCTTCCTCAGCTTCCTCCCTGCAACTGAGTCTCCAGGCAAAGCCGCTGCCCTGGGTGAGAGCTGCCGGCTGCTCACCTCGCCTTGGGGAGAGATCCTCAGGCAAACTCTTGTCTCTATTTCTATTGACTTGTTTATTATTTGTTTGCTAATTAAGTCTGAGTCTTTTTCCCTTCTCAGATCTAAGTTCAAGATAGAGCTAAGTTCAACCAGAATCTTTGCTGTAACTTTAAGTTCAACCAGAATCTTTGCTGTAACTAAAATAAAAATAGTTTCCAGAAACTAAAGTAAGAAATCAAGTTTGTTTGGGGAAACATAAAAAATTGTACCAGCCACTTCCCCATCAGTGAAAGGTAGATAAAATGTTTTCTTTGTTCCTTGAAGTAAAATTTAAAATATCCTCTCTGGGTCTTCCTATCTAAATGTTCTGAATCCTTCACTTTTACTCATCATCAACTTGTTTTATCAGCTTCTCAAGAGCTCCTTCCTCCTCCCTCCACCAATATCCACTCCACCCACCTGAATATTCCTCAAACCCCAAACTGCTGTGCAGGAGCAGCTTCTTACATAGAGAAACATCAGAACAGAGAGGGGGCGCTCTTGTTATTCTTGTCAAAACGTTATTCCACTTCTCATGAACATACCTTACAATTTGGATCTCATATGTTGTTCTTTTTCTCCTGTAATTGTGCAAATTCCTAAGGACCATGGTCTGTTACATTGAGCTAAGATAATTCTCTAAGTTTGGCAGGAGAAAATAGAATTTATTATTCGCTATTAAACTTCCTCTACATCTTGTCTTCTGTTTGGTCAGTTTCCTTCCCAGACCAAACGGGGAAGGAAAGGGAAGCTGAGAAACTGCAGATTGTAAAAGCACTGACTATCGTTCATGCCTGGCTTACAGTCACATCGGATAAAACGGCTCTTGGGCTGAGGATCCTAGATGGGCCAAACCGTTATGCTGATCTTAGATTAATTTGGGCCTAGGCCAGAGATGAAGTGAAAAATTTGTATTAACTGAAAATTCAGACATGGTGTGGTCTTATCAAACCAAATCTGAGTCCACAGCAATCCAAGACCTGGACACTGAATCAAACCTGGGGGTCCGAGGATCCTGAAGTGGTCTCAGTTCTTGTTGCAACTGTTACAAGGCAACCCCGATATGAAATGTGTTGGCCTGACTGTGGGTCCTCACCCGCACGCCTAAAAAAGACTTATAATACTACTCAACTGCAGGCACACACAAAAAGGTTGATAAAGGGTTTATTTACAAAAGAAGGGGAAGTGAAGAAATGAGCAGCTCCAGGGGAAAGAGAGGGAGATAAATTGGTGAATGCGTCCTACCAGCTCCACTACGCTGGAACCCCAATAGCACGCTGAGAGCCAGACGAAAAACGAGGACCCCTCAAGGCCCACGTCTGGTTATATAGCAAACCTGGCTGCTTAACTCCACCCTCAGGTCCTAGCAACCCTCTCTTCGGTGATGATGACATTATGGGATTTGTAGTTCGTGGTGTCTTAGGTATCTTTGGTCTGGGGTGGGGGTGGAGTCCATAAAACCCGTGTTTGTGGAGTTTGTTCAGGACATCCTTTCCCCCCAACATTGCCAGGAAAGAATTCAGTATGGAAACCAGCGTTATGCAGAAAAGCAAAAGATTTATTGGCAGATAAAAAGAACAGGAAAGCTCTCTGAGTAGAGAGAGGTCCCGAGTGGGTAGCCACTGAGGGGTGAGAAGCAGGTGTTTACATGGCTATAGTGTGCAAGAAGTGGGGCTCTAGCCTTTGGGCAGCTCGGCTTCGTGTCTCTTGCTGATTGGTTGGGGCTGGTGGGGTCTCCTAGGTTACTGCAGTTACCTGGCCCGCTGTCCCTAAAGAAGCTGTGGTCTGTTGCTTTAGCACTGCATTGGTGTTCCAAACATTTGATTCTTACTGGGCTGGAAACACCTGATTCCAAGTGATTATTCCTTATTCAGGTTGAAAATGGGCTTGGGGCCTCCCTTCTAACCCCCCACATCCTAACTTGCTACCTGTATCCCTTTCCTAACTTCCTCATACAACACAGGACAAAAAGATAGAGCAAAAACTCAGCGTGGAGTTCAATTTTGAGCAAGAGAGATACATGTTTGGGTTGACTGCTTTAATTACATAAAGTAAAAGGTTAAGAAGGAGCTAAGAGTCATGAAAACAGAGTGCTAGAGACCAGGCAACAGAGCAGCAAAGTCAAGAACCATGAGAACTGTCCACTGGACAAGGTCAGCCATGTGAAAAACAACAGGAAATGCTGTCTGGGTTCCTTTGTATAAGGTAGGAACAGGGTGACTCAGCATTTCCTGTTGGGGGCCCACCACACCCTCTGGTTAACTGGGGGCTGTGCTCCTGTCCCAACCCAACCTGCTGCCTTCCCATTCAGGAACCTCTCGCCTCTGGAGTATTCTCAGCTACAAAATTAAGAAGCAAATATAGTTTTTGTTACGGTGCCTCATTAAAACTTGTACGTATTTGTTCATTTTTTTTTTCCTAAGAAAAAAAATCAAATCATGTAGAACAGGAACAGTATCAAACCAAATAATAATCACTAACCAAATGAGTTTGTTTAGGCTCTTTTTTACCCTGGAGGCACTTACTTTTATTTCACAAAGGCTATCTCCAACCTTCAGAAGTTTTTCATTGTAATAGGCAGCTGGCAGCCGGGGGCCATATTTGGTCCAGATATTAAACAATAAGGTGGCACTGTAAAAATCATAAAATAATATCTTCACATTCAGCAGAAAACCTCAATTCATTAGCAGAAATCTTTAAAAAATAGGATTTAGTTAACTCTTTCCAATGTGTCTTGTTAATGTTTATTAATATGATCAAAATTATTGTTCTTTTGCACCGTGCACTGATGGAAGCTCTTTATGTGTATTTTTTTTTAATTTATTTATTCATGCATACAAGAACTGGGGTACAGGCCAGATGAGCAGTGGGCGAGGCAGGAGTGGTCTGCCATGTCATGTAGGAATCTCACCGGCAGCTGGGATCGAGCTGGTGCTGCAGAGGCAGTTTTACAGCAGTTTTAGATTCACAGATTTAAGCAGAAGGTATGGAGATCCCCATGTACCCTTGACCCCACACATGCATACCCTGCTCTGTTAGCCACGTTCTCTACCCAGAGTGGTGAACTTGTTACAACTGATGAAGCTACATTGATAAGTCACTATCACCAGGGCCTATAGTCACATTAAGATTTCTTCTTGCTGGTATACATTCTATGGGTTCCAATAAGTATATAATGACTTGCATCTATTGTTATGGTATTATATAGAATAGATTCCCTGCCCTAAAAATGCTCTATGCTCTGCACATTCATCCATCCCTACCTCTTATTCCCAGGCAACCACATGTATTTTTACTCCCTCCATAGTTATACCTTTTTCAAAATGTCATGTTGTGCAAGGCATACAGTATATAGCCTTTTCTGACTGGCTTCTTTCACTTAATCAAGTTTTTTCACGATTTGTTTTTCATAGCTCTTTACCTTTTTGCACTGAATATCTCATTGTCTGGTTTGACCACAGTTTATTTACTCATTTATCCATTCACTTACCAAATCTTGGTTGCTTCTTTAGTATGGGTAATAAAGCTCCTATAAATGTCCATGTACAAATTTTTGTATGAACATAAATTTTCAATTTCTTTGGGTCAAATCCAGCATGATTTATGGATGATATGGTAAGAATAGGTTTCATTTTGTAAGAAACCACCAAACTGTCTTCTAAAGTGGTGGTAACCACAGGGCATTTCCATCAGCGATGAGTGAGAATTCCCGATGCCCCACAGCCTGGTGTTTGGTGTCATCAAGGTTCTGGATTTTGTCCATTCTAATAGGTATGAAGTGGTATATCATTGCTGTTCATATTTGCATCTTCCTGATAATATATGATGTATAGCACCCTTTCATATGTCTATTTTCCATTTGTGTATCTTCTTTGATGAGGTGTCTGTTAAGGTCTTTGACCCATTTTTTTCATACATCCTTGTTTATTTTTTTTTTTTTTCACAATATAGGATTTCTGCCCTCAGGTGCAGTCTCCATAGTTTTCCCAACACCCAAGTGCCCACAATTACAATACAACAGGCTTGGCTTCCCACCCCCTTCTCAACTTTCCTTTCCTCTCTTGAGTCTTTCCGATCTACAGTCTACTTTCAAGGGTCAGTTGTGCAGATTGTCTTTGCCTGATCCTTTGATTTCTCTAGATTCCACATATACATGGAACCATATGGTATTTATCTTTCTTCTTCTGACTCACTTACCATAGAATAACTCCTTCCATTTCCATCCATGCTGGCACAATGGCACATGTTTATCTTTTTTGATCGCTGAGTAGTATTCCATTGTGTATATGTAACACATCTTCTTTATCCACTCACTTGTTCTGGAGCATTTAGGTTGCTTCCAAATCTTGGCTTTTGTAAATGCTGCTTCAATTAACATACCAATGCAGGTTTCCTTTTTGAATTAGTATTTTTGCCCTCTTTGGATAGATACCTTAGAGTAGAACCACTGGGTCCTATGGTAAATCCATTTTTAGTCTTGAAAAATTTCCACACTTCCTTTCATAGGGGAGGGACCAGCCTACCTTCTCACCAGCAGTATAATAGGGTTCCTTTTTCTACACACCTTTGCCAGCATTTCTTATGGCTTTTTTGGGGGGGTGGAGGGGAATTGGTTTGTTGTTTAATATGAGCTATTCTCACGGAGGTAAGGTGGTATCTGTCATAGTTTTGGCTTGCAGCTCCCTGACGATATGTGATGATGAGTATTTTTTCATATTTCCTTTGGCCATGTATATGTCTTATTTCTTTGACCAATTTTTACAAATCAAATTGTTTTCTTATTGTTTTAAGGGTTCTTTGGTTATTTTGGGTAAAGGCCCTTTATCTTTATCAGATATTCTTTTGCAAACATTTTCTTCTAGTCTGTGACTTGTCTTTTCATTCTCTTTGCAGTCTTTCACAGAACAGAAGCAGAAATTTTTAATTTGAATGAAGTCCAGCTTATCAATTCTTTCTTTTATGGATAATGCCTGTGGTGCTATATTTAAAATGTCATTGCTAAATCCAAGGTTATCTAGGTTTACTCCTATGTTATCTTCTAAGAGTTTTATAGCATTACCCTTTTTTTTAAATTTAGATTTGTAATTCATGTTGAATTAAGTTTGTGAAGGATGTAGCATCTGTATCTAAATTCATTATTTTACATCTGGATGTCCATTTATTAAGTGGACCATTTATTTAAAAAAAAATTTGCTCCATGGTAATCCCTTTAATACCTTGTCAAAAATAAGCTGACTGTGTTTATATGGATTTATTTCTGGGCTCCCTAATGTGCTCCATTGATATTTTTGTCTGCTCTTTCACCAATACCGTACTGTTTTGATTACTGCAGCTTTAGAGTAAATCTTAAAGTCAGATAGTGTCAGTCTTCAAACTATTCTGGACTTTTGAAGACAGCATTTCATTTCATTTTTACAATAGCCCTGAGATGGGTAATATCAATATCCCAAGTTTATAGTTGATGAAATTCAGGCTTTGTGTAACCTTGCTCTTCAACTAGTATATTCCTGTGCCTGTCACTCCTCTGAAACACTCACCCACTGAGGGCAAGGATCTTGACTATATTATTCATTGTCCAACCCCAAGACATACACATATCTAGTATATGTAGGTACTCAATAAATCTGTTGAAAAATAAATACATGACTAGTAAAAATTTTTTTCTTGCTATTATTTTATTCTTTTATATAAAAAGTTCAAGTGTTCAAATATCCAGTCAGTCCATTTAGGTTCATGCTTCATTCCATCAAGTAAAACAAAAATAAACAATATTCTCAAAGTGGTTTCTAATTGGAGTTTCAAAGGGTAGCAGGTCGTCACTTACTTTGTTCATTGATTTAGTTAACATTTATCAATCCCTCTTTCTCAGAAATTATAAATGCCTCTATGTAAAATCCAAATTTTCCTTAATGCTCGTCCAATCCTATCTCAATAACTTTGAGATAAGGGCAGTGTTATGTAACGAATGTTTCTGTCCCTCAAAATTCATAAGTTGAAGCCCTAACCCTGCTGTGTGGCTTTCTTTGAAGGGAGGGCCCCTAAGGAAGTAATTAAGGTTAAACCAGGTCACAAGGGTGAGGCTCTAATACCATGGGACTCACTGGCTTTTAAAGAGACCCAGAGATTTTGCTTTCTCACTATCTGCATTTGCTCAGAGAAAAGGCAATGTAAGGACAAAATAAATGGTCCTCTGCAGCCAGGAAGACTCCTTGGAAACTGACCCTGCCTGACCTTGCCACTAGAACTTTGAGAAAATTAATTTCTATTGGTTAAGCCACCCAGCACACAGTATTTTCTTATGGCAACCTAAACTAATTAGTAACTAGTAATTAGTTGCCCATGCTGACTAATATAGACAGGAATCTAAACTTAAAGGACTGAACATGACTCTTGTACTTATGATATACATTTTGGGATATTAAAGAAACAACTTCAAAGAGAAACATGTTGATTAAATCATCCAGGTTACTAATGGGATTGATTCAGAGACATGGGAGGAGGTAAAAGGGAGGGACAGGGTATTCCTGCCTTCAAGGACTGATGAATAATATCTTTAGGTGGGAAAATATATACATGTACCAAGCAGTAAATAACAATGCCAAATAAATAATGAAGCAACTATAAGCGACAGAATTTTTTTAAGGGAGAGTTTTTTGTTTACTTGACTTTTGTTTCAACTTTATCCACTTTAGGCTGCTTCATAAAGTGCTACAGTATTAGAATGTAATGAATACCAGAAATTCACAAACTCTTGTTAGAATTCTTAAACTATGTAGAAGAAGAGTTAATTCTTCCAAATCTGATGGATGAGATATGATGACTAGGTTTGTTACTCAGGAAAGAAAAAATACCAACTTTGTTAAATCAATCAGGTTTGATTGATTTTTTTTTTAATTAAGTGAGAGCGACATGCAGGTTATGATGACTTATTGGAATGACATATATAATGATTAAACAAGGGAAATATAATATATACTATATAATGTATATCATTTAAGCAAACAATATTAATATGTTTTGAATTACTAGGCTGACTATAGCTGTGCCAGAATTCAAAATTTTCTACATTAGAAAATCATAACTACATAAAATATCTAAGTCCTACGTGTTTATAATGAAAATACACGTTAATAATATATTACACTCTAATGACATTGCTGGTGTGATCAAAATGTATACCTTAATATTAGGAGCTGTTATGGTTATGTAAGTTCCTATAGTTGTAAAAAGAAAAAAAATTGACTTTAAAAAATAACCATCTGTCAAATATATTATAAAAGCAACTCCTACTTCCTGTGCTCCTAACCGGTCTCCACATTTCAGTTTGCTCCATTTGGGTAAGAGCACCAAAATATTTTAAAACAAAAATCACATAAGACTAATCCCTCACCAAAAACTACCCAGTGGTTTCCCACTGCATTTGGAATAAACAGAAACTCTATAAATGGTCTCTAAAATATTTCAAAGTCCTACCTACTCTACTAATCTCATCTCACACCATTGCACCCACACTTACTAAACTATGCGAAAAGGTTTCTATACATTCTTCCAAAGTCCTTGGCTCTTTCCTGCCAAGATCTTCCCACATGCTTGTTCCCTCTGTTTATCCTCTCTCCTTGCCTCTGGTAGATTGCTGGGCAACCCTCTAATCTCAGCAATGTCACCTCCTTCACCATTCATTTGTAAGCAGGTCCCTGCTGTGTTCTTTTTAAGCCCCTGCTTAAAAAAATCTGATTATCTGATTATTGAAAATCACAATATCCCATCCCCCTACTCCACACTCCTTTCTCTCTTGTTTTCCCTAGCATTTAACACTTTCTAGGTCACCACAGTATGTATGCATTTAATATATTTATTATCTATTTCCCCACCTAGATTGTTAGCACCAAGAGGACAGAGATTTTTGTCTGGTTCATTGCTATCTCCTCAGCACCAAGTACAATGCCTGGCACATATAAATGCTTGGTAACTTCTTCCCTCATAGCATTGCTGTGCTTAAGGACTCATGGAAAACTTTCCTCCTCTCTGGCCTACAAACTTAATGAGCACAGGAGCCCCTCTATTTTGTTCATCGTGATGGAACTCTTGACTTGTGCAGCACCTGGCACATAGTAGGCACCCAATAAAAACTGTTTTGTAAATAAACACCTAAATTGTTTGAAGGTCTATGTTGATCTTTAACTTTTGTGATTTTTTTTTTAAAGGTTCTTGAAAGATGGGATGGAGAATGTACTTACAGATTGATCCAGGTCTACTTTCTCATATACACCATTAACAATTTTGGAGCATGCAAAGGATAATAACCTTTGAATTCTTTCAATAACCAAATGCTCATTGAATGTTTATTATGTTCTAATCTCCAGACTCCCAGACTGGGGCTGGAGATAGAAAAATGAAAAAGAGACACATTAATCAAAGTCCATGCAGGAGCTTACATTCTATTGGGGGAGACAGATTACACAGAAGAAAACAAATAAGTAAAATATATCAACTGATGGGCAAACCTGGGTCAAAAAGGAAAGGCCACTCTAAGGAGGTAATAACCTGAATGAAAAGGAGACAGATATTTAAAAAGCTGGAAAAAGAACATTTCAGACAAAGGTGACAGCAAATATAAAGATCCTCAGATGAGAAACAGTAGGATCTGTTTCCTTGGAAAGTCCTGGAAGACAAGTGAGGGATGAGCTGAGATGGCCAAGGCCAGGCAGGGCCAAATCTTCTGACCCTGAAAGATAATAGGAATATTCATTTTATTTAAAATCAATGGGAAGCAGTGAGACGAGAAACTGTGAACTAGAAACCTACGCAGTATTGGACACTAATGTTACCTCAATAAAAAAAAAATTAAAAGATAGCAATTAAAGTGGGGGGAAAAAGAGGGACAGCAATGAAAAGCAACAGGAAATCTTTAGATAGGGGAGTGAATGATTTACTTATGAAGATCAACCTGGCTGCTATGAGGAGGATAGGTTGGAGACTTTTATGACTGACTATTGGGAAAATGCCAGAAGGTGGAGGTTTGAATAAGAACGCTGGCCCTGATAGTGGAGATGGAAAAGCAAAGAGCTATTTAAGGCACAGACATGTTTTAAGTGTATATACAGAGCTTAGGTAAGTAATGAGTGTTCCTTGGTTGATTTTCTGTTCTCAACTTACTTGGCCAATCAGCAGTATTTGCCACAGATGGTCAGTCATCCATTCTTCCCTTGAAACTCTTTCTCAGCCTAGTTTGCAGTGCTCAACACACTTACTGGTTTTCTTCCTACTCCTTGATCACTCCCTCTTAGCCTCTGGAGATAAATTTCTTCTTATCTTCCCCACTTGTCAGTGTTGGAGTGTCCCAGGGTTCAGTTCCTGGACCTCCGCCATCTACATACACGCTAAGCTATTCCAACCCATGTTATGATTTATTTTTATTTTTAAGGCCTTCAGTAGAAAAGAACTTTAATAAAATTAGTGTGCAATAGAGAAGAGAAAGAATATAGTTAAAATAATTTTCCCCAGTGTCATGATTTAAATATCATTAATATGCTGATGAGTTCCATGTACATCTCCTTTGATCTCCAGAATCAAATGTCCCACTGCCTTCATAACAACTCTGCCTGGATGTTGAATTACTTCTCAATCTTAATATTTCTAAAAGCTAAATTTTTGATCTTCCTTGCTTCTATCAGAGACCTGTTTTTTGCACAGTCACGATCTCATCCTGGGGCTTTCATACTTGCCATTCTCCTTAGTTGCTGACCCTTCCTATAGAAATCCTCTTTACTTACAGCCATTATCTCCTGCTCATCTTTTTCCATGGCCAATTTTTCCTGACCATGTGCCCCACTTCCACACCCTGACTCTTCCATCCTCACTCCCTGCCCTGAATTTCTCCTTTGCTCTTAGCCTCCTTGTACAATAATTTCCTTACATATTTGTTTAGTGACTGTCTGTATTCAGAAAATAATATGCTCCAGAAACTAGGGATTTTTATATCTTTTGGTAACTAGATGTCTTTCTAGTTCCTAGAATGATATCTGAAATATATAGTTAAATACATGAATGAATATTAAATATAAGTAAAAACTTTCTTCATATTAAAATCAAGAATGAAAATATAAGCTGAAACTATTCAATATTCTGATATTCTTTTCCACTTGTCTACATTATAATTACTTAGTTTGCAGTGTATTTTGATCAGGGAAGAAAGATGATGACATGAACAGGAAATAACCTTTAACACATGAATGAATATTAAATATAAGTAAAAACTTTCTTCATATTAAATTCAAGAATGAAAATATAAGCTGAAACTATTCAATATTCTGATATTCTTTTCCACATGTCTACATTTATAATTACTTAGTTTGCAGTATATTTTGATGAGGGAAGAAAGATGATGACATGAACAGGAAATAACCTTTAACACAAGTAGTTTGCTGTATACCTTAATAGTAGGATGATAGAATTCACCATCACTGAAAGCAAACAGATGTGCAAAATGAGCGACAAAATCAAGAAAAAGTCAATGTTATCCTAATAATAATATAAAAAGAAACTAAAGAGCACATGTTCACAGAATAACATGCTTTATGGCATCGAGAACCTATGTTACTCAAGGGTATTCCTTTTTCTCTGCATACAAAATTGTACCTTCTACATGAAAAGTTGTGAAACCTTTGAGTGAGCCAACCAACTTATTTGGCATGGAGTAACAATTAGGAGACGCTCAGAAACAGAACGGACATTTCTGTAATGATTTTATTAAACCAGTGCAGGAAGGCAAGGTATGACATTTGTCAGGATTAGAATAGTAATAGCGATATCTCCACTTCTTAAACCTTGTTTATATCAGTATCTCCAGAGCCTGAGACCAGGTCCTACATCCACAACGATGATCTACAATAGTTCTTGGACTACTCCCTAGCTGCATGGTCAAGGGTACCTCCTCCTCCGACCCCAATAGTTGCCCTTCTGGTCAGCACCCTACCCAGCACCCTGCTTCGCTTACCAACGCCGGTGTAATTCATGCTTCTGTTCCTCTGTTGTCGCTAAAGCCTTTTTCCTCTTCATAAAGGTTATCAACTCTCGGATATCCTTCTCGAAGGTAGCCAGGAGAGGGTTTTTGGCATCCAGTGGCCCATAAAACACTGCTAGGGGCAGTGACTCCTCCGGGCATGTAGAGCGAGACTGTGGGGTGGGAGAGCTCGCCTTCGACTCCAGGGGCGACTTCGAAACCGCGGTCGAAGTCGGGGGAGGGGTTGGTGGCAGTCGTGGAGGCGACACCGAATTGTGAGACAAGTTAGATGGAGACATCGAAAAAGTGTTTCGCGCCGCCATATTGGCGCGACCAGGACCGGGCCTGGAGTTTGTGTACACGCCGTTGCCTGGCGACGGTCTCCCGGCAACCAGGCATCCAGCGAGCTTTCAGGGCAAAACAGCGGCCCCTAGAGGACAAAGGAAGAAACGAAGCTGGTTCAGAAAGAAACGAGGTTTTTTTCCTCCTGAGGTTTTTTCTGCTCTCGTCTGGCACCGCTCTAGGAAGGCGATGAGGAAAAAAAGAAGGTTCTGGATACAGAACCGACGAATAGAAGAACCAAAAATTTACGACCACAAGTGCAAACTGTGCTCTTTTCCATTTTGATCGCTTCATAATAATAATGATGATAATTATTAATGTAATGTATGCCTGGCATTGTCTAAGCATTTGAAACATATAATTTCGTTTATCTTATTAAATCACCATAGCAGTTGTATTACTTAGGATAATATTAGTTATCTCCATTTCACAGTTGAGGAAACTAAAGCTTAGGAAGATTTAGTCCTATGACCAAGCTTCTACACACCGTAGTGTCAAGGAGAAACTTTCACTTTCTGATTACAAAGTGTGTGCTCAAAATAAAAAGGCTGTATTGACTGTGCCCCAAAAAACCAAGCTTATCAATCAAATTAAAATTTGCAAAATATCTGAGAAACCGTTTAATAATAAAATACACGGAACTGATCCAGTCTCTTCCCTGTTTATTACTTAAGTCTGTAAATATTTGAATGATGTCTGTGCCTGAAATTATGATTACATTCCATTTATCCATTATTTTATGACCTTATCCTCATTACCACTATATTCTAAATTAATGAGTATTTTACAAAACCCTAACTATTGGACTAAATTAATATATACTAATACCTTGATGCATTAACTTAAAATACTTTTACATTTTAAACAGGAATTTTAGGAGCCTTTGCTTCTGATCAGGAAACTATAGACCTCAAGGTCCTATATTTGGGGGCCAGTTTGTTTGTGTATAGTATGGGTTTCCAACTTGGAGGAAAACTGCTTTCTTCATAAATTATGCGATGCCAAAAATTATCTAAGAGAAGAACCAAAAATATTTTTGACCTAGAAAAATAGGTCTTTAGCACTGAAACTTATTACTGGTTCTGTCACACTTCAAAATAAAGATAGTGGCCCTAACACCCTGTGAGCCCAATTTCCCACGTAAGATTAAGGAGATTATCAGACCATGGTCTGATTTCTCTCAGTTCTGACCTCATTTCCTGCAGACTCTGTGGGCCTGTGCTAATTTGTGAGGCTGGCCTAATGCGTCATGTGTACTGTATTCTAATATTCTTTGAAGGTAGATGATCATTTTGCTTCTTGAGGCAGGTCAAGAGCCCCCTAGACAAGGAGCGAGGTGGTCTTGGGCACCTCGGTAAGCATTCAGTCTTTCCAATCAGGATCACTCTTTGATCAACAAAGATTTTATCTGCTCCTAAGTGAGCAACAAAAATCCTAAGACTTTAAAGAATTTAGGCCTAAAGAAATAATTCATTCTTGGAGCATTTACAAAATGTACTAACAAACCTTTTTTAAAAAAGATCAGCTTGGCAAATTCTTTTTCTTTTCATCTTCTCCTTGTTCTCATATTACAGACTTGTTGACTTCAGATCAAAAGCTGGTGTAATTTAGCACTGAGTATTCTCTATTATCCTGATGAAAGTGACACTGCAGGATAAAACTGAAGTGGTCAAAGAGGAGGGAAGAAAATAAAAATAAAACAGATAAAGTTAGGCTTGTCTCCCTTGATTTGACTGCTCACACACAAAAAACCTTACTAGTAGTGCAGGCACGTACATTTCAAAGTGACTGGTAAAAGAAAATGTGACCAATTAAATTCAATACCTGAATTATGAAACACTGCATCTTAGTCATTTTCTTCCTTGCACATACTAAAGTTAACAATGCTTAACTTGAGGGTAGCTTTGGAAGCTTTTCTGAATATTTAAGTGGATGCTGTACTCTGAATCACCATCATAGCAAGATGGAAGTTTCCATTTTGTTCCTTTTTACATTTTAAAGGTGTTTTCTTTCTTGTGATGAGATGCAGCTATTAGAATATCTTTTCTATATCCCTGTCACTTTGCTTTATTCTTTTCACCATAGTGAGAAGAATGGAGTTCTGCGACTATTGTGTCTGGCGGGTCTAAATAATGTAAAGAGCTTCCTTATAAATAATGTAAATTGCTGTTTCTTATAATTAGTGTCTTTGCAGGCTGCAGGGATCCTTTTTGCCAATTCAAGAGTCTTTATCATCTAAAGTTACTGTTAGAGAAAGAAAACATAAGGCTAGTATTCTTTCTTTTCCTAATTCACTTGTTAATCATTTGAACAGTTCCAAATATGTACATGTAGAGGGTATTTTTTTAAAGGCATAAAGCTCTCCCCTTTTTTCGTTTCTTCATACTTTCTTTCCATGAAACACAGCTATTTCTTTAGCTTGTCATACAATACATAGATGAACCCATACATTCCCTATAAGAGTAAATGGCACATATATAAACATGATTAAAAGGAAAGCTGTGAAATGTGCACTGATAAAGATCTGAAAAATCCTGTAAAACCTAAGATGAAGCTGGGAACTAGAGGGAAAAAAAGAGGATTCTAGAGGAGGTGACAGTGGAACCCCACACCGTAACTGTACCTTATTAACATTTAACAGAGAGACACTTGCAAGAGTGATTCACTTACTTATATGATAACCCAACATACACAGCAAGTTAAGTAATCTGTCTAGTATGGTGAATCAAAGACTACAATCTATCCGGAGACAGAGGATGAGGTAGAAACAAAGCATGCTTGACTGTGGCTGGAAGGTATACTAAAACATTTTGACTTAGTTCTGTATGTATTGAAGAGGCTTGATTAGAAAACAGTATAACGCAGAGATTAAAAGGCCAAATTCTGGGGCCAGAAAGCATAGTGAAATCCCCAGTTCTTCCAAGTTACTTACCTACACTGTCCCTTAGTTTCTTCAGCTGTAAAATGGGGGTGAAATAACCTTACTACTTACCTCACATTTCCATTTTGTTTAGAATTAAATGAGAGGGCCTCCCCGGTGGCGCAGTGGTTGAGCGCTGGGTTGCGAGGCTGCCCGCGGCCTCTGCGGCACCGGTTCAATCCCCGGCTGCTCCCCGGCCACCGGCGGAGGATCCCACATGGCGCGCAGACCTCTCCTGCCACCCGCTGCTCCCCTCAGCAGTGTACTTCTGTCCTTCTGCCTGCTCTGCTCCCCGCTCTGGCTCTGGTGAATTCTCTCACCCTCCCGCGCTTCTGACTGTACCCAGTGCATGTATAAACAAAACAAACAAACAAACAAAATAAATAAATAAAACATGCCTCTATAAAAAAAAAAAAAAAGAATTAAATGAGAATTAATTAAATTAATATATATAAAACCCATGTAAGTGTGCCTGGTGCATAATTTCTATATAAATGTTTGTGAATATAACTATTTGCTTGGGAACCATTGGAAGTTTCTAAGAAGAGAAGAACATGATCCAGTCTGTATTTTATGTATTTTAGAAGGAAAACTGTTATGGCAGAATAAAAGGTGGAATGGAATGAAGAAGGTTATATCTGATCTCAGCTGCAGAATCTTCACAATGATTATACATGGTCAGCAATGAGACAGAAGAGCCAAACTAAAACTATGGACAGATACTAAGGCAGGATCAATAGGAAATCAAACTCTAATCAATAAAGTAAAAAGAGAGTCACCAAGTAATAAGTAGTTTATATAACCTGTTTACAACATGATATAATATGTGCAATATATATCTATGTTAATGTAAGTATAATCATTATAGAAGTAGCAGAACAAATACTAAGAGAATATTTATGTTCTCAAGGTAAAGACTTTCCTAAAAACTCTGAAAGTAAAAAAGAAAATATTGATTGACTTGAATACATTAAGACAAACTATTAGAAAGATGAAAGATATCATGACAAAAGTTGAAAAATAAGTCACACACTGGGGAAAACATTTGTGACGTATGGCCTACTGTGTGAACACCATATTGATAAACAACAATCACAGACTTAGAGTGATAGACTCAGAAAGACACCACTTGGGTGAATTCAACAGGTTTACTATTACAGGTCATGAGTGAAATTCATCGCAGTCAACATGTAAATAAAGACACCAGCAACATTATCCAGAGCAGGTGAAAGTACGTGTTTCCAAACCCAAAATTCTCACCACTGGTGCACAGTTTGGGATAGTAACATTCCTGCACCTCCCAAGCCTTTGCTGCTTGAACAGGTATCTGATTCTCCAGGAGTGCTGTGTTCCAGTTTGACACTTCATTGTGGTTGGTTTCTGATGCTTCCACTTGGCCCTTCCACCCCTAAGAACTCTGATGCTACCTCTCAGGGTTCCAATGTTAGAATTATGCTAGATATTAAGTCTCCTCTTTAATCAAAGGCTCTCTAGGTTTGTGAACTGCCTGAGTTCTGGAAACTAGGTGAGGGATGAGAGATCACAATTTTCCATGACAGCAACTGATATCAGACTTTTGATCAACATTTCTTGAGTTTTCCAGCTACAGCTATTGAGCAACACTCTTGTTGTCTGATCATCCATCTTGACCTGTACATGTGATCCTCTAGCTAACATCAGATAGGGCTATAGGGAAAGGCACGCTGGTTGTCACACTGGCCTGGCTGTCCATGATGGCCATTACACCTCATGCTGGCCTAAGTTAACCTTCTGGCCTTTGTCTTTGAGAATGATATCACCCCGGCTATTAATATGAAGTTAAATTTCATGGCAGAATCCTCCACTATCAACCTTGGCCTGCGGAAAGTAGAAATAATAAAGCTTCTCCAAAGATGCTGACGTTCAACTCTTTGCCACCTTCCTCAGTGAAGCTAATATCCTCTGCCCATCACACAGAACATAGAGACAGCTAGTGGGTTCCCAGGACATAGATAATAAATCCACTCTAACAGTCCCGCACCCCTGAGCCTTAGGAATCTTCATCCACAGGATACCAAGGAAGTTCTGCCATCTCTGTTTCATTGATGTA